CCACAACGTTGACCCACCCGTAGCGTCATCCTCGTGGACAAATCAAACCATGACATCGTTTGCAACTTCAAGTGGCCGACTCTCGCCGGCTTGACACTCGTGATGCTCGCCGTTACCAACACCATGGACCTACTCGAACGCGTCATGAATGGAGGACCGGCCGTGTTCGCAGTCGTTTCGGTACCCCGTAATCGTTCCAGATGTGCCCCAGTGCCCGTGTGTCCTCTTTATCTACGACGCGGGACCAGCACCAATTCGGCGGCTGTGTGGGACAGTACTCCGAATGGTCGTCGTACGCGCGTAGACCGGTTTTCCTAGAGATACAGCATGTCCCCAGATATGATTATCAATTCAAATCACGTGCCGTTGAGCTCAAGCCGCGCGCTCCAAATACTAGTGCTCCGTCTCTTGATCCTCCTCAGCTGTTAGACAATCTGCCTGATCGACTCAATACCGTTGACGATCTTCTAGTCGCTGTTGGCGTATGTTTATATTGCCTCCCTACTAAGTATAACTGCTGATGAGACCATCCTTGAAGTACGATGGAAAACGTGAAGAGCGTGCTGTCCATCGATGACGACGTCCTCCTCCTCATCTGTTCCTTCCTTTCCCGCAAAGACGCGCGCGCGGTGGCTTGCATGTCGAAATATGCATACTGCTTGGCGACACCCAGCACTCTTCACGACGCAAGTTATCCTTACAATAGGGAAGACTCCGAGACGTCTCGATGGGAGTACATCCTCGGACACGACAAGTACCTGGGTGTTCCCCGAAGGCGCTACCTTCGAGCGCTCTGCGTTTGGACCTATCCCAAAGACGAAACCGAGATGGCCTCCCTCTTAGAAGCCTTACCCTCCTTTTCAAACCTCCGGTCACTCCATTGCGGCACTCCAGCAGGCTGATAGAGCAACACCCACGCTTCGTCGAATGTATCCCCAACCTGGTACAGCTCACAGAGATTGAACTCCGGGATTTTTTCCGGCGACCCTACCGAGCCTCCCTGCCGTTCTCGCCGCTCCCCACCTCACTACTGTCACTATCTCGTTTCTGAAAGACCATGAAGATAACAAATACTGGGATGTTTCACAAGGTTTTGCACTCCTAACGACACTCGCCGCTCTCCCCTCATTATCCACCCTCTCCTTGATCTGTCCTGCCATAGGCATTCCGCCACGCTCTACCACCATGCGCACCATTCCTATGCTCTCATCTCTTCGCCACATGTTCATCAAGCTCCTCGTCCCGGAGGCGTCCGCAAACATCGTCGCGTACTGCCCAAACCTGACGACGCTCGAGTTGGGTTGCCAGATTAAAGTTCGTAAATCAGTTGAAACGGAAGAGGACGACCCTGCGCATCTCTCGCTGCTCACCAAAGACGCCTGGCCGTCCATCCACGAGCTTGACTGCTCGAGGCGGTGGTCAACTTCGTTCACGGACTGTCTTGGACGCGCGGGCAAAGTGACGATCCACGATGCGCACCTGGACCACCACGAACACTACCTCCCCATCCTCAGAAAGACCCGACCGTTCTTCCTGCGCTTGATGAACCTCAGATGCAACCTCCTGGACCCGTGGCCGTCCATGGACCAGTTCGAGACGGAGCAAGATCTCGTCAAGTACGCATGGAAGGAAGTGGCGAACACGCTTCCGCAGCTACGGTCATTGGTGTTGGGTTTATATCACTTCGATTTAACCGTTGAATTTGTGGTGAGCCCTCGCGGCGGCGTGTCAATTTTTGTCGACGGTCCAGCGCTCACACTTGGATGCTGTTACAGAACATGCTTCTAGACGCGCTCCGCCCTCTCCCCCTCGCGCACCTTTCACTCCACGCTCCCGAAGGACCGGTAGTAAAGGTTACTTATAGAATCATCATGGCTAACGAGAACAAAAGGCGTACCGACGAAGTGCGCCGGGTCGACACCCTCCGCGCACTCCCAGACATCCTCCCACGCGCCCTGCCGCACCTGCGGGTGTTCTCGCTTCTTGGGTGCAAGACGATTCTGAAAAGTACGGATCGACGCGGCGGGCGGTCGGTGCAATTACGGGAGTCGGGTTTCTACGCAGCGATCGAGGCGCAGGACGCGGTCGACGAGGAGTGGGGAGAGATGAGTTCTCAGGTTGACGAGCATCTGCGCGAACTGAGGCAACGAGCGGACGGACGGCGGGGCTTCGGAACGAGCGGTGGTGGTGGGTGAGGGAGAGTGCGAAGAGAGACGGGCGATCGAGATTTGGAAGGAGAAGGGCGAGTGGGCGCGCGATGTGATCGAGAGCGTGGACTTCCAGCCGGGGATCTCACTGGTGAGTGTCTCTCCCGCACAGTGTATTCAGGAGTATCTCACATGTACTTCCAGGAATGTTTTCTGATAGCTGGCGCTACGACCTGCATAGGGAGTGACGTCATCGTCAATAGGTCTCAACTCGTTCTCGCGTGCGCGCGTGTCTGTCGTAACTTCAACCCTCAGAGCGAATCGTCTCCTCAGATCAGTTCGCCGAGTGGACAAACCCCAACGTCCCAGCTCGAACTCCGGCATCCGGCTGTTCAGCGTCCGCACTGTCATCTCTCGAACCGCCGCGCGAGCGCGCTGAGGTTGAGCGCGGCGAAGAATCGTCCGGGGCGGACGGCTCGCGAGCTGGTGTGGACCGCTTCGCGTGAACTGGAGGAACGCGCCGTGAAGCGCGATGCTGAGCACCGGGAAGCGCCGCAGCCCGCGGATTGCATTGATCTAGCTCTCCTATATATGCGCGATGGCCGACGACGTCAGCACGCAGCCATGACTCGGGGAGCAGCGCGGGCGCGCGGGACTCACTCCTATCGCGGGGGCGCCGATTGCGTCTGCCGGCAGGGTGCACCCATCCGTACATGACCGGGATCTCCAAGCACTCGACGCGCGCCGCGCCGGTTTGCGCAGCATTCCGTGAGCGCGGGCGTGAAGAGTTCCCCTCGAGCTGCGTGAGGGCGAGCTGCGCGGGGCGCGTGCGTTTGAGGAGGAGGCGGCGGAGCGCGCGCGTTCGCATGTACCTGAGAACGTGGTCGTCGCTGCACGTGGTGCTCAGCGCTGGTGGGGGTCCAGGACCCGGGCAACTCCACCAAAGGTATGTCCAGTCGACCCGCGAAAATCGCCCTCGCCTAAGATAACTTGTCATTCGGCGCTAAGATAACTCGGACATACGTCTGTTAGGCGCCTTACCACGTGACCAATGACGTCATGCTCGCCGCGCACATTTTCCCCGAGTGTTCAAGCCCTTGTAGAGCCCACCGGCACTCTGAGTCGTTATTGTGCAGCATATTTGAATGTATGGTACATGGGTACAATACGTATGTCTCGTAATACACAAACCTACAGATGCAGGGAATGATACAACTGGTACTACACCGTGCTACTGCCACTGCTCGGGTTCACCAGGGTGCCCCGAGGGTCATTTCAACATGACCCGCACCGTCACCCACGCAAACGTGTACACCTTCCATAGAAAACCGCGTGTTATGTGCGCCAAGTGGAAGCGCAGACGCACGGAATGGGCGAGCGGCGAGACCAGGAGGTACTGGTAGTGCCGGTCCACAGGCCGAGCGTGGGGAGGCGGTCGTACCGTCCTCGTCCTCGCCAAATAATGGCTCGCGGGTCGGCCACCGGGGTTGGTGCTGCGGGGGCGAGGTGTAGCTAGCGTACGCCCGGGCGCTGCCCTTGACTCGAGGCGTCGCCGAGCTCGCTGTACGAGCGGCGCGATCTCGCGCCGTCGTCACCGACATGTCAGTACGGGCGGCAGTAGGTATCGCAGCCATACCCATACCCGCCTTTGAAGCTGGGCTTGGCGTGCGGCGGAACGCTTGCATGCGCCGCGCCCACATGTGTTGTGCTAGACCTCGAGCGTCGGGAGGATTAGGGAATAGCACGGGTACGGGTAACCCGCGCGGGTCACGGGTACGTACCCGTGCGGGTCGGGTAAGGGTACAGCTCCGTGTACCCGTGCTTGACCCGCACCCTGACCCGTACCCGCAGACTCCAGAGTCAGTGATGAGATTCGAACCACGTGAGGTGCGCAAAGGGGGATGCGAGCTCATTGAGCTCGCGCCGCGGGGAGTCAACCCAACGCGGAGAAGGCGGCGGAGTCCGGACGACTCGGAGCCGCCGGCGGGACTAGGACGAAAGACGCGTCGGCGGGGCTGAGAGTGTCGGGTCAGCGAAGAGAAGTGAGCAGCGCATTGAGGGCGATGGAACACGAGGCGTATCACAGAAGGCTAAAATGCGGAGGTGGTGGTGGTGGACTGACAGCCTGCAGCTGAGCGGTGATACTACGCATGCGGAGTCGCCGCTCTACAAACAGCCTAGACCACGCTAGCACCCACGCTCTGGCCCTTACATCTCGACCATTTCGCCTCGCGCACATATCAAGATTCGCCCGCGAGTACCCTAGGACATCCGCGGTAGCATACTCGGTAAGACGCGACGCACACGGCGCCTTCCGTGCACTCTCGCGGTCTTCACTGCGCGCACCTGGTGACCACCCGCGGTGCTTCCGCTTGCGATTGCACCCCGTAGACCTCCTCATACATCTTGAGTCATCTTTTGCTCTATTTTTTGTCCATTTTTTACTCCTGTACCCACTTTCTTCGTCCCCGTTCCCTCTGTCTAGGGCGCCGGGCCTCATCCACTCATACACACACTCTCTTGAGCCTCTTCCACCGTGTTTCTCATGTCCCTGCCTCAGATCCTGTGTCTGATCTGTGTGTTTTCGAGTATTGACGTTGGTAGAGTCTAGATATGCACTCACGCTGTGCGCGACGCTGATCCGCGTGCCGCGCGGCGCGCCTCGTACCGAACCACCTGGCTGCGATTGCGCCTCCGCCAGTCTGCGCGACGCTCCGACCGTTCAGTCATTAACGCACTCGCACAACCACCTCACGGACACACCTGCGCATTTTCGCTAACAATCCCCCACGCAACACGCATCGACGCGCACACCCCATGCTAGTCCGATGTCGCCGCCACTACATTGCTGCGTGCGTGTGGCTCGACCAGCAAGTATCGTCACCGGCCGCCAAGTACACCTTTCCCCCGCAGGTTAGCCCGTGTGTGCAACACACATGTCAATGTACGGGTTCTTGCGCATACTACCCCAATATATTGAACTACTTAACACGAGATGGACTGCTTAGACAAAGTCTCTCATAGTACTAAAGCCTCGCCTGGACCCGCGGGTCACCCGTACCCGCAATAGAGGGTAGGGTAGACGCCCAAACCCGTACCCGCAGACAAGGGTACGGGTACGTCGCGGGTCGGGTAAGGGTACGCTCCGGTTACCCGTACCCGACCCGTGCCATTCCCTAGGGAGGATCTGTGGGATGAGGGCGCTGAACGCAGGGGCTTACAGAGCGTACAGATCCACAAGGACTCGGACACGACGAGTGACATGAAGGTGCTGGTGCGGAACGAGTCAATGATGAGCCCCTATACGTGTGGATAAAGGATATCGGGGAGGTGGACGTATATGGTTGAAAGGGTGATCACCGTGAGCGCACCAGTAGCGATGGAAAGCACGGAGAAGTCGCAGTATATAAGGATAGGTCAGAGCGGGGTCGTGGGTGTGCAGGATAAAGAAAGGTGCGCACTGAGAGCCACTAGGCGGACGACCACAAGCAAGACCATGATATGTGCGCTTTGGGATTCTTGGAAGAGGAGGATGGAGTAGAGAGCGACAAGGCGAGTAGAAGTCGAGGTTGAAGCCGAAAAGATGTCTCGAGAACCGGTGCCGCGAAAACGAGGGGCCTCGTTGGCGCATCCTCCACAGTCGGCTGCGCTTACCCTCCCCATGCGAGCGTGAGGCATGCGGAACGGCGCGACCTGACACTGGCGGGTGAAGCTGTCGTTGATGAGTCGTGTCAATAGCCTCCACTTCTCGACTCCGTGCATATCTGCAATGACCAACACGTACCTTCATCCTTTCCGACCACCACTCGCATGATTCGCGTATTAGTCTGCCACCGTTTCTTGCGGTCGAATTTCTCTCTGGTCATCACATCTGCGGCGATCCGAGAGGGCCTGCGCGACGCGCATGCGCTGCGAAGCCTCGCGAAGAGACATCTGGGGTGGCTCACCAGCAGCTGCTTTAGCCACTCGAGCAAGTTCTCATTTGGGACCAATCTCCGGTGTGCGCCCTGAGTGAGTCGACGTTGCTAATTAGGACGTGCAGGTTGCGTGCAGGATGGTGGAAAGCTGAGACCGCCCATAAGCGCCGGCGTTCGGTCCCCTCGCATAGGATAAGTCCGGACATACATTATGGGCGTCTATCCCGATATGGGGCGTCTGCTAAGATAACTCGGACATACCTCGTTGCCTTTTATGGACACTTTGATAAGACAACGCCGGACATACCTCTGGTGGAGTTGCCCGGGTCCTGGGGGTCCCGACTCGCCATTGTGGCCATCGCGTGACCTTCGAATTGCCTGCCCGCCCGTCGCTCGCTTAACTCCTCTAAGCTCCTCACTGGCACAAGCCTGTCTCGCTGCGATTACAACGCTTGCTTGTTCTCTGTTCCGCGGCCAACGATGGCGATCGAAAAAGCAAGACTTCCAATGTCGACATCAAGTGAGACCGGCCGCGGCTAAGTCGCAGCATCTCCCAGCATACAAGTTCGAGACAAGACCTCGCGTTTGAGTGGTGCGCATCTCTGGGCCTTGAACAAGTGCATGCGTACTGCACGCCGCTGTCTCTTCGAGTCAATTTGCGCTGTGCACGACGCGCAGCCTGGCCAGATGGGTTGGTTGTGGTCGGTGCGGCCGGAAGGTTCCTGCCTGGTGCTATGAAGGGCATCTGTGAGTAGTTGTCGCTCTTCATCATGCACATCCCCACATCGTCCACCTAAGCCTCTGAATTCGCTACCTGTGATTGTTGCCCAGAACATCGCAATCATGCTCTCCTTCCCATCCTCTACACGACCAGCTTCATCCCGCTGACGTTGCTCCGCGTCATCCTCTCCAGACGCAAGCGTCTTCGCCTCTCCCCACCCGTGTCCGACGCCAAGTCCGAGGCGTCGAACTCCATGGACGACTTCCAAGGTCCCCAAGACCCCTCTTCGTCCTCCGAAGACGAAGGGAACGAAGACGACGACGACGCTCCGCGGATGCCCTCGCCTCGCAAACGCGGCGCGGCCCCACGCACTCCTTGCACGCCGAAGACCCCACGGACACCGCGCCGGCGACGGGTCGACTGAGCGTCGCTCGCGCATCGGACCCCACACTCGAAGGTGACGCTCGGGCGGCGGAAGAAGACGGTGCTGGCGGTGCGCCCGAGCTCCCGCTCCCTTGTCGCGAGACCGAGTATGGGCGGGTGTTGAAAGCGGTTGAGAAGCTGTTCGAGGATGGGAGCGGCGGGTGCATCTGTGAGTTCCTTCTTGTTTCGTGCGGTGTGCGCCGGCTAAGAGCGAGACAGACATTTCTGGTGTCCTGGGGACTGGGAAGTAGGTGATTTAAAGGCTTCTAATGAGCCCTCATGTGCGCGCATAGGAAGTCAATCCATTCTTGTATATCGAGATCAACAGCCTGAACATTCCTGAGCGTACGTTCTGAGGGATACATGCAAATTGGCTCGAAGGAAACTTTGCGACACCTCTGGCGGCACTTTATGAGCGGGCATCGGGTCGGGCACGCATGGTGAGCGTCTCGAACTTCTTCAGCGACCACAACGTTGATCAATCCGCAGCGTCGTCCTCATCGATGAATCGGCGTCGCCAGCACCATGGACCTACCTGAACGCGCCATGACCAGCTGTGTTCGCAGTCGTCTCGGTACGCCTTCCTTGCATTTCCTCGTTCACGCCTCTTCACGCCCATCCAGGAATGATCGCGCCCGACCTCGAACAGATAGTTAAAGCCCGGCTTGTGGCGGCGGCGGCCTCTCTCCACGGCCACGGCCACGGTGCTCGCACCGAGGCTCTCAAGTTCTCGTCAATGAGGTTCGCGTCGATCAGCGGTGACGCGCGGCACATCATCCACTGGCACGGGGCGGAGCCGGTACGGCCCGCAACATGCACCACGCGCACGGAGGACATGAGCGAGGTCATCAAGGAGGTGCAGAACTCGCCGACGAAGAGATACCTGCGCGAGCTTGCGGGCGCTTGATGCTCGCCGCGCTTGTCGAGTGCGCGCGTCTGCAAGGAGGGCGTGAAGGGGACCCAGTGGGGTGTAGTACGTCGTCTCCTCTATGCTTGTTGACTTTTTTTCATGTGGGTATCAGCTGCAGCGCCAGCACACACTCTTGCAGGGTTTGCTCGCGACGGACAGTCGTGACGACGACTGTTCGCGCCGGCTTTGTCCGAGTCAGCTGTGATCGGTGCTGGACTCGTTCCTCGCGGGGTCGCGTGGGGGTGGCACTCAACCTCGATTACGCCGAGGCGGAGCGCGTGGCTGGGGCGGTTTGAAGTGGCACAACGCCTAGATCGCCTGATGTACGTCTTACAAGGCCGGTTTACTTCCGTGCGGCTCGCAACCAGTTCTCTACCACGACTTCCCGGTAATCGTTCCAGATACCTCCCAGTGCGCGTGTGCGATCTTTGTCTGCGACGCGGAACCAGCACCAATTCAGCGGCTGTGTGGCACAGTACTCCGAATAGTCGTTGTGGACCGGTTTTCTCGAGACAATGGACACTGTCTGTCTACATGCAACCCGTGTGCATCGAGAGAGAGGTACTGCAGACTCTCAGAGTATCAAATGATTATCAATGGAGATCAAATCACGTGCCGTTAGGCTTGAAAATGCCACGTCTTCCACAGAGTGCTCCTTCTCTTGATCTGCCTCAGCTGTTGGACAATCCCTCCCTGATCGACTCGATCCCATTGAAGGCGGTTGGTGTATGTTGATATTGCCTTCTTCTAGGTATAACCGCTGATAAGATCATCCTTGAAGCACGACTCTGGAACACTTGAAAAGCATGTTGTCCGTCAATGACGACATCCTCCTCCTCATTATTTCCTTTCTCCACCCCGAAGACGCGCGCGCGGTGGCTTGCACTTCCAGATATGCATACTGCTTAGCCACACCCAACACTCTTCACGACGCAAGTTGTCCTTTCAATATGGGAAACTCCGAGACGTCTCGATGGGAGTACATCCTCGGACACGACAAGTACCTGGGTGTCCCACGGAGGCGCTACGTTCGCAGCCTCACTGTTTCGTGTGACCTTTCCGAGAACGAATACGAGATAGCCCGGTCACTCGTCGAAGTCTTACCCTCGTTTTTGAACCTCCGGTCACTCCAGTGCGACTACTCCAGTGGGCTCATAGAGCAATACCCACGCCTCGTCGAATGTATCCCCAACCTGGTACAGCTCACAGAGATTGAACTCCAAGAATTTTTTCGAGCGACCCTACCGAGCCTCCCTGCCATTCTAGCCGCTCCCAACCTCACTACCGTCACTCTCTGGTTTGCGCAAGACCCTGAAGATGTCGAGTCGTGGGATGTTTCACAAGCTTTTGCACTCCTATCGACACTCGCCGCTCTCCCCTCATTATTCGCCCTCTCCTTGACCTGTCCTGATATAGATATTCCTCCACGCTCTACCACCATGCGCATCATCCCTATGCTCTCTTCTCTTCGGCACATGATCATCGACAACCTCATCTGCAACGCGACCGCAAATATCGTCGCGTACTGCCCCAACCTGACCACGCTCAAGATAGATTGGCACGTTGATTATCAAGAGGACAGTGATCAAGAAGACAGTGACCTTGCGCATCTCCCACCGCTCACCGAAGATGTCTGGCCGTCCATCCACGAGCTTGACTGCTGTATCCCGTTGCCGAGCTCTTGTACGGGCCGCTTTGGACGCGCGAGCAAAGTGACGATGCACTATGCGCACCTGTACAACCACAAACATTTCCTCTCCATCCTCAGCGAGACCCGACCGTCATGCCTGCGTTTGATCGACACCGTCTACCATTTCGACTCCGAGCGAGGTCAAATCAATCACGCGTGGAAGAGACTGGCTAAGACGCTTCCCCAGCTGCGGTCGTTGCTGTTGTGGTTGCGCGACAGCTCGTTGACCGAGGACTTTGTGGTGAGCGCTCGCGGCGACGTGTCGACTCCTGTTGATGTTCCGCTCACACTTGGATGCCGTTGCAGAACGTGCTTCTAGACGTACTCCGCCCTCTCCCCCTCACGCACTTTTCGTTTCGCGTGAACACTCCCAAAACGTATGGCCCACTCAGCATGGCGGGCGTGAACAGATGCCGCACCCAGGAGGTTCGCCGGGTCGACACCCTCCGCGCGCTCCCAGACGCACTCCCACGCGCCCTGCCGCACCTGCGGGTGTTCTCGCTTGGACCGTGCAAGACGGTTCTGCGGGAGTGGGATCGACGGAGCGGGCGGCCGGAGGAGTTTTGGAAGTACTTGAAGCCGGATGTCTGCGCAGCGATCCAGGCGCAGGACGCGGTCGACGAGGAGTGGGGAGAGATGAGTGCGCAGGTCGACGAGCATCTGCGCGAACTGAGGCGGCGGGAGGACGAGACGGCGGGGCTTCGGAACGAGCGGTGGTGGTGGGTCGAGGGAGAGGGCGAAGAGAGACGGGCGATCGAGATCTGGAAGGAGAAGGGCGAGTGGGCGCGCGATGTGATCGAGGGTGAGGACTTCCAGCCGGGCGATCTCACTGGTGAGTGCTTCCGAGACTATGTGGGTTCAAGGAACTGATGCCGACCCCAACGTACAGGAATGTTCCGTGATAGTTGGCGCTACGAACCGTAGGGTTATCATTTCTTTCTCCGGTCTGTGTACAATGAAAGGCAAGATCTCCCAATTTGAAGACATCGCTTTATGTATACATACAAGGCTGCCCGAGCCCATACTACCATGCCTTCACGCCGTTTCCTGAGGGAGCGCTACCAGCTTCATTCCGCTGACCTTGTTCTCCTTCATCCGCCGAAGACCATCAGGAATTCCGCTCAGGCCTCCCGGTAGGAGCTCGACTTTGTTGGGCTGCGTGCATCGAAAGAGTTGGTATACACCCATCGTCGCAGCTGAACACCACGCACCACCAACACGCCGGTCTCCAGCCATCCGGTGACACGGCTAAACACCTCTACACCGATCTTGCGGTTCTCCGGTGGGTGCACTACGCCATACACCGACACCACCTTCTTCGTGTCACCATTCGCGCGCTTGTCCGCGGGGAGCACATCTGGCAGGACTAGCAGCAGCGCGCCGTCAGACGCAAGCGCGTCGTACGCCAACGAAGCGGTCTCCGTGCGTGAGACGGCGTCGTACGCGAACGTGACGGCTTCGCCCGCGGTGGCGGTCCGGATCATGGCGAGCGCATCGTCGTTAGAGAGCGCCCGGTCGAAGACGTGCGTTGCTCCAATGGCCCTCAGCATCTTGGCGTTGCGGGGCGACGCGGACGTGACGATGGGCGAGAAGCCGGCGAGCTTCGCCAGCTGGATGGCTAGGTACACAACGAGCAGTGAGCGCGAGGATGTAGAAACCGAGGACTGAATGCGCACCGTACTGGCCCACAGATGACGCCCCTCCAAGGATGAGGGCGGGCTTCCCTTTGAACTTCGCGCCGCCCTCCTCCCATGGTGCTGGGAAGTCGATAGACTTTGCAGCAGGGTCGTGGTTCCAGAGGCCGCAAAAGGCGGTCCCGAGTCCCAGCGGGATCGTCGCCGCTTGCTCGAAGGTGATCCCCTCCGGTATCTGCAGGAGCTAGGTTAGCCGTGAGGCGATAGATCGATATAGAGGTGGAAGGCACCTTGGCAGCGATCTCGGCTGGGACGAGGCAGAACTGCTGGAAAGTCCCGTGATCATTGTTGAAGTCGCCCTGGAACAAACTGGAGGTGGGGATCAGCAGCGAATCAGAGCGGCATCCGAGACGCACGTACATCTTGTCTCCCTTGACAAGGGTCGTAACGGCGGCCCCAACATGTTCAACGATCCCTGCGCCATCCATCCCAGCGATGAAGGGGTACGAAGGCGTGAAGTACGCCTCCGCCTGGTTCATCCAGTCGACCGGGTTAAGAGCGACGGCCATGACCTTGACGAGCACCTCATGCGGACCAGGGACGGGAATCGGTACGTCACCGACGACAAAGTCGCCGCCTTTGGAGTAGTGAACCAGAGCCTTCTGAGTGAGAAGAGACATGTGGTGAATGGGGAGGCTGACGGTGCGTCAAATGTTGAGTTGCGAGGTGCAATACTCTCGACAGCCGACGCACCTCTCTTATACACCATTGTGCGCCTAAACGTTATATAGGCCACTGTTCTGCAGCGGTGTACGAGGTGGATCGCAGAATGCCGCTGCGATTGGTGGTGGTTACGAGGTGACTCAGTCTGCCCCGCATACGTCCGTAGGTGAGTGCCACATGCCGGTGCGCAGAGGGGGCTATTGGCAATAGCGGGTCGGCGATGAACCCACTGGCCGCACATGCGCAAAAATAGTTCCATACAACTCCAAGATCACTCGGGGGTAATTAAAGCGCACGTACATGTTGAAATTGACCCCTCGTCTGATAGGTGGAATGAAATGCCATGTCAGGTCGGGAGTCAGCGGGAGTTCAGGAGCCCACATCTACTCCGACCAAGGCGTAGGTCAACGTATCGAGAAGTGCTGGAAGGAAAAGTACAATTGATGACCACTTCAGCGATGAAGAGGATTCAACATACCAGCTACCGACGATATTCACCGATGTTGGCAGATCTCAGGATGGCAAGGCTCACGAGAACAGTGGATAGACGTGGCTGTGGTGCCCCTCTGCGGACTCCGAGCAGTCACCCCAGCACCATGACAAACTGCGCGGTGGCTACGTCGACTGCTGAGTGGGACTGGCCACGGGTTCATAGCGAGAGCTGGATATCGCGGTGGTCGCTGGTGGGGGCATTGGCGTGGCCCGACTCGCCGTCGCGGCGTGAGAGAGTATCACGTCATCTTCAAACGGCCTGCGCGCTCGTCGCTCGCTCAACCTCCTCCTCCTCCTCTTTCCTCATTGGCACATTGCTTTTTTTCTCCTCTGCGTCCAAAGGTGAAGCTATTAAGATTTGAGGTGCATTACTTGGCTTACTCCAATTTCAACATCAAGTGGGCTCCGAGCGGACCGCAGCAGACAAGCTCGAGACATGCCCGGTCAGTGCGTACGACCATGTCTCACCTTCTGAAGACCTGCTACTCAGCCGCGCGGACCGCGTGCCGCCGCCCCGCCGAGTAAATTTGCGCTGTGCACGACGCGCAGCCTGGCCAGATGGGTTTGTAGCGGTCGGTACGGCCGGAAGGGGTCCGTCTGGTGTTATAAAGGGCATCTGTGAGTAGCTGTTCGTGAGCATCCCCATTGCGTCCACCTACGCCTCTGCATTTGTTACTCGTTATCGTCGCCCAGAACAAAGCAATCATGCCCTCCTTCCCATCCTCGTCATCCTTCCTGTCGGTGGCGAGCACCTCTACCGCCGCCCCCACGACGTCTTTACGCTCAAAAGCCTCCATCAAGGCTCTCCCACACTCTTCCGACACCCGCCAGCGCGAGCAAGACGTCCCATCCGAGCTTGCCTTCACTCGTCCGGCGCTCCCATCGAAGACGAAGTCGTCGGCAAGGTCATGGCCAAAGCGCTCTCTCGCACAGAGCTCACATAACACACAAGCAGCTCCCAGCGCGAGCCGACGAGGGCGGGTCAGGTGGCGCTCGAGGACGCGCGCGCGGTGGCAGTTCTGCGAGACGCAGCCCGCGCTATCAACGGCGAAGTGGGGGATCGGGGGCAGCGCAGGATTGATGCGGGGTTTGTGAGTCGAGCGCATTCTTTCACACTACTCGTTGTACCGTCACTCTTAAATTACCACTTCCCGACTACTCCGAGCTCAAGTCGTCTCCGGAGGGTGCACGACCAGCTTCATCCCGCTCACCTCGTTCCGCGCCATCCTCTCCAGTCCCTCCACAACCCCATTTAACCCCCCACGGAGCACCTCAAACCGCGTCGGCCTGATCGCGCCCTCCGCGATCCACCCAGGCAACCGTGCCGCGACCTCGCGCCCGAGCTCCCGCGCCCCGCGCATCTCGAACGACCCGTACGGGTGCACGGTGCGCTTCCCGTCGCCCTCGCGCTTCAGGTCCTCGATGCACGCGAGCGACATCGCCATGAGCGCCGCCGCGCCCCCGTCCGCGAGCGCCGCGTAGCACACGCGCGTCGTCTGCGGCGCCCCGATCGCGTCGTACGCGAAGGGCACGCCCGCGTTCCCGGTGATGGTGCGGATCGCGGCGAGGGCGTCGGCTTCGGAGAGCGCGCGGTCGAGGACGTGGGTCGCGCCGAGGGACTGGAGGTGCTCGGTGTGCTTGGGGGAGGAGGTCGTGATGATCGGGGAGAAGCCTTGCATGCGCGCGAGTTGGATGGCTGCCGGAGCGCACGGTCAGCGTCAGGGGGACGACGCGCTACTACGATGCCGGGGACGTACCCATTTGCCCGACGGAAGACGAGCCTCCGGTGATGAGCGCGGGCTGGCCTTTGAAGTTGTCGCCGCCGTCCTCCCAGGGTGCGGGCATGCCGGTGTGGCCCATCTCCGACTTGCTCCACATGGGCACGACGGCGGTCGCGAGGACGAGGGGGATGGTCGTCGCCTCGTCAAAGGACAAATTTTCGGGCATCTACGCGGCTGTTAGTGAGTGCACGGAAGTAAGTACGAGAACGGGAAGGCTGACCTTGATGACTAGGTCCGCGGGGGTCAAGAAGTACTCCTGGAACGTCGCGTGCTTCGGGTCCCACCCGCCTTGGCACATGCTGGTGAGAGCGATCAGCACGAAAGAAAAAGTCAGGTCAGAATACGCATGCGTACATTCTGTCGCCCTTCACGACGTTCTTGACGTTCTCCCCGACCTCGTCGACAAAGCCGGCAGCATCGAGGCCGCCGATGAAGGGGTACGTCTTTACGAACGGGATCAAGCCCATTTGGACCTTCCAGTCCGCCAGGTTGAGGGACGTCGCCATCACCTTCATTCGAACTTCGTTTGCGCCAGGCTCCGGAATGGGCTGGTCCGAGCGGAGCTCCCAGGGAGCCTTGAGCTCTGGGACAACGAGAGCCTTCTGCGTCTGAGGGACCATGGTTGCCGTAGTCGAGATGAGTAGTAGGTGGCTTGGGGGGAGAAGAGGGGGACGAGGATGTTGGATGGATCGAGAGCGCTGTCAGGCCCTTTAATACTGCTCTCGCCGGCTGCGACGGCTCATGGGAAGAGTGGGTCAGTGCACATTCGCAAAATGCGGGACCCACACTGGTAAACGCAGGAGAGTGAGAAGGCGTTGCGGAGTGGCTCTTGATCCACTCGGATGTCGAGCAGTTGATCCACTAGTAGACCGTCACTCCGCTGCATCGCGGAATTCCGCCTGTCGCGGAGCGGCGCCTAGGCTAGTGTCCTTTTCGACAAGGCCTTGCTTCTTTAAACCACTAAGAATGGGCCCGTAAGTAGTGACGCTCCCGCGTCCCGACTGGCGTACGTGAGAAGATAGTTGGAACTTGGCACAGGTTGTTCAGTCAGCTCCGGAGGTCCTGTGGGGCTTGCAGTGTGAGGCTGACAGCCTCAGTGCAAGTACCCGTCGAGAACGGGTGGATCTTCGAGAGCATGTCGCTCGCCAATAGAGTCTTCATAGTAGACCTGGACAACGTCTGAAGGACAAAACCACCTGACTCCATGGATATTCCGTCAGTGATGGAGGTCAACTTCATCTAATCTAATCTATACCAACCTTGGCGCCGAGATAAGCTGCAACCGCCTCCTGTTTCTGCTTCGTCACGTCCCACCACGACGTAGAGTCCACAGGTAACACACCATCAAAAACAGTTTACGTGCATGTAATCTAACGAAGGTTGTCCATTTTTAACAGGTGGATGCTCCTAATTTCGAGTGCGACTTTGCACACTTGTCAAACCCGGGCCTTCGACGGTGCTCGTCATTCTCCAAGTCAAGACTCCAGGGCAAGTGCTATCTTGTGGGCGTTGTTCATTCAAACGTAACAATCCATTCATCTCCAGGTTTCCTCCATGGAATCTCCCATAGATCGTCTCGACGATGATGTTCTGCTCATCATCCTCTCCTATCTCGAGAGGCGAGATCTCTGCGCCTTGTCGCTCACCTGCAAACACTTCCATGTGATCTCCTCTCCAAGAATCTGGAAAATCCTTCTGATAGATCGGGATTTCTTCGTATCCCGGTGGCATGAGAATATCGGCACCAACGCTCATTATGTTCGTGAGATGGTGATCCGTGTCAACTTCGACAAGCCACCTACACTCGCCGATGTCTTGTTCGCAACGACGAACATCCGTTCCCTCGAGGTATCCTATCTGTCTCTCCTATATAACGACCCGCGTCTTTCTATGGCTCTCGCAGGGCTGCGGGAGCTGCGGGAGCTCTCTTGCGGTTGTGTCGAGGACAAAATGTTGCAGATGATCCAAAGTATCCCCTCTCCCAATCTCACAAGCCTCTGTCTAGGCTATGAAGAGAAATCAAACGTTTGCGAATACCTCCCCTCCCTCATCTCCGCCATCGGATCCTTCCCTCGCCTGTATGCTCTCATTCTAGCGTTTCTCAAGCCGACCACCGCTACCGACGTCACCGGGTACCCGCCATTCACCTCCATCCGGCAGCTCACCCTCACCTGGGTCACCGAGCCTGTGACTGACATGATCTATCTCTGTCCCGACGTCACCTCCCTGGACCTTGGTGTCGACTATCCTCGCCAAGTGGACCCTCACGACTCCCGACCGAGATGGCGCCCCTCGCCGATCCCTCGACTCACCCTCACGGCTCCGCGCATGCGGGCCAGAGACCTCATTGTCTCGTTGCTGGAAAAACCTTGCGCGCCACACACGTTCGATTCTCCACGCCGTGGGAGCTCACGACGGACGGTATCTCGTCCACACAGGGCGGATCCGTGTACCGACTCACGCGCATCCTCGACGTGCTCAAGCCGCATTCCCTCTGACTGGAGATATCGATGACGTGGGGCACCAAGCTCTCTGACCCCACGGGAACTCTCTGGCAAGAGGTCGCCGCGGGCGCCCCGCGCCTGCGTGCGCTTGTGCTTCATGTGGAGTCATTCAACGCCGACGACGCCGACGACGAGGGGTATGGACTCCCCTGGTGGGTCGCGCTCCTGATTCGAGTACTACGCCCCTTGCTCACCGATATCCCCCACACACCAGGATGCGCTCGTGCTGGAGCTCGCCCGCCTCCCGCTCGTCTGCCTCCATCTCAAGGCGGACCCAGAATTGTTTGAGTGGAAGGAGGACGTGGAGCGCCCAGAGTTGCCCGAGCGGGACGCGGAGCGCCAGCGCCTCCGCGCGTTCGCCGCGTTCCCCGGGAGGCTCGCCGCGGCCATCCCCACACTGCGCGTGGTGGGGATATCGGATGGGTGGCGCCAGTCGAAGGGCATGCGGTCAACGCGGTGGTGGCGCGTCGAGCGCGGCGACGACCACGGCCACGGCGCGTCGCGGTGGTTGGTTGAGCTCTGGCGCGAAGACGGGGAGCGGGCGCTGCGGCTCGCGCAGAGGAGGCGTTTTGTACGTCCGATCTTGACGGTGAGGAGATGGTCCTATCCCCGGTTTTATCCAGCGGCTGACTTTCTTTCTTGTAGACATCTACTCGGAGAAGTGCCGTTACGTGCGGGGTTGAAAGTTGAGCATGAGCGCATGAGCAGAGTAAGCCTCGCGTCCGAACCTGTGAGGGAACCGCGTGTACTTATGTCGGACATTGGACGGACTATCGACTATGACACCGGGCTCTCGTGGGATGAAGATGGACCGGACAGAGTACCAAACGACACCCTTGAGTTGCCGCCGCGTGCTCCATCTCTTCAAGTCACCATTGAGAGGTGAGATTGCCAGTTTTGCACCGTGGGACCGTATTGGATAATCACTCAACGTGAGCCTTACTGACCCAGACCCACGCGTCGTCAGATTTCTTCGACCCAGACTCGATACCCTTCCTTGAAACCCAGCAATTGTGCGTATCTGCTGCACTCTGGCGGTGAATAGGTGAGCTCTTCGTTCAGCGTGGCGATGCATAGAGACGGCCCTGGTATCAGGTCGCACAAGTTCGGTAGATGGTAGCGATTTGAACGAACGCTCCTCGTCCGCGATCCCGTCCATTGTTAGGATTGGGTTTGGTAAACATGGACGCTTATCAGTCCAAACTCTGTCGTCGGACCGCTCATGGTAGCATGCTAGCACTTTTCCCGACGACTCGCCGAGACGCAACGTGGCCTGTCTGTCTCCCTCGTATATGATCCCACGTCTGACGTTCAGCACAGGATCTATAGCATTTCTTCTTCTGAGACCATCCAATCCTCACCGCGCTGGTACCACCGAAAACGCCCACAGTCCCCCCGCCGACCCAATAGTGAGCAACGTCTGTCCACTCTGAAGCTATATAGTAAGAACTGATACTGTACAGATGCCGTCTCTAGTTGAAGACGTCCTCTTGGATGTCATGATGATCTCCGATAACAAGACCATTTCTTGTCTCATGCGAGCAAACAAGTCTCTCAACTATCAAGGAGCGAAATACCTCCTGAACACAGACATTGTCGACCTGTACCGAAGCCGGGACCTGGACTCGCTCATCCACTTCCTCGACGCTCATGGAGGCTACCGAATTCCGTTCCTTAAGGGTATCTGCCTGGAGATGGATCCCCTCCAGCGGTCGACCGCACAGCGCCTAGATGGTCTCTTGACGAAACATGCTGATAAAGTGTCCATGAAGAAGCTTCACGCCCGCTGCCTCGAGTCTCTGCTCACGTCCCACCCGTTCCTCTCAGATACGTTTTCGCGCCTTTCCACGCTCGAAGATCTCCGTTTCGGTCTGATGGGCATCCTCGGATCAAAGATGCTGCATAACTTCCAGTCGAAAGTCAAGGTCGCCAACCTCGAATGGATGCCGACCCCTAAGTTCGATCACACCAACCACGAGAACATGCACGCGGAAGAGGATGCTCGGAATGCGATCCTTGTGGTCAAAAACTTCCAGTCCTCACTCAAAAGGTTGAAGACGAACCGTGCCCAGCTCCAGCGATTCGACGGGAACAACAACTTTAAGGAAGTCTATCCATGCGTCACGGACCTCGAGCTCAGCAACGTCGTGATCGACTCGATTAGCACAGTTGCCGTCGCGCGCGCGTTCCCTAACCTCGAACACCTCGACACGGGCACGAACAACAACTGGATCAGCGACCGCGACGAGCTCGACGACCAGCACGAGATGAACGTCATGGAGCAGACGCAGAAGGGCTCCTGGAGGTCGCTGAAGTCCGTCACCTCCGGCCTCGACGATCTGTACATCCTCAGCCCGACCTGCCACATCCACGGCGTCCACATCTCCGGCCCGAAGATGCACATCCGCTCTCTCCGACGCATCCTGAAGCGCACACGGCCGGTCCACTTCGCCCTCTTGCAGTACGAAGGCAACCTCTTCACGCCCGGCCTGACGGAGATGTTGCGCAAGCCGTGCGTGGAGCAGGTCGAGTGCTTCGAGACTGTGATGCGCCTCGGGAGCGCTCTCCCATCGGATCTCATCGATGGACCCGCGATGGTGGTCAGTTCCTCCTTCCAAGTTCTTCCGCGTCTGGATCCGTCCGCTCATCCGCCGTACGTACCTCCAGAACAGCTGGGTCACCGGCATCAGCGGGCTTCCGCGCCTGCGTGTGCTCGCGCTCGCGCTTTATTGCTCGCTCACGCCGCCGGGCTCCCTGGCCGCGCCCGTGTCCTCTCGCGCTGAGCGGTTCTTCAGGGCGCTCGACTTCGACGCCCTCGCGCAGCGTCTCTTTTCAGCGATCCCGACACTGGAGACGCTTGAGCTCGCGATGCGGGGACTGTGCGGGCGGGAGCCAGTGTTTCTGCGCCGCGGACCGGAGAACAGGGAATTCGAGACTGGCGCGGCGTTCACGGTGCATTTGATGGACAGGCTGTCGGAGTTCAAGGGGTGAAGTCGAAGGAGCAGCCAAAGCAAACAACCTTGCAAGCTCTCGGAGCGGGGGACACTTGAAACAGTTTGTTCGAGAATGTGGTCTTGTAGTTGTAGTGCTTACTGGATGTATCTCGTTGAGACAAGGCAAAGGTGCTCAAAGTGCACAGAGCAGGAATCGAACGCGAGACGCCGGATGAGGGCCCGGGAGCCGTACCGGACGATCGATGATGTCAGCTGAGCAGAGTGCCTTGCTGCAGAACCTCGGGGATATGATAAGATGCATATGGAGACCGGTCAATTGCTCCTTGTCCTCCGTCCTTCCTCGTCCTCGTCCTCCCACCCACCTCCATGGCTGCGTCTGACCCTGCGTTCACGCCCATCCTCCTCACCCTCCCCTCCCTCACCCCGTCGCTCGCCCTCGAGGTGCGCGACTATGATTCAAGTGCATGTATGCACCACTCTGATTTGCGTTCTTCCGCAGGTCCTCCCGGCCGGGCTCACCTTCCATCGCCTGTTCGTACAAGCAGATGGCAAGGTCGGACATGTCCCATCTCTCTCGACGGACCCGTCTCACATTCTCTAGACGCACGACATCCTCATAGGCCCCGAGGACCCCACCGGCCATCAGACCCAGAAGTACACAAACACCATCATCGGCCGCTACTCGAACCGTCTCCCCGTCGGCACCTTCGAGCTCGAGCGCAACGGGTTCAAGTCCACCGTCACCCCGCAGGCGAACGAGAAACCGACGGTCTCTCTCCACGGCGGCGTCAAGGGCTTCGACCAGTACCCATGGGAGCCCCTCGTCGACCCCTCGGCTTCGGAGCTATTCACCCCCGCCGAGCTCGCGACGCTCCAGACTCGCGCGCCGTCGTCGATGATCTTCAAGCGGATCTCCGAGGACGGCGAGGAGGGCTTCCCAGGCACGCTCCTTTGCGAGACGCTTGTCGCGCTCGCGCAGCCTGAAGGCGCCCCGGCGCAGACCGCGGACGGCACGAAGGAGTGGAATCTGGGGAGCGTCATCGTCGTGTATCGAGCGAAGCTGCTGGACGACGGGAAGGTCACTCCAGTCAACTTGACTCAGGTGCGCACTCCCTCTTCCTCTGCGTGTGGTGCATATGCCGACCGATGCGCGCTCGTGGACAGCACTGGGGCTTCAACCTCGACGCGTCCCTTCAAGAAGGCCCGGAGACGATGAGCGTGAAGGACCACACGATCTCTATCAAGGTGCGTGCATCAGCTTGAGGTCGTGTGTCCTCCGACCAACCCCACGCGGGCCGTCGCAGGCCGATCACACCGTTGAGATCGACAAGCACTCCTTACTGTCGACGGGCAATCTCCTCGCGGCGACGGGCACGCACCACGCGCACGCAGAGAAGTCGACCGGGCGCATCGGCGAGGCGTTCCCCGAGAACGGCTACGGTATGCACGTCCTCTCTACGTTCATGCGCATCCCCCGCTGAAGCCCATCCGCGCACAGACGAATTCTACGTCTTCGCGCAGCGCGCTGCGCCCCCTCCGCCGAGCGTCGTACCTGTGTCGGAGATCACGCCTGAGGTCGATCTCGTGGGTGCGGCGATGGCGCGGGACGGCCCGGCGGCCGCGGAGGTCGTCTCGCTCACAGGCGGCAAGAGCGGGCTCCGGATCAGCTTCGCGACGAACCGTACGTGCTTGTGTACTCGCGCGCTCGAGGGAGTACTCATCCACTTCCACCCGCAGAGCCCGGCGTGCAGTTCTACTCGAACAACTTCTCGGATCCTGAGAAGACTGCGCGGAAGAAGATCCACGGCGGCTCCGGTTCCGTTGGGATGGGTACACCCCCGGATGTGCGTCCTTTTGCTCTCCTTCTAAACGCGAGGCTGACGTCTGTGCGATGCAGCGGCTGCTTTCCTGGAGTTCCATGCGCCTCTCGCGGCGTGGATGAACCCCGCGACACGCGGCCCCACGGGCGAAGGCGAAGACACGCTGCTCGCGTCTGGGGAGCTCTACAACAACTTCACGCGCATGGACGTCTGGTACAAGGCTCCCGCGTGAGGCACGGTTTGGAGCGAGGGACGTCGCGCTCGATCTATGAATTGTTGCTCGTATATACTCACATATAAGTGGAAGAAGAGGATCTGTACGGGTATCAGAGGATGTATACATATATCCACAATGTAAGACAATCTATACCAGGGAAACGCTAGTAGCTGCTGCTTTTGCGGGGTTGGACAGGCAGATTGGATCGCTTCGTTGGTTCGATTCGTCAAGGGAAATGAACTGAGTAGACGCCCGCGCGACATGCCGCCGCACCCGCTCCGCGACTTGCCTTGCACTTCTCCTCCCACCGCGCCTTCCATTACCCTCCCTCACACTCGCACAGGCCCAAGATGACTACCATTCGGGCGTTCAAGGCGACAGACCTGTTCAAGTTCAACCACATGTACGGTCCTGCAGCACACGCGCATCCTCCCGTCTTCGCTGGCACTCGCTCACAAACGCTCGGACAGAAACCTTGACCTCTGGACAGAGACGGTGGGCGCGCCTTCGAGCTTGGACAGGATATGGAGACGACGCTGAGACTGGTGACGCCGCAGTATGCGATCACCTTTTACCTCACCTACCTCTCCCGCTGGCCCGACATGTGCGCGGTGAGCGCGACGCCGCAGGGGCGGCTCATGGGCTACAGTGCGTTCCCTTCCCTCCTCCTCTCTTCCTTCCATGCTCAATCCCGCCGTCATCTCCTTCTCCTTCCCTTCCCTCGTCCCCTCACAGTGATCGGCAAGGCGGAGGGCCAAAACCTGGAGCGGCACGGGCACGTCACCGCGCTCACGGTCGCGCCCGAGTACCGGCGGCTTGGGATATCGCGCCGGTTGGTGGCCTTCCTCGAGCATGTGTCGGACGAGGTGTACCGGGGCCTGTTCGTCGACCTCTACGTCCGCTGCGTGAACCTGGCCGCGATCGGGATGTACGAGGCTTCGGGTACAGCGTGTACCGGCGCGTGAGGGGGTACTACGACAGCCTCGGTTGGGGATGGCGCCGCGGGACGAGGAGGACGGGTTCGGTGAGTGTTGCTTTTTCGCGAGGAGGAGGAGGAGGAGAAAGAGGAGCGTGGCTCGAGGCGGGGTGTCATGTTGGCTTCCCTCCTGTGTTTCGGTGTTGCTCGTCTGGTCGGCCGTGTCGACCTACCGTCTCCCGTTCTGCCGGCGTCCGTTGCCGTCGGGGCGTCTCCCACTGGGACAGACTGAATCGCCATATCTCTCCCTACCTCCGGTGCTGACCTTGTCCTCCACGTGCAGACATGCGAAAGCCTCTTACACGAGATCCGATGCGCCGCTCCGTCCGCGCGAATGGTCGGGATATCGTGGTTGGCGCGAACGAGGTCTCGTAGGCCGACTCGCTCGGCGTTCTGTGATACCGATCATGATGATGTGTACAACCCCCGCTCTAATTCACTCGTTTCCGTCGGCATCGGGTGCGCTTGGCGGTGGTCACCTTGTATCAAGCAGGGGTAAGCGCATTCACTTGCGATTTCCGGTCCCGGCCTCTTACACATCGAATGGAGCATGTCGACCTCGAGGATTTGCTTCAGTGTCCCTGGCGCAGAATTTAAGTCTCGCGGATACTTCATGTACGTCCTGTAGTAGTGGAATGTTCCTGCAACAACAAGCTTGGTGAGCATCTCGGCTGGCGTGGGGCTTTTGTCGCAGTAGCTCGCCATATGTTATGACAGAATATAATTGATCAGAAAAACTGGGCGCCAAAATGTGCAAAGGCAAGGAACACACGTGCTCGGCTGCAAATAATCTCTTCTTATGCCACTCGCCCGCTTTTCTGCTTCCAACGCACTCCCGCCCGACCACGCCAGCGCGGGAAGTTCCAACGCTCGGGCAGCGCTCGCGGTAGAAGTCCGCACGGAGGCGAACCGGAATGGACACGGCCGGAGGTGAACTCGGACGGGAACAGCAAGTCGTGCGTGCCATGAGCGCAGGATGACTTGCTCCGTACGTGCTTCTTTCGATCCGGGCAGCCCCGCGTTTGGTGTGATGATGCTGACTGTGGGCAACTGGTGGGAATAGAGAGGACAAGCGGCGAGCTTCGATTGCACTGTCCGTGCGAGACTGTCGGGTCTGACACTGGCAGCACATATATATACCTAGTCATCCTCCGCGCCTGCAATCCCCATCCTCCACCTGTTTTCCCTTCATTTCATGGCGCTCTTCGACGGTTCCGTCGGCCAGACGGCGCTCTACGCGGTGGCTGCGTGCGCCGCGTTCCTCGTCTTCCGCAAAGTTACCACCCGTTCTCCCCTCGACAACGTCCCCGGACCTGCCCCAGACTCATGGCTTAGAGGTACGCCCTACCCATCCGAAATCACGCGCATATACCCACCTTCCTGCTCAGGTAACCTCGGCAGGCTCTTCGTGCGCCAACCTTGGGCGTACCGTCGGGAGATGAACCAACGCTATGGGCACGTCTGGGCAGTCCCAGGTCTCGCAGGGGTCCGTCTTGTGCTGTCTGCATATTGCGCGCATCCTCACACCTTCTCGGGCTTCCGGTGCGCAGAGCAAGTGGCTCAGCGTGTCCGACCCCAAGGCGATGCACGCTATCTTCATCAAGGACATCGACATCTATGAAGAGCCCAGCGAGTGAGTGTACATCTGTTTGCCCCGTGTTTCCTGGGTGCGGGCGCCCGGGTCTGTGTATGTGCGTGCTCACCGCGCGCGCCGGCAGGGCCTTAATGCTCATGCTCGGCCCCGGCCTCCTCTCCGTCAAGGGCACCCAGCACAAACGGCAGCGCAAGATGCTCAACCCAGTCTTCTCCACCAAGCACCTGCGCGACATGATGCCCCTCTTCTTTTCCGTCGTTCACAAGGTACGTCATCAACATTTACACTTCGGAGCGCCGAGCCGATCGTCTGCGCGCGCGTTCATCAGACGCGCGATGCAATCACGAGCCGCGTTGAGGCCGCGGACGGCTCGGCCCCCGAACTCGACGTACTCGGGTGGATGGGCCGCACGACGCTCGAGGTGCTCGGGCAGGCCGGCCTCGGGTACTCGTTCGACCCGCTCACGAGCGACCGCCCGGACGCGTTCGCGAACGCGGTCAAAGACTTCTTGTGCGTCCTTTCTCGCCTTCGCCGTGCGCCTGCCCTTACCCTACAACTCAAACCCCGAACACAGCCCGGAGCTCGCGAAAACATTCGTCGGCCGTCTCATTCTGCCCTACACGGAATGGATGGGCTCGAAGCAGTTCAAGCGCAAGCTCGTGGAGCTCCTCGGCACTCGGATCGGCACGGTCCGCAGGCTGGCGGAGATCGCAGATGTGATGCACGCGCGCTCAGTCGAGATCTTCAAGGAGAAGGGCGCGGCGCTTTCGCGGGGAGACGAGGCTCTGAAGCAGCAGGTCGGCGAGGGGAAGGATGTCATGAGCATTCTGCGTGAGTTGCTTGTGTGATTTTGCACGCGGGCGGTGGTCGCTGACGCGCTGACGTATTATCTCCCAGTTCGCGCGAACATGCTCGCGTCGGAGGAAGATAGGCTGCCGGACGACGAGCTTATTGCGCAGGTCTCGTACGTGACGTCATTGTGGTGATTGTACCACGAGGCACTGACTGTGTAACAGGACGATGATCCTTGCCGGTATGGACACCACCGCGAACACGCTCGCGCGTATCTTGGAGCTCCTGGCGCAACACCCTGACGTGCAGGAAAGTCTGCGCGAAGAGATCACGCGCGCGTCCGAGCAGCACGGCGACGACGAGATCTCGTTCGACGACCTCATGGCGCTTCCCCTGCTCGAGGCCGTCTGTCGCGAGACGTTCCGCGTGTACGTCGACTTCGCCTCCCTTCCCATGCGATCCGCTCACCGGCCACGCTCGCAGCTCCCCCGGGGTGACCGCCCTCTTCCGCCAGACGGCCACCGACGTCGTGATGCCGCTCACGACCCCGATCCGGATGCGCGACGGCACGCTCGCCGACGCGGTCCCCATCCCGGCCAAGACGCGGCTCATCATCGACAACCTCGCGAGCAACTGCGACCCGGCGACCTGGGGCCCGGACGCGCACGTCTGGCGGCCGGAGCGCTGGCTCGCGCCCGTCCCCGCCGCGGTCGAGGCCGCGCGCATCCCGGGCGTGTACTCGCACCTGATGACGTTCATCGGCGGGAGCAAGAGCTGCATCGGCTTCAAGTTCGCGCAGCTCGAGGCCAAGGTCGTCCTCTACGCGCTCCTCCAGCGCTTCCGGTTCGAGAGCACCGCCCTGCCCGTCCAGTGGAACATGGCCGGGGTGCAGTACCCGAGCGTCGGCGACGGCGAGCCGTGCATGCCGCTCAAGGTCTCGCTGCTTCGGGGGCGCAAGTGAGCGCTGGGTCGCCGATGCGTATTTATGAAACATACGCGTACGAGCGTCCGCGTGGCTTTGGCATGCGGAGCTCTCTTTCGTTGTGCAAGTCTTCTCTGTTTTTGTGGGCACGGACGCGTTCCTGTTACGTGCGACGGGTTTTACTATAGCTCTGGGCCGCGCGAATGGAATAATTATCTCCGGCTTCCCTTGCTGTCGGGCTCCGACGTCTGATCACTCTCAGTCGTAACTACGGGCGCTGTGGGGTATGTCAGTATGTTCATGTCACATCCATGTCCTGGCGCACTGCATGCTAATCCTCGCACCAGGGGACACCCGATTGCCGGACGTGCATAGCTGCGGTGCTTTTTAGTGCACCCTGGTCAAAATACCGTTGCCTGTGGCGTCAGCAGTGCAAGTGTTTTCGGAATAGATCCCGCTCGGTTTCACGCGCGCCCGACAAACATTGAGGGACAACGCAGTTGTGATCACGCCTCGGCGATCAGGCTACGGTAGTACTGGCCTCGGACAAGTGCACAGTGCGGAGCACTAGATTCGATATTCACTCGCTGGGTGAGACGGCCTGAGCTTTTGTTGATGTCCACGGACTTGCGTGTGATCCCGGGGCCCGACAGAGCCAGGCTCCAGCCGCAGTGCCCCGCCTCGACCAGCAGTTCCGCCCGCCCGCCCGCCCGCCCGTACGACGCCTAAAGCCCTCAATGCTGCTTGGAGGTCGTTCATAACCTTGATTTCGGACGCATCCGGATGCTGGGCCCACGGACCTATCAAAAATCGGTAGATTTATAGTCTTCCGGCGCTCAGAGGTGCATCGATGGGCGAACACTAAGTGAGAATATGTCAGAGCCGATAAGAATCGGAAATATTCGCGTTTACGTGACTCTGGAAGGTGCGTGGCATCACTCATGTCGGGATGTTTGGACATTTCGAACGTGTGATGCGGCCGCATAAAGTATGCTTCTACAATATTGCTCGTTTACATGGCCCTTTCACTCTGGCATACCAATGTACATCAGTGAGTCGCTCCCGATCAACGTAGCATTAGCGAGTACTTACAATACAAAAAGTGTTTGTTCTCATCGTGATGAGAGGCGCGTGCATACCGCAACTCCGTGGGACCATGACAGCGGTCTTATAGGTATCCCTGGTGAGACTATCGCCGGAGAATGAGCGTCGCAAATGGGTAACCAACTGAAAGAATGATCACCGCATGGGATGATAGGCTGTCTAGCCATTACACGACGCTTCTTTCTTCAGGTTTACCTGTGCACTACCCAGGAGGGCGACGGGTGCTGCCGGCCGACGATGCCGACGATGCTGAAGCACCACTAGAGCCGTTGGGGCTGCTGGGGCTGCTTGACGATGACGACGAGGAATTCGTGCAGCCTTTTTTTGCACCTTGGGACCAGAGTCAGGACGAGACTGGACTTTCCTCGTGCCCTGCGATGAAGGGTTCTAGCCATGCAGAGCGAGTGGTGGTGTATCGCAACGTGAGGATCCTCGTGGTGGGAAGCAAAAGCCTGGAGGTGGCGGTGCGACTCGCCTTGCTCGGAGACGCGTGCACAGGTTTCGATTCCGGCGGTTGACAATTTGAAGATGCACTGCATATAAGATAACGGGATATACGTGGGTGCTCTACAAGTGCCTACGTAGGGGTCATCACGTAGAGTAAATTTACAGTCTTTTTCTGTAGCGCCGCGAGCGCATCCCTCAGCCAAGAATCGGCGCGAACATCTCTCGTCCCTGAGTACTCGACGATCCGCCGTGGGTATATCCATTACCGTGGATGCTGCGCACGTCGCAAACCGTGGGTTCTGTAGTCCACGTTGCACAAACACGGGTCTCGCTCGGATAGCCCTCGCATCGCGATCTCAACCGTCTCGAGCGTGGGATCGCAGCGTAGAACCGCTGCATGAGCACGTCCAAATCCAGCTTCATGAGGAACACCTCCGCGTGAGACGACGCGGAGTCCGGGGAGCTTGTCCGCGCGAGCGTGCAGAAGAGCCCAAGGCTGAGCACGCGGAGGCGCGGGAGCCCGCTGATGCCGGTAACCCAGCTCTCCTGTAAGTACGAGTGAGAAGATCAAAGCAAGACGGAGACGACAGAAGATGGCGCTCACCACCATTGCTTCTCCGTCGATGAGTTCCGGCGCGAGGGTCTGGCCGATCTGCAAGATGACCTCCAAGCATTCGACCTGCTCCACGCACGGCTTGCGCAGCATCTCCGTCAGGCCCGGGGTAAAGAGGTTGCCTTCGTACTCCAGAAGAGACAGTTGGAGCGGTCGCGTGCGCTTGAGGATGCGTCGAAGGGAGCGGACGTGCATCTTAGGGCCGGCGACGTGGATGCCGTGAATGTGACAGATAGGGCTGAGAACGTAGAGGTCGTTTAGGCGTGCGGCGAAGAGCCTCAACGATTTCCAAGAGCCCTCCCGTGTCTGCTCCGAGACGTTCTTCTCATGCTGGCGGTCGAGCTCCTCGCGATCTTCCATCCAGGTGCGGTTCTTGACCATGCTGAAGACTTTGAGGTTGGGGAACGCACGTGCGATGGCGACCGTACTCATGGAGTCGACCATGATATTGTTGCACGAGAGTTCCGTAACGCCAGTGTAGACCTCGTCGAACGTGTTGTCTCCGTCGAAGCGTTGAAGCTGGCCGCGGTTCGTCTTCAGAATCTTGAGCGAAGATTGGAATGTTCTGAGCGCGAGGATGGCGTTCCGCGCATCTTCTTCGACGACCACCTGTTCTGGGAACTGCAAGGGATCAAGATCGGGCGGTAGAATCCATTCGAGGACGGCAGTTTTGATTTTGGACTGGAAGAGGCGCAACAACCGAGAATGCCCATGCGCCCGAGATGGACCTCTTCGATTGTGGTGAGGCGCGTGAACGTTCCCGCGAAGAATACCCAGGGATAGAGAAGAGAATCGACGAAGCGGATGTAGAGGAGTGTTATGGAGATTTGACTGGCGTGCTTATTGAACAGGCTGTCCAGACGCTTTGCAACGGATGGTTTGAGAACTTGCATCTCCAAGCCGAGACCTCTCAAGAAGTGGATCCGATAACCCTGACGAGTGGCGAGAAAATCGACGAATGAATCCAGATCGCGCTCGGTGTGCAAGCGGATGCTTTTTTCGTCAAGAAGATGTTTGGCTCCAGTTTCTACGAAGAGCCTGCTGGTCTGCATCAGACGAGAGATGACAGATCTATCGGAGACGGCCATAATGTCCAGGAGGACGTCGGTATTGAGCGCGGGCATCTGTCGAGCGCCGAGCACCACAAAGTGACTGATGAGGGAATATATCAAGCAGGTGGCCAAGAAACGCACAAGGTATTTGAGAGGGCAGTTCTGTGTTGGATCCTGTTGATGGTCTGCGGGTAACTTGCTGGTCGCATCGGCTTGCGTGGCCCGTGGCCTAAGCCGGGTTCGTGGGAACTCCGGGAAGACCCGTCGTCGGCTTCAGGCCTTCGCCGGCTGAGATTCTAATCTTCATCACCTCTCTCAGCTGCTCCGTTAGCGAGTGCAGCCCAACGCTAACCAGCAAGGAACGTAACTGTGAGCGCGCGTAGTGTGCTCCTGTGTGTCGTTGATTCGCTGATTGATGAACAAGCGCCAGAGGCTCGGTGGGGGCGCCGCGATGTGAAATTATTGAATCTCGGACACGACCTCCGCAAGCGCCTCACTTTGCTGCCAGCCTCACTTGAGCCCCACAGGTCCTTCCGCACTCATGAAAAGACGGCGCGGCCCACAGAGGGCCAACAAAACCCGTCCACCCTCCTGCGCTATACTCTGCTGCCATGGCTCCGACGGTGCAGAAGGCTCTCATCTCCCCATCGAAACGCGCCTTTTGGGTGCTTCGCAACGACTGGCCTGTCCCGAAACCTCAGCCCACGGAAGTCAGGATCAAGGTCATGGCTTCTGCGCTAAACTTCGCCGACTGCTTTGTCCAGATATTTTCAATCGCCTTCATCACAAAGTACCCTTGGGTGGGCGGCTACGACGTGGCAGGCGTCATCGACGAGATCGGCTCTGAAGTGACCGACTTTGCGAAGGGAGATAGAGTGTACGTCTTGTCGTGCGGCATATCATACTGGATGAAGGCTTACTAATGCTCAACTTTTAGCGTCGCGCCAGCAGGCTCGGACCGCGACAGTAACCGCGACTCTGGCTTTCAGGAGTACTGCGTGTGCTTCGCACAAAACGTAGCCAAGGTGAGCCTGCACGTTGATGAGCCACCCGGCGAAGGTACCCGACCGACCCCTCTTCAGATCCCTGATAGGATGTCGTTTGATGCGGCCGCGAGCATCCCGCTAGCACTCACGACGGCGGTCGCCGGCATGTGGTCCGCAGATCGTCCAGAGAATCCCGAGTTCACGACGGTCGCGATGACGCCTCCTTGGGAGGCAGGTGGGACCACGAAGTACGCAGGGAAGCCGGCGTTCATCCTCGGCGGCGCGACTTCCGTCGGCCAATTCGGTGAGCCCGCTCTCACCTCTGTATCCACTCGTTCGCTCATTCCTGGGACCGCACGCCCTTCATCCAGCCATCCAAGCGGTGCGCATGCACAACTTCTCGCCGATCATCGTCACCGCCTCTCTCCGCCACACGGACTACCTCACGTCCCTCGGCGCGACGCACGTCATCGACCGCAACCTGCCCGCCAAAGCGATCCTCGCCGAGGTCCGGCGCATCACCAAGGGCGCCCCGGTCGCGTACGCGTCCGACGCGGTCGGCGACAAGACGACGCAGCTCCTCGCGTTCGACTCCCTCGCGCCCGACGGCCGCATGTCGTCTGTCACGCCCGTGGGCCCGTGGGACCGCACGAAGGCGAAGCTCGCGCCGGGCGACACGCGCCGCGTCGGGCGCGCGATGGCCTCGTTCCGCCTGCCGCAGTACCGCGAGCTCGGGGTGGAGGTGTACAAGCGCCTCCCGGGATGGCTCGAGACGGGCGCGCTGAAGCCGACCCGGGTGCAAGTCCTCCCTGGGGGGCTGAAGGCGATCCCGCAGGGCCTCCGGCCGATCATCGGGGGGAAGGTGAGCGGGGTGAAGCTCGTGGTGAACCCGCCGGACACGCCGGAGGACACGAAGCTGGAGGAGAGCTGGCCAAACTTGAAGAACTATTGTGCCGTCATCGGCAGGTTTATGTAGCTGGTTTTATTTGTTTGGAGGGATGCTCGCCTTTGTGGTTCTTACTTTACATTCTGATTGAAGGAGTCATAATGAGGTGCCTATCGACTCCGGATCAATGATTAGTCAGCGATGACGAGGCCATCCGACGGCGGCGCGCGTTTCCCTGCGTCCACTCGTACTCCCGCTCCAGATATCTCTCGGTCGTCCTGTTCCTGCACACGCGATAGAATCACCATCATCTTCCAGCATACTTCTTGGTTATAAATCCACAGTATGTCGCTTCAGGTTCGCTTCATGTATTATCTCGAGCTCGAAGTCTGACCTTCCCACCGGATGAAGGCGGATGAGTGACGCATGCCGTTGCAAGGCGTCTTACACGGTACCGATCGTGAGTGCTCCGAGACCCACCGCCTTCCGAGTCACTGACTGTTCTTACAGATCGTCAGCCACCGCCATGTCCGCGTCACCCTTAGTGAGCGAGGTGGGACAAAGTATAAAAGCGCGTCCAGCAGCTCCGAAGGCTCCGCACTGAACTCCACGCCTACTAGGCTCATTTCGTCTCAAAAGACTCAAGCATGGCACCCAAGACGCAGAAGGCTCTCGTCGTTCCAGCCCTCAAGGCCCCTTGGGAGCTCCGCACGGGTTACCCCGTGCCGGTGCCTGGTCTGGACGAAGTGCGCGTACAGGTTATGGCGACGTCGCTGAACCCCGCGGACTGGAAGATCCAGAAGAACGGCATGCCGTTCGTCAAGACTTATCCCTTCATTGGTGGTCTTGATGCGGCCGGGATAGTCGACGAAGTGGGCGAGAACGTCAAGAACGTCGCGAAGGGCGACAGGATGTACGTCGTCACGCTTGGATGGGTACTTTGGTCTCACGCTAATCTTGCTTCAGCATGTGTGCAGGCGGCTGGGAGCCCAAGTATGCCGCGTTCCAGGAGTACTTTTTGCACCCCGCAGATCTCGTGGTCAAAGTGAGCCTACTTCTCTCGTCTCTCGTGACGCAGCTCTGATGCCCACGCGACTATCATCAGATTCCCGACAACCTGTCCTTCGACGAGGCGACGACCATTCCCCTCGTTCTTGCAACTGTCGCGGTACCCATGTGGAGCAAGTCGCAGATGGGCCACCTCGGTATGCCTGCTCCCTGGCACGAGGGCGGTGACCAGTACAGGGGCAAGCCCGCCCTGGTCACAGCAGGTGCGTCTTCCGTCGGCCAGCTCGGTACGTCTGCCTATCCCGATATCATCGTCGATATGCGAACTCACCCGTCCCCGTCCCCCGCGTAGCGATCCAGCTCGCGCGCATGCAAGGATTCTCCCCGATCATCACCACCTGTTCGCCCAAGCACGCAGAGTACCTCGAGTCCCTCGGCGCGACGCACACCCTCGACCGCGCGCTCCCCGAAGCCGCCGCGCTCGCCGCGGTCCGCGCGGCCACCGGCGGGGCTGGCGTCGCGTTCGCGTACGACGTCGTCGGTGCGCGCCCGACCACGCGCCTGTGCTACGTCGCGCTCGCGGACGGGGGCGTCGCGGCGCTCATGGCGCCCTCGCTCGAGTGCATCGAGGACCTCAAGCGCGAGGGCGACGGGAAGCGCACGGCGCGGCCGTTTGGGTCCTTCCAGCTTCCCGGGGCGCGCGAGCTCGGGCTCGAGGTCGTCGCGCGCCTGCCGGGGTGGCTCGCGGACGGGACGGTGAGGCCGACGCGAGTTGAGGTGCTACCCGGGGGATTGAGTGGGATTCCGGAGGGGCTGGAGAGGATGGTGAGGAACGAGGTTAGCGGGGTGAAGCTTGTGGTGCACCCGCATGAGACAGCTTGACTGTGGACGGTTGAGGAGCGTGGCTCTGCACGACGCACGATGATATCGACGTCACCGTCGTTTGTCTTTATGCGTTGTTGTCAATGGAGGACGCTCCCGACAAGCAGCTAACGGAACCTCAAGTGTTCTTCGCACCACTGCCACTTAGATCTAAGTATATCCAAGCAATAATTTATAGATCGCCCGCGACGCCTCTTGCTTGCATCACGCGGGGGAGCCTTGTACCAGACGTCCATGCGCGTGGAGTTGTTGTAGACCTGCCCAGACGTGAGCATCGTGTCTTCGTCTTCGCGTACGCGCGTCGTAGGGTCCAACCACGTCGCGAAGGACGCTTGAAACCCCAGGAAAGCAGCCGCTGCATCGCACAGACGTCAACCTCGCGTTCAACAGGAGAGCACAAGGACGCACATCCGGGGGTGTACCCATCACCAACGGAACCAGAGCCGCCGTGGATCTTCTTCCGCGCAGTCTTTTCAGGCGCCGAGAAGTTGTTCGAGTAGAAGTGCACGCCGGACTCTGCGGGTGGAAGTGGATGAGTCCTCCTTCGAGCGTGCGAGTGAACAAGCACGTACGGTTCGTCGCGAAGCTGATCCGGAGCCCGCTCTTGCCGCCTGTGAGCGAGACGACCTCCGCGGCCGCCGGGCCGTCCCTCGCCAGCAGCGCACCCACGAGATCGACCTCAGGCGTGATCTCCGACGCAAACATGACGGTCGGCGGAGGGCGTTTCGAGAAGGCGTAGAAATCGTCTGTGCGCGGACGAGCTTCAACAGGGATGCGCATGAGCGTAGAGAGGACGTGCGTACCGTAGCCGTTCTCAGGGAACGCCTCGCCAATGCAGCCGGTCGACTTCTTTGCATGCGCGTGGGGGCGCGTCGTCGGGATGAGAGCACCCGTCGACAGCAAGTCTGTGTCGGTCTCGGCCAAGTAATCGGCCTGCGACGGCCCGCGTGGGGTTCGTTGAAGGACATATGACCTCAAGCTGATGCACGCACCTTGATAGAGATTGTGTGGTCCTTCACGCTCGGCATCTTTGGGCCTCCTCGAAGGGATGCGTCGAGGTTGAAGCCCAAGTGCTGTCCACGAGCGCGCATCGGTCGGTATATGCACCACACAGAGGAAGAGGGAGTGCGCACCTGAGTCAAGTTGATCAGAGTGATCTTCCCGTCGTCCAGCAGCTTCGCCCGATGCACGATGATGACGCTCCCCAGATTCCTCTCCTTCGTGCCGTCCGCGGTCTGCGCCGGGGCGCCTTCAGGTTGCGCGAGCGCGACAAGCGTCTCGCAAAGGAGCGTGCCTGGAAAGCCCTCCTCGCCGTCCTCGGAGATCCGCTTGAAGATCATCGACGATGGCGCGCGAGTCTGGAGCGTCGCGAGCTCGGCGGGGGTGAACAGCTCCGAGGCCGAGGGGTCGACGAGGGGCTCCCATGGGTACTGGTCGAAGCCCTTGACGCCGCCGTGGAGAGAGACCGTCGGCTTCTCGTTCGCTTGCGGACTGACGGTGGACTCAAAACTGCCGCGCGAGATCTTGAAGGCGCCGACGGGGAGACGGTTCGAGTAGCGGCCGATGATGGTGTTGGTGTACTTCTGGGTCTGGTGGCCGGTGGGGTCCTCGGGGCCTATGAGGATGTCGTGCGTCTAGAGAACGTGAGACGGGTCCGTCGAGAGAGATGGGACATGTCCGACCTTGCCATCTGCTTGTACGAACAGGCGATGGAAGGTGAGCCCGGCGGGGAGGACCTGTGGAAGAACGCAACTCAGAGTGGCGCATACATGCACTTGAATCATAGTCACGTACCTCGAGGGCGAGCGACGGGGTGAGGGAGGGGAGGGTGAGGAGGATGGGCGTGAACGCAGGGTCGGACGCAGTCATAGATATGGGAGGGAAGGAGGGGGACGAGGAGGCACGGAGGACGAGGGACGGAGAAGAGCTTGACTTATCATATCCCCGAGGTTCTGCAGCAGGCACTCTGCTCAGCTGACATCATCAATCGTCCGACCTTCGACGAGAGTGCCGGATGAATGGGCGCGACGGCGGGGGACGTGGACGGGCTGCCTTGCTTGTGCTGGCGGGTGTCGGAAGAGTGAGGGTGAGTCTTGATGGAGGCTTCTGACAGTACAGGCGTCGTGGAGACGGCGGTAGAGGTGCTCGCCACCGACAAGACTGGTGGTGAGGATGGGAAGGAGGGCATAGTCGTGGGAGGCGACAGCGGAGGTAATTGCGGCGTGCACTGTGGGAACAGGATGGACAATACACACCCTTTACGGTGCGTCTCGGATGCCGCTCTGATTCGCTGCTGATCCCTACCTCCAGCTTGTTCCAGGGCGACTTCAACAACGATCACGGGACTTTCCAACAGTTCTGCCTCGTCCCAGCCGAGATCGCTGCCAAGGTGCTTTCCACCTCTATATCGATCGGCTAACCTAGCTCCTGCAGATACCGGAGGGGATCTCCTTCGAGCAAGCGGCGACGATCCCGTTGGGACTCGGGACCGCTTTTTGCGGCCTCACGCCGGGGCCACCATTTTTCTGGGAGCTTTTCTAGGAGCTGTTTATTAAGTTTAAAATCCACGTGCAGCCAGAAAAAGTATTTCTATGGGTTTCTATGGGCGAGAGAAAACCTTACTTGTCTTTCTCTCGGCTTTAATGTGGGACTAGAAAGATGGACACCCCGGCGTGCCTCTGGAACCACGACCCTGCCGCAAAGTCTATCGACTTCCCAGCACCATGGGAGGAGGGCGGCGTGAAGTTCAAGGGGAAGCCCGCCCTCATCCTTGGAGGGGCGTCATCTGTGGGCCAGTACGGTGCGCATTCAGTCCTCGGTTTCTACATCCTCGTGCTCACTGCTCGTTGTGTACCTAGCCATCCAGCTGGCGAAGCTCGCCGGCTTCTCGCCCATCGTCACGTCCGCGTCGCCCCGCAACGCCAAGATGCTGAGGGCCATTGGAGCAACGCACGTCTTCGACCGGGCGCTCTCTAACGACGATGCGCTCGCCATGATCCGGACCGCCACTGCGGGCGAAGCCGTCATGTTCACGTACGACGCACTTGCGTCTGACGGCGCGCTGCTGCTGGTCCTGCCGGACGTGCTCCCCGCGGATAAGCGTGCCAATGGAGACACGAAGATGGTGGTGTCGGTGTACGGCGTAGTGCACCCACCGGAGAACCGAAAGATCGGTGTAGAAGTGTTCAGCCGTGTCACCGGCTGGCTGGAGACCGGCGCGCTGGTGGTGCGTCGTGTTCAGCTACAACGATGGGCATATACTAACTCTTTCGACGCACGCAGTCTAACAAAGTCGAGCTCCTGCCGGGAGGCCTGAGCGGAATTCCTGATGGTCTTCGGCGGATGAAGGAGAACAAGGTCAGCGGCATGAAGCTGGTGGCGCTCCCCCAGGAAACGGCGTGAGACATGATAGTATGGGCTTGGGCAGTGTATGTATACATAAAGCGATGTCCTCAAATTGCGAGATCTTCCCTGTCATTGTACACAGACCGGAGAAAGAAGTGATAACCCTACGGTTCGTAGCGCCAACCATCACGGAACATCCCTGCACGTTGAAGTCGGCATCAGTTCCTTGAACCCACATGGTCTCGGACGCACTCACCGCTCAGGCTCGTCTTTGCGTCGAAGTCTGCACTCTCGATCACATCGCGCGCCCACTCGCCCTTCTCCTTCCAGATCTCGATCACGCGCCTTTCTTCGCCCTCTCCTTCGACCCACCACCACCGCTCGTCCCGAAGCTCCGCAGTCTCCTCCGCTCGTCGCCTCAGTTCGCGCAGATGCTCGTCAACCTGGGAACTCATCTCACCCCACTCCTCGTCGACCGCGTCCTGCGCCCGGATCGCTGCGCCTAAATCCGGGTGGTCTTCCTCCAAGTACGCGAAGAAATACTCGTCCCGCCCACTCCGTCGATCGAAATCCTCCAGAACCGCCGCGTACGGGCCAAGCGAGAACACCCACACGTGCGGCAGGGCGCGTGCGAGCGCGTCTGGGAGCGCGCGGAGGATGTCGACCCGGCGTACCTCCGCGATGCGCCTTTCGTTCACGTCCGCCATGGTGGTGGTACTATATTCAGAGTCGCCCAACCCATCGGGAGCGTGAAGTGAAAGGTGCGTGAGGGGGAGAGGGCGGAGCGTGTCTAGGAGCATGTTCTGTGACAGTATTCCAGTGTGAGGGGATCATCGACAGAGATTGACACGCCGGCGCGAGCGCTCACCACAAAGTCCTCGTCGAACGTAGTGTAAGATAAGTTCGCCTCCAACGACCGCAGCTGAGGGAGCGTGTTCGCCAGCTCCTTCCACGCATACTTGGTGTGATCTTGCCTGGGCTCGAACTCGGAGTGCGAGACCAACCTCATGCCTTCGCCTCTGAAGTCGCTCAAGCACAGGCATGACGGTTGGGTCTTTCTGAGGATGGGGAGGTAGTATTTGTAGTCGTACAGGTGTGCATGTCGGAACGTCACTTTGCTCGCGTGTCCAATGCGGCCCGTGTACGAACTCGACCACGGGATGTCGCAGTCAAGCTTGCGGAGGGACGGCCAGGCGTCTTCGGGGAGCACTGAGGGATCCGTAGGTTCGTAGTCTCCGGGGTTCATGACGGAACGCAGCTGGAGCGTGATCAGGTTTGGGCAGTACGCGACGATGTTTTCGGACGCGTCCGAGACGAAGTCATCGTTTATCATGTGGCGAACGGAAGGGAGCACAGGGAAAGTGCGCATGGTAGAACGTGGCGGAATACCTAGCGCAGAAATAGATAAGTAGAGGGTGGATAATGAGGGGAGAGAGGCGAGTGTCGACAGGAGTGCGAAAGCTTGTGAAACATCCCACTGGGTTTCGGGAGCTCCATAGGAATCCGGACGAAAATCCAGACTGACAGTAGTGAGGTGGGGGGCGGCGAGAATGGCAGGGAGGCTCGGTAGGTTCGTTAGCAAAAGACTGTGGAGCTCTACCTCTGTGAGCTGTACCAGGGTGGGGATACATTCGACCAAGCGTGGGTGTCGCTCTATGAGCTCCTCGATGCCGTCACACCGGAGTGTCCGGAGGTTTGAAAACGAGGGCAAGGCTTCGACGAGTGAGGCGATCTCGTCTCCGTTCTTGGGATAGGGCCTAACACTGAGTGTTCGAATATAGCGCCTTCGTGGGACACCCAGGAACTTGTCGTGTCCGAGAATGTACTCCCATCGAGACCTCTCGTCGGAGACGTCCCGATACAGAGGATAACTTGCGTCACGGAGAGTGCTGGGTGTCGCTAAGCAGTATGCATGTTTGGAAGTGCAAGCCACCGCGAGCGCGTCTTTGCGGGAGAGGAAGGAAAAGAGGAGGAGGAGGACGTCGTCATTGAGGAACAGCATGCTCTTCAAGCGGTCCGTCGTGCTTCAACGATGGTCTCGTCAGCGGTTATACTTAGTAGGGAGGCAATATAAACATACACCAGCCGCCTTCAATGGGATCGAGTCGATCAGGGAGGGATTGTCCAACAGCTGAGGCAGATCAAGAGAAGGAGCACTCTGTGGAAGACGTGGCATTTTCGAGCCTAACGGCACGTGATTTGATCTCCATTGATAATCATTTGATACTCTGAGACGTCTGCAGTCCTTGAGAAAAACCGGTCCACAACGACTATTCGGAGTACTGTGCCACACAGCCGCTGAATTGGTGCTGGTTCCGCGTCGTAGACAAAGATGGCACACACTCACTGTGAGGTATCGGGGAAGTCGCGGTAGAGAACTGGTTGCGAGCCGAACGGGAGTAAACCGGCCTTGTAACACGTACATCAGGCAATTGCAAATCTAGGCGTTGTACTACTTCAGACCGCCGACCTCGCCCAGCATGCGCTCCACCCCCGCGTAATCGAGGTTGAGTGCCACCCGCCGCTCGTCTTTCGCCTTCCACGCGACCCCGTGAGGAGCGAGTCCAGCACCAATCAGAGCTGACGCTCTTGCAGAGTTTGCTCACGACGCCGGATATGGGGACGACGACTGTTCGCGCCGGCTTTTCCCAAGTCGGTTGACGCTACAGCTGGTGCCCACATGAACGAAGGAGTCCACTGGCATAGCCTAAAGAGGAGGAGGTCATTGAATTCAGCCCATCCGGCAGCGCGTCAACACTGCCAGAAACGCCGAGGAATCAGATGACGTACTACACCCCACTGGATCCCCTCCACGCCCTCCTTGCGGACGCACCCAACGAGAGCGGCGAGCATCAAGCGCTCGCGAGCTCGCGCAGGTATCCCGCCGTCGGCGAGTTCTGCGCCTCCTTGGGCATCCGCGGAGCGTGGTCTTCATATTTGTCCCCTTCGTCTTCGGAGGAGGAAGAGGGGGCTTGGAAGTCGTCTATGGAGTTCGACGCCTCGGACTCAGCGTCGGACACGGGTGGGGCGAGGCGACGACACTTGGCGTCTGGAGAGGATGGCGCGGAACAACGTCAGCGGGATGAAGCTGGTCGTGTACCCTCCGGAGACAACCTGAGCGTGGAGTAGGTGACTTCTTAGGGAGTGACGTCGGCGCAACGCGTAGTCTGAAACAATGCGCTCGAAGCATACCTTACAAACCCCGCATCAATCCTACGCTGCCTCCGATCCCTCACTTCGCCGTTGACAGCGCGAGCTGCGTCTCGTTGAAATGCCACCGCGCCCGCGCGTCCTCGAACGCCACCTGACTCGTCTTTTCCGTCGTCTTCGTCGGCTCGTGTGTGGGCGCGCTGGGAGCTGCTTGTGTATTTTGCGAGCTCTGCGCGAGAGAGCGCTTTAGCTATGACCTTGCTGATGACTTCGTCTTCGACGGGTGCGCCGGACGAGTGAACGCGAGGGCGAGGAGCTCGGATGGGACGCCTTGCTCGCGCTGACGGGTGTCTGAAGAGCGGGGGAGAGCCTTGATGGACGCATCTGAGCGTAAAGGCGTTGTGGAGACGGCGGTAGAGGTGCTTGCCACCGACAGGAGGGATGGTGAGAATGGGAAGGAGAGCATGAGTGCGACGTGCTGGGCGACGATCACAGGCAGCGAATGCAGAGGCGTAGGTGGACGCTATGGGGATGCGCACGATGAAGGGCGACAGCTACTCACAGATACCCCGTTTAACACCAGACGGACGCCTTCCGGCCGCACCGACCGCAACGAAACCGTCTAGCCAGGCTGCGCGTCGTGCACAGCGCAAATTGACTGGACTACATATACAGCGACGCGCAGTCCGCATGCGCTTTTTCAAAGTCCGGAGATACGCACTACTCAAGCGCGAGGTCTTGTCTCGAATTTGTGTGCTGGGAGATGCTGCGACTTAGCTGCGGCCGCTCTCACTTGATGTCAACATTGGAGTGAGCCGAAGTCTTGCCGTTCTGATCGCCATCGTTGGCCGCGGAACAGAGAACAAGAAAGTGATGCAGTCGCAGCGAGACAGGCTTGTGCCAGTGATGAAGTCAGAGGAGGAGTTGAGTTGGAGTTGAGCGAGCGACGCCGACGAGCACGCAGGGAATTTGAAGATCACACGATGCTGTCTCATATGTATCATGACGAGTCAGGACCTGCAGTGATGCCCACCAGCGACGACCTCGTGCTAGATCTCTGTGAACCCGTTGATGGCTTGACCTCTCAGTCGATACATGCACCGCGCAGCTTGCCATGGCGCCGAGGTGAGTGAGGTTCGAACGAGGCGCGAGGAACGAGCGCCTCGGCCGAACGGGTGCTTTCTAGGCGTGGGTTGCCGGTGGTTGCCGGATGAGGGAGACGCGCGCTAGCGCGCTAAAGGCTATCGCCTCTCGTCTCCTCCCGCATCGCACCCACGCAGCTCAAAGCGCACCCACCCACCACTCCCAGCGCTTTGGTTGTGAGAGTGGCGCAGAACGCGTCGCACTCCGGCCTCGCGCTCAAGCGGACCGTCCGGGATCGCGACTCACACTCGCGTTCTGCCCAGCATCGGGCCCGACCTTCCCGGACGGGCGCTCCGCTTTTCCCTCCCGCAGACCAAGACCGAACACGTGGGGCGCTACAGTGACCAGAGCGCCCCTCGGCCATCGTTTCCCCTCACTGCCGGCTTGCCACAAGGTTCCCACCACGCAACTAGGAAGCCCGCTCGGAGTCCGTGGAGCTCTGCCGGTACCTGCCACCTTTGTCTGCCCTTCACTCCCCCTTCTCACGGCTGCTTTGGAGCCAGACTCTTCTGCGTTTCACCTCATCCCTCTTCGACACATCGCCCTCATCAACATCCTTTCCGCAAACACCTCGGATATCTCGGTCATCGTGCTCGATATACGGTGTCAGCCTTTGTTCACAGCGTCGTCAACACCGTCCACTCGTTTCGAAGATGGCCCGCACACTTTGCCTCGACGTCTCCTTCCACATCATGGCTTTCGCTGACGACCCCACCGTCTGTCGCCTCATGCAAGTCAACAAGTTCTTCAACATCGAGGGGGCCAAGTATCTTCTCGATGACTCGTGCATCACCATCGCATCTAGCCGCCAGCTCGACTCTCTGATCACCTTCTTGTCCGCATACAACGGCGCTCGACTCCAGTTCCTCAAAGGCCTTTGTCTGGAGATGCAGAGTCTGTCGATTTCCGTCCCAAAACGCTTGGGCGCTCTGTTGACGGCACACACGGACAAGATTACTATGACGCTTCTCGATATCACACACCTGGACAGCATCATCTCATCTTGCCGTGCTCTGTACGCCGCCTTCGCGTCACTCACCACCATCACTCACATCCGCTTCGCCGGGATCAACACCGTCGGCTCTGGGTTCTTGCGCGACTTCAAGTCCAAGGTCAAAGTCGCCGACCTGCGGTGGGATCCGACCCCGAACATCCGCCTCACGGAGAGCGCTTCCGATGAGGCAAAGATCCCTATCTCCGTTCTCAAGAACTTTCAATCGTCGTTGGTGGACTTGAGCGCCACCAATGTGAGCTTCCAGCGGTCAAACGGCGACAACACCTTCGACGAGGTCTATCCCCGCCTCACCGACCTCCAAATCCAAGGGGTACTGATCACCGGGATGCACACCCGCACTCTCGTCCGCGCCTTCCCGAACCTCCAGAACCTCGTCATGGTGCAGCCGTCGACACACCGCGGAGACGATCCGACCGCGCTCGACGCGCAGCACGAGCACAACATCGCCGAACAGCTCGCGCACCGCTCCTGGCCGTCCCTAGAGACCATCAGCGGCGGCCTCCTCGACATGTACATCCTCGCCCCGACCTGCCAGGTCCAGGAGGTGCACGTCACGGGCCCGTACATGCAGACGCGCGCGCTCCGCCGGCTCCTCAAACGCACGCGCCCCGCGCAGCTCGCCCTCGCGCAGTTCGAGGGGGACCTCTTCACGCCGGCGCTTACGGAGATGCTGCGCAAACCGTGCGCGGCGCGCGTCGAGTGCTTGGAGGTCATGTTCAGGATGGGGTGCACCCTGCCGGCGGACACGATCGACGCCCCCGTGATGGTGGTGGGTGCCCGGGCTGCTCCTTGTCACCTCGTGCTGACGACGTCGGCCGTCGCGCTTGTGTAGGAGAGCTGGATCGCAGCGATCCGGGGGCTGCCGCGCGTCCGGGTGCTCAGCATCGCGCTCCACGGCGCGTTCCTCCAGTTCACGCGGAGCGGTCCCCACCGGTTCGAGCCGTCCGCCGCGGAGCGGTTCTTCGCCGCGCTCGACCTCAGCGCGCTCGCCCAGCGGCTCAAGGACACGATCCCGACGCTCAAGACCGTCGAGCTCACGGTGGAGGGCGTCCGTGGGAGGCGGGAGCCCCGGTGGGTGCGGCTTGGGCCGGAAGACATGGAGTTCGAGACGTGCGCGGCGGCGACGGCGCGGATGCTGAACAGTCAGATGCCGGAGCTGGGGACGTTGGGGACGTTGGGGTTTGTCCACTCGGCGAACTGAGCTGAGGAGACGATGTGGTACCGACACCTGTAGCTCTGAGAAAAATGAATTGAAGTTACGTCAGACACGCGCGCGAGGCGCATACTGTAACAGTTGAACGTTTCCGCGGGGTACACGCGAGAACGAGTTGCGACCTACCGCACGATGACGTCACTCCCTATGGGTCGTAGCGCCAGCTATTAGAAAACATTCCTGGAAGTAGATGTGAGATCATCCTCAATACAAGTACTGTGTAGGAGAGACACTCACCAGTGAGATCGCCCGGCTGGAAGTCCACGCTCTCGATCACATCGCGCGCCCACTCGCCCTTCTCCTTCCAAATCTCGATCGACCGTCTCTCTTCGCCCTCTCCTTCGACCCACCACCACCGCTCGTCCCGAAGCCCCGCAGTCTCGTCCGCTCGTCGCCTCAGTTCGCGTAGATGCTCGTCAACCTGGGAACTCATCTCGCCCCACTCCTCGTCGACCGCGTCCTGCGCCTTAATCACCGCGCAGAAATCCGGGTTCAAGGACTCCCAGAATTCCCCCGACCGCCCGACCAATCGATCACACTCGTTCAGAGCTGCCTTGCACGGACCAAGCGAGAACACCCGCACGTGTGGCAGGGCGCGTGCGAGAGCGTCTGGGAGCGCGCGGAGGATGTCGACCCGGCGTACCTCAGCGGCGCGCCTTCTGGTCACGTCCGCCGTGGTGGTCACGTCATACGTTTTGGAAGTGTTCACGCGAAATGAAAAGTGCATGAGGGGGAGAGGGCGGAGCGCGTCTAGGAGGATGTTCTGCAATGGCAGTATTCAAGTGTGAGGAAATCATCGACAGGAATTGACACGCCGCCGCGAGTGCTCGCCACAAAGTCCTTATTCAACTCAGTCATGGATAACCACAATACTAACGACCGCAGCTGCGGGAGCGTGTTCGACAGCTCCTTCCATGCGTGCTTGACGAGATCTTCCTTTGTCTCGAACTCACCCATGACCGGCCACCAGACGCGTTCGTGACATGCCTGAGTTGGTTCGGTCGGAAACCTGTTCGTCTTTAAACTACCTCAATACCATCACCGATTGACCCGGGTACATATATGCTCGCAGCATCGTGTGCAAGATAGGTGGGCCAGACAAATTCTAAGTGGTGGCCATTCCGAGAATCGAACCAGCGAGCCCATGCCCGCGCCTACTCAAGCGCAGCCAGACCCAGCGTGAGCTCGGGCTTGGAGTCACTTCCGCGCGTCCGCGTTGAACACCTCGCTCTCGGCTCTTCTCCGAACACTCCTCCTTGCAACATGACTTATACTCCGGATAATCCGCCTTGGATGGATCTGCGGAGTACTGGAAACCCCAGCGCATGTGCGGTGATGCTTGCGTTCGTCATTGACGGACGATGCGGCTTCTCATACTGAGACGATTCCAATACTGTTCTCGGCGTCCACCGTGAACCTGAGGTGAGCCTGTCACTTTTTTTTGGTCCCGTGTGGTCTGTCCTGTGCGGTTGGGGATGGAGGGGTCTGATGGTGTGAGGGAGATGTTCTGCGTTGGGTCGACGTTCACGCCCATTTGCATGTTCGGCGATGCACTCCGTGATGTGGAGTGGTATATCGGCAATTTAAGAACGCTTCACCGCTTTCGGCGTCGGTGATGTTCTGAATATGCCTCACTGCTGTCATGGCCGCATGGCGATGAATGTGTGCGCAGTTCTGAACGGAGTGGCGGAGCGCTCGGCGTGGAAGCGCAGATTCTCCCGCGCCGTCACTGTTCGCCGAATGAGCATCTGCGAGACGAGCCGTAACAACGCTTGGAGGAGCGATTCCGCATCCCGTCGAAAGGCCTCGACAGCCTTTGCCCGACGAGTCGTAACGACGCCTGGAGGAGCCATTCCGCACCCCGTCGCTCTGGAACTCCACAGATGCTGGGGTACTCGGGAGACTTGAGAACTTTGGCAAGTCTTCCCCGCTGCAGCATGGTTTCCAGGATACGGTCACCGTTTCCCGTCGCAAAGCGGACTGCAGGAAGCGCGGTACAGGCGGTGAGCAATTGTATTCCGCGTTCCACTGCCCCTCGGCCAATACCATCGCTCGTTCCGACCCACTCGCTTTGACCGCGCTTTGCCGCGTGCGGGCCGTGGCGGCTTGCTGAGTCCTGAGCCTGGGATGAGCCCGCTCTCGTTCATGTACAAAGCCCCTCTTGCCCTCCGTCAAACCTCAGCTTGCTCACCTCCTCCCTCCCATCTTCTTCATCTAGCACATCCCGAGGCCGGATCCTCATCCCACCGTACCATCTTCACTCCAAGCCTTTCGCACCTCACCACTTTCGCCCCGCCACCATGCTTTTCTTCAAGACTTCCTTGCCTTCACCGCCGTCCTCGGCGCCGCCCTCCAGGCCCACGCGCACGCCGCCGTTTCGCCCGTGCTCGGCGTGAGCGGCACGCCCGTGCGCTCAGACGTGCAGCGCCCTCGAACCAGAAGCCGTGCGGGCGAGTGGACATCGCCTCGGGATGGCGTCCTCGGACACCATCCAGGTCGCCGCGGACGGCACCTTCTCGGCCCCGATCACCAACTTCAACAAGTGCGTCACACACACACACTCTCTCTCTATCCCGCCCGTCTTTGCGGGGCTGATACGATCCGTCCCGCCTCTGCAGGGGGGTCGACGGCTCCCGCGAGATTGCGAAGGTCATGGTCGACCCGACCGGCACGGGCGACAAGAACAGCTTCGTCGCCGCGACGATGGTCGAGAACGGCTCCGCGGTCAGCCCGTCGATCCCTTCTCTAACGCGCGCGCCTCGCTGACGATTTTTCCGCTCCCGGCCTCCCCGCCCGCCCACTCTCGCTCTCTCTCTCACTCTCAGGCGCCGCCGACTTTGGGCACGGAGCAAATCTCCGTCCAGCTCCCCGCGGGCATGACGTGCGCCGGCACGGGCGGCAAGTGCATCGTCTCGTTCAGGACCTTGAGCGGGTTCGGCAACTGCGTCGTCGTCCAACAGTCCTCGAGCGGCACCGCCGCGGCTGGGCGCAGGCGGGCGTTCAGGTTCGCCCGCACGGTGGTTTGACGGACGGGCTTTACTGCGGACTGAATGAGCCGTGCGCCGATGAGCTTGTATGTACAACGAATGAATCTCGGGGCGCTTTGGCACCTGCGCTTGTAACTTCGAGGTGGGAGAATTGAAGGAGACGGTCAGAGATACAGTCGACGAGTGGCTCATGCCACCTCGACGGACAAGGACTACTTACTACGGGTTGGATTGGCTGTGTGTCGATGAGTTGTATGTACAACGAATGGAGCTTGGGGCGCTTCGACACCCCCACTTGCAATTGGTGTGGTTCTTGTGCGACTCCAAGTCCAAGGTCAAAGTCGGGAGACGTTTTGGTCCCGACACCTGTAGTTCTGAGGAAAAGGAATTGGAGTTACGACAGAGCTGTAACAGTTGAGCGTTCCGGAGGGTACGCGGCCCGAACGAGTTACGATCTATTGTACGATGATGTCAGAAGTAGGTGTGAGATAATCCTCAATACACTTTGCAGGAGAGACACTCACCAGTGAGATCGCCCTGTTGAAAGTCCACGCTCTCGATCACATCGCGCGCCCACTCTCCCTTCTCCCTCCAAATCTCGATCGCCCGTCTCTCTTCGCTCTCTTCCTCGACCCACCACCACCGCTCGTTCCGAATCCCCGCGGTCTCGCACGCTCGTCGCCTCAGTTCACGCAGAAGCTCGTCACCCTGGGGACTCGTCTCTCCCTGGCACTCCTTGTCGACCGCGTCCTGCGCCTGGATCGCTGTGTCGAAATCCGGGTTCACGTCCTCCCAGAATGGTTCCGACTGCCCGCTCCGTGGATCCGTAAAATTCAGAATCGCCTTGCACCCAAGAAGCGAGAACACTCGCACGTGCGGCGGGGCGCGGGGGAGTGCATCTGGGAGTACTGCGCGGGGAGTGTCGACCCGACGCACCTCGTCGGTGCGCCTTTTGTTCGCTTCCGCCATGGTGGTGGAGCGTGACTCAGTGAAAAGTGGGTGAGGGGAAGAGCGTGGAGCGCGTCTAGAAGTATGTTCTGTAGCAGTATTCAAGAGTGAGCAGGCTCCTCTGGTGCGTAGCGTACGGTACAGGCTGTGGCGAGCACTATGGCTACACAATTACCTAAGCCAGCGGCCCGAGGTTGCACCTCTGGCGCCGAACTCCGACAGTGGTCACAATCAATGAACCACACAAAAGACATCTGGGTGGGATCCAAAATCCTGTTACTTTCTTACCAAAGTCACAAGGACACAAAAAACGTCTTAGAAGATGTGACGATGAGTCGACCCAGGCTCGAACTGAGGACCTTCTGTGTGTTAGACAGATGCGATAACCAACTACGCCATCGACCCATGACAAACCGATTTCATATATTACTAGTGTTTAACTCCGATTATGTCCAATTTCGCGTTCCAGCGCATGAAGACTCGTTCACAACGTCTCAGCGATGCGAGCGACCAGCTTCACGCCGCTCACCACGCCCCTAGCCAATCTCTCCAACCCCTCCGGGATCCCCAACAGCCCCCTCGGCAACACCTCCACCCGGCACGGCACGAGCGAGCCGTCCGCGAGCCACGCCGAGACATGCTTGTACGCCTCTACCCCAACGGTGACGTTCTCCGGCACGAGCTTGAGCTCCGCGAACACCTTCACGACCTTCTTCCCGTCCCTGTCTTTCTTGACTTCGGCGAACGTCTCCGCCGGGTTCAGCATCGGGTTCACGCAGACCAGCCCACCGCCGAGGCTGAGACCTTGGTACGCGAGGCGCTCGGTAACGCTGCCCTCGACACACTCGAACGCGAGCGTGACAGGGGTGTCGGCGGTGAACTTTGCGAGCTCAGCGAGCGTGTCGACTTCGGAGAGCGCGCGGTCGATGACGTGCGTCGCGCCGAGGGACTTGAGCCAGTCCGCGTGCTTCGAGGAGGCGGTGGTGACTATTGACGAGAAACCATTCATGCGGGCGCACTGGATCGCTGCCCACGGTGTCAAATCAAGCCGGATGGAGGTGAGCGGGGGGCGCACCGAACTGCCCAACGGAGGTAGAGCCTCCGACGATGAAGGCGGCCTTCCCAACACCCACGGCCTTACCGCCCTCCTCCCAGGGGGCAGGGAGACCGAGCGAGATTGCGGTTGCGCCGGGGTCGCGGTTCCACAAGCCCAGCACGCAGGTGTTGAACGGTACAGCAACACCAGCCGCGCGTTCGAACGGGATGTTGTCAGGAATCTGAGTAGAGCTTGTCGGCAAAGATATCTCGGCATACAACGAAGATAGACCTTCGCAACATTTCCAGCTGGCTGGATGCAGTACTCCTGCCAGGCCGATGTCTCAGGCGAAAGGTGAGTAGGAGAGAACCTGCAACAACGTGTCAGCGAGGATCACGGCAGGCGTATTAAGAAGTCACCGTACACTCTGTCTCCCACGGCGAGATGATCAACACCTTCTCCAACAGCTTCCACAACACCGGCAAGATCGAGCCCACCGACCCACGGATATGTAGAGCCACCAAGTGGACTGCCGTGTGCCGCGATCTTCCAGTCACCAGGGTTGAGCGACGACGCCATGATCTTGATTTGCACCTCGCCCGCTCCGGGGACGGGGACAGGGAAAGTAGTGTGCAGCTTCCACCCACCACCTGGAGCAGGGTTGATGAGGGCCTTCTGAGTCGTAGGAACCATGGTGTGGATGAGTTGAAGAGATGTCAGAGAGAGGAGGGGGTCGCGTTGAGTGTTGGCGGGTCAGTCCCTGTGACATTTATATCCGTCAATGTACGCGCAGCCACTTCTTCGCCTGCTTACGCTGACATTCCGGTACGTCGGACTTTAGTCGTGTCTCTGTAACTTCTACACCCTCACGCTGGACATCTTCGACCAACTAATGCCTATGAAGCCGTGTAATGGATAAACGCACTGCTAATGAAGTTTGTGGTCGGTGTGCAGCGGCCAGGATCCATGATGCGGTCCATCGGGCGCTTGTGCTCCCAGCCGCTTGATAAGCCATTAACCCTGGACGTCACGGAAGCACATTGAAGCTGGTTGAGTCTAGACACGAAAGAATGCGACCAGACACATGAGCGCCTTGATGATCCATAAGCAACTGATGTACTGTACTGCCGAGGGACGAGGTCCGGAAGCGAGAGGACCAGGTGATGTCGAGGAGCCGGGGTGGTGTCGGAGCATGTGCGTGCTCTCATGGCACTGGCAGGGCCGGATGCGCGGCGGCGAGATCGGTAGGCGGAGGATCGACTTCGGCCGTGATGGGACCAATTACCTCGCCGGGCGAGTCGGGCTGAGTGGGGTTCATCTGGGGCTTACCCAGGTGGTCCGTCTGTCGTCGTTGGGCCCTTCGATGTGCCTTTGTTCACAGTACTATAAGCCATCGATCCAAACGTTGAGAGATTTTGCCTTCTTTTTTCGGCACTCGTACCAGAACAACACATGAGTAAAGGGGCAATGTAGATCGCTTAAAATACATCATGGTACAAATGCTCTTGTGGTCTTCTACGTGATCAGTCATCCAACTTGAGGACTGCGGTGAGAAACAGCGTCAGCGCCCCTTCCTCTTGAGCACCTCAAACACGACACGTACTGAATGCCCCTGCGCTCGGCTTCGTCGCGAAGATCGCCTCCCGCAGCTTCTCCTCCGTCAGGTCCTTGTACGGGGCGTACTGCGCCTTGACCTTCCCGATGAACTCCTCAACCTTATCCTCCGCGACCAGCGAGACCGTGCATCCGCCCCAGCCCGCGCCGGTGACGCGTGACCCATACGCGCCCGCGTCCTTGGCGATACGCACGAGCACGTCGACCTCGGGGCAAGAGCAGTCGTAGAGCGTCGAGCAGCTCTCGTGAGATGCGTCCATGAGCGCGCCGAGGGCCGCGAGCGTGTCTTCTGGCACAAATTCGTCTTGCGCGCGGAGGCAGACGTCGCGGAACTCGAGCACGCGCAGCGCCTCTGCGAAGACGTGTCTCGCGCGCTTGTAGAGCTGGAAGTACGTCGCTTCGACTGCAAATTGGAGCCAAGTCAGTAGGGAAGGATATCATGTGAGTGACCTCGGGAGCTCCGAGAAGGAGGAGCCCGACTCGTGTGCTCTCGAGATCAGGGGCGAAAGCAGATACACACCTTCTACCCACGACAGATACACCTGGTTGAACTGCTCGGGCGAAAGGCCGCTCCACTCGATCATCTCGGCCATCGTCACGCCCTCTTCTCCCGCTTCGTGTCCCTCGCGTGCAGGCCTAAGCTTCTCGACCTCCGGAAGGAAGCGTTCAATGCCCGCCTTGAGATGTTCGACAGAGAAGTTCGCCTCGTCCGTTCCTAGCCAACGAGCCAGGATTACGCGGAAGGTCGGACGCTCCGAGTCGGTGAGTGAAATCCCGAGACGCCTGGCGAGGACCCGCGCGCCGACGAGAGTCTCCACGACACGGAGGTTGTAGTGGTACTTCGCGCTGACGAGCTTATCGCTGACGACGAGGGAGTTGGCGCAGACGAAGACCGCCTTTGGTGTTGTCCTCGGGGTCGGAAGCGGGATGGGTTCTGCGGCCAGGGACGGGAAGAAAGTGACGTAGATCGCGGAATGGGGTGTGCAGATAACAGAGGCTGCTTGGTCCAGGCTGGAGGAAGTGTCTTGAGCTTGAGTTGGAGAAGCAAACGCAAGAGGCAGATAAGAGAGACGTACCCGCCACTGTTCACACCCGCCCTCTTCTCATTCTCCATTGCCATCTCCACGAGCTTGCCCTTCGTCAAACCGTTCACCTTCTCGTTGACCGCAAGAAAGGCCAGGGTAGATGCAACCACCATCGCAGCACTTAGGGGGATCGCATCGGTCAGATGGACTTCGGAGGAGACAATCAAGATAATTCGACGCACCTGGACGACAAGCCTGATCCCGACGGGACAGAGCCAGTGAAGAGAAGGTCAACTGGTACGGGGTGGCCGTTCTGACCCGGTTGGGAAAAGAAGTGGTTCAAGACACCCTACCACAAATTCAGCTTCGGAGTTCTGCCCCTCCGTCATGCACAATGAAATGAAAACTCACGTAGTATCCGGCTTTCACATAGCTTTCCCACCGCAACTCCCGCGTGTTGATATCCAGATGCCAGGCCGACTCAGCATGCACAGTGGCGTCCGCGTCCGCTTTCTCGACGTCCGTCGGGCCCGCATTCTTCAGCATCGGTGCAAAAGCCTGGGGCGCATACTTGGCATCAAGGTTGTGCGCATTAACGCTTCCAGGGCTGGAAGGTTCAGGGGGTGAGGCTGACGACACGGAAGGACCGCAAGCAATGAGGATGTCGCGCTCTACGGCTGCGGGGAACGCGCCGAAGAGGACATAGTCGATGTGCTCGCCAATGAGGCTGGGTGCATGCGCCCGTCAGTGTATTGGCCCACACGCGAACATAGGGTCGGCGTACTTGACACGTCCGGGAGCGCGAGCGATATATGTGGGCTTGTGACCAAAACGTTGGGTGTATTCGTCCACAAGGTTGGTATATCTGATGCTGAAAAATGGGCGGATGAGTGTACTGAGAAGAACGGGCAGAGGACGCGCATACAGTTCGGCGGCAGCGGTCTTAAGGTCGGGCAATGCCTGGTCAAGTGAGGTGAAGACGGGGATGGGTAGCTCTGCGGCCATGGGGGTGGTGCGAAAACAAAGAGGGTCGGGGTCCGGCAGCCATCGATGGACGTCTTCCTGTCATGGCTCAGCACAAGCTCCATATGTGAGCGAGAACATCTGAGGTCGTCACCTGCACGGTGCGGTCGGTCCGGTCCAAACCGTTGCCCTGGACAGCGGTGCGGGATTCCCGGGTGGATATGGGATTTGAACTAGATGCCCTCCTGTCACAACTTCAGGGCCAAGGGAGTATGGAAGATTCAAATGTCCTGCTCATAGTCACACAATAGACGTCTCACCAAAACAAAATATTGACAAGAGCGGGATTTGAACCCGCGCCTGGATACCCAGATGAGAAACCCGCAGAAGCAGGCAAGCTTTCGCTTGAGTCACACGCCTTGGACCGCTCGGCCATCTTGCCACGACGGTGTCGTATTGGCAGTTTATATGTTAGCTTTGCTATGGCTACCGACTATTATCCATTCGGCGTTCGCCGACACATGGCCGACCCTCCAGTGACGAAGCCAGCTTTGCCATTACAAACGCCTCTGATCTTACCAAGTCCGAAGAACATCGCCCAACACCAGCCGATTTTGTCGTCAACTATGTCGCAGTACTTGCTTACTCTATCGCGGTCTAGGGTGCGGGCCCCTGTCTTTTATCCTGCTCACAAATAGCAGCCTTTCCCGACATCGGGATCCCTGCGGCTGCGATTTCCTTATAACGGAGCCTTGCTTTTCCAGTGAGGCCCCATTCGTATCACCAACTCCCCTACTATGTCTTCTACCGTCACGCAAAAGGCTCTTGTTCTTCCAGCGCTCGGCGAACACTACGCTGTGGCCGACATTTCTATCCACGCTCCTGGTCCAGGCGAAGTTCTTGTGAAAATCGAGTCAACCGGTTTAAACCCCATCGACTGGAAGATGTTGACCACATACTCAGCCTCTATCTACTCCTTTCCCTTTGTTGCCGGTCACGAAGCCTCCGGTACCGTTGTCGAGGTAGGCCCCCAGGTGGACAGTCTCGCCGTGGGCGACATCATGTACGTCCGCACCTTTCTACTTCCACCGCAGGCCTGCACAGTGCGTCTATCTGTGCTGTATACTGACTCATCATCTCCAGTGTCTTCCAGGGTGGCTTCTCTCTCAGGCGAGCCACGTTTCAGCAGTACTGTGTAGTTCCGGTAGTCCACGCCGCGAAGGTCTGTGCTATTGCCCAACTAACTGGCTAAAACGTACGCCTGACCAATAATCCTCCTGGCACCTGTGCAGGTTCCCTCAAACGTTTCTCCCGATGAAGCAGCCACTGTTGCCGAGGGCCTGATGACGGCACTAGTAGGGCTGTACAACACCACCGCAGAACTCAATGGAAAGAGCCTCTCCCTTCCTCCTCCCTGGTCACCGGAGGGTGCCACGAAGTACATCGGACAGCCAGTGTTCATCCTCGGCGGTGCTTCCTCCGTCGGTCAGAACGGTGAGCCTGTCGCACGAACCGTCGACCCCCTTATCCTTCTCACGACGCATTCCACTCAGCCATCCAAGTCGCGAAGCTCGCCGGGCACTCGCCAATCATCACCACCGCCTCCCTGCACAACGCCGCCTTCCTCCAGTCCCTCGGCGCCACGCACGTCCTCGACCGCCGTCTCTCCGACGACGCGATCCTCGCCGAGCTCCGCACGCTCACCGACTCCGGCGCCCCGCTCTCCCTCGCGTACGACGCGATCGCGCTCCCCGAGACGCAGCCGGTGGCATATCGCGCGCTCGCAGAGGGGGGCCGGCTCGTCGTCGTCCTCCCGGAGCAGATCCCGCAAGAGGTCAAGACGCCGGGGGACGGGAAGACCGTCGTGTTCCCCTTTGGTCACGTATGCGGCCCCGGGAACAGCGAATTCGGGGCGGAGGTCTTCGCGCGGCTCTTCGACTGGCTGGAGAAGGGCGTGATCAAGGTGCGGGCGTCCGTTTGATTTGACCCTCGCCTTGTTGACGTTGATCGTGCCCGGTGTCTGCAGCCCAACAAGGTCGAAATTCTCCCCAACGGGCTGGCGGGCATCCCTGGTGGTCTAGCTCGCATGGAGGCAAATAAAACCAGTGCCGTGAAGCTCATCGCTCATCCTCAAGAAACTCTGTGATTTTGGGAGGATGAGTGGTAAGCGTGACAACATCGACTCATCGTTAACCCTTTTCTAACCTCAACTAAATAGACTGGTGGCTGTCAAAGCTCATGAACTTGAGCGGCTGATAATTTCGCATTATGATTCCTGGCATTGAGCGTGTATCTTGTATCGAGATATAGTTGAGTGTTAATTTAGTTGCCTCCATTCGGCGCATGACGTCAAACAGAGCAGGGTACGTCGTAGCGATGACCGAGTACTACTCACCCTATGGCCTGGCGGTGCTCTCACTACATGGATCTTGCGGTGTTTCCACCATTGCATCCGTTCATGTCCATCAGCACAACGCAGCACGCCCCCGGTGTTCTTCCAATCGGACCTCGCAACGGGCTTCGGTGACGATGACTAAGGTATGAACTTGGGCCGCATAATCGGGATAACTGATTCCGGGTAGATAGCGCTTATTCAGCTCTGCTCCAGACGATGCACGACGCGCGCCCAGCAGGGGGGAAGTATTTAAGTCGTCTGGATTGCTCTGGGGCCGCTCATTTGCTTTTCAGGTTTCACCCTCGACATGTCTGCCAGAACGACACACAAGGCGCTCGTGCTCGCTGCGGCTGGCGCATCAAGCTACTCGATGACGGAAGTCCCCACCTACACCCCCGGCCCAGACGAAGTGGTCGTTAAGATCGAAGCCGTTGGGCTCAACCCCATCGATTGGAAACTGGCGTATCAGTACTCGGGCATGATTCCTTTCTACCCATACATTTCCGGGCACGATGGCGCCGGGACAGTCGTGGCGGTGGGCTCCGAGGTCGCCACACTTGCCAAGGGTGATTCCGTGTACGTCTCCCTGCCCGCGCGCTTGTTGAGGGCCGGACGACCTTCACATGGACTTCGCGACGCTGAGCACTAATTGTGGGTACACAGCATTGTGCAAGGCGATTACATGAACAAGAGGGCCACTTTCCAGCAGTTCAACGTCGTGTCCGCCGCCCTGACTGCGAAGGTCAGTCCCGTGCCCGACTACGTCCTCAAGAGAGCGCGCCTCTGATGGATGATCCCGCGCTCATTCAGATGCCCTCGAACATCTCCTTCGACGAAGCGGCGACAATCCCCCTCGGACTGCTCACCGTGCTGACCGCGATGTACCACAACAACCCGAACGCGAAAGGGCGGAGTCTCATGCTCCCTCCGCCCTGGGTGCCGGAGGGCGCGACAATGTTCGCCGGAAAGCCCATATTCATCCTCGGCGGCGCTTCGTCCGTCGGCCAATACGGTACGCCCTTCTGCGTTCGACTCGCTCCCCTCCGCACACCGCACTCACGACGCGCCGCATACGCAGCCATCCAAGTCGCGAAGCTCGCCGGGTTCTCGCCCATCATCACCACCGCCTCCCCGCGCAACCGCGAGCTGCTCCGCTCCCTCGGCGCGACGCACGTCCTCGACCGCGCCCTCCCCGACGCCGCGGTCCTCGCCGAGCTCCCGCGGCTCACCTCCGGCCGCCCGATCCCGCTCGTCTACGACGCGATCTCGCTCCCCGAGACGCAGACGCTCGCGTACCGCGCGCTCGCCGACGGCGGCGGCCTCGTCGTCGTCCTCCCGAGCGAGATCCCGGACGGGCTCAGGAAGGCCGGGGACGGGAAGACGGTCGCGGCCTCGTACGGGAGCCCGTACCTCGCGGAGCACCGCGCGTTTGGTGAGGAAGTGTACGCATGGCTCGGGGAGTGGCTGGAGACGGGCGTTATCAAGGTGTGTTTTCGCGTGCGTAGGTGATGCTGGCGGATCGCGAGCTGACCGCCACGTCTCGCTCATAGCCCAACAAGGTCGAGGTGCTGGCTGGGGGGCTGGCTGGGGTGGCTGTGGGCCTAGCGCGCATGAGGGAGAACAAGGTTAGCGCGGTGAAGCTCGTCGTCCACCCTCAAGAGACGCCGTGAGAATTCCCTTGGTAGGGCGGTTGCAATAGGACCAGTAAGTAGACTCATGGAGAAAGGCTTCTTCTTGTACGCACCTGAAGTATGGCGTGCTTCAGTATGCTCATGATATGTATTAAGCCCCCTCCATAGTATGATTTGTAATTGTACCGCTGAAGCCGTAGGCGAACACTCGAATGCCTGCCCCCGGCATGTTGAACGGCGTAGTAGGATTGCTTATGCCGGCTGTTGGGGATGCGTACCAAGTGCGCTCCTTCTGTTATTTATGGACTGTTATTGCGTTATTTCCGCGCAGCTGACGAACCTCAGTCAGACCCTCTCAAGCGCTCCTTTTCCACCCACTTCATTCCGAGTGGGCGACACCGGCTCTGTCATCAACGCTTCTCGTTCTTCCCATCGTCCCAGAACCCCGATAAAAGCCTCTCCTACGCCATTCCTCTCCCTCGCACCGTTCGCTACCGCACACATCTCCACTCCCATGGCCACCGCGAAGACGCAGAAAGCCCTCCTTCTCCCCGCCCGCGCAGGCAAATACGCCGTCGGGACAGTCCCCATCCCGACTCCCGCGCCCAGCGAGGTGCTCGTGAAGATCGAGGCCGCGGCGCTCAACCCGATCGACTGGAAGATCGTCGACAGCGACCTCTTCACGCCCATCATCCAGTCCTTCCCGTACATCGCCGGCACCGACGGCGCGGGGGTCGTCGCCGAGGTCGGCGCGGAAGTCACGACGCTCGCGAAGGGCGACAGGATGTAGGCGCAACGGAGACGAGCGAGAGTGCGCTTAGGCTGATGCACGCGCCAGCGTCTTCCAGGGCTGGTTCGCGAACCCGTGGGCGACGTTCCAGGAGTACTGCGTCGTCCCCGCCGTCTTCGCCGCCAAGGTGCGCGCGCCGCCTCCTTCGTCTTCTCCCATATCACTGACCAACCTTGGGACGTGCAGCTCCCCGAGAACATCTCCTTCGACGAGGCCGCGACGGTCCCGCTCGGGCTCGTCACCGTCTGGTCCGCGATCTACAACACCGACCCCGCCGCGGCCGGCAAGTCCCTCCTCCTCCCGCCTCCCTGGGAGCCCGACGGGACCACGCTCGCGGGGAAGCCCGCGTTCATCATCGGCGGCTCCTCCTCCGTCGGCCAATACGGTCCGTCTCTCTCCACTCCCCTCCTACGCGCCTACTCCCCACTCACCGCCCCCCGCTCCCCCGTCCTCGCGCGCACGCCGTCCTCCCCCGTCCTCGCGCACCCCCAGCGATCCAAGTCGCCAAGCTCGCCGGCTGCACCCCCATCATCGCCACCGCCTCCCCGCGCAACGCCCCCCTCCTCACCGCCCTCGGCGCGACCCACGTCCTCGACCGCGCCCTCCCCGCCCCCGCGCTCCTCGCCGCGCTCCCGCGGCTCACCGCCGGCGCGCCCGTCGCGCTCGCCTACGACGCGGTCTCCCTCCCGGACACCCAGCCGCTCGCGTACGCCGCGCTCGGCCGCGCCGGCCGCCTCGTCGTCGTCCTCCACGACCGCGTCCCCGCCGCGCTCAAGGAGGAGGACGCGGCGGCGGCGGCGGCGGCGGCGGAGGCGGCGGGGGGCGCGCGCGCGCGCAAGACGATCGCGCACGCGTTCAGGAACGTGCACGAGCCGGCGAACCGCGCGTGCGGCGCGGCGCTCTTCGCGCACCTGGGCGAGTGGCTCGCGAAGGGCGTGGTCAAGGTGCGTGTGCCCGTCTGACTGATTGGTGTTTTGGCTGAGGGGGAGCACCCGGTTTCGTGCAGCCGAACAAGGTCGAGGTCCTCCCTGGGGGGCTCGCAGGGATCCCCGAGGGTCTGGCGCGCATGGAGGCGGATAAAGTGAGCGCGACGAAGCTCGTCTGCCACCCGTCCGAGACTCCCTGAGGGTGCTAGCTGTTGGCCGAGTCGACGATGTGTATGCTGTACGTCGGTTGAAGCAATTTTCTATGAGAACATCCGTTCAGCCGTGAACGTCATTCAGCGCCGATGAAGGACAAGATGCGTGCATTACTCGAAATCCTTAGCTTATCACATACAGACAGGACGCAGTTGAAATCGGGATCGAGAGATGAGATACGGCGAGAGGTGGCAAGAACGGCGTGTCAAGGAAGGAGGAGGTATGCGTATTCACAAAGCAGCGCGCGACGATCAAGTGCGGCCGCGAATACTCGTGCGAGGGAAGAAATCCAGCCGGCTACCACGACGGCCGCGGGGAGGACAGAAGCGAGCGTGGCAAGGGAGGGCAAAGTGATGCTACAAGAACATGGATAATTACAGCGTGGTTGTACAGCGAGGGCTCCGGGACTCCAGGCTCATGTGTGCGAGCAGCGATGCAGACGACGTGACGTGCGTGACAGAGGGTTGGGGGTTTGCTGGGGTTTGACGGGACAGTGGGGCGAAAGGGGGTACAAGGGGACCGAGATGGGATATGGGGGATGGGGATGGGGGAAGTATGTGCAAGCGGGCTGAATCCGGGCGAGTGCGCGAGCGGCAGAGCACGTATACGGACGCCACATCCCGAAGTACACGCGGGAAGAGCAGATACAGTACAATAGGGGACAGGGGGGCGGTGGAGGTTACAAACGACAAGCATGGGAGCAAGGAAGAGCGAGTGGTGATGCAGAGTCCGATTGGGGAGGTTGGCGCACGCGCTCTCAGTGGAGGTACTTCTCGTTGAGCGTGTGGACCTCCTTCGCGAGGTATGGCCAGTTGAGCGCGCGCGCGAGCTCGTTGCGCATCCGAGTCTGCAGGCGCGCCTCCTTCTCCTCGGGCGCGCAGCTATCAAGCGGGCGCGAAGCGCGTTCACGCGCCAACTTGATCTCCCAGCCAAGAAGGTTGTACAGCAGACGCATGTTGGGCTGGATCAGCACCGACAGACGCCGCGAGCGCACGATAAGGTACGCGTCGACGAGGGGGAGTTGGAGGTGCTTCATCACGTACGCGATCTGCACAATACGGAAAGAGCATGGAGACGACGGTCAGCGCCCGCCCGTGGTCGCCGGAAAACGAGACAAGAACGCACCGTAACCGTCGCGCTGCGCGACACCCCCACACGACAGTGCACGAGCACCTTCCCGCCTTCCTCGCGCGCCTTGTCGATCCAGTTGCAGATCGGCTCCAGCTGGGGCTCGAGCGTGTCGATGCCGTCGTCGCACACGCCCTTGATGTCCAGAACCTTGATCCGTCCCTCGCGCTCCTCGATCCAGAGCGAGCCCTGCCCGTCTGGGCCTTTGCCGGGCACGAAATGGCCGCCGGACGATAGCAGACAAGCGCCGCTGGCTGCGCTCTCCAGATGCGGCGGCGGTACAAGCGCGCACTCGCCGACGGAGACGACGTGTGTGATCCCGAGCGCGTGGAGCATGAACGCGTTCGACGCGTGGTTTCTAGAGGAACAGCGGATGAGCGGGGGCACGGGCGGCAGATCGCGACGGGGGTACTCACAGATTCCCGAGATAGAGGAACGGGAGGACACGGCTGGGGAAACTGCCGTCGAATCTGGGATCATTGAACCAAACCTGGTGGTCGTTCCAGGGAACCGTCCGAGTGGGCGGCATCGTATGCGCACGAGGGCGACCCTGAATGTGCGCCGGAGCGCTGCAGTCCGCATCGGACTCTGACCGCGATCGCAACGGGTGAACCGCCGCGGTCGAAAGCGCGCCGACCTCGGGCGGAGGGGTGGGCGTTGACGGTAGCGCGAACGATACCGACCTGGCGGTTGAATGGCCCAACGAGCGCGACCAGTTGTTGGGGTCGCCCTGGGATTGTGATGCGGGGGTGGCGAAGGGATGAATGGGCAGGTTGACAGGGTGTACGTTGTGTGCCGCCCGGTCCTTCTCGAGGCGGGCCTCGACGCGGCGAAGGATGCCCAGGTCGCTCTGGTACACGAAAAAGCTTCTCCGCTTCTCAACCTGGAGGGTGAGATATGCCTCGGGCAGGGAACAACGACGAAGAGCCATCAGGATGCACAGCGCGAGCACCGAGGACTCCGTGTAGCCGTCGGCGGAGTAGATCAGAATCTTCACCGGGCGCGTGCGAAGGGGCACCACTGGCGCAGTGGACGTGGGACTTGCGGAAACCGGGGTAGATGGCGATGACGCGGGATGGAAAGTGGCGGATGTGGACCGCACCCGAGTATATGACGACTGCGGCGAGGAGGCCGGGGGGAAGAACGGGGCCGGGAACGAGCTAGGCGGTGGGAGCGAGCTGGGCATGAACGCGGCGTTGGAATTCCGTCGCGCGTCGACGGCGCTCGGCGCCCGAGGTGGGGCGAGCTGCTCCGCGGCGACCTCAAATGTCAGAGCTCTATCGGCGGGCTGTATGAGTCTCTCCAAGAACTGGATGAACGGAAGGAGGGTGTTGACGGAGACGACGGATGACGCGGGCGAGCTGGGGAAGGGAAGATGGACGACATGCCCGGCGCCTGGCGGTGGTCGAGGGGGGAGTGTGTCCTTCGCGTCCACGTCGTTCGCTCCTGAGACGCACCGTTCCACCCATCGCTTCTCCAGCAGGCGTATGTGTTCCTCGGCGGCGCGCAGATGCGCGGAGGTGGGGAAGGGCGCGTAGTCATGGCACTCGATGCAGAGATCATACCCGAAGCCCTGCTTGGGGTCGTTCGTTTGAGAGTCGAAGAGGTCGTCGTCGTCTTCGTCGCCGCGCATAGAGCGCCTACGGATGCGCCGATCGGGGGGTAGAGGGACGTCGCTCGAGTTGCCCAGGAAGATCTGGCCGACATCTGGATGCCAGTTCGACGCCGTGCTCGTCCCAGCCAGAGACGCCAGGTCGATGCCGGAGGCGGGATCGACTATGGAGGAGATTTCCGACGACTGCGTCAGATCGCGCATCTCGTCCTTCTCGCGCTGGGCGAAGTCGATGGTGTTGGCACGGAGGAAGCGAGCCATGTCGTCGTCGCAGTGTGCATGGGCGTCGGTGCCGTCGGTGTATGGTCCGGACGCGAAGATGTCTTCTGTGCGAACGACGAGGTGGGGGAGCCTCTCGGCCAGCTCCGACGGAGAGGCATCGAGCACGAAGACGTTGTACTCGACGAGCGCATCGGGATCGGGACACCGCGCGCGGCGTTCTTGGTGCTTCACCTCCACGGCTTGCTTGAACTTCTCCGCCACCATGACGGCGGAGCGCGCTCGACCATGCGGAGAATAGACGACGATATCCGACAAAGTAGCATATATTGGCTGGAATGATGGGCGGCGACATGAGCGAACGAACTATGCGCACAGACGCTAGGCGCGGACGCGGCGACCTCGCTCCTCAGGGGACGACTACGCAGACGGGTGATCTGCGACTACGCGTCGAGCCCCGGTGGAGCGAGCGAGAAGCCGGAAGCTGCGCTGGAGACAGGCACACCACACCCACGCATGTCGGGACACTCGATCGCGCTTCGCGACGGCAGACACAATGAAGCCGAAGACAAAGAAGTCCAAGGACTGCATTCCGCGCCATCGCGCCTGGACCCGCGGTGCGCGCCCCCGCCTCCGCAGCCACCCCCGACCCCCTCTCACCCACACCGCGGGTCTATGCGATAACAAAAGCGAGACACTCACCACCTGGATGCCAAAGTTGCGCAGACTGACTCCGTCGGGGATCTTGGGCTCTGCGAAGATGTGCGTCGTCGACCCGTTCGGCTCAGTTCGTGTCCGGAGGAGATCACGCGCCCGGAACCCGGATGTGAGATGCGCGGGCTTCGCGTGCGGCGTCGTCGCGGAGAGATGGGGGGTGAAGGAGATGGGGGAGGGGCTACGGGGGCCTTTTCCATGGGCTCTGGAGGGGGGCAGCCGGTGACCATGGGGCCCTGGAGGGTGGGGTCGAGTTGCATAGGGACGTCCTCGTCGATGTCCGTGGGGCCGTACGAGTCGAGAGAGGAGCCAGTCGAGTAGTCGTCGTCGTCTTCGTCGTCATCGAGGTCGTCGACGTCGCATAGATCATCTTCGTCGTCGACGTCGCACGCGACCCAGACGAGCCCACGGAAGCGGGGGACGTACCCGCGGGGGCGGGCGGCGGCGAAGAAAGAGTTCTGGAGCTCGTTGTCGCCCTCGAGGCCGTGGAGGAAGGGGAAGAGGACATGGTCCGGGGCGTGGCTGGTGAGGTGGGCGAGGTGGAGGTCCGAGAACTGGGCGGCGGAGAGAGCGCGAACGGGGGGTGTGGATCGGGGCGTTGGCGAACGAGGGGAGAGAATCGAGGAAGTCGGGGGCGTACTGGATGCCGTGGACGGTGGCGGGATCGTGTTCAGGAGGGAGCATGGCGGGTGGGGGAAGGAGGAGGAACGGGCGGAATAGAGTTGGAGGTAGAAGTAAGTGGTCGGGCGGAGGCGTTGGGTTTGTTTGATTCGAGACTTCTGAGGCGACAGAGAGGGATTGGCCGCACCAGCCGGGTAGCGCCCGTACCGCGCTTGTCTTTGGCCCTCTCCGTCCTCACAGCCGCCCGTTATGCCATTTCATATTTCGATCTCAGATCTGGATCGCCCGCCATCTGCCCCCCCACATCCACCCTCCACATCCAGTGCTGGTCGTCCACCGACGGGTGCAGCGTCGGGCGTCGAGACCCCCGCGCGCGATGGCAGAGCGGGCGGACATAGGCAGGGCGGAGGACGCTCCCATGCGCCTTCGCCGTCTTCCTTCGGGGGAGCTTCTCTCTCGCACGGCCGCACCCCATGATCACGCCCTTTGCCTATCCCCTCGCGACCCGCTCCGCCGGGTCCAGGCCCAGTGCATTCCGCACGCTCGGGCCACCACCCCCCTTTCGAGGTAACGTTGGGCGGTGTCTACCCCATCACGCCACCGACTTGCCCTGTTCTGGCACGCGCGCCTGGCCCCGGCTGTCCCCGACCAGATCCCGCCCCGGTTGCGTGACGTGCGTCATCCTGCCCGCCAGGTGCGCCGCTTGCCTTTTCCAACGCCCCCGCCCGCCACGCCTCCGCCCGCCCCGGCCCCGCCAGAGTACGGCTGCTCCGCTCTTTGCCTCCGCCCATCCAGCTCCCGATGCCGCCGCCGCCACCGACCTCGAGCCTTCCCTTGCTCCTCCCCCTCCTCGTCCCCAGATCCGCAGCGCCGGTCCCCTTCCGCAGCCCGCTCTCCGCATCGCGTGTCCCGCCGCGCTGCCCACCGCCCGCAACGGCGCGAGTGATGCTCCTCTCCTCTCCACCCTGTGCGCCCATGAACACGCCGCACTCCACCGCGCCGGGCCAGCTGACGGTGACGCACGCGCCGCGACTGCCGCCACGGACTGTCTGGAGCCGCAGCAGCGGCGCGGAGCTGCGCGCACGCGAGCTCAACCTTGCAAGGGCCGCTATCGACAAGGTCATCAATGATCTCAAGGGTGCTGTGGCCTTGGAGCAGGCGAGGCTGCGGCCTGCACGGTCGTCGCCGACATGGCGAGCGCGGTTTCGCTCGGGCCCTGACGACACTCCACACCCTCTTTGTTGGCCCGTCGTCTGCGATGAGGAGCCTGCTTCCAGCTTAGCTTGCTTCGTACGTTTTCTGATCTCCTTCGCGCATATCCACGTCCATGCGGGACGGTGAAAGGCTGAAGGTGATCAAGCACATGCACATGCGCGTCTGTAGCTGTTTGTGCGATGGGCAATGCCAAAGCCATGTGTATGCTCAGATCAGTGGTGCTGGTGAACACTTGGAAGCTCCCGTTCGAAGATCAAGACACACCACACACCTTGTCACCTTGATCGCTCTATTCCCGTGTCCACCTCAGCAGGCACGCTAAGTTCCAGAGCCGGAGCGCGCCGTGAAAGCCCAAGGGCACGACTCCATTGTGCAAGTCGACCTAACCACCGCCACCGCTTGGCATTGATATGCTGCGGGCGAGAATGGGCATAGACTGCGAACGACACGAGATCGGTCTTGCTTTCGATGTGTTCACCACTTCATCTCTGAGCAACATCAAAGGCTCTGCCGCCGTGGCGTCCGCTCGACGCTTATATGCTCAGATGACGACGACGCGGCTCGCGACGCACGCGCACACCGTCCATTTGGAAGGTGCGTGCGTCGGCAACGGCAGGGCGTCGCCGAGAACAGGCTCCTACCCACCGATGGTTCGAGTCGAGTATCCCGGCGCGAGCGTGTCCCGCGCAGTGGGAAGAGCCTCGGGTGTCCGAAAGCATTAGTCCAGAGAGTACGGCGTATAACTTTACCGGATAATAGCATGGAATAGACCACCAGGAGAGCCAGGGGGCCGGGCCAACTCAGCGCCGGGGACACAACTCGAGCCGTCGGCTGGTGCGCCGAGAACGTCGGGGCGGAGGCGCGCCATTGTCCGTCCATCCAATCGCCCGCGCCGCGCCTGCCGAATCTGCTTTCGCGCCCCCGAACGCCATCACTCGCCTCCGCACATCGCCGGCGGTGCACAGCGGCACACGTCGACTTGCCGTTTAAGTATGTCGCGGTCTCGAAGGACCGATCAACGTCAACGCGTCAACCCTGTGGGTGTCGTTTTGTTCCGTCGCGATTTGCGCGATGATGTGTTATTTGTGTACTCCGGTCGCGCTTCTCGAGCTCGAACACGTGGGGCTTTATCATCGTGCGTTCCAGTGGAAGTCTCGAGGCGTCGAGACTGTACATATCATCTGGCCTTATCCGCGGTGAACGACCGTCGCGACATCCAACGTCGTCGACGACGGCCTTTCCGACTGGCTGGACCGGTCGCTTCTGGCAACAATGTACAAGTTAAACTAAAAGAATCGAGAAACGGATTGTGGAAGGTCTCCAGGATCGGCGCCTAGTGCCGATCATGCGTTCAATCACTTACGTAACCGCGCTCCCCGGTTGGGAAAGGCCTGGCCTGGCACTCCTTCCAACTCTCCCATGACTCTATCTGCGCAATTGTGCCTCCGCGCCAGTCCCCCGCACCTTCAATCTTCCAGCGCAGCCGCCCGCTCCGCGAGGGGAGAGAGTTACAGAAGCTAACGCGTTTGGCACCTCGTCCGTCTTGGACCCCCATTGTCAAGTGAGTCTAGCGGACTTTACCCACCCGCCGGCGGGCCTGACTCGAACCGAGTTTCAGTTTGTCTCCGGTCTTGTCATGACCTGCTCGGTAAGCGCGTGCCGGAGGATCGCCCCCCGCGCCCCCCGCGCCCCCGCCTGGTGAGGTGGTCGTGCTGACGCCTCCATTTCGCAGGGGTTCTACCAAACGCCGCCGCCAACGTCATGCGGGCGCATTGCTCACAGCTTGGCCCCATCCGTCGAACTCGCAGGAGCGACCTCCTCCCTTATCTTGCACGCGTGTGCCTCGTGCCGGAAGCTCACGTCAGTGCTATCGTGACCAGGTTCGGGGCGAGCGAGTGCTCGAGTCCTCGTTTTCCGGACCCGACGCGATCACAACGTGTTTACCCTTGCAGATTCGGCACCGAAGGACATCGCCGTACTGGTAGGTAGCACGCCCGAACTTCCGGCAGTCGATCACGTCATCGCGACTACTCAGCCCAACAGGCGTCCACTCAGCATTATCATTCCACATGCCGTGAAACCTCCGCTCAAGACAGCAGCTCAAAGCCACCCACCCGGCAGGTAGCGTCGACCGCGATCGGCTCGGCCCAGGCCTCGTGCGGCCTTGGTTTGACGTTCGAACGTTCACCACGTGCCTCCCGCGATGCGCACCGGCGGCGTCGCGCGCAGGCGTTGTGGAGCCCGCCAGCCTCACCGACCACGATCGCCCACTGCACGAACGATCCGTCCTGAAAGCCTGACAGGCTACATGCAGCACTAGTCCCGATCGAACGGACGGGTCGGGACGCCCCCGCCGGGCGGTAGGACAACTCTATCTCGCGCTCGCTCCTCTCCGTCGCGCTCTCCCCCCGATCGGTTTAGCAGGCGGGGTGGCCCGAGCCTCGGGGGGCCTGTGGTTCGCTGCTGCTGCTGCTGCCCCGCGGTGCATGTATCGAACGCCGGGCGCCCCTGTGCGCGCGATCGGTGCGTCCGCTGCTCGCAGAGTTCACTGTGTATCTGACGGGCGCACCGCGGACAGCCTCAGCGTCCGTCGATCTGGGCGACCCTTGGAGCCGCAGGCTCGCACTCGCAAACGTTCTGCTGCGGGTGCGCGAGACGACGACGATGCACCAAGGAGACACTCGAGCGCGAACCCCAAACAACACCAACGAATTCAGCTGGGCGCGTGCCAACTTTAACGCGAACGAGCGGTCTTGTCCCGTCTCTGTCCTTGCTTACCTCCCGCGGCCACGCACACGCCGCGCTGAGCGGCCTCCTGTGCACAGCGAGTGCCAAAATTGCACCGCGCGGTTCGCCGCAGTGAGCTTTTCGTCAGGAGCCCCTCGTCGTGCCGACACATCCCCAGTTGACGGTGCTTGGAGCCTAGGCCTCCTATCGTTCGCACTACTTATCCAAGCGTCGGCATCGCACTTCGCAGATTACGCCATCGGCCTCCTCCTGGGGGTGGGGGCGCCCGACACAGCTCCGCCTCGAGGGGCCTTTGACGCTAATCTTACGCTCCGGCGCCACGGGAGGGATATACAGTAATGCGTTTGCTGCATGTGCTGGTACTGTGCGCACACCGCGACGCCGAATTCAGCGCGTGCGGACGGCACCGCGACCCTCCAACCTTGCGGTGAATCCACCCGCCCGTGGGCTTCCCACCGCGCGTGCAAGTGCTACATAGTTTATAGTTGTCCGCGTTCTATTCTGATCTGACGTCCCTGGCGAGGGTACACATCCCGTAGCTCACCGTTCCTCCGGGCGCACTCAAGACGGGCGGAGGAAGTACGTAGCTGATTACGGCGACCTAATCTCGCTATCTCGGTCGTCCTGTGCTATCATCCCCTGCTCTCCCACCGCGGGCCCTTCTCGTTCCTTCTCTCGACGCTTCTCTCCGTGCATCGCGTACGTGCGGCGTTCGTTGAATGAAAGCACTGCAACACGGTTTGCGCGAAGGCAATCCGAATCCGAATCCGAAGAACCCAGGCGAACGTGTCGCACACGCACAGGACGCGGTCGGATCCGCATGCCCCTGGCGCGCGCGCGCGGTGTCCGCCTCCCACACCGTCCCAGTCACGCCCACGTAGAGCAGGACCGCGCGCCGTCCCGTCGTGCAAGTGCGTACGTACGCCTCCCCAGCGAGCACGCGCGCGCTCTGCCTTTTGGTGCCAGGACACATGCCACATCGCCACGGCACCCCGTTAAGTGCAAGCCGGATCTCGGGCTTCCCGAAGCCCACGGCTTCCCAGCGTCCGAGGGGAACGTGGGCCCCGAGTCCCGTTCGGGCGCGCCTCGTGCCCGGGGGCCCGCCGTGCACTGAACGTTTGAACGCTCGCGGAGCCTCGAGGCCGCGCCGCCTGAACCGTTCGTGCGCCGTGCGCCCTTCAGCTTCAGTCTTCTCGAGTTCTCTCGGTGCCCGTTTCTTGTGCCGCCGCCGTCCGTTCGAGACCGTTAGCCATGTAGCCTAGCTAGTACTACTTCCAACCGTGCGCGATCGGACAGTGGGTTTCTCTCGCGACAGTCTATCGAAACGAGGGTGTCCTGCGTAGTGCGCACGGCCCGAAGAGCCCGCGGTGTCACCAGCGCAACGCATTGGTAGGTGCCAGCACGTACTTGCGCTTGCGAGTGCAGAGTTCCATCGGTGTGCATGTGGCGTTGAAGCCGTGCGTCGCCTGTCGTCCCGCGCGGGGGGTCAGAGTGGCCACCGATCGTGGAGGATCGAAGGCGGGTACATGTACAGACGCACCGGGGTTCGACGAACGCATCGAACGGTGCGCAGTTTAGCAGGGAACCTAGTACCAATTGCCGCCCGTGCGCGTCGATATCACGGCGGTTGGTCCGTCGCCGCTGGAGAAGATCTGTCAGACGCGGTCCACACTGTGTCCCGAGTACGCGCGTGCGTACCAGGATGGTGGATGCGGGCGCAGATGTCGTGCCCGAGGAGACGAGCGCACCGTGTGTCGTTTGATCGCCTGGGGAAGTTCGATCGCGTTGCTGTCTATGTAAGTACTTACTCACCTACCACCCGAATCGCAGCACGAGCCCCTCGGGGTCGGCCGACCCCCGATTCGAGGGTGACCCCGAATCCGTTTCCCGCAGAGGCCGTCGTACGCAAGCCTGCAGCCTACGTGTTGACGCTCACGCATCGGCGCTAACGGCTAGACCGCTCACGCCCGAATCCCCCGCGTATATATACGTCCCACGTAAGTAAAAACGCTATCGCGATCGCGTGCTGCTGCTGCTGCTGCTGCGCGCGCGGGTATTCGGGGGGAGCACTCTCGAAGAGTCGCCGCAGTCGAACCCCGGGCCTCGCGATCAAAGTTGGCACTCCGCGACGCTGTGGCAGAAGCGGCGCGGCGCCGGTGCGCTGGAGCCTGTCGGGATCAGACGTGGAAAGCGGATGAGAACGCGGGGCGGATAGGCGGACGTCGGCGGGGGCGGCGGGAGATTTGTAGGCGGGGTTCGGTCAGGGTCGTTGGGTGAGGAACGGGAATGGAGGCCCGGGCGGAAGGAGTGGCGGCCGTGGGTGCACCTATGTATCAGATCTGCACGGCGAGGTAGATGGAGGGTACATGCGTCTTGAGTACGTACTGTCCTAGACACCTTCAGGAAAAGCTGTCGGGTGATGGTTGACGACAGAGCTCGGCGTCTTGGGTTGCGCGCACTGAATGCAGGGGGTAGTGGGTAGAGCGGCGACCTGCGTCTAGAGAGCGGACGAGAGGGTGGACCCCAGTTCCGCAGCGAGGGAGACTATGCAAGTACTGTGCCTGTTGATAACGGCGCGAGTTCGTCTCTAGACTCGATGAAGGCCCTCCCCTGAGCAAGATCGCTTCGGACGCAGTGCAAAGATTCGTGACCAGGTCGCTAGGGCGAGAGTGCTTAGGAAAGCGCAAACCTCCGAGTCATGTCGAAGTTGGCCTGAGAACATGGATTGCCTGTCCGTGAGTGAGCGAACGGCGTGTTTAGAATGCGCACTCACCTGGTACAAGGACACGCCTGCATCCGGACAGACTCGTAAACATGAGGCAGGTCTTCTCGATGATGTCCACGCGGTTTGGCCCGCGCGCGTTTCCAGGAACGGGGTACGTTCGAAGAGGGCCGCGAGCGGGATGGTGCACCGTCTATGGTCCTGCTGATTGTGTCTCGCGCCGGTTGGCGTTCGTGCTTGAGACTCGGAGCCCTCGCCGGTCTCACCCGACGGCGCAGCGCAGATCATCCAGTTCAGGAGCGCCAAAAGACCGTTGCCCAATCGCCTCACGTGCCGGGTCTTCTTCTCCATGTCCCTGCTCGCTTCCGCAGCCCGCTCTCGTCCTTCAGGCCGGGATCGCTCAGCGATACAAAGCCCACGCGAGACGTGCACGCGCGCGCGGACATCGCTACCGACACAACGCGCGCCACTTCGAGGCGTTGTGGAACGTCCTCGCCCCCGATGTGCGCCCTCCCACGTTCGGCCGCGGAAGGAACGCCCCACGCCCCCCTCCCCTTCCTCCCCCACTCGCACCTACCGGTTGCGGGCCCGGCTTGACCCGGTCGCGGCACAGTCCACGCGCGTCGCCCGCCCCTCCCGTTTACACACCCTTGCCTGGCTTGACCCGGTCGTACCAACGCGCGTCGCCGGCGGGGTCCCATCTCGGCTCACCACGTCCCATGTCCCCCACCTTCTCCACATCGAGTGAGAGCTCGTCGCGCTCCGGCGCTCCGTCCAACGGGACCGACAAGCCCACTCTCCCCATCCCATACATGCTTGCGGCAATCCCGCCGTGGCACGACTCGGTCGTCTGAACGATTAGCGGCGCCTGCGGCCGCCGGACTTTCTGCAACTACCTACGGGCGCAGACCCGTTACATAGCACATGTAGCCAAACGAATGCGGGATACGTTCTTAGCTGTGTAGTTACACGCGCATATGTGACACATAGGGATAGAATGATAATAATAATAATAATAGCAGCCCGCTCTCGTCTCGGCATGTTCCTCTGACAGCTTTGCAACCCACGGCGGAGCGCCTGCTCCATTTGACTGGCGTTCTGTAGAACTCGGATCTCTGGCGACCACATGGTTCCTGTCCCGTCTGCCCGGAGCACCAGCGATCACGCGAAAAGCCAACCGCAATTCAGCCTATCCCTCGACCCAGGGCCACCCGCTGCGTCTTGCGCCTGATTCGCAGCTGCAGACGCGAGCGTTTGCACGGTCACACAGCGCAACGGAAAGTGCGAGAAGATGAAGATGCCACGGGCAGGTGGACTGGCTGATGAAGACGGTGGAGCGTCGTGAGCGCTGAGCAGCACGATGTTCGTGTCAAGTGAGTGTGACAGGCATCGACACCACGTTCGCACTCTACCGGGCAGCTGCTTGTCTCCGCAGGCTTCTTCCGACGGCGCGTGGTGTGGCTCGGAAACTGGCGATGAGGCGGGCGGAGGGTGTCGTCGTCTCCGATCCGTACACGTCTTGCGCAGGTGGCGGCTTGAATCTCGGAGTTAGTGGAGGCGAGCACTGGAGGCGGATCCCCCAGAAAGAGAGCACTTACACTGCACATCAGAGGGAATTTTCCTGCAGAGAATGGGCAGAATACGTCAGATATTCAGGATGTATTCAGAGGATATTCGTGCAGAAAATGGGCCGATAATGGACAGAATACGGTTTTTTTTCACGTCCTTTTCGGTCCATATTCGGCGCTTTCTCTGGCCGAATAGACGCAGATTACGTCGCATGAATCACTGGCGCTTCTGCCCCCACCCGGCTCCCTGCACGTTCGGGCTCGCGCGCAATTGTGTACAGGTTCGAAAAGAGCTGCAATAAACGGCGAGCACAGTGCTAACATAGGCATACTACTACAAATTTTGTTATGTCTCTCCCGGCAGGCTCACTTGACGGTAGAGTCCCAGCTGTATCAACTACGGGCAAAGGCTCAATGAAGAAAGCGGATGGGGAGGGCAGACACGCACCATATCGGAGACGAGCCCGAGCGGCGAGTGCGGACAAGTTCGCGGCGATGATCATGACAAGAGGAAGACAGCATTGATGAACCCGGACTCCAGCATGGTGCGCACCACGGGCCGGAGCCCGCCGGCGCGTGTCGCGCCTGCCGCGAGTGCGTTCGCTCTGCTCCGGTCCAGGTACCAGATGCGCGATACGAGCTACGCTGGCAGCGGAGCGACGTCAGCGGCGGATTGTGAGGAAAGCGGGGCGGGGGCGGGGACGCACAGGTGAACAGCACATTCGAGACGAGACCGGGAAGAGAAGTAGATCTTCGGCTCTGTCTGCTCGAAGATCGTCTGGTCGTAGAAGTGCGTGCGTGTACTTGTAGTGTGAGTAGCAGCCCGAGACTGTCGTGCGCTGTCAGCGAGGCGTGTGAGGGACGGCCCACTTGACAGTCTCGACGCACCATGAAGTCCCCCACAAAGAGCGTCATGAGCAGCGACGGGTGCTTCGTGATGAACTTCTTGTTCGTGAATCGTGACGTTGCTCATGAAGGCCAGCCGTACCACACGACCGTCATGGTTGATGAGCCCAGTGCAGACATATATGGTGCCAGCACAAATCGGGTCGTGGCGAGGATAAGTAACGCTACACCCGCGACGACCGTGATAGACGCACCGTGCAACAGGAGGTCGTACATGCACACTGCGAAGAGGCACAACCATGGAGGTGTTCGCGCTCGTGCTCGCGGACATGACGGCGGTGGACGCGCGTGCGCTGGAGGCGCACCCCCGCACCAGGAGCAGCAGCATGCGGGCGGTCGACCTTGAAGATGATGAACGTGTCCTCAAGCGGGGCCGCGTGCGTGCTCGCGGTCGCCTGCTGCCAGGCGCCGATGAGCGTGCGCTCGCTGACGACGTACCTGCAAAAAACGGTGGAAAGGGCGCCGCCGCCGTCCGCTGGTGGGACCTCGATGTGGAGAAGAACGACGACGTCGTCCCAGGGGTGAACACGGCCGTAGAGCGTATATGCGTGCCAGGCTTGTGCATATCGTGCAGGGGTCTGTGCGTGTGTGGGGGGAGGAGGGGAGGACGACGGGGGAGAAGCAGAGGCGAGACAGTGAAGGGGGAGGAAGGGAGGGGGGTCAGAGCACGCGTGGGGGTCAGCAAAGGAGAGCAGACGGACTACCTCACCAGTGACGAGGATGCCAGTGATCCCGAAGCACATCCGCCCAGTGTCCATGTCCTGCTCGCCGCGTGTGAGTGCGTGTCATCCGGCTCGTACTCTTCGTTGGCCTCACTCGAGACCGCGCCAATGAGCTCGTTGACGTCCATTAAAAGACAGGAAAGCGCGAAGACTGCTCGCTGTGCCACTCTGCGTCGCTGTCCGGCGCAGCGGAGCCATCTGAAAACTAAACATCTTGCGCATACACCCAGTAAAAAAGCTCACTGTTGTCGTGTGGAGTGGCTTAGTAGCCGTGAGATGCTCGTTGATTGTGGCCTTCGTCTGGGTGCGATCCGGGCGGCGCCGAAAAGTTCTACAGGGGCATGGTTAGCGTTGTTGTCGAGCTTTTAGAGGTATCGCGCAGTGCGAAGGAGGGTTGAGACGGTGGTGGACCAGTAGACTAATCAAGGCATTTAAAGCGCCGTACGAGACGCCGGCAGCGCGCGCGAGAGCTCACGTGAATGCGAATTCGAGCTTGCGTCACCGAAAACGGCCAAGATATCCGCCCCCCAGGAAAACCTCTGAATAATTAGTGAATATCAGGTGTATTCTGTACATTCTCTCCAGAAAAATTCCCTCTGATGTGCAGTGCTTCATATGAGGTCGCGCGATCGGAAGCCGATCCCAGAAGCCGATGCGCAGAGTAGGTGAGTTCCTTCCTGATTCCTCCTCTGTCGACGCCGATGACAATGCTGCTTGGCCGTTAGGCTCGATCATCCATCCGTTTTCGTCGTACCTCCTCAAACGGCTGGTCCAACTGGTGGGGGGTTTTGGCAGGTGCACCATAAAAGGAGAGCACGTGACGTGAGTGCCCTCCCCTCGCTCCACTCCCCCGCCCAAATGGGCTCATTGGGGCACGCCGCTCCCCCGTGAGCGACGGCTTGTGACGGCGGTTGCGTCGGGAGGCGTCACGGAGGGCGCGCGACCGGTCTCGCGCGCGACCAGTCCCCGCGCACGCATGCGCCCCACGCGCGCGGCCACATTGCCCGCGTCGCCCCTCGACGCCCGCGAAGGCGTCACACCGAGTACTCGCAGACGCACGAAAAGGGCATATCGACGGTATGTGTATCACCAATGGTATATGTGTCTAAAGCGACCATCTAACGAACTGGTAGAAATTGGGGCTGGATTCATAACAGCGGACGAAGTGCGAGACGCGAGCGGGGCCAATGCAGCTGAGGAGGCGCGAGGTGCAGAGGGCGGATGCATAGCAGCGGAGGCTGCGCGAGGCGGAGGGACGCTTTGATGTTAATTGGAGAGAGTAGCGCACCCGCCTTTGCGCAGGAAGATTCAAGAAATCCTGGATTCATTAGAGGACACTCTCGACTACGACTATTAGCTAGCTATATACGATGTACCTTTTTCGTCCGTCTGCGAGAACTCAGTGCGACGCCGTCGCGGGCGTGCGGCAGCACGCGCGTGGCGCGCACGCGTGCGTGTAGGGCTCGTCGCGCGCGAGCTGCTGGTCAGGCTGGTCGCGCGCCCTCCGTGACGCCTCCCGACGCAACCGCCGTCACAAGCCGTCGCTCACGGGGGAGCGGCGTGCCCCAATGAGCCCATTTGGGCGGGGGAGTGGAGCGAGGGGAGGGCACTCACGTCACGTGCTCTCCTTTTATGGTGCTGCCAAAACCCCCCACCAGTTGGACCAGCCGTTTGAGGAGGTACGACGAAAACGGATGGATGATCGAGCCTACTTGGCCGTGCTCTTGTCCGATCCGCCGACCCCAGCCCACCGGGTGGCCACACATTCCGTCACATACGCCACCCCCACAGCGCGTGGGAGATGATCTCGTCCCGCGAGCCACACGGTTTTTTCGGGTTCCCCGGCGGTCTTCGGCGACGAACCATTGACGAGTTCCCCCCGCGGGCAAGCATTCAAATATTCACCGGCGGAAGTGAAGACAGCTTCACGATTTCTTATGACCACCCGACCCCGCCCGGACGGCTCCACCCAGTGACCTCGCCTCCCCCACTCCCTGCTGCGGGGCGCCCTCCAAGTGGTCTTCTGAGCAACACGTTGCACGGTCTTTCTCCCGCGCCCTCTCACGCAATAGCCTTCAAAATCATCCTCAGCCGACAGAGTTCGCCGGGGGCTGCGACTGGCGTCGAATAGGGATGGTCTTAGTCCTTTCCGTTCTTCTCCCGCCTCCCCAACGTCGCCTCGTCGAGGACGAATGCCTCAGAGACAGTTATGACGCCATGCAGCGGCCTTCGGGCGTCACTGGTGGCGTAGCTGAGCAACTGCGTGGCATTCGCCAAAGACACCAACGCAGAAGTACTTACGGCATCCCTCTTCGTGCCCCGCTTCGACGTCTCCGGGCCGTCTCAAGCAGGCATTTCGGAAGGTACATCGCCCATCGATAGCGCCGTGTCCCGAACCAGCCGCCATGGAGACCGTCCCGGACATGACTTGCAAGGCCACGAACTCTGGTTGCGCGTATGTTACAGCATCAGAAACATGCTTGGAACGCAATTGCTAATTACCCCATTCTCTAGAACACATGTTTCCCGCCTATAAGCATCACGCAGAACACGTTTCGACGTCACTCGCTTGCTCCCCCTGTCGCGGCCTCTCCCCTCTGCGTGCAAGGCCATGTTCACCGTCGCCGATCACAACACAAGTACCGCGCCCAACGCTCTCTTCATCTCCTCTTCCTCCCGCCCATCTCGTCCTTCAGACGAATGTTCCATTAGCTTCGGTGCAGGCGCTATACTCTTTGGGGCTCGCCCGCACCCAGTCTCCCTTTTCTCCCTCTCATCTCATCCAGCCCTTCTCCAGACCGCTGCGCTGCCCATGACGCACGCGGCGACCCTCAGAGCTTCTTCCGTGCTCCAGCCGGCGCTGCCATCCCTTGACTTGGACGCAGACGCACTTGCGGAAGCACGCCACCACGCCTTCCCGCACGGACCTTGCGCGACCGGAGAGGTATATCTGCCCCAGCCCGGTCCTCCACCGGCCCTATTCCCCGAGTCTCACACCGCATACGTCTCGTCCACCACCACAGAGACCCTCCCTCCCTCTATGCCATCAGCTACGTCCCCCTCCTCGTACAGCCAACACCAGCACAGCGCGCATATAGCCATGTCCGCGAGCACCGACTCGCGCGCACCCAGCTCCGCCGCATTCAAAGGCGCCATGCCGATGCACATCACCCTCCCGCCCCCGGTCATCTCGCGCACCCCCACCGTCACACCCTCAGCAGGCTCCATGCCCACCACCCCATACCTCAGCTGCCTACCATCCCCGTCCGCCTTCGCCACCCCGACGCTGCACCCGCACATGCTCAAGCCCGAGTCCCCGCTCGCGATCGCGCGACGCGCGCCCGCGCCCGCACACGCGCCGCCAATGCGCGTGCACTCGACGCCCTCGCTGCACACGCTCGCGGTGCGCCTCCCCGCAGGCCTCTCCCCGGAGATGGTGACCGTCGCCGCGAAGAAGGGCGCGCGCCTGTCGGTGGTGGCCGATCTGTGGCACTTGGAAAACGACTGTGAGCGCCCCGCCCCGTTTTCGACGCGCGACGATCTCGTCTGACGGTTTGATCACCCATCGGTTGTGTTTCCCTCTTTCCTCGCCGCCCCGTCGCGCATCCCCCGCCTTCGTCATCGTCCCTTCACCGGATGGACCCTGGAACGTTGATCCGCGAACGTGGGACGTGTGGGACGTGGTCGGACGGGCACGCGGTATGTGTTTCGTGCATGGCGTATCGGGCGTGGTGTGCGCGTGGTGCGTCTTCGTCCTTCCCATCCGTCCACCCGCATCAGCGCACTACGAGTGGGAGGTCGTCTTCGCGCCCGGGGACGTCGACATGATGTCCGTCCGCGCCGTGTTCGAACAGGACGGCCAGCTCGCGATCCACGTCCGGCGACGGATGAGCGCGATGGGCGAGCCTGCGTACCCGCAGCCGCTCGTCCAGTGCGCGCAATGAGCGCTGAGCGCCCTGCGTCCTCGCGCGTCTGCACAACCGCGTCGACGCGCGCGCGCGCGATCGATCGCGTCATGGTTCCCGGCACGCGTCCTTGGGCCTCTTCACCCTCGCGATCCGCCCTGCTTTCGCACCCGCCGACGGCTTGGCTCCGCGTCCTCCCCCAACCGAGTTCCTTGTGATGTCCATATCCGAACTCCACCCGCGAGGCCTCCTCATGTTTGACGCGGTGGCCTCCGTCCCGCGCGTACGGTGCGGTCGCGCTCGCCACGCACAATTTCTCCGATGTTACGGTTCCGATGGGTTGGGGGGAAACGGACCTTTTACGCTCGAGTTCGACGCACGACTGCCCGACTGACCTGCCTGCTTACGATACGAATCATGCTTTTGGTTGTTACAGTCAAACCCCTCATAGTGCATACCCCTCGGGAAGGCCCCCGAGGTATGCGTTATGTGGGGGTATGCAGTATGAGAGAAGCGCTCATCGTGGGAGACCCATTGACGCCCTTCTGCAGCGCGCCTTTTTGGCGGCTGGCGCGCGCATTGATCCTCACACGCGCATTCCTCGCGCGCACATTCCTCCCGTTTGTTATCTGACCTCGCCCCCCCTACATAGACTAAATACGAGTAAAGTAATCAGTGACTGCGAGATGTTTTTCCCACCTTGAAGAGAAGCTTGAAGGGCCGTTCGGCGCTCTTTCACCTGCTTCTCGAGGACAGCACTTAAGACCAGATTAGAGGAAGGCGAGAGGGATACATTGCGGAGGCAGGCAAAGGTGGCCGGGGGTGTGATCAAGTCGTGCGTGAGCCCCGGTCAGTCCCGATGGTTCGTGTGGCTATTCCAGGCTGCTAGAAGGGCACATGGGAAGGTTATCCCACATTTGGGCGGCATGCAAGGCATACATGCGAGGCGCTAATGCTGATTATATATGGCAGGTATGCGTTATGGACCCCCCGGCCGAGGTATGCAGTATGCGGTATGCGGGGGGGTATGCGTTATGCCCCTATACCAACTCGGGAAGAGGCCAAAGGTATGCACTATGTGGGGGTATGCACTATGATAGGTATGCGCTATGAGGGGTTTGACTGTATCCCCGTTCCGGATCCCCTCCAAGTACGTTACACACCGTCCTCCCCGCGCCCTAGTAGCCCCCCCGCCTCGTCCACCTCGCGCACCCAGCCTGCAGTGCTTCCCCCCTCCAGCAAACGAAACGCTCGCGCGCATATGTATTTATATCTATGCTCCGGACCACGTCGCCGCCGCCGCCTCCGTGCTCCGAGCATCGCCGTCTGTACTTGTAGCCATACTTAAGTGCCGCTGTGTTCCTCGCTCTCGCGCTCAGCTGATTCTCTGGGGCGGGGTCCGGGGTACCTTACCGTGCGAGGGAACTCACGTCGAAGCTCCGCCCCGCCTATTGTATCACACATACGTTACCAACCACCGTCCGCATCAGCCCGTCGTCGCGTCGTGTACTCAAAACCACTCACTTACTCTTGCCCCCGAGCTCTCCCCGCAATCCCACTCGCCGCCCATCACCCTTGCCTCGGCGTAACCTGTACCGCCGACCGATCGCTCTGCGTCACCCGCTCGTCCCCGCTGAGATCGAGTTAGCGTCGCTAGTGTTCATTTCCGACGCCCCGCGCGCCGACGATCATGAAGGCACGGCGCGCGAAGTTAAAGGCGTTTGCATTCGCATGAGCAGGTGCTGGCGCCGGGGAAGAAACCCCCTGGAGTGTATCCGGGCTCGTAAACGGCTGCATGCTGCAGGACGATCGATGTGCGCGGCGGACGCGTGGAGGGGTCATCCGTCGGTACTTCAGTACCCCAGGAAGAGAAGGGAATTTCGACGTCGGCTGCTTCGGGCCGGGAGGGCGCTTCGTAAATGCGCGTGCAGCGAACCCTGCATCGGCTCACTGGTCCGGCGGCGCTTGGATCGTTGCTATCTTCCCGCTCTTTCGCGCTGCTTGCAGGGATACACTAGTCAAAGTCCAGCTCTGAGGTCGTGCCGACGAGACTGTCGACCGTCCTTGTGCTCGTGTTGCCGCCTTTCACCCTTGGTTTCATCGACGTCCTCGCTCGACCGGCGTGCACACGGCTCGCAACGATCTGAAACGACCGCGCCGAAGGATGAAATTGAAAGCCGTTTAGTGGGGAGCGTCGGGAAGACATATGGGCGTCGACATTTGGAATGCAAGAGACGGGGCTGGGCCGGCATAGAGCGTCGCTGCGTTCGAGGCAGTGCCCTCTGCCTGAGTCTTCAAATGAGCGGCCACCGGGGGCGGGGAAGTGTGTAGAGGTGCGCCGTTGCGCGGTTTTTCGGGGGGACGCATTGGATAATCATCGCCCATTGCAGGTGGACGGCTGCCCGTTGCGTTTGTACCAGGCACGGTATCGCAAGGTGTCGCTGTCCCCGGAAGAACACCTGCTGCACATGTTCCGTCATTTGGTGAGTATATACCACATTCAGAACGGTTTCACGTATTCGTACGCCCGTGCTCTGGCTCTTGGACGTTTGACTCTACGGAACGACGGGGCGTTCGGGTCCCTCCTACTGATCTGGAGCAAGCCCCACGCACATTCCGGCCCTCCTTCAGCCTCTCGTGTCCCGCAGATGTGCTGATAACCTCTGCGCTTTCTCATGGTACCGATCCACAGCAACCTGTGAAGTCTTCCGTGCTGGCGTGACGTCGAATCCCCAAGACAATCGCCACTGAATCGCGCTGGCGTGCCAAGCTTCGGGCTTCGTGAGACGTTCGAGCTAAAGAAGGTATGGGTGCTCGTCCATCCACTGCGGCACTGTTTTGATTGAGCGACCAGGTGCTCGCCCGAGGCATCGCCGAAGCAGCCTTGAGGTCCCATCGTTTGAACAGCCTCCGATCCCGGGCTATCGACGCTTGTGGTGCCTTCCGTTTTGTCAGCCACGCACCCAGGGATGCGTCACGGAGCCCAGCAATTTTGGAGACTTTGGCACGGGGCATCGCTTTTTGCGTCCTGACTAGTAACAGAGAGGGAGGTATGCATACATGATTGTGATACGTTAGCAATCACTTCTGTGAGTTTATCGGCAGCTGGTAGACGATCAGGCAAATATTAACACGCTAACTTTTAGTTCCACTCTCTTGTAGCTCAGTCCAGGCATGGAGCAGGAAAAGTAGAAGCGCGCGTCGGCCATACCCAGGTCACCGCACGTCGCTGTCTACACCCATACGACCAGGTCCGACGCGTCGGGGAATCATGGCAAGCAGGTCGAGGGCCTGCTGCGCGTGTCTTCACGGTATAAACGCCACAGCGATCGAAGCACTCCCTCCTCGCACATACGCCGTTTCCATTCCATTCCATTCCCGTGATGACCCCTACCCCACCACGCAAAGGGCCCTCGTCAACCCTGCTCCAGGAGGAGGCTGGGAACTGCTTACCGCCGTCCCCGTCCCAGCGCCGGAGGCGGGGGAGGTGCAGATCAAGATCGTAGCGGCCGGCCTCAACCCCTGCGACTGGGCGATGGCGAAGCACGGAAACCCCCTGAAAGCTCCCTACCCGTGGTTCGGCGGGTCCGATCTCGCTAGGGTCGTGGGCGAAGGGGTCACCGGCTTCGCGGTCGGCGACAGAGTGTGAGTGGGTCTCCCGAACGCGTCCCCGAGACCGACGCTGACGCGCCGGTGCAGGTTCGCGTCGGGGCACCTCTCGACGAAGACGGCGGCGTGGCAGGAGTACTGCGTGGAGCCGGCGGACAACCTCGCGAAAGTTCGCTCGGATATTCGAGCACGATCATCTCGGGGCTGACGGGGAGGGGCTCGCGCAGATCCCGGACAACGTCTCGTTCGGGGCGCGGCGGGCATCCCCGTCGCGTTCAACACTGCCGTGCTGGGCCTGTGGACCCGCAACCCGCGCGCGACCGCGACCTCGCTCGGGCTCCCCGCGCCCTGGGAAGAGGGCGGGAGCACCGCGGGCGCCGGCAAGGCGGCGTTCGTCGTCGGGGGCGCGACCTCCGTCGCCAGTTCGGTGCGTCCCTCACGCGGCCGCTTGTCTAGAGGGACTCTGCACTGACGATGCGACCAGTCATCCAATGCGCGCGCACGAACGGCTTCTCGCCGATCGTCGCCACCGCGTCGCCGAAGCACGCGACCGGCTCAAGTCCCTGGCGCGACGCACGTCGTCGACCGTGCGCTCTCCGAGGCGGACGCGCTGGCCGAGCTCGAGAGGATCACCGCGGACACCCCGGGTGCGCTCGCGTTCGAGTGCGTTGCGAGCGCAACGACCGAACACCTGGCGTACAGGGCCTCGGTAGCAGTGGTGGGCTCGTCTGCGTGAACCCGTTCCTGGACATCGCGGACCTGCAGGAGGACGGGGACGGGAAGAGGGTCGTGAAAGTGTTCGCGGTGCTCAAGCTCGTACCGGCGAACGTCGCCGTCGGTGTGGAAGCGTACAAGCATGTCTCGGCATGGCTCGCGGACGGGTCGCTCGTGCCGTGCTTGGTGGAGGTGCTGCCAAGAGGCCTGTTGGGGATCCCGGAGGGGCTGGAGAGGCTGGCGGAGGGCGCGGTGAGCGGGGTGAAGCTTGTTGCTCGCGTCGCTGAGACGCCGTGAACGAGTCTTCCTGCGGTGACGCCGCCGTATATAGCGTATGGTTGACAATTGTCGGCTTGCAAAACGCTGGAAAGCGAAATCGGAAAGATCATCGGGGTTACACACATTAAGACAGCATATGCATTTTGTGTGTTATGGGTCGATGGCGTAGTTGGTTATCGCATCTGTCTAACACACAGAAGGTCCTCAGTTCGAGCCTGGGTCGACTCATTGGTAGATTCCAGACGTATTTTACTTTTCCCAAATAAGACTTATGGGTCATATGTTTAATTTGCTTCACGTACAGAAACCGTAGGTTCTTCGGCTATCACTCAGACAGTGTGACAGCACGCGCGTTATCATGCTGAGGCCTGCAGGACAGTGCTAAAAAGAGAACATTAATCCTAGCCGGCCTCAACGACTAGATGGGGTGTATGCTTGGTACGTAGGTAAGTATGTACCAAGCGCTGAGCGGCTGAGATCTAGACGCGTTGAGCGAGCGGAGCGCCATATTATCTGATAAGATTACTCAGGCGTCATCCCGGGCCCGTGGCACGCGAGTCTTGGTAAACGCAAGCCGGCATACTCTCTCAGACTCTGCCCAACACCCACCCCTTCCTCATGCCCGATTCTGCCTGGAGACTTCTCTTTAGATGAACGCCTTCGTCTGTCGCCAGTTTCTGGCCAGCCCTTCAGTTTCTTTTGCCTTCGCTCCCGTCTCCACACGCTCACTACTTCGCCCTCTACACCCTGTGAGGCTAAAGGGAACCCCTGCCCCCCGAAGAGCGTTCAATGCAACACATTGTCGGCGACAAAATACTCCTACCCCATCCACGCCGAAGCCCGTAACTGCTCGGCTGCCTTCGCCGCCGACCAATGCTACACCCACGCGACAAGACCTGGGCGGAGACGCAGTGCACATAACACAGTCAGAGCAGCGCAGCAGGGATTGGCATATCATCAAGCGGCTTACGCGTAACTTGTGGCCAAAGGACGACTACAAGACGCGGGCGCGCGTCGTACTGGGGGTGGGGCTGCTGGTGGGAGGCAAGGTGGGTCTTATGCCACATTGTCGCGCTGAACAACGCGCCAACTGGATCTCGTTCAGGTCCTCAATGTCCAGGTGCCTTTGATTTTCAAGCAGATCATTGACACTCTGAACCTCGACATTACGGCAGGTTCGACCGTCTGGGTCGTGGTCGGGTCACTCGTTGTGGGCTGTGAGTATATGCGTTTGTTTGAGGATGTGCAACGACTAACGCGTTGTGCCTGAAGACGGAGCCGCGCGAATAGGTGCCACGTTGTTCGGTGAGCTGCTCAACGCAACATTTGCGAGCGTGGGGCAGCATGCGGTCCGCAAGGTCGCGCGGGAGACTTTCGAACATCTGCTCAACCTGGATCTCAAGTTCCATCTGGCTCGACATACCGGAGGATTAACACGGGCTATAGATCGGGGAACGAAGTGAGTGCTTTTGTCTGTGTGGCTTCTGTGCCCGGATGCGTTTGGGCGGTGTCCTCCTATACCCGTCTCCCATCGTCCCCTCCCCTCCCTCTCTCGCTGTGCGTCCGTCTTGTCCCAGCCGGCAGAGGCTCACGGTGTTTTTAGAGGAATTACGTTCATTCTCCAATCAATTGTGTTCCGATTGGTGCCAACCGCGCTGGAGATATCTCTTGTATGCGGGATTCTGGTAAGTCGCCCTCCAGAACTCCAAAATCTCGTCCTGATAGCTCTACAGTCATACAACTTTGGCTGGAACTTTGCTGCGATTACCGTTGTTACCATGGCTGCTTATACGTGGTTCACTGTTCGGACAACATCGTGGAGGTAGGTTGCTTTCGTGACTGGGCACCGTCAGTACGCTTATTTTGTTCTCAGAACACGATTTCGCCGAGAAGCGAACTCCGCGGACAATAAAGCCGCTACGGTCGCTACAGATTCATTGATCAATTATGAGGCCGTCAAGGTACCCTTTGCGTTTTTTTTTTTCGCGATGAGCCTCCTCTCATGTATGCTTTTAGCATTTTAACAACGAGAGACATGAGATCGCACAGTACGACAAGCATCTTTCCGCATACGAGAAGGCATCGATCAAGATTGCGACTTCGTTGGCCTTGCTAAACTCAGGACAGAACATCATCTTCTCGTCAGCTTTGACGGCGATGATGTTTTTTGCCGCACAGGGGGTTGTCAACGGTTCGTCGTTGTATCGAATGCATTACACTCGAATTGAACGATCCTCCAGGTACCATGACTGTGGGGGACCTCGTCATGGTCAATCAGCTTGTCTTCCAGCTATCTCTGCCCTTGAACTTCCTTGGCACTATCTACCGTGAGATGCGTCAAAGCCTACTGGATATGGAGGTTTTGTTCAATATCACATCGAATAATCAGCCTCCGAAGGTGCGTACCCTAAAACTAGCTTTGATGTCCCTCTCTCACTTCTCACATGCTCACAGGACAAGGCAACCGCGACCACCCTTGACCTGCGCGGTGGTTCCATCACGTTTGACAACGTCCATTTTGGCTACCATCCCGAACGCCCCATCTTCCGCGGTGTCTCGTTCGCGATCCCCGCGGGTAAGAAGGTCGCGCTTGTCGGGCCTTCAGGTTGCGGCAAATCCACGGTGTTCCGTCTCCTCTTCCGCTTCTACGAACCCTCCTCCGGCTCGATTCGTGTCGATGGTCAGGACGTCCGTGACGTGCGTCTCCAAAGCCTCCGCGCCGCCGTCGGTGTCGTTCCCCAAGATACGCCCCTATTCCATTCCGACGTAATGCATAACATCCGATACGGGCGCTTGGACGCGACCGACGAGGAGGTCGTTGAGGTTGCGAAGCAGGCTCGGGTACACGACGCGATCATGCGGTTGCCGGACAAGTATGCCACGAAAGTGGGGGAGAGGGGGCTGATGCTGTCGGGCGGCGAGAAACAGCGGTTGGCGGTGGCACGGGTGCTCTTGAAAGACCCTCCAATTCTGTTCTTCGATGAGGCCGCGAGTGTTTCCCCCTGGACTTCTAAAAGCCGCGAGATACTCACCGTGCCTCTGTAGACGTCAGCACTGGACGCACACACGGAAACGGAGCTTATGCGAAACATCAACGCCCTCCTCCAGGACAAGTCTCGCACGAGTATCTTCATCGCGCATCGCTTGCGTACTGTCGTCGAGGCCGGTGCGTATCTTGCGCTTCTTCTCCGGTGGTCGCCCCAGTCTGGCTGACGTGTCACTTCAGATCTTATCCTCGTCCTCAAAGAGGGTCAAGTAGTCGAGCAAGGCTCGCACGAGCAGCTCATGCGGGAGGGTGGGCTGTACTACAGCATGTGGCAGCAGCAGGTGTCGGACATCAACGCCGACGTCGCTCTTCCGCAGGAAGAGGTTCCGTCGGTGGAGCAGCCCGCGGCCCGGTGAACCATGTGTCCAGGGCTCGATGTGGTGTTTAACTTACACATGCTGTATGCCGGTAATTGGTGCAGCCACTTGTATATCCAGCTCTTCTTCTACTGTTCTCGCCGGTGGTCGCTCGTCGCCGAGTGTCGTGCACCGCCCTCGGACACGAGGCGCGAACAAGCGCGCGTCATGCGAGCAGTTCCCATCATCTGATTTAGCGCCGCCAATCCTCGGATTCTGACTTCGACCACCACTCATGCAACATTAGGTACGTACGTCCTGTGAACGAATGCCTCAATCGCGCGTCTCTGCCTTCACATCCGCAGTTGGCTCCGTGGGAGGGCGCGATGGCCTAGCGGCGGTCATCGCGACGCTAGAGCTCATCTCAACTACCTCAAGCCTTGTGTCCGCCGTCCCTTGCTTTGGGGTGATCGTCAACTGTGCGCTCGGTCTGGCGAGAACGATAGATGTGAGTCATGTTTTTCCTGCCTCATTTCCTCGTATGTTATGTTCAACCTTCGCTCCCCCTCATCACAGAACATGTCGACGACGTCACTAGGTTACACGCGTCTCGCGGTGTGTGCGGCGGAGCTGTCAATACACATCGAAAACGCAATAGACTATGACACCGCGGCGATCGACGGACCACTGAGGGTGAGCCTCACTGAACTTCAAATGTACGTGATTGCGAGCTGCTGGACTGTGCTCTCAGGCTGACGCGTCGTTGCGCAGGCTGCTCTCTCGAATAGTCCGAGAGGTGGACAAGCACCTCAAGAAGAGCCGCCTAAATCGCTTCTTGCACCAGTCGTCGATCGCAGAAACTTTGGACGACTATATGAGCGAGCTCGACACTGCGTGGCGATCCTTCGACGTAAGCGTCGTCGTTCTACGGGAAGGGCTTTTTTTCTGACATACAAGCAGACCGCCTGCTTGATCGCGCTGCGGATGAAATTCGAGCGACAATCTCTGTACGACGATCGATCACAGGTGGGAACATATTTGACCAGTCCTTGATATCAACGTTGTCGACATGAGCCATCACAGCTGCGACTCTTCCGCTGGAGCGATATCCGGAAGACGAAGGTGCGGGGGAAGTATTGGATCGGAAGTTTCGAGGTGGGGGAGGAGTGGGAAGGGAAGTGGGATGGGCGTGCGATTGTCATTCGCACAATCAAGCGTCAGCCTCAGGTACGTCTTCATCTCGAGTATTTATGGCGATGATGTACTTTCTACTGATACTCCATAGCTTGATCTCTGTGCCCTGGTGAAATACCACCCAAACGTGTGCGTTTCCATCTTCTTACTCGATGTGCACATGAGATTGACAACATCGACTGTTAGACAACATCCAATGATCACTCAAATTATCGGTCATTCCCACCCCTCCCTCGCAGAGCGGTTTTACGTTATGGAGACAGGTAAGCTTCTTTGAGAGCCTCCACTGCTCATTTCGATGCTCACCAGCCTGGCAGGCACGATGCCACTGATGATCCAGTTTGACGGGAAGAACATCGTCGACCGCCTGCTACTGTGGCTTCAGCATGTAAGCACCATCTGTCGCTAAAGTCTATTCGTTCGTATCTGAGGCTTTATGAGGTTGTGGACTATCAGGTGATCAAGCTATCTGAATGGTACAACGCTATACGATGGCTAAGTGATCATCGCTTGTGCAGAGCGCGTTTCGGTACATGCAAGATACAGGATTTCCCCTTAGCGATCATGTACGTCTCAAACGGTCTTCGCAGACGTCGTCTGACCACTGCCTTCACCAGTGCCACAGTCATCGAGATTGCTTACCTTCTATCATGTTGAACGAAGAAGGCCGCCTGGTTGTTGACGCCGCCGACTTCAGTAACGCCAATCTCGGATGTTTCCAATATCACCTGAGGAAGCTTTACGATGAGGTGCGCTAACCTTCCTATAAACGAGAGCTTATTCTAATGACATGCAGGACCGCGGTGCGGTATCGCCAGGTAGAGGTGAATAGTCGCGCTGTTCTGAGGGTGATATCCCTCACAGCTCGAACTAGATTATGCGGAAGATGAAGACATCGAAGCGCACGCCGCCTCTCTGCTCTCTGCTCTGAGACCACTGCGCTCTTCAAAGCGCACTTCGCATCCAAATATCGAACCACATCTCCGTACGACCTTGGCTAAGATCTGGGCGTCGCATCAATTCCAAAGCAACATAACCGCGAGCTGGGGCGATTACGGCTACATCCGGCGGGATGGTGACGTCGAGGTCTTTGTCAGGCTCGGTCATATCTACGACCGCATCAAGCCTACCGGTAAGATATCGACATTCTTCCTCGATCGTAAGCAAGACTGCGATTGGTGCCGTGCACACGACTATCCATGGTCTAACGAAGTCGTCCAGTCAGTATCTCCGGGCGTACATTGGGGCTGGTACTCATTCCTAATTACAGGCATGTTTTCACGTTGTATCCGGACGAGGATGACTTCGAGGATCCAGTGGAGGAGATCGCGGTCGTACGGACACTCCCCGATGACTCCGAGTATCACGATTTCTTCTGGAACCACGCGGAGGATATCGCACGTGAGCACGGCCTGGAACTCCATCAGGTCGTTGTTTGTAAGTGTTTCACCCATGACGCTGGTGTTCATTGACTCAAAGTCGGTAGTCGAAGAGATATTTCACTACGCGGCGGCCGACAGAATAGAAGATGGTGACGCAGGCTCGGATACCTCGTCGACGCTCTATGCGTCAGAAGAGTTGAACGGCAAGAAAAGCTTTGATTCCCCGACCGGTTCAGGTCGGTGCACCTCTGCCGCACATCCGATCGAGTTGCTGATTCGGCACAGATACCCCTACGCAAGTTTATTTCTATCAACTGCCACTATTACCTACGGGGGAAGCCCCCAGTCCCTGGGGTTACTGGTCAACGGAAGACTCTCCGAGTCCCGGACCGTGGCCTCAACTGAGCGTCCCTGGGATCGAGCTCACCTGCAAGTTCGTATTCTGCGATCATGCTGTCTTCTTGCCTTCTCATCCACGTACTCCCACAGAGTGACGCACAACTACGTCAGAGTCTCGACCTTCGAGGCGGAGATCCTGACGTACCTCAACGCCCTCCGCCACAGCAAAACGTCGGAGATGGATTCGGCTCGCTTTGAGGAGCTGTCGTGATCGTTGTCCACCGATCGTCTCGGTTCGGATCCCCACTACACCTTCACTGGGACACCCTCCGCTGTTAGCGAAAGGCCGAATATACACCCCCTCTGGGGACCCTTGGCCCCAGAGGTGCCATTCTCAGTAGAGTTCCAAGTTCTCGAATTATAGAGTGGCGTGCGTGGTCAAATAAGTGTCCTTGTTTGTTTGTTTGTATCCCATTTATCGCCCGCGAGGGCGGAGCCCTATGGTGGGCGGTGTGTACTGTAGTCTACATGGTAGAGAGGCCCAAGACGCATACGGGGAGGATAGCGTACTGCTGCAGTGCCCCCCAGGTTTGCCACGAGCGCACGTTGGGAATGGAGTCCCCGGGGTACGTGTCCGGTCGTCGGGCTGAGCGGGCCGGCGCAGTGCGAGTTGCTCTTGCCAACACTCGACTTGCCGTGTTCCGAGTTCTCCTCTCCCCTCCACGTCCCACAGACTGAGCTTCACGGGCCACATTGGTATCGGTCTCGAGGTCCTACGGCCCCTCCAACATGAAGACGCCGACACTGTTATGGACATGGGCAAAGCATCGTTGAATTGCCAGAAGTCATTACCCCCAAAAACGCGAGGAAGAGGAGGGAGGGGTGTGGAGTGCAAGCTTCATTAATGCAGAGGAGCTGCATGGACACAGAGCAAAGAGTGCGGTTACGGTCGCAGGTCCGTTTTTCTCCACTGGAGACCAGCCTCATCGCTTACATCCTGTAGACGTCCACGACCCTAGTGGTCTAATATCCTGTGCCGATCGGACCAGCCCCGGGATACATACATGGAAATCTGTCGGTGAGTGTCTGTCCTGTCCCGCTGTATGAAATTGTGCAGCCGGTGGCGAGTGTACACGCGGACCACCGAGCTCTTCGGAGCGCCGTACGTTACACCTGTGCATGGGACGCGCGAGCGCAGTGATTATCGTCTTAAGGCATGAATGCCTTTACGGCATGCTCTCAGCGTCCTGCACATGGGTGTGGTCATATGTAAAGGGATGTGCACTGCCCGGCGGCACCGCATTATTCGAGTTTACTCTGACTTTGTTGCATTCTGACTCGGCTTTCTCTCACAAGTCCCCTTGGTTCATCACAGCCACACCACGTTGCCCCTCGGCCCGAAGCTTGTGCATGGGATTCCGGTTCTCTCGCCGACTTCGGACTGGTAGTATGTCCCACCTCGCTGTGTTTAGCTCCTGTCAACGAGCATGCCCACGCCGCTACGGCCTCGTTCGCCTACTTAGAGATGGGAGAGGGGCGGTGGTCGGTGGGAGTGCGCCGTGAGTCACGACGCCAGGCGCGGAAACAGCGTGCTGATTCGAAGCTCGCCCACGTCCGGAGGCAGTGTTGGGGTTCGGCATTTTGATGTATCTGCTGACGCCTTGTCAGTATCCATCCTCACCTGCATGAACATGTCTGGACACTTCACTGCAGCGCTGTGGCCAGTGTACTTACGCCGCGGGACGAAGAGCAAATGTCGATTGTGGTTGAGCAATCAACGGGCGATTGTTCTGAGATACATGCACGTGACTAGATTAGACGAGATCAAGAGATAGAGACACAGATAGCTGCGCGGCCCTCCGGCGCCTAGACCCCGGCTAGTGGGCGCTGCCAGACCCCACCTACAAGCATCGAACGAATTGTATAAAAGGTCGTGGTGAGTGGCTATATTCAGCAACACCCCGACACCCCACCGGGCTCAAACCTCACACACAGCACTCGGTCATGGCCGTCCAGAAAGCTCTTGTCTCCGAGACTGCCAAAGCCCCCTGGAGGGTCGTCGAGAACGTCGACATTGCTTCTGTTGGGCCGACGGATGTCCTTGTCAAGGTCTCCTTTGCTGGTCTCAACCCCTCGGATTGGCTCTCCCAGTCATACGCACCACCTTTCCTCGTCTATCCTTTCACGGGCGGGCTCGAGGGCTCGGGCATAGTTGTGGATGTCGGCGTGGACGTCAAGCATGTCAAGAAGGGTGACCGAGTGTGAGTCCGGCTGATAGATCGAGCTCACGGCATGTGACTGACTTCTTAATGGGCTCCATAGATTCTTCCCTGGTGGCTTCGAGGGCGCAAGGCCGACATTCAAAGAGTACTGCGTATGCCCCGGAGCGTACGTCGCCGAGGCGAGCACCTTTTTCGCAGTTCCGGTAGAGAACTTAGCAGCTGACGTCCTCTGCTGCAGCTCCCTGAAAGCTTCACTCTTGAGCAGGGTGCCACGATCCCGGTCGGGATCGCGACTGTCGTCTCTGGTATCTGGGGAACGGCTCCGAGGGGCGTCGGACTTACTGCGCTGTGGGAAGAGGGAGGAAGAACCAAGTACGCCGGTCAGCCCGCTCTCGTCATAGGTGGCGCCTCTTGCGTCGGCCAGTACGGTATGCCCATTCCCCTGTAGCTTTGATCCGTCCCCTAACGACAGTCTCTTCTAGCCATACAGATGGCCCGTCTGAACGGGTTCTCCACGATCATCACAACTGCCTCGCTCAAGCATGAATCGTGGTTGAAGTCCCTCGGCGCTACGCACGTCCTAGACCGCAACCTCCCCAGCGAAGAACTCGCCATCGTGGTCAAGAAGATCACGAACGGCGCGTTGGTTCCGTACGCGTACGACGCCATCTCTACCAAGGAAACCCTCCATCTCGCGTACGATCTGGTTGCCGACGACGGCGCGCTCGTCATCGTCGAGCCTTTCTCTAAGGAACTGGATGAGAAGATCAAACTCAACGACCGGAAACGCATTGGGCGGCCGTATGCGACGCTCACGGTGCCCGAGAGCATCGAGCTCGGCCTCGAGCTGTGGAAGCATCTTGGTAGCTGGCTGAAGGAAGGCCTCATCATCGTACGTGCTTTGTGCTGTCGTTGCTTCAGAGCTATCGTCGCTGATCGATATGTGCTCCCGCAGCCTAACAGGGTGGACTTGGTCGCGGACAGCCTTCAGGAGATCCCGGCCGCGCTCGAGAAGATGAAGAACGGCGCTGTCAGTGGTACGAAGTGGGTGGCACGTGTGTTGTAAATCTTCCGAGAACTGGTCCTCCTGTGCGATAAACAATGTGATGCTGTATTTTTGCGAGACTAGTTCAACTCGAATCGAACCAACTTCGGACAGTGGGCGTTTAATTCCGAGCCTTGCCCGCCCGCTCGCTGCAGGAGGACTTGACTTGCTTCTCGAAGCTGAATGTCAAGTCCTGGCTTGACTCCCCCGGCACGACTCACGTCGTCGACCGCACGCTCCCCCCGGCCGACGTCCTCGCGATCTTCCCGTCGCCCGCGGTCGAGGGGGACGTCCCGTCAGACGCACAGCTGACGCCGGTGTCGCTCCCGTTCGTGCGCGGCGGGGCGCCCGCGTGCGTGTTCCCCTGCGCGCCGTGGCTCGACAATCGCGTCGTGCCCGAGGACGAAAAGAAGTTCGTTCATCGGTTCAGGTCGTTCCACGTCCCCATCAGTAAGGCGCTTGTGGGTCGGGGCGTATACGCGCAGGACGGGGTGGCTGGAGGACGGGAAGATCAAGTTGGCGAGGACGGAGCTGCTGCCAGGGGGTGAAGGGCATCGAGGCGGGGCCGGAGGAGGTGGAGGTGAGCGGAGCGAAGCAGGACGAGAGCGTGTTGATAACTGAGGGCCACGAGTCGTCAGCAGCGGTGAGGTGTTTGAGGGGGTTTGTCGGTGTCAGTGTCGACTTGGGTACGTTATTGAAGAGACCTAGGACTCAAAGCGAATCTTTTCGGTGAAAAATCCTAAGGCCCCTAATCAGCTCAAGCATCCAAAAGACCCGAGACACGGCTCACCTGCGAGACTCTTCTGTGCATCGAAAGTGGGGCTGCCGATAATCGTACGCGCCCGTCTCCCGTCTTCTCTCCACATCTCGTCCGGTCTCCGGTGGCCGCTGGTGTCCTCCCCGATCCACCACCAGCGTTGGTCACGGATGCATTCGTTCCGCAGAGTCCGTAATTTCGACAGCTCGGGGGAGGCGTCCGTTCCTCGCGCCTCCGCGTCCATTATGTCCGTCAAGTCGGGCCGAATCAAAGGCATATTCCACCCACGCATCACCTCGCTCATGGTGAACAGCGAGGGTGAGAAGGGCTCCAGGCGGAGTACGAGAAGCGTCGGGAGTCTGTTTGCGATCACGGGCGGTAGCGCGTGCAGAGTGTCGAGGCGGCGTAGCTCCCCCGTGCGCGCGGCGGTGATCCATTCCATCTCCACGAGGTCTATAACTGGACGGAACCGAAGCAAGAGAGACAGGTGGAGGAGGGCGATGGATGAGAGGGCATCGAGCAGCGGTGTCTGTACACAGCAGATGTGTGAGACGACATCGCGAGACGAGAGGGGCAGAGGCGGACGCTCACCACGAAGTCGTCGAAATTCGTTTGCAAGTCGCTCAAATGCATCTCGACCCGAAGAGAGCGCAGCTGGGGTGCGGCGCGACAGAGGTCCGCCCATAGCGACATGTCCTCCGGGGAAGGAGTGGCGCTGCTGGTCTCGAGTTCGAGCGCGACTGGGCGCGCAGCTTGGAAGAGGGGGATGAATTTGACAAAAGCGCTGCCACTGGACACGGGCGAGCTGATCACCACCTTCGGGATGTTCTCCGTGTGTTGAACAAACTCCGAAGGAAGGAACGTGCGTGAATTAAAGGTTAACTTTCGGAGTGCAGGCCAACGGCCGCCGAGCGGCGCAACGGTGACGGCGGGCACGGAAGTGATATTGAGGCTTTTGAAGCGCGTTTTGGCGGTGAATGTGATGAGGGCAGGGAAGCGGGAGGTCACGGAATAGTAAAGCGAAGGTGAGCAGGAAAGGCGCAGGTGAGGGACCGATGGCGGTTTGAAGTCCACGGAAGGCGTCTCTGATACAGAGAATATACGGGGGAGAGACAGCCTGAGAGTGTTCAAGGATCGGACGGAGGCGAGCGTGGAGAGGATGGAGTCGAGATCGAAGCCACCCCGAAGGAATTCCAGGCGTAATTGGGTGAGCTTGCAGCTATGGAGCATGGTTGGGAGAGAGGTGGCGGCGACCGTCCCCATCCCGAAGAGAGCTAGTTCCTCAAGTCGAGACATGGCACCGATCGCCTCGCCAAAACGGGGTTCTCGTTGAATGAATCGCTCGAGGTTATCAACGAGAAGATACCTAAGATTGACTGCTTGGAGCAGTATGTTGGCGAAGAGCGGAGAGAATTCCTGTGGCCAAAATGGCCCGGCATGAATGGAAAATTGACGGAGGTAGTGGACTCGAGGGACCTGGGAGCCCGGCTCGCAGGTGAGCAACAGCGAGCAGATCTTGACCGGTCGAGGCTGATCGTCGATGGGAGGACTCTTTCCATTCGCACGAATCTTGAAAAAGAGATGGGGAATAGCGAGGCGGTAGGCAGCCCTGGAACAGCAGGCAACGGCAAGGGCCTCTGGTGTTATGAGTAAGGAGAATATCATGAAGAGAACATCCTCGTTGAGCGACAGTAAGAGTCCTGGCATGATGAGAGCAATGGGTCGTTGAAGGTTGGGCAAACGGAAGGGGGATACTTGGATTCAAAGTTGCATAACGACACGTACATACACATGACCTGCAGTGCTGCGTGACCATCTCTAGACTCTGACTCACGGCGACTCAGAGCATTTACACGCCCCTTTTCTCCTGACCATCCAAGCTTTCAAGTCCGTCCTCTGTCCGCTCCCGACTTTCCGTTTATCTTGCGGTCTTCAAGCGAAGGGATGGCGAGCATCAAACTCCTGACTGTTGTAAAGCATGAGCATTGCAAAGAATGGCAAGAGAAGATGAGGGTAGGGGCGAGAGCGAATGACAAGAGGGAGGTGGAAGGTGGACAAGACTTGGATAATGGTAAGAGGCAAGCCGCGTCGACTAACCCAAGTTGCTCAAGTGCCGCCACCACGGATGTACATCCCCAGACCCCACCCTGCGCTCATACTCCATTACGTCCAAATCATCCTCAGCGACAAGCTACGCCACATATACATACTATAAAGTCGACATACCGCTCATTTTCATCTATTCCAGTGATCTCCCACTGGCCGACGGCGTGTATTCGTTTGCGTACTTTGGATATTCAGTGGCCACTGCTACGCTGATACATACTAAAGCATGCTTTCTCGCACAGGCTGAGGCTCCGTACACTCCACGGAGACATCTCTGAGTGCAACTCGCTCTGGCCTATGGACGCTCCGGCACGACTGGCCAGTCACAGCCCCCGGTCCCAACCAGGTGACCGGGTTGCTGAGCGCGGTGGCCTACGTCTAGAAGAATGGGCTGACGTTCATCAAGGAGTACCCTATTGTCGGCGGATACGACTACTCTGGCGTAGTTGAGGTCGTCGGCGTCGAGGTCATTACGGTCAAGAAGGGCGATCGGATGTGCGTTAACCCTGGTCTGTGATATGAGTGCTGACCCGACTGACCCGTCCATCCATGCAAAATTACCGGGACAGTCCCTCATTCGACCGGCGGGAGTTTCTAGGAGTTCTGCCTCCAGCCTGCCTCGTCTATGGCCAAGGTATCTCGCATCTCCACTCATCAAGCTTACTTCTAATACTCGATGCAGATGCCAGAAAACGTCACGTTTGAGCAAGCTGCCGTCGTCCCTCTTGGTCTTGCGACGGCAACCACCGGTCTGTGGAACTGTAACCCCGCCATGGGTGCCCACCTCCTGAATCTCCCCGCTCCGTGGGAGGAGGGCGGTCCTACCGCCGGTGCCGATAACGTCGCATTCGTCGTCGGCGGATCTTCCTCCGTCGGGCAGTACGGTCCGTACCCCTCGGCTTCTGTTTGTCCGACACCTCAATGATCTCCCCCTCGCCCAGCCATCCAAGCCCTGAGGATGAACGGCTTCTCAACCATCGTCACAACCACCTCCCTCAAACACGCCGACATCCTCGCCGCGCTCCCGCGTCGTCCCTCGCCTTCGACACGATCGGGCTCCCCGTCACGCAGATGCTCGCGTACTCCGCCCTCGAAAGCGCGGGGCGCGGCGGGTACGTCACCGTCAGCATCACCGGCGACCCCGCCGTCGCCGCGCGAATGAGGGAGACCGGACATGAGGGGATCGTCGTCTCGCGCGCCGCGGGCTCATCTGTCATCCCGCAGACGGCAGCGCTCGGAGCGCAGGTTCTCGCGCGCGTTGGGGGATGGCTCGCGGATGGGACGCTGGTGCCGAACCAGGTTGAGGTGCTTGAGGGCGGTTTGGAGGGGATCCCGGATGGGCTCGCGAGGATCTCTGCGGGGAAGGTGCGCGGGACGAAGCTTGTGGTGATACCATCCGCTACGGGCTGAGGGGGTGGGAGAACATAGATATGAAGCGTGTATTATGCCAATCGAGCTGATCAATATTCGTAAAGACAGCTGTCTGAGAAGAATTCTGAGGGGGCGGGGTCAGTCCGCAAGCTGGATACGCATCTTGAGATCAGTGCTCACCTTCGAGACTCGTCTTCGGATCCAGCGACGCATCCTCAATGATGTCAAGTGCGCGTTCACCGTCCTCTCTCCAGATCTCCCTCAGCCATACCCCGGCGTCTTCCTCGTCCTCACGTTCATATTCTTCATCGCCCTCGTCACCTCCGTCGTCGTCGTCGTCGTCATCTCCGTCGTCGTCGTATCCATAGTCCTCGTCGTCGCTAGAGTCCTCGTCGTCGCTAGAGTCCTCGTCTTCATCGTTATCTTCGTCCTCGTCTCCTCCCTCGTCTCCGTGCATGCATTCTTCATCGTCCTCATTCTGATCTTCATTGTCCGTGTCCTGGCCTGTTTCACCATCCGCGTCTTCGTACGCATGCTCGTTCTCGATCCACCACCACCGTTCAACCCTACGATACACGCTCCGCAGCTTCCGCAGCCTAGCCAGGTCCTCGCTCTCGTGTCCCTCTTCGGCCTCGCGCTTTAGTTCGTCGAAGATCGGGCGCGGTACATCCCCAGCTTTTGCGCCGCGACATAGTTCGTCGAAGGTGAAGAGCTTCGGCATCCAAGGGCCTAGCCGAAGGACGCGGAGTGTCGGAATCGCCGCTGCTACGGCGCGTGAAAGCGGCCACAGAGCCCTCAGTCGTTTCAATTGCCTTCTGCGTGCCCGGGCGACGTTGAACCGGGCGCAGCGGTATTCTTCCTCTGTCGGCACGAGGGTGAGACCGAGGTAGAGCAGGGGCAGAGCCGCGGCGTGCGCGAGTAGCGGAAACTGCGCGGCGCGGTCAGAAAGGAACGCGCATCAGTCGACTCGACAAGCTCACTATGCATGTCATGAGGCTGGACTGGCTGTCGAGCGCAGACGGCCACGTGATAACGTGGAGAGATCGAAGCTGGGGCACCGCGCGGCAGATCTTCTTCCACGCGAATTCTGCCTGGGCGGAGGAGAGCCGGTGGCTGACAGTGAGCTCGAGCGCGACGGGCCGCACGGCTTGAAGGAGCTCGATGAGCGAGAGAACGCAACGGGTTTTTTTGATGTCGTGGTATTGTCCGAGAACCAACTTGCTGATGCGCCCGATGGTCTGGGACATCTTGCGAGGAATGGCGATGCGAGAGTTGCATGTCAAGCTTCGGAGCGTCGGCCAGTTGTCGTTCTTCTGAGCGAGGACAGACCCGCCGTCGAGAGGATGGGCGATGGAGGTGTCTGTGATGGATAAAGTATCGAGGCGAGGGAACATGGCAAGGATGTTGGCAGACATTCCGCCTTGACAGGAAAGGTAGAGATTGCGGACTGAGGGTATTTCGGTCGTCTTCGAGGGAGGATGTGTTGTGTGAAGCCAGAGAGTGAGCGTGTGAAGGGCTTTGAGGGTGGCGAGAATAGTGAAGAGATCGCCACAGTCAACAGGATTTGGATCAAAAGCTTTACCGATTGAAATGTATAATTTTTTAAGCCATCTATGCGATGAAAGGCCTAGAAGGGAGGGGATCGCCCCCTCACGCATGCCGATGAGGGAGAGATCTTCAAGGTTGGACATTGCGCAGATGGCCTGGATAAGCCGCGGGTCTTCATCGACGAACGTCTGAAAGCGGCGCAAATGTAGAACGCGGATGTTGGGGGCTTGAATGAGGATTTCTGTAATGAGCCGTGAGTCGTCGGGCTTGTAATAGTATTGCAGGAAAACGTCGATGGAGAAGTAGCAGAGGTGGAAGGCGCGGGGAAGATGTGAGACTTTTTCGCGACTGCAAAAGTACTGATTTATTTGGCGTATATAGTGCCGCGTCGTCCCATACTCGAAGCTGCGTTGGTTCCCGTCGACCTTGGAGAAGACGCGGGATATGGCGAGTCGATGTGTTTGCTTGGAGCAGCATGCCGTCGCGAGTGCGTCAGGTGGATCCAGGTGGGAGAAGACGAGAAAGAGGACATCCTCGTTGAGTGAAAGCAGGAGTCCGGCCATGCTGGCTAGTATTCAGCCTTGTCCAAGTGCTGAGTGCTGAGTAGTGCTGTCGAGTGCGCCAGAACAGTGACAGACCGCTCCGAAACCGGCAAAGGCCGGCCCAGTTTCAAATGTTCAGGCGCCGATAGATGTGAGTAGTCCATCGCAGAGCGCTAGTCGCCTTTGACGAGCTCTTCATGCTTCGATCAATTGGAAACTTTCAAGCCTCGAGAATCAACATGTTATACACGCTCCGACATCGGGCAGGATGCACTCCCAGTAACGACTCCGCGCAATATGTTGCCTCGACATTGATGTGCCCACTTGTGAGAACGTTTTTCAAATGCATCGACTCGGAGTAGCGCTCCATGCCACGCCGACGGACGGTCAAGAAGTTTGGCAAGAAGTGTAGACTTACATAGCATCAAGTTGTTCCAAGCAGGGAGTGTCAATCAGATCGTGGTTCATGACTTTCTTCCAATGATCCCAATCGCTGAAGCAATATCTCCCAGACTGCCTCGACGTACCGCTCAACTTGAAAGCCTTCCGGCGGCATCGGAAATTATCACACGTGCTCCCCTCGCCATTGACAACGTTGACGGTGCGTCCGACTTTCAGTGCACGAGGCACGCAAATTCTTGTCCGGGACAACTCCGCCGGACGCCTGTGTGGTTGTGATTCTGATCTTCGCAGTTTCTTCGCAGCTCTTTGCAGCCCACACGCTGGGCACACGTGTGATTGGCGCTCCTTTCAATGAAATTCGTACGACCACACGGAGACAAGTGCGTGTTCGTACAACAGGAAGATCCGGTCTGCAGATCCGGTTGGTTCGAGAAAGGCTTTTAGCTTCTCGGGCGCGGACAGGAGAAGCGAGCGCGGATGTCCTTTGTACGCAGACCTGGTGAATTTGACTGCATCGAGTGTACTGTGACTATAAAGGCCCCTGGTGGCGAACATTTGAACTTCGCTCCCCGCGCCACACCCCACCATGCCCGCCATTTCCCACCTCGTCGACCTTGCCTTGCGCTCCGACCCAGTCCTCCAGCCGCCGATCTCCCACTCCTCCTTCACCTTCAGCTCCCTCAGCGTCGCAGGCTTCTTCGGAGGCGATACCGCCGTCTCTGGGATGGCCACCGTCCACCTCTACGCCCTCCGCCGCTGGAGCGGTTGGTACAACTCCCCCGGGAGCTACGAGATCGCGAAGCGGTACGGTCAACTCGCCAACTCTCGCCTCTGGGACGGCCTGTTTCCCGGACCCAAGTGCGAGCCCGCGGCACTCTTCGGTCTCGACGGAAAGCCCGGTCCTGCCTTCCTCGCCGCCCGCTCTGGTTCGAACCTCCCGAGCACTGGTCACCCCGCGTACCTCCTCGCCCGCCGCGCCCGCGACCTCGCGCCCATCGCGTCCGTGCGCGGCCGCCGCACAACCCCCGCCGCCGTCACGCTCGTCGACCTCGCCCACGTGCCTCCCACGACGTTCCACCCCGGCAAGACCACCGGCGCGCACGGCTACCTCGCGCTCCTCCCGATAGGCGCCAGCGTCGCTGCGGCGGTCGTCTGCGCGCTCCTCGCCGACTGGTGGTGCTTCGCGAGCATCGCGCTCGGCATCGTCGCGGGCGGCGTCGCGAGCCTCGTCATCGGCGCGGGCACGCTCGAGTTCACGCACCCGACGCCCGCGCGCGGCGCGCCGCCCGGCGACGGCGTCCTGCTCGACGGCTACGCGACGCTCGTCGTGCGCGGGCCCGAGGCCGCCGTCGGCGCGCTCACGCGGGGCGGCTTCCGGCTCGAGTACGCGGGCGCGCCGGCGTTCGCGCCGATCGGGTGGTGCTCGGTGCTGCTCACCGCGCAGTTCCTCGGGCAGCTCCTCCTCGTCCCGCAGGGCACGCTCTTCGGCGGGCTCATGTTCGTCGCGTCGATCGTCGTCTCGTGGGCGTACAACACGTACCTGTCGAGCATCGACTGCGAGGACGTGCAGACGGAGCTGCTGTTCGAGCGCGTGCTCAAGATCGCGCCGGGCGCGGTGCGCAAGATCGAGCTCCCGTCGCGGACGGCGATGGTCGTGTTTGCGTGCCTCGCGCTGCAGTGCGACCGGCCGGTGCTGAACCCGCACAAAATCCTTGGGGACCTCATCCCGAACGACACGCCGGTGTGGCAGCGATGGAAGGGGATCGTCGCGGAAAAGTGCCTGGCGGGCAGAACGGTACCATTCTCGGATACGGACTGGAAGGTGGATGGGCTGACGGAGGAGGAGACGGAGCTCCTGCAGATGCTCTTCGAGGACGCGGAGGACGCGCAGCAGGCGTGGCAGACACTCAACGACACGACTCCCCGCACAAAGTCAACATGAACGAACTCGATGATACACGTTACGCTTAACGAATGACCGCCCATGATAGACATCATCAGACAGTATTATCAGTTTGGATGTAGTCTCTGTAATATACTACCGCATTAACTGTATAACACGCCGGACATCGTTGACTACTCCGGGCCCATAGTAACGTGTTCAGCTATCGACTTCAGGCTGTGTGATTCTTTCACGACGCACATGCGTTGGTTCACCTACGATTTTCCAAAGTAAACAAGCATTTGGACATCGTGAAGAGGAAGATAACGAGGCAGTTGATCCCTACTTAGGCGAGCCCAAGTTGATTCCAGTCCAGAATCGTGCGCCACTGCGGTCGCGGTGAGCGCGCGCGCACTCTCGTCGGCGCCGCGGCCTGTCTCTCGCCATCACCATCGTCTTTCTCAACCTCCTACCGCTCCCTTCCGCTTGCCACCCATCCTGACATTGTCTATTTGCATGCGAAAATCGACACAAGTTCGGCAAACCTCAACATCGGGGGACATTTGGGTGGCCCAGCAGGGGCGATGAGATGAACGGAACGTCGGGGTTGATTGGAGGAGCATGTCGATGTCGCGAACCGGTCGCACAAGTCCGACGCGTGGCTACTTGTACGTCTTCATACCATGGAGTTTGCCGTTTTCCCTTCTCCACCAGTTGTCGCACAACGCCCCCGTCGGTGTTCACTCCATGTTGCAATGTTCCTTGGGAACGAGGCCATCGTCCTGTCTCTCTTTACACCCCAAATGGCGCTCTCGCCGTGCCATGGTGTCTCAAGCTCGCGCATCGCCCCCCTTTGCGTTGATCAGCCTGCACGTCGGCACGAAGTCGTCCTGGGCGCAGAAGCGGGAGGCAGTCACCGTGCCGAGGCGTGTGCGTTTGACTCCGTGCCTGCTTGCAGGGGTGCTCCCAGGAGGGGTAAAACCATCGCGCACCTGTCGCTTTGCTGCCAGCCGCATCCGCACGCTTTGTATGTCGCCGCATCGCACATGTACTGTCCTCATGTCATGTCCACCATATTCTACGATCTCACCACGCGTGCTGAACGTGAACGTTCATACCCGTGTCCTCTCTGCGCTGAGGCCTCGTAACAGCACTGATCCATGTGTATGTCCGAGCCACTCACCGTGGCGGCGGCATGGGCGCGGAGCGCAATCCGGCAATGGGCATCAGGACCTTGTAGGGCACGGACGCCGGAGGAGCAGACAGCGCGGAGCGGATGTGACTCAGATCCATCCCAGTCGCCCCTAACGGCATACACAAAGGCGAGAAATCCAACCTCTTGCCTTCATCCATCAACTCCGGTCAGCATCCATCTACCACATTTTCATGCGATCCTTGACTCATCGGACCCTGCAGTTCTCACGATGTCCTCTTCGATTGTTCACCGTCTGAACGAAGACATCCTCCTAGCCGTCCTCTCTTACCTCCCAGGATACGACGTAGTACAACTCGCTCGTACATGCAAGTTCATGTACGCGCTCTCCTGTCCAAGCTTCAGTGTGAAGATATCTTACTGGGATCAACACCAACTGTCTCGGAGGGCTGAGGCGATCTGCCGGCCTGGTTCTTCCTCCGCGTCATGCTTGCAAGACCTTGAGTTGGCTCTGATGTCGCATAGTAGAGACGAAGACATCAAGGCCGTGTGCGACATCCTGAGGACCACCAAGAACCTTCGTACGCTGAGTCTTTCCATCGTGATCCCGCCAGGTGGGGTGGGGTATCCCTCGATCGTGCACGCTCTCACTCAAATGAAGGATCTGCGAGCACTCCGTTATTCTCCAATCTTCCTCGACGGCATACTTCCAATGATCGAACACATCCCCTCGCCTAACCTCGCCAACCTCTATCTTTGGTACGATGTCAACTGGGACCCTCAGTTTCCTCCTCTGCTCTCAGTACTCAGATCGTTCCCCAAGCTCGTCACCCTCACCCTGAGTAATTTCGTCCCACAACCGACCTCTCTTGATGCTACCCGAACATCGCTTCCATCCATTCGGCATATCATTCTCGAAAACGTGTCCGTCGCCGCTACGGACATCCTCTACCTCTGCCCCAACCTCGACACCATCGACCTCTCCCCAAGCTACGGATGGAACTTCACGCAAGGCCACATGGAACCCCAACCGAGATGGCCCAAGGTCTCCCGCCTCACCGTGGCCATCCAGGGCCGCGCGAGGAGATGGTACAGAGGCGTCGAAGCACTCGACGACGCGCAGCTGCAGACCGTCTTCGTCGAGCTGCTCGAGCGCCGCGCGAGCGCCGTCTCGCGCCTCGAGCTCGCCGGCGAGTGGGAGTTCACCCGCGACGGCGTCACCGCCGTCGACGCTGACACGTTGGGCCGCCTCGCGCGCCTCCTCGCGGCGCTCCAGCCCCGCGTGCTCACGCTCCTGGTGCACGCCACGGGCTTGCAGACCCCGGAAAAGAGGCTCGACGGCTGGATGTGGACCGAGGTCGCGCGTGCGCTCCCATGCCTGCGCGCGCTGACGCTGCGCTGCGCCCCGCGCCTCAGTTGGGTCCCTCCGGTGAGTCGATCTGGGCAACGTTGTCGGTCAGGCGTCCGCGCTGACATCGACGCCCCGGCTCTGCCTACAGGAAACGCTGCCGGCCGCGCTCGCGCAGCTCTCGCTCCGCTGCCTCTTCATCGACACCAGCCCGGTCGACGATCCGAAGGAACCGGGTTCGGACCGCCGTGAACTCGAGCGCGTGAAAGCGTTTGACGCGCTCCCCACGAAGCTGGTTCCGGCGCTCACGGAGATGCGCGTACTGGGGTTCAAAGGAACGGCCGCGCTACCCGCAGATGCGTTCAAGAACCTCAAGGCAGAAGCATGTCTGGAGGAGCTGGAGGAGTGGAGGAAGGACCACGGCGAGCGGAACACGCGATGGTGGCGGGTGGATGGTGTAGGTGAGGAGCGAACATTGGTCGAGCTCTGGCGCGAGTACGGAGAACAAGCGCAGAAGATCGTTGAAGACTCCGAGGAGGACGGCATCGCGGAAGACCTCGACGGTGAGCTTATCGAAGTCCTGGGTGCTCGAGGTGGACGCTGACTCTGCTCTTACGCAGCTATCTACTTGGACAGGTGCCGGTACGAGCCCTGAATATAAGACACGCACATACGATTATACACGGACAATATCTACGGAGCTCGACATTGAAATCGCTGACTCATCTAGTTGGATTCGTGTCCACTGAGTTGAAGGATACGCTATGGCATGTTCGTTTCTTCACCGTAATGGCTTGCTGATTGTCGCGTGACCAAGGCGCGTGTGGGAGTGTGTGGGAGGGGCCTCTCTCGCGAGTGTCTACGGAAAGGCGGGAGCCGCGCGACCGAGCCCTCGTGGGTGGCTCCGCTGCGCGCGCGCGCGTCGCGATCGCTTCGCCCGCGAAGATTCACTGTCTGGCTCGGCAGTTTGCTGTCCTTGGCTCCAGCGTCGCTGCGCCCGCTTGCCCTCAGGTCGGTGACACCTCGGCCAGATTTCGCGGCGCGGCGCGCTGCGTCGCGCATCAGGCTGAACACGTCGCTAGAACTATCGCGTGCAAGGGGAGCACAAATATGGATTCAATGAAAGATTAAAAACTGGCGCTAGTTTACATGGTGTGCGTGTGGTTCGCGCTCGTTCATTCCTTGCTTATGGCTCGTAGCGGCACTTGTCCAAGTATATCTCTGCGGAACTAGGTTAGCTTAGAGCGCCCTCGGACGTTACCCAACCCGGCGTCCGATGTACTAACCGGCCAGGTCCGCGACGCGATAATTCTCTGCGTTTTCTACCAGCTGCTGCGCTTGCTCTCCGTACTCGCGCCAGAGTTCAACCAACTTCCGCTCCGCCCCTTCGCCGTCGACGCGCCACCACCGCGTGTTCCGCTCGCCGTACCCCTTCCTCCATTTCCTCAGATCCTCCAGACCCCATTTTTCGCTGGTGTCCACCACGGCGTCCGGCAGCGCCGCCGTCCCCGTGATTCCAAGCACTCGCATCTTCGGGAGCGCCGCAAGCAGCTTCGAGGGGAGCGCGTCCAACGCTCTGACGCGCTCCAGCTCCATGCGGGGCGAGCTGTACCTGCTGCTCCCCGAACGGTCCACGGGGCTGGCGTCGACGAACAGGCAGCGGAGCTGGAGCTGCGCCAGCGCCGCTGGCAGCGCGTCCTGCGAGACCGGCATCAGCGAAGTGATGGCGTGAGAGCTCCGCGCCAGACGGGCTCACCGGGAGCTCCCAGTCGTCCGCTCCGACGCGGCGCAGCGTCAGAGCGCGCAGGCGCGGGAGCACGCGCGCGACCTCGGTCCACAGCCGGCCGTCGAGCCTCCTGTCCGGGATGTGGAAGCCGGCGTGCACCGGGAGGGTGAGCGCGCGGGGCTGGAGCGCCGCGAGGAGGCGGGCGAGGCGGCGCGACGCGTCGGTGTCGACGGCGGTGACGCCGTCGCGGGTGAGCTCGCACTCGCCGGCGAGCTCGAGGTGCGGGACGGGGCTCGCGCGGCGCTCGAGCAGCTTGAAGAGCACGGTCTGCACCTCGGCGGCGCCGAGCGTGGTGAAGCCACCGCCCCACCTCGTCGTGTGGCCGACGGTTACGATGAGGCGGGAGAGCTTGGGCCATCTTGGGCGGGGGTCCATGTGACCGGCCACAGAGCGGTCTACGTGGTCGAGAGAGAGGTTCAAGGACTCGAGGTTGGGGCAGAGGTAGACGAGGTCCGTGGAGGTTACCGAACAGCCGCGCAACGTGATGTGCAGGATGGACGAGAACGATGGCCGGGTGGTGTCGAGAGGAGTCGGGCCTGGCAGGAAGTAGTTCAGGGCGAGTGTAGAGAGCTTCGGGAAGGCCTCAATGGTGGACAAAAGAGGAGAGAAATCGTGTGGCAACTGAAATCCGTGCCAGAGATCGAGCATGACGAGATTGCGTGAAGGGATAGACTTGATGATCGACAGGACGCCAGGGCTGACTGGACGGCAAGACATAGATCGCAACTCTTGCATCTGAGCGAGGGCACGAGCGGCTGGTGGGTGGAGTATGAAGCTAGCATCACAAACCTGAAATTCCAAGTTTCGCAGATTCTTCGTCGCAGTGAGAATATCGCCAATGGTATCCAGGTACTGTTTGTGTATCGTAGTAGGTGGTTCAAGGTTGATTTTCAGGTGGTGTATGTAAACCGCGCTGCGGGTGCGTGGCTGACAGATGTCGTAATGGCGTCCAGTGAGTTGGGTTCGACTTGAGATCTTGATGGTGAATCTGGGAGAACAAAGCGCATACATGAACTTGCATGTGTGGGCGAGTTGCACTGCGGCGTATCCTGGGAGATAGGAGACGATGTTGTGCACAATATCTTCGTTGAGCCGACAGACCACTGAGGACGGCGGCATTTAGATTTTTGAGCCGCGTGTTAAGAAATAAATCGCGAATGCATGGATTACTGCGCCGGTCTAGGCAGGTGTGAGAAGACGAAGATATTTAGGAGACTGCGGGGACTTACCTGAGGAAGTCGTGGACTCGCGATGGAGTGAGGGTGGCCCTAGCCGTGCACAATTCGGAGGCCCTTGAAGTGACAATTGAGCTCAGAATGTGCACTTGTGTGTTTGAGAACACTTGCCAGTCGCCGATCAGTTGAGAGAGTCAGGAGACGAAATGGATAGACGCCCGCGACGCCCGCGTCGGTAAGCGCGCTTAATGCGCCTCCCCTTTCATTCACCCTCGATTTGCCACTACGTCGCGGCTTATTCCGCGCACCTTTCCCCTGGCACCACACCCTGCTCCGCGGGTCGTCCTGCCAGCGCGTGCGCCTCCTTTGAAGCGTCTTCGTCACATCTACTACGGTGCAGCGAAGGCACGGCTTCCGCAAGTCTCTCCTGGAGCCCAGTTAGGAGACGCCGGATATCCAGGCGTTCGGAGCGCGTCTGCGTCCTGGATCACAGGTCCGTAACGCTAGGAGTGTTTCGAAGAAATTTCAGCACCCTTGTGCTCCTCACCGCCGCGCGCCTCTGCGCGATAGCCGACGCGCAGCTGAAGGCGAAGTACGCGGGGCGTATCCGACGAGGATGTAAGGCAGGCCTCGCCCGACCACAGGGTGATAGGCGTGGTGTTCCTATACGACGAGACTGTTTGTAGCAGTTCTTCGAAGTCGACGATACACGTGTCCTCCACTGCATTCAGTGTGCGAGGCCTCTTTCAATGCTTCCTCGTGATGTATGAAGTTGGGACACAGCGTGGCTTCTCCACTGGTGCCAAGGATGCGCCGTGTAGTTGAGCAGAGCCCTTCGTCCTCTCCCTCTCAAGCGCGGATGGGAGGGTGCTCTCGTGGTGTCTGACACTCGCTGCATGCAATTTCTGTTCATGGACTTGCGAAGCCCCCGCCGAAGAATCCTCTTGCCAAGCGGCTAGGGGGACACCATCTAATCTAATCTCCGGGCGCCGATAAGTCGCAGCGGGCCTCGCTGCCTCTGGTCCTGGTTCGTCACGTACCACGACGAGAACGACTTCGCACATTTGTCCAACCGTCTCTCCACTCCAGGGCAAGTGCCGTCTTGCGAATACCACTCATGCCAACGTGGTAATTTAATTATTCTAGATCCCACTGGCCATGGAACCTCTCATAGATCGTCTCAACGACGATGTTCTGCTCATCATCCTCTCCCATCTCAAGAAGCGAGATCTCTGCGCCTTGTCGCTCACTTGCAAACACTTCCATATGGTTTCCTCTCCAAGACTCTGGACAGTTCTTCCGATAGATTGGGAGTTCTTCGTGTCCTGGTGGCATGGTAATCTCGGCACGAACGCTCATCATGTCCGTGAGATAGTGATCCATCTCGACTTCGACAAGCCACGTACATTTCCCGATGTCTTGTTCGCAACCAAGAACATCCGTTCGCTCGAAATAATCCATATGTCTCTCCTCTATGACGACCCGCGTCTTTCTATCGCTCTCGCAGAACTGCGCGAGCTCCGGACACTCTCTTGCAACTGGATCGAGGACGAAATGCTGCCGACGATCCAATGCATCCCCTCTCCCAATCTCACAAGCCTCAGTCTAGCCTATAGAGGCAAAACAAACGCTTGCGTCGACCTCCCCTCCATCATCTCCGTCATCGGATCCTTCCCTCGCCTGCATGATCTAAAGCTAGAGTTCCTGAAGCCGACCACCGCCGTCGACATCGCCAGCTACCCGCCATTCACCTCCATCCAGCAGCTCACCCTCTACAACGTCACCAAACCTGCGACAGATCTCATTTACCTCTGTCCAAACCTCACTTCCCTGGACCTTGGTGCCGACTATCCTTTCCGAGGGAACCCTCACGGATCCCGACCGAGATGGCGCCCGTCGCCGATCCCTCGACTCACCCTCACGGTCCTGCGCCCAGCGACCAGAGCCTCCATTGTCTCGTTGCTGGAGCAATGGGCCTTGCGCGCGGCACACGTTCGATTCGCAAAGCTATGGGAGTTCACGAATGACGGCATGTCGTTCACGAACGACGGCATGTCGTTCGCGAAGGACGACGCCTCGTCACAACTGATGCGCATCCTCGACGTGCTCAATCCGCGCTCCTTCCACCTGGAAATAGCGGTGGTGTGGGGCGCCGGGCCGTCGGACCCCACGGGAAGTCTCTGGAAAGAGGTCGCCGCGGCCGCGCCGCACCTGCGTGCGCTCGTGCTCCACGTAGAAGCATTCGACGACCGCAGTACCGAGAGCGAGCAGTGGCCGCTGACATGGGCGCCCTCGGTACGTCGTGCGCCGTCTGCGTCGAGCACGCCCCTCGCTCACCGAGCGTCCCCCGCACGCCAGGATGCGCTCGTGGCGGAACTCGCGCGGCTCCCGCTCGTCTGCGTCCATCTGGAGGCGGACTCAGAATCGTCCTACCGGAAGCCAGGGGAGGCGGAGCGCCAGCGCATCCGCGCGCTCGCCGCGTTCCCCGAGAAGCTCGCCACGGCGATCCCCACACTGCGCGTCGTGGGCGTGTCGGACGGGTGGCTCAAGTTGGAGGGCTTGCGGTCCACGCAGTGGTGGCGCGTCGAGCGTGGCGACGGCGACGCGTCGCGGTCTCTGGTCGAGCTCTGGCGCGAGGACGGGGAGCGGGCGCTGCGGCTCGTGCAGAACGAGGCGTTTTCCATGTCCGATCTTGACGGTGAACAGATGTCTGAGCTCTGATTTTATGCAGCGGCTAACTTGTGTCTCTGTAGACATCTACTCGGAGAAGTGCCGTTACGTGTGGGGGTAAGCGGGGAGCACGCCGAGCGGGCCACAAAAACGTTCGGAACCCGCGCGCGAATGAGCTCAGGGACCGGACGTGAGGGTATTGTCGTCTCGCGTGCCGTGGGGTCATTTATCGTCCCACAGACGGCGGAGCTCGGCGCGCAGTCTCCTGCGCGCGTTGGGTTATGGCTCGCGGATGGGAAGTTGGTGCCGAACCAGGTCGAGGTGCTCAAGGGCGTTGTGGAGGGGATTCGATATCCCGGATGGGCTCGCAGGATCTCGGTGGTGAAGCGAGCGGGACGAAGCTTGAGGTTATACCATCCGCCACAGCCTGAGGGAGTGGTCCCAAGTTACAACGAAGCGCATAGGAGGCGGTACTTAAAAGTGCAGCAGCGTGCGGGGTATTATAAACTGGCTATCTATGCAGTACTAGGATTACAGAGTCGTCGCAGTGTCGCCGACTGCCATCCTGCCTTCTGATCGAATATGTCCACCATATCATAGAAGGGGCGCGAGCATTACCAAGTGCTGCGACGAGAGTAAAGTAAAGGTGAGGGTGAAGTAACGCCAAAACACTGTGTCCGAGAAGAGCACCTCGACCGCGACCTCACGCCCCGCCGCTGAACTAGTGTTGCCCACGGGTCGGGTATACCCGTCGCGGGTACGTGTATGTAGCCGCGCGGGGACGAGTACGGGTCGAGACTTTCGTACCCGCGCTCGACCCGCGCCTTTACCCGTACCCGTCCACTCGAAGGACTGCAATGCGCGCCGCGGTGTGCCCAGAATCCACGAGGTTGTTAAGCGTACAAACAACCTGCATTGAAACGAAGATGAGCGCAGGCCTTTGAGCCTCCATCACGCGCCGGTCCGCTGACGCGGAATCTCGTCTAGTCGATCCCAACGTCTCCGGAAGCCTTGGGGGACCGGCGAGCCCGGAGACTGAACGTCGGGGTGGGCTTGATGAAGCGCGGCGCACTCAATATCGGGGGAGACCTGGCATGCTGACGCTGTGGAGTGGCGCTCTCGTTTAGTAGGTGCTCTCGACAGTACCTTCGAAATCTGCGACTCGATACACAAGGAAGATGGTCGTTATCATGACTGGAGATGCTTTCCTGATGTCCTACAAGCCTTAGTAAGTGATCATAGTAGGCGACTGCACGATTCCCAGATCACAAAATAAGAGCTTACTGAATCACTCCTCTTCTGGGATGTTTCATAAACAGTCCACTGGACGCCCATACCCGTGACCCTAAGCCCCCTACCCGCGAATACCCGTACCCGTGCCATGCGGGTGCGGGTAGTCCGCGGGTCGAGTACGGGTACGCGGATTTTACCCGTACCCGACCCGTATGCAACACTACGCTGAACCCGTACTTGGCCGTGAACTTTGCGAACCCGGCCTCGCGCGCCCGCCGCGCCACGTCCTTCCTCCGCTCCTCCTCCGTCATCGGCGGCGGCGCGGGTTTCGACTTGCGCGCGGGGCTTGACCGCGACGGTGCACCAAGCGCGCGCTTTAGCCACGAGGGGGATTTTGAGCGGCGCGGCGTGGGAGGGGAGGGCGTCGGGGACGCGAGGCCGTACTGCGATTGGAGGGTGCCGAACGCGGACTCGTAGTCCTTCGATTTTGGGCCGTGAAGAGGGGTGGTGGAGACGGCGGTGGAGGTGCTCGCGAGCGATGCGAGGGACGGAGAGGATGGGAAGGCAGTCTGTGTGGTGGTTGCGGGCATTGCGGATGTGGTGGTCTGGGCGGTGGTTGCGAGAGGGATGTGGACCGGAATGGTTGGGCACAGAAGTAGGAGGAGGCTGCGTGGGAGGTGCAGAGGCTGTTGAAGGGGTATGCGTGGTTGTGGCGAGTAGTTAGTGAGGCGGCTGGGCGAGGTGCGTCACTCGAACTTATACCGAGCGTAGACGCACCCCGTCCACCATGCACCAGGATTGACTCCGCGCAGCGCCTGCAGTTGCAGGGTCCCTGCGCACTCATCGCAAGAACCTTGCATACAGCTGTGCACCCGCAGGACGAATGACTCACTTGACAGTTCGCGGCACCGAGATCACGTTGTGCCGGAGGAGTAACGGCATGTCGCGAGCGATCGTGTTAGATGCAACTGAGGAGCTTCCGGATGCTGTGAGGCGTGTTGATCGGAAAGGCCCCGAGGTCTTCTTCGGGGCGGTGCGAGTGCTTGTCGGAAACTCTGAAAGACGGTGTCCGCCGAGTCACCGACCGAACGTTCGCTAAACTTAGCATCGGCTCGGAGGATGCTCGTGGCCCAGAAGTTGTACGTCTCATCCATCTGGTATCTTATTGTGAGCAATGGAGCGTCTGAAGACGTGAGACCAGGGTATGTATCTCGTGCATGGCGTGCGCCGTGCGGCCTGTCTGCCGCAACATCACGGCGAGCCCACTATGCAGCAGGTGTCGTGCCGCGCCGCGTGGAGAACGTGGTGTCGATGTGTCCCACTTTGGAAAATCGATGGGGACGATTCCGCGCGGAAATGGCGAGGCGGAGGACGCTGGGCTTACAAGCTTTGCACTGCCAGTACTTCTTCCCGACAAGGCCAAAACAGACCAAGGCTCTCAGGGCCTGTCCAATGCGAAAGAACTCACCCACTAATATGACCGTTTATGCTTATGCACCATGCCACACTGTCCATGAGAGGACGCTGTCCTAATCGCACTTTGTCAATGTGCATCGGCGAGTGACCAGACGTCTGCGAGACTTGCGGAGAGTCTTGGCGAAGAAGCACGTTCATTACACCAACGCGCGTGAGGCAGTGTGAGTTTTCGAGAGATGGGGCGCGCACTGCTTGAGATTCGAGGAGGAGAAGAGAGGAAGAGTGCGCGGTGCACACCGCACGCCGGTCAGTGCTGAAGCGCTAACCGGCGCCGGCCGGCCTCGGACTCGGGGCCCGGCCTCCGCGGCCACCGGGCCCGATGTCGGAGCGCGGAGCGACTAGTACTGCAGAGACCGCGATGACTCCTTCCACCTCCCCCAGTTCATAGTGTGCTAACGCTGGTGCGCAGGTGTCGCGCGCGAGGCATCCTCCAAGCTATTGGTGCGCAGCTGAGTCACGCTGCGCTCCCGCAGTCCGCATCCTCGCCGTACCATCGCTGCGAACCATGTCCTATCACCAACACCATCTTTTCGTGTTCGTCAGCGAACGTAGGTTCACATGCACAGCACTCGAGCACGCGCGCAGAGTCGTATAAAGCTGGCATGCCTCCCAGTCCTCTTCCTCACCAACCCAACGTCTCAAACCGCGCTCGAGCGTTCATAGCCCCAACACCCTCACCCTTCCGCCATTCCGGAAAACAATCCCACCACTATCACCACGATGCCCACAAGCACCACAACCGCCTCCATCCCATCCTCACCCTCCTCCCTCTCCGTCGCGAGCACTTCCACCGCGGTTTCCACCACCCCCACGCCCAAAGCAAAGGACTACGAGTCCGCATTCGGCGCGCTCCAGACGCAATACGGCTTCCAGGCCTCCGCCCCCGCACCCTCCCGCCCCTCGCCCAAGTCGCAGTCGCATTCGCAGTCAAAATCGGCTTCTTGGCTCAAGCGCGCGCTCGGCTCGAGCTCAGCCTCGCCCTCGCCCTCTTCACCCCCGCGCGCCTCTGCGCCGCAGCCGACGCCGCAGTCAGGGGAGAGCCGGGCGAAGGAGGCGGAGCGCGAGGCGGAGCGCGCGCGGCGGCACTACTACGAGGACCAGTTCGCGCAGTTGACGGCAAAGTACGGGTTTGGAGGCGGGCCGGGTCCGACGAGGATGTGAGGCAGGACGCAGCTGGTTCGTGCAGTGATCGGACGTCCGTATGTACTTATGTCGTCGCGCACCGCAGGGGAGACTATTTGTAACCGTTTTTCGAAGTTGACGAGATGCGCGATCTCCACTGAACTCAATGTGCGAGCCTCTTCCCACCGTCCTCAAGTTCACGATGCAAGTCGGGAGACCAGCGGCAGGCCTAATCAAGGGCTTTGCTGATCGCGCCATGGGGTCGAGCAGAGCCCCCTTCGTTCTCGACCTCTCCCGCGCAACTAGGAGCGAGCTCGTTGTATTTCTGACACTCACTCGATGTTTATTCCGTTGATGGACTCGCCGCGAAGCTCCTTGTGGTTGATCAACCGATAAATACTTAGAGAGCAACATCTAATCTAATCTACTTTGACCTTGGCGACGAGATAAGCCGCAAAATCTGCTTCGTCACCTACCACCACGACCTAGAGTCCGCAGGTGACACACCAATCAAACACGGTTTATGTGCATATTTGCTAACGAAATTGCTCATTTTTCCAGCTCGTAAATGATCCTTACGACCCTTCGACGGTCCTCATCTCCAGGTCAAAACTCCGGGGCAAGTGCTATCTTGCGGGTATTACTCATGCCAACGTGCTAATCTATTCATTTCCAGGCCCCAGCCATGGCACCTCCCATAGATCGTCTCAACAACGACGTTCTGCTCATCATCCTCTCCTATCTCAAGAAGCGAGATCTCTGCGCCTTGTCGCTCACCCGCAAACGCTTCCGTATGGTTTCCTCTCCAAGACTCTGGACAGTCCTTCCGATAGATGAGGCCTTCTTCGTATCCTGGTGGCATGATAATCTCCCCACCAACGCTCATTATGTCCGTGAGATAGCGATCCATCTCAACTTCGACAAGCTTCCCGATGTCTTGTTCGCAACCAAGAACATCCGTTCACTCGAAATAACCGATATGTCTCTCCTCCATGACGACCCGCGTCTTTCTATAGCCCTCGCAGAACTGCGGGAGCTGCGGGAGCTCTCTTGCGGTTCTGTCGAGGACAAAATGCTGCCGACGATCCAAAGCATCCCCTCTCCCAATCTCACGAGCCTCTGCATAGGCTATCAAGGACATGAAGACGTTCCCTACAACCTCCCCCCTCTCATTTCCGCCATTGCGTCCTTCCCTCGCCTGCATTCTCTCATGATAGAGCAAGCTAGTAATCCGACCACCGCCGTCGACATCGCCAGGTACCCGCCGTTCGCCTCCATCCAGCAGCTCTACCTCAACGGCGTCACCGAGGCCGCGACAGACCTCGTTTATCTCTGTCCCAACCTCACCTCCCTCGAACTCGGCTTCGACGATCTGCGCACAGAAGACCCTCACAAATCACGACCCACGTGGCGCCCCTCCCCGATCCCTCGACTCACTCTCACGGTTCTGCGCATGCGGGCCAAAGACCCCATAGTCTCGTTGCTGGAACAACGGGCCGTGCGCGCGACACACGTTCGACTCTCCATGCTCTGGTGGTTCACCCGGGACGGCATCTCGTTCACGAAGAGAGAACCCGCGTCCCGCCTCTCGCGCGTTCTCGCCGTGCTCAAGCCGCGCTCCCTCTACCTGGAGGCGTCAGTCGCGCCGGACGCCAAGCTGTCCGACCCCACGAGACCTCTCTGGAAAGAGGTCGCCGCAGCCGCCCCACACCTGCGCGCGCTCGTGCTCCATGTGGAATCGTCCGACGAGGTCGATACCGAGTTCGACGTAGACTCAATCAACGACGATACCGAGGTCGAGAGGCCGCGGATGCTGTGGATGCCCCCGGTACGTCGCGCGTCTGACTCGAGTGCGCCTTGCTCACCCGATGTTCTCCACACGCCAGGACACGCTCGCGGCGGAGCTCGCGCGGCTCCCGCTCGTCTGCGTCTATCTCAAGGCGGACCCAAGGCTGTTTGACCGGAAGCCGGGGGAGCCTGACGCGGAGCACCAGCGCCTCCGCGCGCTCGCTGCGTTTCCAGAGAAGCTCGCCGCGGCGATCCCCACACTGCGCGTCGTGGGCGTGTCGGACGGGCGGCTAAAGCTGGAGGGCGTGCGATACACGCAGTGGTGGCGCGTCGAGCGCGGTAACGGGGGCGACGCGCCGTCGCTGGTGGAGCTCTGGCGCGAGGACGGGGAGCGGGCGCTGCGGCTCGTGCAGCACGAGGCGTTTTGCATGTCCGATCTTGACGGTGAGGAGATGGCTTGAGCTCTGACCTGGAGCAGCGGCTGACTTGTTTTCCTGTAGACATCTACTCGGAGAAGTGTCGTTACGTGCCGGGGTGAGCGTTGAGCACGAGCGCGTTGCCGCCGTTTCAATCGCGACCTTCCTCCACAACTACGCTGAAAGAGGAAAGGATTCTCTAAATGCCAGGGAAGAGCTGGTACATTAAAGTCTTTGTACGGGGTGGAAGCCGAATCATAGTGGAATGGTCGTATGCCAAAATTACGACCGAGTCAATACGATGTCATTCCATGCACGGACGGCTTTCAATCATCGTTCATGGGGATATTTTTATAAGTAACTATCTGCAGAAAAGAAAATCTGCCTGCGTGGCGCGCAGTATGCGTCCATCCGACCGTCAAGTGGAGACGAACGAGAATTTCCGTCGCGAAAACCCCGATCCCTTCATCGACCCGCCACCCTCTGGTATCTCGACCTCCCTGCTCACGCCTCCGACACTCCTCCAAGTCAGAGTCGGAACCGGCTTCGACGCTTTTCGGTGAAGAATCCTAAAACATGTGCTCAGCGACGCACACATTCTGGAGGCCCTAAACACTCACCTTCAAAGCTCGTGTTCGCATTGAAAGACGAGCCGCAGATGATTCCGCACGCGCGTTCGCCGTCTTCTCTCCACATCTCGTCCAACGTCCGGCCGCCACCGCCGTCCTCCCCGACCCACCACCACCGTTCGTCACGGACTCGCATCTCGCGCTTCAGCTTCCGCAGCTGCTCCAGCTCAGGACACGCATCCGTAGCACCCCGTTCCTCCGCCTCCAGCGCTTCCAATACTTTTGGCCGAATTTGAGCTCCATGCGATAAGTTGAGTATCACCTCGTTGAGGGTGAACAGGCGAGGCGTGTAGGGGCCGATGTGGAGGACACGGAGGCTCGGAAGTGCGTTCGTGGTGACGAGCCTCGGGAGCGCGCGTAGAGCGTTGAGTCGGCGCAGCTCCATTTTGCGTACGGACGTTACGATGTGCATGCCGCTCGGGGAGAGCCTCGGAGGGAAAGGTAGCAAGAGCGACAGGTGGAGAAGAGATATGGATGAGAGGGCGTCGAGCATTGGTGCCTGTGCATGCTGGGGCTGTCAGTCGCAAGACGGCCGGAGGACCACGGGATGCTCACCACGAACGGAAGCATGCAGTGCAACTCGTCGGCTACGGGATGGATCGTGACACGAAGAGAGCGCAGCTGAGGCGCTGCGCGACACAGGTCCGGCCAGAACGACGGATGGTCCACCAACCTGAAGGCGCTAGTCTCGAATTCGACCACGACCGGGCGCGCGGCGTGGAGGACGGGGGTGAATTTGGGCACAGAGCTCGAGGGTCCGACGAGCAAATCTCGGACGTTATGCATGTGCCCGGCAGAGTCCACCCGGACGTGCGGGGGCGGGTTGACACAAGTCAATTTCTGGAGCGCAGGCCAGCCGCTGCCAGCCGCCGGCCCAGTGACTGGCCCGTCGCGCCAGAAATAAAGGTCCGCATCTAAGGCGACAAGGGCGGAGAAACGGGCAGTGACCGCGCAGTATGCCGATGGAGGGCAGGAAAGATGGAGGCGATGGACCTGTGGCAACTTCAAGTCCTTCGAAGTGCTCTCAAATTGAGAGAAGGACTCGGGAAGAAAAAGGTGGAGAACGTCCAAGAGTGGGAGGGAGGCGAGCGTGCGGATGACGAAGTCGAGATCCAAGTCGTCCTGACCAAACTCGAGGTGTAGATCGGTGAGTTTTTGGCCGAGCAGCATGACCGGGAGAGAGGCTGTCGCGACGGCCTCCATGCCGTGCAGAGCAAGTTCCTCCAGTCTGGACAACGCGCCGATGGCCTCGCCGAGCCGGGAATCTCCTCGGATGAACTCCTCGACATAGGAAATGAGGAGGAACTGGAGATTGACTGCTTTAAATAGGAAATCCGTGAAGAGTGGAGCAAAGTCCTGTGGCCAGGAGGGCTCGCAATCGAGGGTGAACCGACGGAGGTAGTGGACCCGAGGGACCTGGGACACTGGCTCACAGCTCAGCAGCAGCGAGCATACCTTCGCCAATCGGGGTTGATCTTCAATCGGAGGACTGCTGCCTTTTGCATGGATATCGAAAAAGACTTGGGAAATAGCGAGGCGGTAGGCAGCCTTGGAGCAGCACGCCACAGCGAGGGCCTCCGGTGCTTTCAATAGGGAGAAAATGAGGAAGAGAACGTCTTCATTGAGTGACAGTAGAAGTGGGGGCATGAAAGTAAGGCGTGAGGACGGGGATGGGGATGGGAGCCAGGTTGGAGACTGATGGTCGCTGGAAGGATACAAATCACGACACGTACACATGCTGCGTGACTGCGAGTCAGGCCCACCCAGACTCACACGCGCACCCTGTATGCCCCCCGTATTTCCTCCGTAAGTGGTCCCAGCCAGCTAGCTCGCCTGTCCATTCATCATACAGGCGATCGAATTGTAAGGAGGAAAGGTGCAGGAAACCAGACGATTCTGATCACTGGAGAGGACAGCGAGAGCATACGCGAGAAAAGCGGTGGAGAGAGCAAGTCAGGTCTGGACAAGGGAGCGAGGAAGGGACGACGGTAGTGGATGGTGATGGTTGACGGCAAAAAGCAAGCGGGGCGTCAGCCCGCCAACTTGCTGCCAGACCTGCAAGCTTCTTACCTGGGCCAAACCTCGTGTATGGAGCTCTCCACCTGGTAGACATACTCGACTAACCTTGGCGTCAAGTTCATACATAGCGAAGATCCCCAACATTACTGTTGCTCTATCATTCAAGGACAGTTGGCGGTCGACTGACCGATGGTGTAAGTAGATGTCCACCGCGGCCGTTTTTGGGCGGATTACGGCGAGTTCGTCCGTATTCACAGCCTGCTCTAACTCACAATATCTATACTCCCGCGTGGGAGGGGTCTTCGAATGCTTTTAGGGTATAAATCGTCACTACTCTCGTCCTCCGTGACCACTCACGCCGTCTCATGCGGCCGCATGACCAGCTTCACCCCGCTCACCTCCCCTTCCTCAACTTTTCTAGCCCCGCTTCGACGCCTTTCAACCCCCCCGGCACCAACTCCACCCTCGCCGGCTTGATCGTCCCGTCCTCCAGCCACCCCGTCATGCGCTTATACACCTCGACCCCGAGCGCCTTATTGACGGGGACGCCGAACGACCCGAACTGGCGGACGAACTTCTTCTCGTCCTCGGGCTTGATGCGCCCGTCGAGCCACGGCGCGCTGGGGTACACGCACGCGAGGCCCCCGCCGCGCGCGAGCGCGTCGTAAGCGAGCGGGAGCGACTCTGGCGTCGGCCTCGCGTCGAACGCGAACGGGACGCCTTTCCCGCCCGTGAGCGACGGCAGGAGCGCGAGGACGTCCGCGGGGGGGAGCGCGCGCTCGACAACGTGCGTCGCGCCGAGGGACTTGAGCCAGGGCTCGTGCTTGGGCGAAGCGAAGGCGATGATGGGCGAGAATCTGTGGTAGTGCGCGACCTGGACGGCTGCCGGACGCCGGCGGGTGAGCGGCGCGAGCGTGGACGGTGGCGGGCGAGCGGGACGTACCGAATTGCCCGACGGTGGTAGAGGCACCGAAGATGAGCGCGGGCTGCCCCGCGTACTTGGTCGTGCTGCCCTCTTCCCACGGCGCGGGGATGTCGAGCGACTGCGCGTCGGGGTGGCGGCTCCAGAGTCCGGTGACGACGGTGGCAAAGCAGAGAGGGATAGTGGCGGCCTGGTCAAGGGAGATGTTCTCCGGGACCTGGTACGCATGCTTTAGCTCGGCTGGGAGCGTCGAAAGCGCGAGGACTTACGCGGGCGACGTTCTCGGCGACGGCCACGCTGTACTCTGCGAAGGACGAGTTCCGCGGGGGGTCTACCGCGCCGGGGAAGAGCCTAGTGCGGTTTCAACACGGGTCCCGAAACGCGCGAGAAGTTGGACGAAGACGTACACTTTGTCATCCTTCACGACGTTGGTGACGTTCTCGCCCACCTCCTCGACGACGCCGGCGCCGTCCATCCCGCCCGTCCACGGGTAGCTCTCGATGAAATCCGCGCCAGCAGATTGGAGGATCCAGTCGGCGGGGTTGAGTCCGGCAGCCATGACCTTGATGAGTACCTCGCCGGGCTCGGGGGTGGGGACAGGAAACTCGGTGCGGAGCTCCCAAGGAGCGCGCTCGGAAGGGACGAGGAGGATCTTCTGCGTCTTCGGAGCCATAGTACTGAAGGATACGAATGGAGGGGTGGCTGTGGGAGCGGTGAACTATGCAGTTTCAGGACGCGGATGATGCTAGTTCACGAGGTTTTGTATTTAGGACCGTGGCTGAGTGATTGGACGGCATTGTGGTGGAGACTACCCACTCGAGCACCGACATTGCGCAGATATAAGTGTTCGCCGTCACACTCCGGCAAGACCAAATGGGTTCGCGCTGACCAAGATGGACTAAAGTTGGCGGGACGTGATGTGGGTATGCAGGGGATCTCGTGGTCTTGTGAGGGGTTTTCGTAGTCTAGGTGTCGTAATGAGAAAAGAAGCAACCAATTCCTAAGGGGTAGCGACGAACCTATCATAGCATCTTGCTCCTTACAAGACAGCGGTATGACATACGGCGATTAAGCATTCCTTCCGCCGTTGGTGAGATGCAAGTTCCACAACCCGAAGCCGAGCACGTTGGTTCCATTCACGGGCGATACTTACGCTCGCCGTCGTCTGACTTGATCTTCCCGTCAACGTCCTTCGAGATTGGTATGCCGGAGGCGACCAGTTGTGCGCAAGAAGGAGCTTCTCCGGTCGAATGGCACCGCAAGCGTACATCAGCATTGCGCCGTTCGTGATATCCTTGATCGCGAAGGCGAGCCGCTTGTGGGATATTGCGGCCAAGGACGTGCGTAGCACCGAGGGACTTCGGCAATGAGTCCTGGTAGAGTGAGGTGGTATATATAACCAGGCACAATCCGTTGGGGCGTCCGACGAGCCATATGGATAGCTGGAGAACGGGTAAGAGACCAAGCCCGCAGACATTCGTAAGAAAATGTGTGTACCGTACCGACCGACGCAAGAAGCACCTCCTATGTAAGTCGAGCACGGGCTGACCATGATTCTTCCACCTTCCTCGTCGGTTCGGCACTCCTCAGGCGGTTCCCCGTAGCAGCTTCAATAGAGAGGCGGAGCACTCTGTTGAGACATCCGTAAGTCTTGCTATGTTCTAAAGCTTCTAAAGCTTCTAAAATTTTAGAGATTTTTTTGCTAGAAGTGTTAGAAATTTTTAGAAATTTTTAGAAAGTTTTAGAGAAGTTAGAGATGTTAGAAGGGTTAGAGGGATCAATTGGTGACATTGATATGTGTATACATATTAGAGCTATTTTAGTAGTTCAAAGCTATGGTAGTCAATATAACAGTTGACATAGAAAGAGTTGAAGGACTGTAAAGTGTCATAATGGTTCCAACCCTTTTGAAGTACTCTAGTTCCATGGTATGGGATAAGATGGCAAGAACGAACTATAGAATCAAGAGGAATAATGTCAATAGCTCGTTGGTTATGCACCTTTTCAGGCTCAACTACCCACATGCCTGTAAGGGCATCTGGCTCATCCAAAACTAAGTCAAACCACTCAACAAGAGCACATCTATACACTTCAAACTGTGTGGGAATGGAGAAGAACTTGCGAACTCTAGCAACCACCATACCACGCATAGGGTCATTCTCAGTGCCAACTTGAACCAATACTGTGTCAAACCTTGGCTCCCCATTCATCCAGTTAGGATTGCACCTGATTATTTCTGAGTACATACCACCTGGGAGACTAAGCTCACTTGGAGCAAAGTAGGTGGCATGTGCACAGAGATAAACAGACATCCGCGTTTCTGGGGATATCTGTGGGCAGTCTAGCAAAGGCACAATCTCTTCAGGATCGTCCAGGCCAGCAAACATCTGCGCACGCAAGAAGCGGCGAACCCTGGCATGGAAGTCAGGTACACCAAGTTCAGCTCCTAAGGCAGCTAGGCGCTTGTGATATGCTAAAAGAGTATTGATGAGTGATATCTGTGTTAAGAATACTTTAAAAACATACCAGCACGGGCAGGAAAAGTAACTTCAGCCTCTGCCTCAGCTTGGCGAGCTGCAGCCGGATTGCGTGGAGGATATGGAGGGAGTCGTCCAACCTAACATTGATTAGTAAGTGCTATTCTCAACAATGAAGTGGGCTAACACCTACCTCTCGCAAAGCCCAGTCAGTGATCTCACCCTCCAACAGACCTGAATGCCCAAGAGCAATCCGCAGAGCATTCAGCTTGCTCATACGAACGTTCCGCTGCAGCATCTGAGGGAGGGCATCATTGCGGTTAGATGCGCGCCAAGGACGCTTGACTGCCTCAATGTGCTTAGACTCTGTGATAGAAGTGCTAAGCCCATTGAGGGAGCCAAACAACTCAATTGCCTCAGCATAATGCTCTAAAGCATGCTGCCGAGGCAATGAGATGTGCACTCGAACACCAGCAATGATAAAGATATGACGAAGAGTGCAGAACTCCTCAAGCAGGGCCTCCATGCGTGCGATAGTGTCAGTAGTGTGCACTGACAATCTTGCAAGGTATGCAAAGTCTAGGAAGACTCTGACACACTCTACAACCTCATCAGGCACAATACCAACAAGCGCAGGCAAAAGAACCTAATGAGGTAGATTAACACAGTTACACACAGAAGTTGGTCAAACATCCACATACCTTCATGAGAGCCTTGGAGTCATCTCCTGTCCATTGGCTGAAGTGGCGTCCATCAGGAAAACGTCGGAGTCCTGAGAAGCTAGGCACTGCTGCAAGCCTATAATAGACAAGTTAGAAAGGGCCATACCATTATAATGGTAGTGAGCATACCGCCGGTCGAGACTATCCAGTCTCTTTTTTGCCTCCACCTCTGTGTCTGAGGTGAGTACAATGTAGTCCTCAATCCAAGCCACCAAGTGATCCTTGAACGTGCCCTTAACAAGCTGATGCAGCAGGTCAGGGGTCACTAGTTCATGAATGTCGGCACGAGGGAAGGAATATGTAAATGGCTACACTTGGATCAGACTAAGTATGACATGTTGACCAAATCACTTACCAATATATCTTGTAAGAGACCAAAATTATCCCATAGAGTTCCAGGGTCAAACACATCTTGCATGTGCTCGCTAAGGTCCCGAAAGCGCGGAGGGCCCTTGTTGTCAAGCTCATCGGGGAATGCCAAACATCTATGTGAAGTGAGCATCAGCAGAAGAGGTGATAAGCATGTTGCACTTACTTGGGACACCAGCCTTGTACAATGCCTGAGACATCAACCTGCTCAGGGTAGTCTGCAAGGAAAGGCCCAATGTCAAAGATAGCATTTCGCCAGTGCTGATCAGGGCAGCGGAGAGGGAGTGGGATGTGCATGTGAGGACGGAGTGGAGAAAGGACATGTTCAATGATTGTATGGTACACCTGTTTCCGAAACAGGCGAAACTCCTTATCATTAGTGTCCTCTCGAGTGCCTGTGAGAGCCATGAGTGCATTACATCCATAGAGAGGGCAATCAATCGCACCCTTAATGACTGGCAGAAATGCAAGCACAGTTACTGCATCCGAGTGAGAGCAGCGCATATCGTTATGGATATTCCCCAGACTGCTGTAGAGCGGGTAGTAGGAACGGTTGCCTGTGCCGACAGAAACGGTAGTCTTGTCTGCACCGAGCAAGACCGGTGTGTGCATAGCTCCGTGTGTTTGAGGGTCCGTAGCAATTTTGTCCTATGAAGACTTAGCACATATGCAAGCGACCGACATCAAGGACACACCGATTGATTCCATGCCCACTGTCCTGTCATGAGATGCGAATACAATCGCGTGCCATCGGCATTGAAGACTGCCTTTGGCGTGTTGTCCCAGTGCCCGTCGAGCTCTGGATTTCCTGCCATGACTCGGACAGTCTGTATGATATTTCGGTGGTGAGCCACATGGGGTTCACGCTTCCACTGAGGGCTATGCTCGTCGACAGGACCTGCCCATCTCACGGAGACGGAGGTGAACTGCGCATCGCCCTCCGGGATAGCGTCCACGGTAGCGACAAGATGCTCGTATGAGCGAAACAGTGGCTCGGCATCATCCTCGCCCCGCAGTATGTCGCGGGCGCGGAAGTCGCGGAGGATGTCGTTGATATCCGCTTCAGAGCCTTGCATCTTGCCGTAAGTGGTGTATGCGAAGTCGAAGGCCGCACGATCGGGAAAGGGGGCTGTATCGGCACGCTCTTCAGGGGGAGGAGGTGGTACACCGTGATCCAGATACACGCCGTTCTGGTCGCATGGCCGTCCTACTTCGTCGTCAGCAAGCGCACAAAGTGATGATAGAATAGAACGCACCTGTAAGGTCCGGGTGTTCGTAGACAGTACTCGGAGGAGGTGGAGGTTTGGGATGGCGGTGGTAGCGACGCACGTGTTCGCTGAACGCACGGTGGGGGCCGAAAGTGCGCGCACAGTCAGGGCACTTTCTAGTCATTGCGAGCCGTGAGATTGCCGATGTTTTGAAGGGATGTGCCCGCGTCAGGAGTCACGCGTGGCGCGAGTCGATGTTCGGGTGTCCCAGGGCGATTCAATATGTCGTCAACGGGCTCGGTCCGTGGAGGGTGGCGGGGTGGGGACGATTCGGCGCGGACGACGCGGGGTGGACGACGCAGTGGGGATGGGGCTCAGTGGAGGGAGGAGCGGTGCGGACGACTTAATGGGAGTGACAACACGGTGCGGACGGGGCTCGTTCTTTGGAGGGCGGTGCGCGGTGAATGACACGGCGCGGATGGTGCTTCAGTGCGATTTGGACGGCTGGGCGCGGATGATGCAGCGTAGAGGACGCAGCGCGGATGACCGGTGCGAACGACACGGCGCCTCGATGCGATACGGATGACGCGGGCGTGGACGACACGGCGAGGATGGGGCTCGGTCCTTTGAGTGCGATGGGATGCGGACAACGTGGCGTGGACGACCCAGCGTGGAGGATGCAGGCGAGGACAACACGGCGCAAACGGTGCAGCACGGATGGAGCTTGGTCCTGGTGCAGACGACGCGGCGCGGATGGGGCTTCGACGTGAGGCGGACAACGCGGCGTGGAGGACGAAACGAGGACGACGCGGCGAGGATGGGGCTGGGTCCTTTGAGTGCGGTATGGACGACACAGCAAGGACGGGATTTCGTGTGTGGAGGACGGGGGAAGCTCTTCTGCAGAATTTGCGGAGGTGGTGCGTGGGTGCTGGTTTGTCGTAGTGCGGACAAGGTAGAAACAACTAATGGTAGGGGGTGTTGGTTTCAAGTGTGGGGGATGAAGCTGAGATACGCACCTGAAGCCCGGCTAACACTTCTGAACACCGCCTCTTGTGCCGTCGCTCTTCGCAGGCGGTTGGGGGTGCTAGACGTCTTTGCGTGGCCGATGCTACAGTGAGTTGAGGAAGACAAAAATGCTGTTGAGACTTACTGGCGGGCGTGATAAAAGTGACGGAACCGTCTTTTAAATGGACGATGTGGAGGGAGATGCAGATAATGTTGAACTTGTAGGACTGGCCGGAGGAGGACGATGGGGACGAGGAGGGGGACGAGGGGGACGAGGACGAGGAAGAGGGGGATGGAAATGGAGACGTGCGGAGACCGAAGGGTTAGACGCCGGACACGCGTCGCCATCGCGCGCCTGCCACGTCCGAGGCGCGTTGGAAGTCCCTCGTTCCCCACCCGCCAACACAAATCGAAGCATGGCCAGGCGCCGTGCCGTCATCTTTTCCGACGACGACGTTCCGACAGGCAGCGAAGAAGACCGAGGCAGCTCACCTGGAAGCCCACGCCGGACCAACGACGACGACCCGCCGGCCTGGAGGGTCCTCGACACGAACTCGAATCCATACGAGGACGAAGAGGACGACAAGGACAAAGAAGACGACAAGGACGAAGAGAAGGACGAGCTTCCAGACGAAGAACCGGAGGAGCAAGAGCCCGCTGCAGGTAAGTAACAGTTTCTTTCAACATCTGCGTACAAATGCCGAGCGTGCTGGCAGATCCCCCCGCCCCCCTGCTCCCGCCACTCCCCCAGCTCCCAACGCTCCCGCCGCTCCCCCAGCTCCCAACGCTCCCGCCACTCCCAACGCTCCTGCCGGTGCCGCCGATGATAGCGGTCATAAGTACGGGCTACGGCAGAAGTCGCAGCACGACGCTCATCCAGCCCGCAAGTTCGGCGTCCATGTCCGCGACAGGCGCGACATCAAGCGCGAGGCCGACCGCAAGCGGGACGAGGTCGCTGCAGCTCGGGCAAACAAGCAGCGCGCTGCAGTCACCCGAGCCGAAGGCCTCAACAAGGTCGCGGAAATGCAAGCTCAGCGACAGTACGAGAACAACGCAGGCCAGGAAGCCGCACGGAAGCCTCCAGCTCGAGCCGCCATTCGCCAGACTGTCCTGGAGAGCAATGCCGCTCGAGCTGACGACGAGCAGCTCTTCCCGAGTGTATCGTCAACGTCGCAACATTCGCACTCCACCCCTCACGCCTCGACATCTGAAAACAGCCGAACCAGCAAGCCCTCCGACCCCCACCCCCGCGCACACGACGAGAATGAGCCCCCCTCCACCCGCGATGGATCCCTCCCTCCACCCGTCTATCCTATAGGCCCTCCCAGACGGCGCAAGCACGCTTCCCGCCCCAATTGTCTTGTCGTTGAGATTGAGACCTGCCCCGACCCTCAAAAAACCCCTCGCACAGATGCTCGTACGTGTCGGAGCCCGTTTTCGCTATTAAACTGCTCATCTGAAATCCAAGGGAACCGTCCCCGCACCGCTCGCAAATCCGCCGACTCTGCCCACGAGTACGAGGACGAAGAGCAAGACGACGAAACCGACGAGCACGATGGCGACAACAACAACGAAGATGACGACGACAATGCGCACGACGAGCACGAGCGCGGCGACTACGGAATACCGACGCCAGGACTCGACGACATCCCCTATGAGCAAGATGTTCAAATGCTCGACTTTCAGTACGCCGACTTAAATCTTGACAACCACGAATCCGATCCCGAACCCTCCATCAACTTCAACCACAAGGGGAAGGGGCGTCGCAAGGCCCCGACATACATTGACGACGACGAGGACACCTGGGAGGCAGGCGGTGGAGGCCATCGTGCTAAGGCAAGTTCTCTGCTCGCGTCCTTCGCCCCGTACGCGTTCCGTGTTTGCCCGCGCTCTTTGCCCTGTCGCCGAGGACGTGTTCTCCCTCCGAGGACGCGTCCTATGCTCGCCGGCATCCTCTCCTCACCGATTCATTGGCCCATATGCCGAGGACGTGTTATCCTACCTGAGGATGCGTTCTCTACTCGCCCGCGTTCTCTTCGCCCGCATCCTCTCCTTGCTGTCTCATTTTTCCGTATGCTGGGCATGCGTCGTCTATGCTCGTGTCCCCTCTGCTCGCTCGCGTCCTCTTCACCTGCACCTTCTCGCCAGTCCTTTTCTCTGTAGTACGCGGAGGATCCGTTCTCTCCCCGAGGACGTGATCTCTGCTCGCCCGCGTCGTTTGCGCCTGCGTCGTCTGCACCCGCACCGTTTGTGCCCGCGTCCTCCTCTCGCCGCCTCACGCCGAGCATGCGTCCTCTTCGTCCATGTCCTTTCCTCCGTATCCCGAGGACGCGAAGTCTCCTTGAGAACCCGTTCCCTCTGCACGGCCGCCTGCTCCTCGCCGGCGTCTCCTTTTCACCGGCAGGCTCCCCGCCCGCGCTCTGATGTGTGTTCACGTCTCAGCCACTGACTAAGATCCGCTAGAAGCCCATGTCCCAGAAGGAGAAAAAGTCTCAACGCCGTGAAGTCGTCCGCACCGCTCTAGAAAGTCAGGGTGCTGCAATTCCGAAGCGCCCTCGCAGCGATACTGTGGCGTCTCGCAGGTACGTTGCGTGTTCGCGCAAAGGTCTGTTATCTGACGCTCTTTTCAGTGCATCGGCCAAGAAGTTCAAACCAACGGGTCCCGTCATGAACAAGAACTGGGAGCAAGATACGCCTGCACCTGCCTCGCGGACGCCAACTCCCGCGTCATCATCACACTTGGCAAGCTGGCGTGCCCGACAGATGCGGCACGACGTCCCGGATTTGACAAGCACATTCGGAGACCATCTCCGGCGAGATGACATATTTGCCGCCTCCAAGAAGGGAGGCAGTAGGCGGATGAAGGTATTCCTTTGCCGTCTATGCGTTGAGCCAGGCTAAGACCATTGCAGAGCCTTGTGTCCGTGGAGACGGCCGACGCCTCCGGCACCCCAGACAATTCCGAAGACGAGTCTCCGGCCAAACCACCACCTAAGCGACGTCGCAAGCGGACTGCAGTGGCAGACGTCCCTCTGGACGTGTCGCGCTCCAACAAGAAGCTACCGGCTTGGTGCACGGGTGATGTCAAGAAGGTGTACCTCGCCTCTGTGATTGACATTCTCGGGACAAAGTGCAATCCTCTTGACACCGCGGACGACCACGGCGACGACCTCCTCGATGCGTGTATTGAAGCTAGGCGCCGGATCTACCCTACCGACGACACTGAGCTAACGAAGAAGAGCCAGCTGTACATAGCGGTGAGTGATAGCTCCTGTCATACATCGGGTACATGTGCTGAAGTGTCTTGTGCAGGCCGGGAATGAGATGTACCCGTGGCGAAGCAAGTTTGTGAAGGTCGGATGTGATGCTGTCGAGGCGGAGTACACCAAGGAGCTCGGGCCAGGATGCACGGCGCCTCAAGTAGCTGCGTGGGCGAGAGCGAGGCGTGACCGCCAGAGCGCCGCCTTCTACAAGATCGGTGCAACGAAGAAGGTATGTAAGGCCATACTGTTCAAGCACATGGCTAACACAGGCATATCAGACCCCAGCGAAAGGCATATTTGGCTCCACGCTTATTCTACGGACGTTTGCACACCACCTAGATACCATTGCGAAGAGCAGGATGGATCTCGACTTCCCTTTTGGGGCACTCGCCCTGGCTGCATTCACTGTATGTTCATATTGTGTGTGTGGACATCAGCTGACATTATCTGTTGCAGGTGGACCACTGCCTTTCTATGTATGAGACTGGAGTGCAGCTCCCTGCTAATGCTGGTTTTGGCTCCCGTGCCTCTCGGAACAAGGTTCAGGAGTGGTATGAGGACAGAGTCTCTTGCATTATTGACAACCCAGAGAAGCAGGACTTGATCCTTCAAGGGGCAAGTAGGTATACTCATCATTATGAGGCTATTTCTAGTGCATTGCAAGATGGTAGTGATGATGATGATGATTCTGGTGCACACTTCAACCGTGATAGTTCTCCAATGTCTTCCTACTAGTTATACTTAGATACTATACTGACAGATTCACTGTCTTAATAATATGCCAACCTCTCCACTCATACCAGTGTGACAGAAAAATTGTCCTTAATTATGTGCCTCTAATCATCTCTAACTGTCTCTAAGCTTCTAACTGCTTCTAAGCTTCTAACTGCTTCTAAAATATACTTCTAAAGCTTCTAAACTTCTAAAGTGTTCTAACTTCTCTAAACTTCTAAAGTTAGAAACTTTTAGAGGTTTTAGAAGTCAACGCAAAGTACTGATGGAGCGGAAATCTCTCGCTCAGCTCCGAATGTCCTATAAGCTTTTCTTTCAAGGATATTGGTTGTGCGCACAAGGCAAGGGCACTGGATATGAGAGACTCAGAGAGACAGGTCGCAAGAGGCTGGTCGCAAAGGTCGCGATGGTGGCGCAAGGGGTGGCGAGAACTGAAGCGCGGGATATCGACTCCCCCCCTGTATCCCCCCAGGCAAGTTTCCGGGGTCCTGGAATTGGCGTTGCCGACCACTTTTTGTCTGGAATGCTCGAACTTCACGTTTCTCTTGCTCTGATTTGGCTGAAAACCGGACTGCTAGTCCATACCGGTATTCTGAGCATATATCGCCAAACACCAGATGCACAGGAGACGGTGAGCTGACAAGATGAGGGAGATCTGCTGAGATCGTGAGTCATCAGTAACTGTCATTCGCAAAGCGGATCTGAGTTGACAGCCGCACAGCGTCAATGTACCTTTGCAGAGCCAAACAGTGTAGTCATATATTACATACAAACTACTCAAGCAAAGGCTCGCTGACGCAGTGGCATTGACATACCTTCGGTACTTTTGTTTTGCTTGGCTTGGGTGCAGGGTTCGATTCCGTGCAGTGTCATTTTTCACATTCCCCCCACAGCCTGCCCTCATGGTACCAAGCAGCGCACATCATGAGCTTTTCCACTCCTTTGAATGTAGCACAAAGAAATATTTCTAGAGCCAGGTTGTGCATAACTTCGCTAGATGTGAGGTGCAAAAACACGCACAGACGGATCGAACCCCACACCAAAACCACAGACCAGCACCGATGCCACTGTGCCAGCGGGCCTTTGCTTGGGTAGTTTGTATGTAATATATGACTACACTGTTTGGCTCTTCAAAGGGACAACGGCGCGTTGTTCAATCTCTCCCTAAGGTTGGGCTCAGTCACAGCCCGCCCCATCACGTGATCAAAATGCGTCCGTCTGGGTGGAGGATTCATTGTAAACCATGTACTTTTCTGAATGAAGCATTTTCTCCTGGTTTGTTTCCGGAGGATTGTACTAATAGTATTTGGCTACAACTCCCTGGAGCTCCTTTTGGCGAGAGAAGGCGGGAAAGGAAGTGGCATCGTGAGCGGTGCCATCGCAGACGAGCGCAGTTCAGGCGTCAATAAAAGCGCCAGGAAATGGAGTTTATTGAGTAAGCCTGTCAGAATGGCATTGGCATACAACCATGGGTCGAGTTAGCACCGCAAAAGCGTCCAGGTTGAAGAACCTAGGCAGGTGTATGAAGAAGAAGGTCTTGAAAGCGAGTGTAAACAAGGAAAACCTGGTATGGATATCATACCATCTCTTCAAAACCTCTTATTGAGCTCGCTATGCAGCCCCCGGTGCCAGTGGAGCGTGCACTTCAAGCACGCATCACAGGGCTGAACCACGACGTGCAAGTGCTGCAGGAGAGAAGTCGCCGCATGCTTGTGGAGATGTCCCAACTTCAGGCAGCACCTCAGCTGCCGCCCGGGAACACGGCATCCAGACTGCCGGTTGCGGACCTTCCAGCGGAATCCTCCACTGTGTTGTCGTCCCCGCGATCCCAAACGATGCCGCCGAAGGCCTCTTCCAATCAGATCCGAAGCATCATTCCGGGGCCACACACGCGACCCGGAGGACACTTTCAATCAGCGCCCACGCGTGAGGCTACAGAAGCGGGGCTGAAGCTGCTGGATGCGCTACTGTGGCCGCGCTCAAAGACGAAGAAGAGGAGATATTTGCCTTTCAAAGCGGGAAACCCGCAGCTTCACCGCCGTCTCGTGGAGATGCGAGAGTTTCTAGCCATCTATCTGGACGACAGCGCTCCTGTGCGTGGATGGAAGAAGACCTCCGTGTCGACTGCACAGAAGCTCGGTTGCGCGCCAAATCATGCGCGAACGCTTCGCAGGTGGTGTCGGAAGTTTCTGTCAGGCGCAAAGCCCACACTCCCAGCTGCTCCTCAGCATACGTGGTCACGATCAGCACTGAAAACCAATCTTGAGCTCAAGCTCGCACTCGAGCTGCACTTACAAGGTGTCGGCATGTATGTTCAAGCACAAGACATTGTCTCGTTCATGGCCTTCCCCGGTAACCTTGTGAAATTCGGGCTCACCAAGCTTGTCTCTCGCACGACTGCGAAGAGATGGATGCGCAAGCTGGGCCGCTTCTGGAAGCATGAGCCAACTGGGCAGTACGTCGACGGGCACGAGCGCGAAGATGTGGTCAATTATAGACAGAAGATATTCCTACCTGTCTTTGCAGATGCTCTATCGCGGACGCGCACATGGGATGTGGACGGGTGGAGGTGCCGCGCGCAACTACGGCCGCAGCCACAGCCGAGTCGCTATCTAATCACAGGTATGAGATCATCAACTTCTGGTCAAGCTGATAAGATAACTCACTCAGTTCAGTGATCTGGCAGAACACCAAGTCGTGCACTGGTTCCACGATGAATCAACCTTCTATGCCCATGATCGGCGGACCCTGCGCTGGGTTCGTGAGCAAGAAACGGCAGTACCACGGCCGAAAGGGGAAGGGATGTCACTTATGGTTGCTGATTTCATGTCGGCCGATCATGGGTGGCTCCGTTCACCTGACGGAAGGGAATCAGCTCGTGTTCTCTTCAAAGCCGGAAAGAATAGAGATGGATACTTTACCCACGAAGAGATCCTCGCACACGCCACCACCGCTATGGACATCCTGGAAAAGCACTTTCCTGAGGAGGAACATGTCTTTATCTTCGATAACGCGCCCACTCACGTGAAACGCGCAGATGATGCGCTCTCTGCACGGAAGATGTCAAAGTTTCATACCAGAGAAGAGCACCCACCATTCGGCGTGAAGGTCAACAAGACAGGACCCGATGGGAAGGTCATCTACGGCAGCGATGGGAAGCCACTGAAGACCACGATTCCAATGCGCGATGGGCGCCTCCCGAACGGCCAGCCGCAGCCCCTCTATTTCGAGACAGGGCACCCGCAAGCCGGTGTCTTCAAGGGGATGGTGCAGATCTTGACAGAGCGTGGATACAATGGGGTGAAAGACCTGAAGGCACAGTGCATTAAGTTTGCATGCGCTCCTCCTGCCCTCAATTGTTGCTGCCGACGGCTTTTGTTCAATGAACCTGACTTCCGCGACGAGGAGACACTTCTTCAGGCACACTGCGAGGCCCGCGGCTTCCGGGTTGTGTTTCTTCCCAAGTTTCACCCTGAACTCAACCCCATTGAGCAATGCTGGTGCTATGCAAAACGGGAGTACCGGAAGCTCGTGCTGAGTTCAACTGAAGCAGACTTGGAGAAGAACACAGTTGTGTCTCTCAACTCCGTCCCGCTTGTCTCAATGCGCAGGTATTTGTGACTGGATCGTACAATGTTGTCATCCATCTCATACACTACTACCCAGATTCTATGGTAGGTCTCTGCGCTTCATGCAGCATTATCGCGACGGTCTCAACGGAGCGGAGGCGGCTTGGGCAACAAAGAAGTATGCTAGCCATCGTGGGCTTCCCCCTAGGGCGATACTTGAGCGCGCGGACATCACGACACCTGTATAGCATACATAACGTTCATTTGCATGCTTTTATCTACTCGCGCACCCAGTCACTATCCTGCTGTGTGTTCGGGATGGTGTGCGCGCATTCTGGCGTCTTTGCTGGGGACTTATCTTGGACTTATCTGGCGTCTAGCGCAAAGATAACTGATTTGAGCGCCGATCTCACGTGCTCAGCATAGGGGCGGGCTGTGACTGAGCCCAACCTTACCACCAGCCGATTCGGCAATCTTTCACGCATTTGTCCTGTGCTTCCTAATCGCGTGTCTTGCCTAGTGGGATAGGCCTTAGGGATAGGATGGGTCGCATGTGTCTCAGGGGGAATGGATGGATTCCCACATGTCACATGCTAGATCGTGGGATGGGAAAAGCGGAGCGCCCGCCCGGAGGGTAGCGTGCCGAAGCTAGGCACGACGCGATCGGAGGTCGCGTCCCCTCGCGGTCCTATCCCATCCCGCTCGACTCCCGTCGATCCGCTATGCGGATACGCTCCCGCCCTTCCCGCGAGGGAGAGCGACTCACCCAAAACGAGCACCAACAGTCGCGATCCCGAGGCGCGGCTCTCCCAAGCAGCGAGTGCAAGTGAATTGATACTACAGTTTAGTGCGCTTCTTCCAGGCGCTTATGGACTCGTTAGCTACAAGAACGCGTGCAGTGTCTGTTTTCTGAGACATATGTAAGGGGAGAATGCACTCTATGTTGCGCCAATACTTCAGGAAAGCCTGGGACTGCCAGCCCCCCAAGGCCGCGACGATGTCCGGGTTGGTCCCCCTCATCAGCCACTCGGTGGTCCCGCCGATGCGGAAGCAGTGCCCTGTGAGAGACGCGAGGCCTTCCGCCTGCCAAGCCGCCGCGCATTTGTTCAGGAATAGGTCGCGCGTCATGGGCGCCCAACCTCCGCCGCCCGTTTCGAAGCTGAAGAGTGGCGCATGTCCCGGCACCGCGTCGTTCATGTATAGGTGGTGGAGTAGCGCGTAAGACGGCTTGGGTTCTATCTCGACGTCTCGGAGGACTACCTTGGCGCCCTGTTTTTTTGTGCTCTTGGTCCACGGGATGCAGAACCACGCGAACGTGCCGTAATGTGCTGTTCCCCGCTCCACAGTTACTCCACGCGAGACGTGCCTGTCCGCCCTGGCAGCGCCGGCCGACGGGATGATGAGCTCTCCCAACCTGCGTGGAGTGAGCTCGTGTATCGTGCGCGCTCATGAGCGTCTTACCGTCGGCACCCCCAGAATGCGCAACACGCCACCGCCATCACAGCGCAATCGAACGTGTTTGTGAGGTCAAGCTGACGCAGGAGCGCCTCCATGTGGGCCACTGTGACTGGTGCGCGTGGGGCGTTGGCCGCGGGCGCGCGTTTGGATGCTCCGTCGCGTACGGACTTGAGGAGACGCATGTCGGTGAGGCGCCATGGCGCGCCGTGGAGCGTGTGCCAGAAACCCAGACCCGCGATCCAGTTGTCGATCGTGGTACGCGCGACGGAGCCCGCGTGGCTCGCGACGAAAGATGCCAAGAGAATGTCGGGTGCGGGGAAGCGCGCGGCTTCGGGTATGCTTTGCTTGTCGCAGTATTGATGGAAACTAAGGCTGTTTGCAGCTCCGGCTCACTTCGCGGGTAAACCCGCAATGATCCGGAGCCGTGAGCCGGGGATCATGAGCCGGGCGGCTCCAGCTCTCTGCGGCTCCGGCTCCCAGCGGCTCCGGATCAAGAGGGCTGGAAACTAGCGGATCTGCGGCTCTATCCGTGGGTTATCCGCAGATTCTTGAGTAATAGTTCATATATGTGTGTACGTACTACAAAAGTTATATAATTCGAAAGCCAATCGAAGCACCTTTCTGACGATATCATCCGTGTGTGATTTGGTGCGAATGTGAATGAGATATTGGTACATTACTATCCCCTTTCACTTCGAGCGCATTTGGCGCCTGCATCAGGCGTCTGCCCGCGGGAATCCGTCCCGATTGGGCAAAGTTCGGATTAGAACGCGGCGTCTCGCGCGCTGCTGCTCCTCCTCTCTAGTCTATCCTCGCTCGTCCTCCGCTCGCCCCCCACCCTCCGTCCATGCGGCATCATCGCACGCTCGCGCGCGGCCGTTCTCAAGACCAGGGGCTATGTTATGGGGTCGCGGTGAGTCCCCGCGGCCCTGATCTGCTCTGGTGAGTCCCACCTCCTCTGCTCTCCGCGCGTCCTTGCCCGTCTCGCGCGTTGCCCTTGTCCGTGTCGCGCTCATCCACCTCACCCTCGCCACCTCGCCACCTCGCCACCTCGCCACCTCGCCACCCCCCACATTTCCCCCGCCTCGCGCTCGCCCTCTGCACACGCCTCGCGTCGCCCTCCGCCCGCGCTGCCCTCCACCTGCGCTGCCCTCCACCTCCTCCAGTACCGCGTCACCGCCTTCCGCCTCATCCCCCTGGATCCGCCTCTCATCGCCCACCACCACCTCCGCGTCATCCTCAGTGCCACGCATCTCCTGCGCCCGCGTCATGCGTCACGCCCGCGTCGACCTCGCCCTTGCCCATGTCCTCCACGTCCCCCGCCTGCCCTGCGTCGCCCGATCCATCCACGCAGCGTGATCGCGCTCGCGCGCGGGGGGCGGAGATCCCTCGCGGCCCCGATCTTCCCTGTGAGTACTCCCCCACACCCTCTGCTCCCCGCGTCGCCTCCCCCTTCCCCGCACTGGCAGCGCCCGAGACCCACTCCCTGGACGACCCTCTCGCCCTCCCCGCCACATCCGCGTTGCCCTCGCCCTTTTCCGCCTCACTCTCCTCGCGTCCTCCGCCCTGGCGTTGTCCACCCCCCGCATCTCCCGCGTCCTCCTCGCCTCCCACATCTTCCGCACACCGCCCTCCCGCTCACGCCCTTGCGCCTTCACGTCCTCGCCCGCGTCGCCCACCACGCCCTCCCGCGTTCTCAACTTGCCACCGTGGCCCACCGCGCGCTTTGCCGAGTCGCCCGCATCGCTCACATCGCCCACCACCTCGCCCGCGCAATGCCCCCGCGTCGCCCTCGTCCGCGTCAATCTCATCCGCGTCGGCTCCGTCTCGCCCGTCACGCCCACGTCCGCGTCCCTCACGTCGTCCCCCCATCTCGCCCTCGACCGTGTCGCCCGTGTCGCCCGCCTACCCCACGTCGCCCTCGCCCACATCGCCCGCACCACCTGCCGCGACCTCGCCCGCAAAGCCCTCGTCCGGCGAACCCACTCGCGCCACTCCCCACAACGCCCAAGTCTTGTCCCTGCGTCATCCTCGTCCTCGCGCCCACTTCAACCACCTTGGCTCACCTCGCCTGCCTTGCCCCTGTCGCCCGATTCTCCGTCCACGCTCATCTGAGCGCTCGCACACGCGGCCGTTCTATGGGGTTGCGGTGAGCACCCGCGGTCCCGATATCTTTCGGTGAGTGCCCCCCGCCCCTTCTGCTCCCCGTGTCGCATCACTTTCCCAGGTTCTGGGCGTGCCAGCAACACCTCCACCCGCATCTCCCACCACGCTCTCCTGCCCTCCCGCACGCCCCACGACACCACGTCGTCCGCATCTCCCGCAAGCCCACGTTGTCCTTGTCACGTCGCCCGAACTTCTCACGTTGTCCGCAGCGTCCTCCTTGCCCCTGCCCGCGTCACGCCCACAGCAACCTTTCCCGATTTCCCCCACGTCGTCTGCATCACCCTCGCCTGCCTCCGTGTTGCACCTGCGTCATTCGCGTCCCCATTGCCATCGTCTCGCCGCACCCACCTTGCCCGCCTACTCCCGCATCGTCCACGCCACCCGCCCAGCCTGCGTCGCCTGCGCATCGCTCACTGCAGTCCCGTGTCCCATGTCTCCCACGTCTCACCCGCTTCTAGTAGTTCATACTGTATCTATGCTCACATAGAGTAGTTACCTGTTAATGGAATACCTTTTCATGATCATGGATGCATTGTTGCAGCCTCTAATAACATGACAGAGTGAGAAGGATCAACACAATTGAGGAAAAAGGATCCGCAAAAGCTGCTGAGCCACACTGAGCCACAGAGTGCGGCTCGTTTGGCGGCTCGATCCGCGGATTGCGGCTCCAGATCGCGCGGCTCCGGCTCTTCCAGCGGCTCTGATCCATGCGGATCTGGATCAAGCCCCTGGAAGTCACCTGATCCGTGGGTTCGGATCCGGATCATCCGTGGATCGATCCGCAAACAGCCTTAATGGAAACGCAGAAGGCCGGCGCCGTAGTTCTTTCGGGTTGTGTTCTCTAATTTTGCGAGCGCTATCATGTAGACGTTCTCCAGTTGCGTGCGGGATACAATTTTTAAGAGGTCTTTCTCGAGTGCGTCTGCTCCTGGGGCGGACCACTTCGCTAGTCGGTCTTCTGCAGGTACGAAAGGTCTGAAGGGCGATGCAGCAATTTCGTTCTCGGGTCTCGGTTTTCTGGGTTTTCGCCCGGCGAGGGCTCGCGGTGAGGACACGCGCGCGGAGGTTCCGATGTCTCCGGATTGCGCAGTCTTCCCCTTGCCGGACGCGCTCGCACGCGCGGGCGCGGTCTTCTTGCGCGCTTCTCTAGGCATGGGACGCGAGGAAGAGGCCGATCTCCGGCGGCAGGGGGAAGGATGCGAGAGAAGGGAGGCTGCTTGGCGCGCCGCGAGACACGTGATCAGCGAGGTTGATGGCCGACTCCACATACTGCAGGTGCAGTCGGATGTTCCTAGTCATACAGATCATCTCGAGGCGACGAATGATGAGATTGACCTGGAAATTGCGGCTCTTGCCGTTGTTGATAGCCGCGATGACGCCCTGGTTGTCGCTCCGGATCAGGACGTCGGCGTCCCGGACGCCCCTTGCCTCCAGCCAGAGCACGGCGAGCTCCACCGCCAGTGCCTCAGCCCAGCCGATGTCGCGCCCGTGAGTCTTCCATTCCGAGATGGGGAGTCTCCACTGCCAGGCCGCGCGAGCACCCTCGGCGACCAGCCCCACGCCCCACTCCGTGGAGGCGTCCACCCAGATCCCGAGGTCGATTGGCTTGCCACGCGCGATCAGTTGGCGCGTGACGCCCTCGCGCGCGAGAAGCTCCGCCCACCACTTGATGTCCGCGAGGAGGGACGGACGCGGGTACCTCATCGCGCCTGGGAATGGGTCGGCACCGAAGTCTGCGATGAAACGCTGGAGGTTGGGCAGGCGCGAGCGACCCTGGGTGTACACGAAGGTGATATGCTGCAGCGTCCCGTTGAGGCTGACCGCATCTTTCCATGAGAGGCGCTCGCGCTTGTCGATCGCGCGCGCGCGCGCGTCTTCTACCTTCGCGAGGTATTTGCAGCGTTTCTCGTCCGATAGTCCGACGCGCTTGGCCGCGATCCACCATCGGAATCCCGTGTAGTCGAAACAGTCGCTGTGCGGGCGGCATTTCTCCATGTTCCAACGCACCCCGAGGGGGCGCGTCGCCTCGATGATGTCATACATGTCATGCCCGTAGAGGTAGTCACCCGGCGACTCTTCGGCTATTGGCGAACGCAGATTGGCGAGGTCGTCGACCCATTTTGTGTTGTCGCCCATGTCGAGTGCCTCGATGACGTCAACCGTCGCGTCCATGGCTTGGCCCTGGAGTCCCGTGCCCGAGGAGATCCCGAATGGAACGGTGTGATCGATGAAGAAGGTTCCCGGGCGCGTTTGGATCACCAGGTATGCTTTGTGATCTGGGCATACGGGTATGTTGCGGAACGCGGCCTCAACGTCCATGGACGCGCCCTGGGTCCCAGGTGGGGCGCTCGCGATCTGATTTGGTGTTAGCTCGAGGTCACGGCAACGGCTACGCGACGAAGCGATTGATCCGTGTCGCGTGTCCGACCTGGATGGTGCCGGTGTCACGGGGAGCGCTCCCCGCGCGTGGCTCTAAGCTCGAAGGCGCTCTCCGTGGCAGCCGGACACCATGCAGGGCGCGCAACGCGGCAGCCAAGACGCGAGACACGATGCGCGAGGCGCGGGACGCGAGGCGCGAGGTCGCGAAGGCGCAAGGTGCGAATGCACATGACGCGATGCATGAAGGCGCAGAGCGCGGCACGATGCTCGACGCGCGATGCGCGAGGCGCGCGGGAGGGGGCCCGCGCGCGCGGACACAGAGTGCAAGGTCGCGTGGGACGTACCTTTTCAGCCAGTTGTGCCGCGGTGCCCCATGTCGTCGGGAAGAGATCGGAATCGATGCGCCCATTGACTGACAGCCCGTATTCATCGTCTTTGGAGCAGTCCTGCACTAAACGCAGCTTCCCGTTCGCCTTCGGCACAACCGAGAGGGGCGAGGAGATGAAGGGCCCGCCTAGGATCTCCTCCACTTGCTCGCGCGTGTATGGCCCGGACATGCGACCGGCCGATACCTCTCCATCCACGTAGTTTTCGATGAATTCCATGTGCTCGTTCGCTCCCTGGTAGTTGTTGTGAATGGTCGTGGAGAGAATCGGCGTCATCTCGCCAATGGGGAAGCCCTCGCGTAACCAGCGCGTCAGGTTCTCGTGCCGGTGCCTGAGCCCGAGATCGTCCAGAGCCGAGTCCCACGCGTCCGGGTCGTAAGGGGTAGTGACGCGCTCACGAACGGGAGCTGACGCATTTCGCTGCGCAATGGGAGGTGGAGCCGCAGAAGGAACATCGGTGACAGTCGCCCGTCTTCGGGCACGTGTGCGAGCTGCAAGGGAGAACGCCGCCCAGGTTCCACACAGAGCAGATTTCACGGCGGTTGTCGCACGCGAGAAGGCGGTTGTCTTCCCAGAAGACGTAGGGCGGGCCGCCGGAAGTGTAGAAGTTCGCGCAGGTTCGGGGAAGGGAAAACGAAGCTTGATTAGCGCTGTATGCGCGCGCGCTGTAAATAGTACATGACAAGAACAAAGACCTAAGAGTATCGTAAGGCGTGATAGACTGAACTAAGAGATAAGGAACTACAAAGGTATCATCCGAACACATAGCGTAATCTAATCTAATCGTAGCCGGCGCTTCCGCGCGTATCTTCAACACTCCCCCTCAACTCGGCGTCTGAGAGGATCCCGAGTTGCCGCCGCAGCATGTGGAAGCGGTCGCGTGGAAGCGGCTTCGTGAACATGTCCGCGACATTGTCCTCCGTAGGTACGTGCTTCAGTTTGATAGTACCAGCTTCTACGCATTCGCGAATAAAGTGATGCCGGATGTCGATATGCTTGGTACGCGCGTGATGCACGTTGTTCTTGGAGAGCGCGATGGCTGAGAGATTGTCCGCATTGAGGTCCGTCGCGTCCTCCTGCTTCAGATACAGCGCCGCGAGAAGTGCGCGCATCCAGATCGTGTGTCGCGCGCAGTACGACACCGCCATGTACTCCGCCTCCGTCGACGATAGCGCTACTACCGCTTGCTTCTTCGAGCTCCACGCGACAAGTCCACCGGCGATCAGAAACGCGTATCCGGAGATTGATCGCCGGTCCACCGGATTAGCGCCCCAGTCCGCGTTGGTGTACCCTTCGAGGCGCAAGTGCTGGTACGCCACTTTCGTTACCAGCTCCCCCTGCGCGTGGTAAGTGATACCGTAGTCGAGTGTCCCCTTGATGTAGCGGAAGACGTGCTTGAGGGCCGTCCAATGTACTGGGCCGGGGCGCGAGCAGAATTGGGACAGCGCCTGTACGGCGTACGCGAGATCCGGTCGCGTGCCGAGTGCCGCGTACATCAAGGTACCGATCGCTGATTGGTACTCATGGACTTGTGCGGGGGTCACCTCCTCATCCTCGCTCGTCTTCAGGAGCTTGACGTTCGGGTCCATCGGCGTCTTCACCGGTGTACACTCTGACATGTGGTGTGCTTCAAGCGCGCGACGTAGGTAGTTCGTCTGTCGCAGCGTGAGGTCGTCAGGTGATCCGATAGGGCGCGAGATTTCAAGTCCAAGGAGTAGACGCGGCTCGCCTAGATCCGTGATCTCGTAGTGACGCTCGAGACCTTCTTTGATCGCGTCCATCTCCGCCTCGTTCGGAGCCACAGCCACCATGTCGTCCACGTGCAGTCCGATGCCGTGCTCGCCGCCGGGCCGGACATAGACGCACTGATCCGGTTCAGTGCGAATAAACTTCATGTCCTGTACGAGTGCCCCGTCGATGTGTATGTTCCAGACATTGGCGGCTTGCTTGAGTCCGTAGAGGAGCTTCTTCAAGCTGAGCACGTTCGTGGTCCCGTCCTCAAAGTCCGGGGGCTGGCACATGTAGATCTCCTCCTGGAGGTCGGCATTGAGGTAAGCGCCGACGACGTCGAATTGCCGAATGATGAGTCGCTTGTGCACTGCGATCGCGATCAAGGCCCGAAGTGCATCCATTCGCACGACTGGCGCGTATGTGTCGAAGAAGTCCAGCCCGAAGATTTGGCTGTACCCGAGCGCTACCAGCCGTGCCTTGAATCGAAGGATGATGCCCTCCGCGTTGACCTTCAGGCGATAGACCCAGCGGCATCCTATTGTCTTCCGCCCTTCCGGTAGCTGCACCATCTCGAAGACCCCAAGTCTGATGAGTTGCGCGAGCTCGCTCTCCATCGCGCGCCTCCATTCTGGCCACTCCGGTTGTGCGCGCGCCTCCTTCAAGTTGCGCGGCTCGATGACGTTCCCCGCTCCCCCTTCAACGCCGAAGAGTGAGAGTAAGCACGTGATGAGTGCTTCGTCGGTGATGGGGACGCGTTCGCCGTTGTGCGCAAGTGCCTTGTAGTCTAGGCGTGGCTTGCCTGCCAATCGCGACGCGCGACGCGGGACCTCCGGTACGGGCGCGGGCGCGAGCGTGGGCGCGAGCGCAGGTGCGGGCGCAGGCGCGGTCGCGGGCGCAGGCGCAGGCGCGGGCGCGAGTTCAGGCGCGGGCGCGATCGCGAGTTCGGGTGCGGGTGTCCGGTCCGCGTCTCCTCGGGGTTCTCCCCCTTCTTCTTCGTCCTGACGCTCGCCAGACTCCACATCCTCCCCCTCGAGCGGCTGGGCGAAGTACTCCATGTACTCCCATACGTCCTCGTCCTCGTCCGCGGGCGGAGTGGGCTTCCGTACGCGAAAGACCAAGTTGCGTGACTTTCCGATCCGCCGCGTGTGCCTGTCCCAGTATAGCCAGGCTTTGCTCCCCGGAGCCATCCCGACGAAGCGCATCGGTTCCGATTTCGGATCAAGCTTTGATCGCTTCGTTGCTGACGTGAGCACCCAGCACTCGGCACCCCAGGCGTGGAGTTCGGAGACGTCGGGCTTCCGCTTGTGCCACACTTGGTAGGGTGTTTTGTCCTTGAGTGCGCGAGTCGGGAGGATGTTCTTCAGGAAGATGGCATGTGCGAAGGCTTGTGGCCATAGGAACTTGGGTAGATCGGCAGCGATGCGCATGGCGCGCGACCGCTCCAAGGTGGTCCGGAAGACGCGCTCGGCAATCCCGTTCTGGCCAGAAGACTCGGGTGCGGTAGTCTCGATCGTGATGCCGTGTTCCTTGAGGTAAGCGCCGAACTCTCCCCCGAGGAACTCCTTCGCGTTGTCGAAGCGGACGCGTTTGATGGTGACGCCGTGGAGAGTTTGCAGGCGCATGCGGTATTCGTGGAAATGTGATTTGATTTCAGACTTCTCCTTCCCGAAAGCCGCTTCCGACATACGCGAGTGCACGTCGGTGAACACCCATGCGTAGCGCTCGTGTCCTATCCCCTCCGTCCGGGCCGGTCCCCACGTGTCCAGCACGATCAACTCCCCGATCACTCCCACCTCCGTCTCCGACGCCGCCGGATATGGTGCCACCGTCTGCTTCCCCTGTACGCACGCTTCGCACTGCTCCTGCGCGGGCGTCCCCTTGTCCACCACCAGTCCGTCCACCAGTTCCTTCCGCATCATCGTGTCCACGACCTTCAAGCCCGGGTGCCCTAGTATGGCGTGCCATTCGTCGTAAGTTCGTTTGCGGATAGGTCTGGAAACAGCGCCCGGGTACGATACCTCCGGAATCTCCGGCGCTCCGTCCATTTCGTAAAGGTAGCTGCCCCCGCGGCGTCCAGAGGCGTAAGCGCGCCCCTTCCGGTTAAGGAATTTGATCTCCCCGCCGGCTAGTTGAACCGTGTGTCCGGCCGCTTCGACGCGACCGATCGAGATGAGATTGTGCGGAATGCCGGGTGCGTGGATGACGTCAAGCAGGTCGACGGTGGTAGTCTTCCCGTCGTGCTTGTAAGTGAAACGTATGGTTCCGCGACCGAGGATGGGGGTGGTTCCGGCGCCTTGGAGGTACTTGCCAGTGACGGGTGAGTAGGTGGTGAAGAGGCGCCGTTCGCGCGCGACGTGCGATGTGGTGCCGGTGTCCGCGATCCATGCGCCGGCGCTCATAGCGGTAAGCGCGACCTCGTTGATCGTGGCGCCCGTCTCGATGAGAGCGTAGGCGTATCCTTCATCGTCCGAACTCTCCTCCGCCTTCCCTTTCTTCTCCTTCGCCGTCAACGCCTTCTCATCCTTTCCCGTCTCCCTTTCTTTCCCTTTGCCACCGCCCCACGGACGATGGTTCGGGCAATCCCTCTGCACCCCGACCTTCCCACACTTCCAGCAGTGCGGCGGCCCGCCGCTCCGCTTCCCGCCGGTCCCACCTTGCTTCGCCAGGAACGCGGCCTCGGTTGCGTGAGTGCGCGCTCCGTGATCGCGTATTGATCCGATGATGGTGTCCGGGTCTTGGAGCGCGCTCTCTTGAATCGAGCTCGTGAAGCCGCGCCAAGACTCCGGGAGTGCGCAGAGAAGCAGAAGTGAGAACTCATCGTTTGAGATCGTCCGGTTCATGTCCGCTAACTCCGACCGCCACACACCCATCCTCTGCACCCACTCGTCCACGTCCTCCCCATCAGAGTATTGTGAGTTCATCATCTTCCTCTTGATCTCGATGATGCGTCCCACGCCGCGTACTTGATAGTTCTTCTCCAATTTCATCCAGGCGTCGTGGCTCGTATCCGCGTCCGATACAAGCGCCGCGGCCGCCGTCCCGAGCTTGAGTTGCATACCGACAAGCGCCGCGAGGTCTTTGTCTTCCCAGGCTTCGACGTCGGCTCTGTTGCTCCTGTCGTCGGCTAGCTTCGGGCGCGTCTCGTGACCGAGGACGATGTCCGAGATCTTCGCGAGTTTGAGAAGCCCTGAGAATTGCCGACGCCACCGGGGATAGTCGCTCGATCCCGAGAGTGGCTCAATCTTCGCCCGGAGCAACGAGTTGATCTTGTCGGTGTTGGAAGTCATAGTGAGTGGAGATGTCAAGCTAAGGTGTGTACAAGAGGCTGAGTGGATACTGCTTTAGAACGAAGCAGGGCTCATAACCTGTAGAAGTTCGCGCAGGTTCGGGGAAGGGAAAACGAAGCTTGATTAGCGCTGTATGCGCGCGCGCTGTAAATAGTACATGACAAGAACAAAGACCTAAGAGTATCGTAAGGCGTGATAGACTGAACTAAGAGATAAGGAACTACAAAGGTATCATCCGAACGCATAGCGTAATCTAATCTAATCGTAGCCGGCGCTTCCGCGCGTATCTTCAACAGGAAGGGTTGCGTTTTGTGCGGCACCTGTCCGCCTTGTGGCCGGGCTTGTTGCAGATGAGGCAGAACAGCCCGCGGCCGTTGAAGCGTCTGCCTGATGGAAAGGACTGCCCGTTGTCGCGTCCGCCGCCGCCACCCGAGGATCCTCCCGCCGCGTCTGCGTTGCCGCCGTGGTTGTTTCCCGAGTCCGCGTATCCCCCGCCCGGGCCGCGCCCCCCACGTGCGTTGCGGTTCGGTCTTCCGCTGGATGAGCCAGAGCCGCTCGCTTGTGCCTGAGATGTGGCCCATTGATGCCGCGCGAGCATCATCGTCTTTACGTAGGTCGGGCCGCCCACGTCGAAGCGCGACTTCTTCCCTGGGCCCTGTGTGAACCACGCGTGGCGGAGGTCTAGGTCGAACTGTCGCAGCGCAGGGAAGCTCGTTTTGTAATCAATCTCGTTTTTGATGTAATCGACGTGTGCCCTCCAACGCGCGATGATGGCTTCCTCACAGACGCCCGGCATGAGACCTTCCAACGTATTCTTCCACGCTTCCTCCCAGTCTGGGGCTGACATCGTGCGCTCGTCCGGGAAGACGCTGACCTCGAGGATGTGGTGCTTCTTTTCCCCCTGGAGCGGCTCCGCCTTGACCAGCTTCCTCTTGCTTCCGTCCGAACGTATCGCGCGCAGTGACTCGTTGGTGAGGGCGGTAAGGGGGATGTAGTGGCCGTTACGGAACATTGTGATCAAGCGACTGTCGATGGGAGCTCGGTTGAGCGTGAATATGTCCTCGGCGTCGTCGGCCTCGCGGACCACGATGTCGTCATTGTCCTCTTTTCCGTCGGATTCTTCGCGCTCGTCTTCGTTCTCGGAGTGGCTCGCGGATGATCGCGACGGCGATCGCGAAAGGCGTTTGGCCGCTGCCTTGCCGATCTTGCCGAGGGTCCGCTTGGTCCGCTTGATCCGTGCCTTGCCCGATTCGACGGCACTACGCTTGCGCTTGACCGCGCTGGACAGGATGTCCTCGACGTTGCGCGCGCGAGTTTCTTCCGCCTCCTTGCGCTGACGCTCGGCCCTCTCGCGCTTGCGCTCGGCCTCGCGCGCGGCTTCCTCGGCTTCGCGTTTGTCCTTCCTCTCCTTCCTCCTCAACTCCCTGGCCGCCTCGCGCTCAGCCTCTTGAGCGGTAGCCTCGCGCAGCAACCGGCGCGCCTCAGCCGAGGTGTACTTCTCCTTTTTCAGGGCTTTGAACTCTTCGGGGAACTCGGAGTCGTAGTCGCTGTCCTGGGCGTCTTGGGGTCCCGGCCCGGGGGGTCCGCCGGCTTGGTCCGTTCGCCAGGTTTTGCCGCGCTGGATTCTCCACCGGGTGACGGAGGCTGATCGAGGTCCTCCAGGCCGTGCGCATCGCCGTTGGACCCAGCGTCGTCGGAGTCCGGTTCGGGGGTGAACTCAACTGCCCTTGCTTTTCCTTTCCCAGCCGAGGTCTTCTGCGAGGCGCTCGGGGTAGGCTCCACGCGACTCGCCGCGTCTTCCGCAGCGTGGGGAAAGCCGACTATATGCGTGCCTGAGCTCACCGTGTGAGACGATGCCTGGATGCCTGAGCTCCCGGGTTCGGTGCTAGCCGGCGTTGCCGACGGATCGCCCGCTGATCGTGCGAGCGCTCGTGCGAGATCGCGGGCAAACCAGCTTGATCCTTGAGCGCGAGCGGGGTTGGAGACCCCCGGGAGGGCTGGGTTCTTGTCAGCGACCATGTCAATCGATGATGGAGGAGGATCGAGTGACTATATGCGCTTTGGGTGCGCGTGGACGCGGAGGGGGAAAGGAGAGAGGCTTGGGCCTTGACGCGCTGACGCGCGCTTTCCACATCCGGCGTCCCCGCTTAGTAAGCACCAGTTCGGCCGAGCGCTCGTTCCTCGCGCTCAGTCCGAACGACACTCGTCATGGGCTGGACCGTCCGGTCGACGGGGATAACCGTCTATGGCAGGTGGGTGGGGGGGCAAGTTTCCGGGGTCCTGGGCGAGCACTTTCCGGAGTTGATATCCAAAACTTTCGTTCTCGCCACCCCTTGTGGTGGCGGGAGTCAAGTGGCAGTGAGGCTAGCCGGCGGAATGGCATGGCAAGTCCAGCCAGCCTCTTACCGTCATCCACCATCATCTAGTTCGTTCCGAGATCCCGCCTCTTCTTCTCTTCGACCTCAACCCCGTATCCGCCGTTTTCGACCTCCACGCTCCTCAACAAACAAACTTGTCTACACTCAGACATGTATACTGGAATGCCCAGCGTTGACAACACCTCAAGATGAATTCAAGGCAGGAGCGGCAAGGATGGACCTGGATGGAGGTCGTGCAGAGCCGGTGGACGTGTCGGTCGACGAACTGGAGATGAGATCTGCGTGTAATCTGTTCGTATGTATCCATGCGCCGAATCTACCACCTTCCTCTACCATCCGCCTCCCATGGGAACCACTGGCCCATCCCCGTGGCATGCTGCTCCAAGCTAGCTCATCGACTCGACATCTCACCGGCGACGACGCTAGCGGGCCAACACAATAATAACTGTTCAGTCAGTTTTCCCGTGACCGCAGTGAGGCTCTCTCGAATCTCCGGCATTGACCCCTCCACCATTTCGTTCTTCGTAGTTTCTTGCCAGATCACACGCGGATCTCTAGGGACATACTCCTTGAATCCATGAGTCTCCGGATTCACACCTCCGAGGTACTCTGTGCAGAAGGCGGGCACATGACGCAGGGCATGCGTGCCCCGCTGCGGGTGCCATAAATACGCGATATCTTCTGAGAAGGGACGAAGCTGTTACTTCTCTGCGTGGCAGGCGTGGGGAGAGCGTGATCTGAGTACGTACCACTCCACCCCTTTCCCCCGCCTCCCATTCGCGCGCGGGGGGTCCATATAGCTCCCCCCAGCATCCATCTCTCTGCTCATCTGCTCATCCAGTTGCACCGAGCGATGCCCTCTCCGCGTTTCTCTGTAATCCAGGCGCTTGCAGCCGTCGCGCTCGGGCTCCACGCGGCCCAGGCTGCGCTGTTCGTGAGCCCGACGAGCGAAGTGCTCAGCAAGTCCTACGATGTCATCGTTGTTGGCGGTGAGTCGCCTCGCCTTTTGATCTCATCTCCTTTTGTTGCTTAGCGATATATGCGCGTGTAGCTGGCGCGGCAGGGGCGGTGATGGCGAACCGCCTCACTGAAGATCCGGACACGACCGTTCTGCTCATCGAGGCAGGCTCAGAGTGAGTGCTGATCTATGCTCTACGCTTTCACGTGCCCATCGAGCGCAAACATACGCACAGCGACTTCATGAACTTGAACATCTCGGTACCTGGATTCGCCTCCAGGCTCACTGGGTCACAGTTTGTGAGTGCAGTTCCGAATGTGCTTCCCATACCTGCGGTGTCTAACTACGGTTTTTGTTCCAGGACTGGAACTTTACCACGACCCCACAAGAAGGCCTGAACAACCGGGCAATCCAATACCCTCGCGGCTTCGTCCTCGGCGGCTCCACTGCGATCAGTACGTTCTTTTGCTTACGTTCGATTATCGCTCATGTCTGAATGTTCAGACCTCATGGCCTTCTGCCGCGGGACCAAGGACGACTTCGGCAGGATCGCAAACGTTACTGGAGACAGTGGATGGGAGTGGGAGAATCTTCTACCCTTCGTGCTGAAGGTCGACAACATAACGGCCCCAGCGGACGGGCATAACACGACTGGGCAATACAATCCGGCGGTCCACCGCCATGGTGAGCGTTCTTTTCCCTGAACGATGGAGATGGGTAGCTGCTGATCTTGGTTTAGGAGTTGTGGACATTAGCGTCCCGGGGATGTTCCTGGAGCCCATCGACTCCATTGCTCTGAACACCTCTGCTGAACTCCCAGACGAATTCCCTTTCAACCTTGACTACAACTCCGGTGACACAATTGGCTTCAGTAAGATGCTCTTCTGCGGGCATCCAATGCACTATCTGACGAGCTCTAGGTTGGGCTCAATGGACTGTATGCGTTTCGGAATGCTCGGTGAGACGCATCCCTAACCTGGACCACAGATCCACGACGGCGTACGCGTCACTTCAGCGTCCTCGTATCTTGCCCAAGCTTCCAGCCGTACTAACCTCGACATCCTCGTCAATACTCGTGTGACGAAAATACTGCCAGTTGGCTCCTGTGCTGACACTCCAGATATGCGGACAGTCGAGTTTGCTCAATCTGCAGATGGTGGGTGAGTCTCGTAGCATGCGTACTGGAAGCCAGCTAACACAACGTCAGGTCCGACTTACAACCTCACTGCGTCAAAGGAGGTGATTTTGTCTGCGGGGTCTATCAAGACTCCTCACATCCGTGAGCATGCAGGCTCCTTATCTGAATATTCGCGCTCACGGCCATTATACAGTCATGTTATCTGGCATTGGTGATGCAACGCACCTTTCTGACAAGGGTATCACTCCTATTGTCAACCTCACTGCTGTAGGCAGAAATCTCCAGGTTCGAGATGTTTCCTTCACCTGCAACGACATCATCGCTTACAGTCCCTGAATCAAGGACCACGTCTTCCTCCCTAATTCGTGGAATGTCACTGCCAACTTCACTCTCGACGACCTTCATCGGAGCGCCAACCTGACCGCGGAGCAGCTTCAGCTCTGGATGACGAACGGAACAGGCTTTTTGGGACTTCCGCCTTCTGATCAGTTCATGTGGCTGCGTGCAAATGACTCGATTTTCACCGACATCGATGCGGAGGACCCAAGCGCGGGTCCTACCTCCGCTCACTTCGAGATCATCATCAGTGTACGTATCTCTCCATAACGCACGCTCATTCCGGCTAAAACTGACTCCATACTTAGGACAATTTCGTGTCGAAGCGCGTTGCCCTCCCGTCAACAGGCCGCTTCCTCTCCCTCATCACGAACGTCATCTCCCCTTCGTCCCGTAGGTCCCTGTCCCCAGCGCTTCCCTTTCACGCGCTCATCTCCCCAACGCCCGCAGGCGGCAACATCACCCTGAACACGACCGACCCGTTCGACGCCCCCCTCATCAACCCCGCACTGCTCTCGACGGACGTCGACCGCGCGATCATGCGCGCCGCGATCGCCGCCGTGCGCCGGTTCGCCGCCGCGCCCGCGTTCGCCGGCTACCTCGTCGGCGAGTTCGGCGCGTTCGGCGCGGCGCGGAGCGCGGACGAGATCGACGCATACGCGGCGGACAACGCGGACACGGTCGACCACCCCGTCGGGACCGTCGCGCTGGGGAGCGCGCTCGAGCGCGACTTCCGCGTCAAGGGCACGAGGGGGCTGAGGGTCGTCGACGCGAGCACGTTCGTGAGTGTCTCTTCCGAGTTCTGTCGGTGAGGCTGGCAGCAGCTGATTTTGGTTTGGGGCGGAACAGCCGTTCGTCCCGTCGGCGCATACACAGGGGCCGACGTACATAGTCGCGGAGCGCGCGGCGTCGCTGGTTAAGGCGGGGTTAAGGCGGGCTTGAAGTAGTAGGGAGGTTCATACGGGTGTTGCTATCTTGGTTTATTGACGCGTTCGACGGAAGTACTTTGGGCTTGGTCCATCCTTGATCGTCATGTTGCTCGCCTCTCTCACACCATTTGGAAGCTTGAGCGAAGATTGTGCAACGAGTACAAGGAAAGGGCAATCCCGTCTCTCCGACTCATCGAGCGGCACCTCTCGGCGAGCCCATTGGTGTTACTATATATGGCAATGTAGTTGTAATCAATAAGACTGCGACCGCCTCCTCCACGTCCAGGCTGACGTGGACGAGCTTGTCGGACGGGTAGTTACGGGGCAGCGAGCGAACCTGCGCCCATGAACGAGAGCTCATCCAGCTTACGGAGTCCGCCGACCAGGCAGGTGCCATCGACGCCGATAAGCCACTCGAGATCTTGCAGGTGGATGGTTGAGATCTGGAGAGGACGGATTTGCGACGATATTTCTAGAGACGACCAACAGCATAAACGACGGGCAATGCAGGCAGCCTGCCTGGAGGAAATGTGGATGAAAGTTGGTAGAAAGCATACCTTTCGTACGGGTGGGCGCCTATGCTTCTGATAGGGTCATTGTTTAACTGTTTGTGCACATTTCGTGTCGGTCGAAAGTTAAACTGTCCGCGCGTCCTGATGCCGCGTGATGCACGACGCGCGTATCCACCTTACGCAGCTCATGACTCGCGCGTCCCCGGTTCACACGATACACAACACACAAACGGGATGCGTGCGCGTCATGCACTGTTGCACATGTCCCGCGCGATGCACAGCGCACGTGCGCGTCCCCGCCTCACGCGGCTCACGACTCGCGTGACCTCGGTCTGCACAACGTCGCGCAAAAGACAAAGACGTGCGCACAGTTTACCTTTCGACTGGGACGAAATGCGGCTGACAGTTAAACAATCGATCTATCAGAAACACAGGCGCCCAGCTGGACGAAAGGCATGCTTTCTACCAATTTTCGTCCGCATTTCCTCCATGCAGGCAGCCTGCATTGCCCGTCGTGATACCCAGGCACGGTCCTTGTGCCTCCCCCTCTTGGATTGGGTCTCCATTAACCAATCCGGATCTATCGCAATGGGGCGTTGTTGAGGGAACAAGGAGTGTCCGCCGAACGGGTAAGAGTGGCGAATTCAGCGCTGAAGCATCAATCTATGCGATAACGACGACGCCATGTACAGATATGTCCAAGGAAGAAAGGACGACGAGGTAGAGGGTCCATGGAGGCCTGACACGGACGAATACAATCTTATCTAATCTAGTCACCAGCCGTCGTTCGAAGATCTGGCCGCACGCAAAAAAGACAACGTAAATAATGATCATGTCCTGTTCGAGCAGCTACTAACACATGCGCCTCACGATGTTTTCTTTGTGTCCTAAAGTTAACACAAGACCGAGCCATCGCCACGGATCGAGATTCAGCCACCACCGTCCGACTTCCGAGCGTCCACTTGCAGGTGCACTCCGCCCTCAATTCTCCGGTGGCACAGGGTAGCGACACTTTTCCACAAAGAAACCTGGTGCAAGGCTTGTCAGACCGCTGCCATACGACGCACATGCTGAAGTATTCTTACCTTTCAGGCTCCTCTCGGGATCGAAGTCAGCGCCCTCGATGATCCTCCGCGCCCGCTCTCCATCCTCCCTCAACATCTCGCCGAGTTCGCGTTTCCTCCCGACTTCCGGATCTTCGACCCACCACCACCGGTCGTCCCGCGGGCACTGCCGCCTAAATCCCTCCACCTTCTCGACGTACTGCGCGTCCACCCGCGCGTCCTCCTCGCCCACGACGCCCTTCGAGGTCCCGGAGTCGTGCCACCCCGCCGCCGTCACGAGCGTGGCGTGTCCCCCGGGGAAGCACGGGCCGACGCGGACGACGCGGAGGGAGGGGAGCTCCTGCGCGACGTACGCGGGCACGTACGGCAGGCTCCAGAGGCGGTTCAGCTCCCGGCCTTGCGCCGCGCGCACGGCGGCGAGCTCGGGGTGCTGGACCCACGTGCCGCACACGCGGACGTCGGACTCGAAGTGGAGGCCGAGGTAGACGAGCGGGAGGGACTTGAGCGCCGGGAGGAGCTGTCTCTACGTGGCGGAACGTGCGTCAGTGCGCGGGGGGCGCGGGGCGTGGCGGGGGGGCTCACCGTGATGTTCGAGACGAGGTGGCTGTTGAGGTTGATGGTGAGGTGGAGAGAGCGCAGCTGCGGCGCGGCGATGAGCGCCGAGTACAAGGTGAAGGTGTCGAACGGCTTGGGACAATCCATCGTGAACTCGAGCCCCGTCGGCCGGAAGACGGAGAGAAGGGAGACGAGGCGGAGAAGGGTGTATTCGTCCGTTATCTTGTCCCGGTGTCCGAGAACCAGCCGTTCGACGCGACCGACAGTGCCCGGGCCACCCGATTGAAGGCGGAGGGGATAGTACGTCGTCAGTTGGCGTATGGTGGGCCACGGACCTTGAAGGCTGGCGCATATTGGGTCGGGGATCGGGTCCGAAACTCGCAGGAAGAGCGTGTCGAGGTTCGGGAAGAAGGGAATGATGCCGGCGGCCACGCCCGGAGATGGGCAATACAGGTGGAAATGACGAACCGAGGGCATTCCGACGTCCCGGGGCAGTTCGGAAGTGTCCCACTGTTTGCCCTCTATCGCAAGCTTGAGAGTGTGGACAGATGAGAGGGATGTGAGTACGGAATGCACGCGGTGAACGCAGGCCTTGGCTATAAGCGCATCCAGTCGTGGGATTGGCAGCCGGAACGACAAAGAGACTTTGGCGAGCTTGGGACTCGCAAGGAACCGAGATAGGAACGAGGTCGCAGACACGCCAAGGCTCGTGAGCGAGATGTCCTCGAGGGCGGGGATTTGGCCAACTGCATCGGAGAACTTTTCGAGCCAATCGTAAGAGAACTGCCTCACGTCGGTGTCGATGCTGAGGACGTTGGGGGCGTGCTCGAGAATCTGGATGAGGGACATCACCATATGCTTGACCTGGTCTCCGTTGTTGGGCGAGAAAGATATGTGCCGGAGAGTGTTGGCGCGGAAGGAATATGACATGGGACCGCGTCCTAGCATGTACCGAAGGAGATCTGCGGCGATATGCTCGGCGGGGAGGATGGCTCTCGGCGAGATGGTGATCCGGGTGTGTACATGGGATATGGCGGCGCGGTAAGCGGCTTTGCAGGCGCAGGACAGGGCGAGGGCGTGCTTGGGATCGAGAAAGGAGGCGATGGCGTGCAAAACGTCCTCATTGAGGGACACGGTGCCTTGTGACGGTGGAAAAGACACCGGGGCCGAGCTTCCGGGCGAACTGTAGAGGGAGTGGGGGATCGACATGGGGAACGGTGTTGGGTGAAAGAGGCTTGTGGTGGCGGGTAGACAGAGGGTGGACTGTGTGGGCGGGCGCAAAACCGCCCACGTTTAAAGCGTCTCGAATGATGGGGGACAGGCTGCAGCACAAAACAACTCCATTCTAGAGAAGCCGATGACAAGGCCAGTGCGTAGGCGGAACAACAAGACCCTCACTGAGACAATAGTACGCCCCCCAGCCTTCTTCTTTCCATTCATACAGCTCTGGGATGTGAGATAACCCGCATACAAGCAGGGAGGGGGAGGATGCGCAGCCTGGACGAGGAGGATCATCGAGTGGCGGTCAAGACGAGACTGGGGAGCGTTTGGCGCCCATCCGAGCACCATCTGTGGGCAGATCTTATCTTATCTCTCCCGCCATAGAGTCCCAACGACGTTCAAGTTCAGCTCTTGTTGGGTACTGCTGTCAGACGTACACATTTAAGATACAGATATTTTCCCGCACGTTGGCCACGATCCGCCCGAGTCCGTACACACGCACTGATTCCGTTCGAATCCTCCGGCTCCTCGTATGTATGGAACAGAGTTGGTCAGAATCGGTACGGTTCGATCCAGGGCGCCGGTGCTACAGCTCGCTACAGTCGTTCTCGCCAACAAAGCTGACGGCGACGTGCTCAACCAGAGTCCAGACGTCCAGAACTGGATCGTCCCCCAGAGAGGGGCCCTGTGCTCCATTGTACACATTCAAGGCTCATACCGGCAGCGATCCAAATATATGTCTGAAGAGGTCGGATCAAGTCAGCGTCCAGAACAGGCTCCACATCCGATGTACTCACCGGCCAGGTCCGCGTCGCCGTTTTCCACCAGTTTCTGCGCTTGCTCCCCGTACTCGCGCCAAATCTCCACCAAGCTCCGCTCCGCCCCTGTCCCATCGACCCGCCACCACCGCGTGTTCCGTTCACCGGCGTGCTGCTTCCTCCACCCATCCAGCTCTCGAAGCAACAGCTCCGAGTCCTTGGCGTCGTTGAACGCTTCTGCGGGTTGCGCCGCCATCCCCTTGATGCCCAGAACGCGCATCTCCGTGAGCGCGGGAAGCAGGTTCGCGGGGAGCGCATCCAACGCTTCTACACGCTTCAGCTCTATGTAGGGCTCGAGCGAGCCACGCCTGCGGCGCCCGTCCGACGGGTTCACGGGGCGAGCGCTGGCATCGATGAACAGGCAGTGCAGCGGGAGCCGCGCCAGCGCCGCCGGCAGCGTTTCCCGCGAGACTCGCACCAGGGAGATGGGGTCTATGAGCTCCGCGTCAGACGGGCTCACTGCCAGGACCTCCCAGTCGTCCGCTCCGACGCTGCGCAGGGTGAGCGAGCGCAGGCGCGGGAGCCTCCGCGCGGCCGCGATCCACATCCGGCCGTCGAGATCCGTGTCCGGGCTCTGGTAGCCCGCGTGCACTGGGAGGGTGAGAGCGCGCGGCTGGAGCGCGGCGAGGAGGCGCGCGAGGCGGCGCGACGTGTCGGCGTCGACGGCGGTGGCGCCGTCGCGGGTGAACTCCCAATCTCCACCGAGCTCGAGGCACGGGACGGGGCTCGCGCGGCGCTCGAGCAGCTCGACGAGGATATCCTGCAGCTGTTCGTCGTGGAGCAGGACGACGAGCCCGCCGAATCTCGTTCCGTGGCGGATGTCCACGGTGAAGCTGGAGACCTTGCCGGTGGGCCATCTCGGCCGGGTCTGATCCGTGTGGCCTTGCATGTGCTTTCTTTCGTGGCTTGGGGAGAGCTCGATCGTTTCGAGGTTAGGGCAGAGGTAGAGGATGTCCGTGGCGGCGATGGAGACCGCCTTAAGGGCGATATGCCGGATGGACGGGAGTGATGATGTCAGAATAGCATCAAGAGTGCCCAATTCCGGAGTGAAGTTATACAAGGTGAGGATGACGAGCTTGGGGAATGATTTGAGCGCCGATAGCAGAGGAGCGAAATCGTGATGGCAGACCACATCATACCCGAGACTGAGGTTGACGAGGTTAGGCGAGGGGATGGACTGGATCATCGGAAGTACGTCGTCGAGGAAGATTGGATAATAATCAAGTGCTCGTAGATCCTTCATTTGAGTGAGAGCGTGGATGATCGATGGGCATTCCGTCCAGCCTTTCTGAGTCGCGGCGGAAAGACTCAGCTTGCGGAGGCTCTTGATAGTCCTGAGGATCTCGCCCAAGGCCCTTATGTCTTCGTCTTTATTTGACATCAGGGAGATGCCGAGATCTCCCAAGTAGGCTGCGCAGGAAGAACCAGGCCGACAGATCGCCTCAGCCAGCCGAGATACCTTGTGTTGTTCCAGGTGGGATATCTCCACACTACAATTTGGACAGGAGAGCGCGTACATGAACTTGCAGGTACGAGCGAGTTGTACTGCGTCGTGGCCTGGAAGATAGGAGAGGATGGCAAGGAGGATGTCTTCGTTCAGCCGATGGATGATGGAAGTAGACATCGTGGCCACTGGAAGTTCAAATGAATCAGGGATCAATTCGCGAACACAAGGTACCGTACTGAGACGCACCGGTACGTATTCTCGCCCAGCAGATACGGCAGATACGGGACTGGGAGGCGCGCTTAGTTCAGGTTTACTTAGTCGAAGGAAGAAGGCAAGAGGGGCTTATAGGAGCCCGTGGCTTCATACTGTCTGGGAGAGGGGCCCCGTCGCGGCGCGTAGGCTCGCCCGGGCCACCCGCTCGCGCGCGCTAGGGTCTACCGCGGACACGTCAGAGCCCGGACGGCGCATGGATGGTTACGGTGGCATTAGATTCTGGTGACGTCGGAGCACAGTGGGAAGAGGAGGAGATGGTGTGAAGAATCGAGCAGTGGACGAAGAGAGCCGTAGAGGCGAAAGGACGCCGGATGACGGACAGGGTGTCGGATAGGACGACGATGGTGGATAGGATGATAGAATGAATTTTGACCTCGAATGACACGGCGGCATAGTACTGTACAATGCGTGGGAACGTAGTATACATGACTAAGCATACTGGTCGTGCCTCGGATGAGGGCGTACACCGGAACACTAGAAACCAACAGATAGGTGATTATCTCATGGGTCGACGGTCACGGAGCGTTAGCTCGAGGTATGCACCTCGCGGACGTCTGGACCGCCATCGATTCAACATGTGTAAAAGTGTTTAAATATACAGTTCAGGAAGCCACACACTGCACGGCGTGGCCTCTAGTGCGAACGACGCCGGGAGCGGGCCGCGTCGAACGCCTTCGTGGCGCGCTCCGAGTGCTCCCCCTTTACCCCAAATTTACCCCCTCACGTAACGGCACTTCTCCGAGTAGATTTCTATAGGAAAGCAAGTCAGCCGCGGGACGCCGACGCGTCGCCGCCGCCGTCTTCGCCGCGCTCGACGCGCCACCACTGCGTGGACCGCAAGCCCCCCAACTTGCGCCACTCGTCCGACACGCCCACGACGCGCAGTGTGGGGATCGCCGCGGCGAGCTTCCCGGGGAACGCGGCGAGCGCGCGGAGGCGTGGGTGCTCCGACCCGTCCCCCGGCCGCTGATAGAACAAGTCTGAGTCCATCTCGAGCTCGAGATGGACGCAGACGAACGGGAGTAGGGCGAGCTCGGCCTCGAGCGCTTCCTGGCGGGTGAGCATGCGGCGCGCTCGAAGCAGACGGCGCGCAACGTACCGGGGGCGTCCATATCCGCGGCCACCCTCCGTCCTCGGTACCGCCGCCGCCGAGCGAGTCTACGAAGAGCACGAGCGCGCGCAGGTGCGGCGCGACCGCGGCGACCTCTTGCCAGAGACTTCCCATGGGGCCAGACGGCTCGGCGCCCGACATCGCCGCTATTTCCAGGCGGAGGGAGTGCGGCTTGAGCACGTCGAGAACGCGCGTGAGTCGCGACGTGCCTTCGCCCTTCCTGAGCGAAATACCGTCTTCCGTGAAATTCCATAGCATGGCGAATCGAACGTGTGCCGCGCGCAAGGCTCGTTGTTCCAGCAACGAGACTATGGTGTCTCTGTCCTGCATGCGCAGAACCGTGAGAGAGAGTCGAGGGATTGGCGAGGGGCGCCATCTCTGTAGGGATCGGCGAGGGTCCCTTTGGCTAGTGTAGTCGACACCAAGGTCCAGGGAAGCGAGGTTCGGACAGAGGTAAATGAGATCTGTCGCAGGTTCGGTGACCCTGTCGAGGGTGAGCTGCTGGATGGAGGCGAATGGCGGGTGGCTAGTGATGTCGACCGCGCTGGTAATCTTGAGGACCTCTATAATGAGAGTATACAAGCGAGGGAAGGATCTAATGACGGATATGAGGGAGGGGAGGACGACGGGAGCGCCTTTATGGCCTAGACTGAGGCTTGTGAGATTGGGAGAGGGGATGCTTTGGATCGTCGGCAACATTTTGTCATCGACACAATGGCAAGAGAGCTTCCGGAGCTCGCCCAGCCTTGAGAGAGCTCTAGAAAAACGCGGGTCGTCAGAGAGGAGGGATAGATAGGCTATATTGAGGGAACGGATGTTTTTGGTTGCGAACAAGATATCGGAGACCTGAGGTGCGTTGTTGTGGACATAGATCACTATCTCACGAACATAATGAGCATTGGTGTAGATATTCTCATGAGACCGGGAGATGAAGAAAGCCCATGTTGTCGAAACGGCTTTCCAAATCCCTGGAGAGGAAAGCGTGTGGAAGTGTTTGCAGGTGAGCGACAAGGCACAGAGGTCTCGCTGCTGGAGGTAGGAAAGGATGATGAGGAGAATATCGTCGTTGAGAATATCGATCGCTGAGAGTGCCATGACTTGGTCCTGCACAGGGATAGATGAGCATGTTGGCATAAGTAATGCCTGCCAGATCGCACTTACCTTGGAGTGTAGAAACGTGAGGTCGAACTCGGAATCCGGAGCCTTTACCTGCTGCTCAAGGAGAACCCTCGTTATCACATATGCACTTGAGCTGTTTCTGGATGGTGGATGCCTCGCGTGCGACACCTGGGCACGAATCCGAGCACACTGTGAACTGGAGGATGTGGAAAGAGTCATCGCGGTCCCCGGATCTGCCGCAGTCAGCCTGACCGCGCTCCGACCACGGGCCCGGTAACCGCGGAGGCCGGGGCTCCGAGTCCGATTCGGCCGGCGCCAGTCAGCCACCCATGCTCTCTTCCTCCGTCCTCCTCCTCGAATCCCCGGCTGCGCACCCGATCCCTCAGACCCTCGCACTTCCCCACGCGCGTCTCGATTTCAAGAACGTGCATTTCTGCCAAGCATCTCCGCAAGTCTCGCACGATCTTGGACGCCCAGAACCTTGCAACAGCTCGCCGATGCAAATTGACGAAGTGTGGTATGGGAGGACAGCGTTCGTCGTGGGCACTGTGTGACCTGGTGCGCTGAGAAATGGCGGTCTCATTTCATACTGAGTGAGTTATTTCCCTGGGATAACCCTGTTCCCTGGTCGCCCCCGCCGTATACCTGTGGTTTCCATTTGACCGTCCGTTTCCATTTCCATGAGCCTCAGGCCATCGTTGGCGTCAACTTTGCACTGCTCATATCGCCCAGGACCCGTGCGACATGGCGTTAAGTGGTTTCCCGGGTGGATCCGTAGATCAACATGGAGACGGCCTCTCCGCGGTGCACGCGATGCCAATACATGCGTCGCTGGACAGGTCAGGTGCGTCTTGGTCTGGGTTTGCTTTTGTGAGGAACAAATACTGATGGACCTATTCGTGCAGCATCTATGTGCCTCGAATTTGCATGCAAGTGCCAGCCATTGCCGCGCGGAATCGTCCCCGGCCGGTCTTCCGAAGCGGAACGCATCGACGCTATGTTTACCACACAACGCGGCACGTCAGCGGGAGGCGCAGGGTACTGCTGCATGCTGGGTCACTGTAAGGTGCACACCATCCGGTTAGTCCTGCTTCCCGTCTTCAGGCGCTCAATGGTTCTGCTTCTGGCCGGCTGCGATATGACGAGCGTCCTCTCGCGAGGCTCCCGGTCGGTGACTCGGCGAACGCTGTCTTTCAGAGTTTGTACCGCCCCGAAGAAGACCTCGGTCCTTCCAGTCTACGCCCCTTAAGCATCCCGATTCCCGAAGCTCCTGAATCGTATCAGTGCCTTCACGCCGCCGTTGCATCTCCGACAAAACCCGATTTCGGTGCGGCGAACTGTCAGGCGAGTCATAGTGCGCACAGCTGTATCCAGGGTTCTTGCGATGAGTGCGCAGTGCCACTTCACCAACAGGCGCCCCGTGGAGTCAAACCCGGACCTCAGGTGGACGCCTGGGCACACCTAATCGTCGTTCGTGAGTCTGAGGTCGATATAAGATCGTCGCCTCGCCCACCACTCGCCACAACTACGCATACCCCTTCAACCGCATCGGCACCTCTCCGCGCATCTTCCTCCTGCTTCTGCGCCCACCATTCCGGTCCACATCCCTCTCGCAACCACCGCCCAGACCCAGACCACCTCCGCAATGCCCGCAACCATCACCCAGACTTCCTTCCCATCCTCTCCGTCCCTCGCATCGCTCGCGAGCACCTCCACCGCCGTCTCCACCACCCCACTTCGCCGCGGCTCAAAACCGAAGGACTACGAGTTCGCGTTCGGCACCCTCCAATCGCAGTACGGCCTCGCGTCCCCGACGCCCTCCCCTCCCACGCCGTGCCGCTCAAAATCCCCCTCGTGGCTGAAGCGCGCGCTCGGTGCGCCGTCGCAGTCGAGCCCCGCGCGCAAATCGAAGCCCGCGCCGCCACCGATGACGGAGGAGGAGCGGAGGAAGGACGTGGCGCGGCGGGCGCGCGAGGCCGAGTTCGCGAAGTTCACGGCTAAGTACGGGTTCAGCGGCGGGGCGTGAGGTCGCGGTCGAGGTGCTCTTCTCGGACATGTTTTGGCGTTACTTCACCCTCACCTTTACTTTACTCTCGTCGCAGCACTTAATAACGCTCGCGCTCCTACTATGGTTTGTTGGACACTGTCGATCAAAATCCAGGGTGGCAGTCGGCGACATTGCGACGACTCTGTAATATTAGTAAATAGATGGCCGGCTTACAGCACGCCGCACGCTGCTGCGTTTTCAAGTACCGCCTCCTATCGTTGTCTTGGGACCAAAGTTTCGTCGCGCCCACCTTCCCCCCGAGAGCCTCGCGAGACCATCCGGTATCCCCTCCATATCGCCCTTGAGCACCTCGGCCTGGTTCGGCACCAACGTCCCATCCGCGAGCGATCCCCCAACGTGCGCGAGAGCCCGCACGCGGGGCTCTGCCGTCTTCGGAGTGACGAACGAGCCCGCGGCGCGCTAGACGACAGTCCCCTCACGTCCGGTCTCCCGCATTCGCGCGGCGACAGCGGGGTTCCGAACGTCTTCGCGGCCCGCTCGGCGTGCTCCCCGCTTACCTCGGCACGTAACGGCACTTCTCCGAGTAGATGTCTACAGGAAAACAAGTCAGCCGCTGCATAAGATGAGAGCTCAAGTCATCTCCTCACCGTCAAGATCGGACATGCAAAACGCCTCGTTCTGCACGAGCCGCAGCGCCCGCTCCCCGTCCTCGCGCCAGAGCTCGACCAGCCACCGCGACGCGCCGTCGCCGCGCTCGACGCGCCACCACCGCGTGGACCGCACGCTCCGCTCCTGGCGCCACCCGTCCGACACGCCCACGACGCGCAGTGTGGGGATCGCCGCGGCGAGCCTCCCGGAGAACGCGGCGAGCGCGCGGAGGCGTTGGCGGTCCGCGTCTCCCTTCGGCTCGAGCGGTTCTGGATCCGCCTTGAGATGGACGCAGACGAGCGGGAGGCGCGCGAGCTCCGCCGCGAGCGCGTTCTGGCGGGTGGAGAATATCGGGTGAGCATGGGGCGCGCTCGAATCGGACGGAGCGCGACGTACCGGGGGCGACCACATCCGCGGCCCCTCGTGCTCGGTATTGTCGTAGGATGAGTCCACATCGAGCACGAGCGCGCGCAGGTGCGGCGCGGCTGCGGCGACCTCTTTCCAGAGCGTTCCCGTGCGATCAGACAGATTGGCGGTCCACATCGCTGACATTTCCAGGTGGAGGGAGTGCGGTTTGAGTACGTCGAGGATGCGCGTGAGTCGCGACGTGGCTTCGCCCTTCGTGAGCGAAATACCGTCTTCCGTGAACTTCCACAGCATGGCGAATCGAACGTGTGCCGCGCGCAAGGCCCGTCGCTCCAGCAACGAGACAATGGGGTCTTTGGCCTGCGTGCGCGGAACCGTGAGGGTGAGTCGAGGGATCGGCGAAGGGCGCCATCTCGGTCGGGATTGGTGAGGGTCCCCTTCGCGAAGATATTCGACACTGAGTTTCAGGAAGATGAGGTTGGGGCAGAGATAGATGATGTCTGTCACAGGTCCGGTGACTCCGTTGAGGGTGAGCTGCCGGATGGAGGTGAAAGGCGGGTAGCTGGTGATGTCGATGGCAGTGGTCGGCTTCAGGAACTCCAGCTTTAGATCATGCAGGCGAGGGAAGGATCTGACGACGGAGATGATGGAGGGGAGGTCGACGCAAGCGTTTGTGTCGCTTTCGTAGGCTAGACTGAGGCTTGTGAGATTGGAAGAGGGGATGCTTTGGATCGTCGGCAGCATTTTGTCCTCGATCCAGTTGCAAGAGAGTGTCCGGAGCTCGCGCAGTTCTGCGAGAGCGATAGAAAGACGCGGGTCGTCATAGTGGAGAGACATATGGGTTATTTTGAGTGAACGGATGTTCTTGGTTGCGAACAGGACATCGGGAAGCGTAGGTGGCTTGTCGAAGTTGGGATGGATCACTATCTCACGGACATGATGAGCGTTCGTGCCGAGATTACCATGCCACCAGGATACGAAGAAGGCCCGATCTATCGGAAGAACTGTCCAGAGTCTTGGAGAGGAAACCATATGGAAGTGTTTGCAGGTGAGCGAAGAGGCGCAGAGATCTCGCTTCTCGAGATAGGAGAGGATGATGAGCAGAACATCGTCGTTGAGACGATCTATGGGAGTTTCCATGGCTGGGATGTGGAATGGGATAAATTAGCACGTTTTCGTGAGTGATATCCACAAGGTAGCACTTGCCCTGGAGTGGAGAGTACTCGGAATCGGGGGCATTTACCTGCTGCAAGAAGGAGAATATTCGTCAGCACATATACGCACAAGAGCGTTATCTGGATGGTCTGTTACCTGTGTACTCCGCACGTCGTGGTGGTATGTGACGAAGCGGAAACAGGAGGCTGCCTGCTCCGGCTTATCAGCGCCAAGGGCGATATTGATTAGATTAGATATTGCCCCCTGAGTAGCCGCGCGAGCTCGCTCGTCGTGCTTGAGAGGGAGAGGACGAAGGGCTCTGCTCAACTACATGGTGCATCCTTCCTGGAATCACTGTGGAACAGGCCTCGCACATTGAATGCAGTAGAGGACACGTATCTTATCAACTTCGGTGAATGGCTACAAACAGTCTTGTCGTACAGGAACACCATGCCTATACTCACCCTGTGGGTGCCGGTGAAGCCTGCCTCACATCCTCGTCGGACACGGCCCGCCTCCATACCCGTACTTCAACATCAACTGCGCGAACTGGCCCTTGTAGCCTGTGTTTTCGCCGCGCGCGCTCCAAATTGCGCTTCGCCTCCTTCGTCCGCCCCTCCTCTGAACGTGCACCGTGCTGCACGTACTGCCCGTCCGTTGCAGCCCCCCACCCGTGCCGACATCTTCGTCCACGCCTGAGCCTCGCGAGGCGTTCGTGTACGCGCCCGCCCCCGATGGCGTCGCACGTTTTCTCGGTCTCGAGGCCTTCGCGTTGACTCTGCGCGCGGGCGCCGGAGACCCGCTGCCCAAGCGGCCCCGGTCTGACGCCTTTGGCGCGCTGTGCGCGGCGTTGGTGTCCCCAGGCTTCGAGGCGCTGCGTCAAGTGGAATTCGCAGTTAACGTGGCTAGAAGTCCACGCACCATGCGAGATGCGTCGTGACCCGAGGCAGTGGAGGACGGTGGGGTGCGTACATGGAGATGGTGAACCTGGCGTTGGAGGGGCTCCGGGAAGAACGGGCGATCAGGACGTCGGCGAAATCCGTCGGTGCAGACGTGTCGAGCGCATGGCAATCAAGGAAGTTTTTCCCAGCTCTATTACCGGGAATGAGCAAATGCGCAAGAGAGCGATTGTCAAGGACGTACGCGGGCTTTCGAAAATCCGGGTCATGTTTCAAGTCCAGACGGGGTGAGGGGCGGGTCTCGGAAGGATAGTTTTCTGGGCCCTACTAGAGAGCTTGTGTATGTATCCGGCTGTATGCGCGAGAGATGGAGGGGAACGTACCGATGAGGAACTGGGTGCGCTGTCACTGTATAGACTATCGCATAGCACAATGGCGCACATCTGCAGCTTCAAGATATTGCAGATGGTCTGGCCATGGTAACGGCCCGGCGGGCTCGAACCTGTCAATGGCTGGAGAATATGCGCCAAACGAATGGCTGATAAGGGTCATGGAGGGTGCAAGACAGGGAGCCATCGACGGCGGGAGAGAGAGAGCGATGACAAGAAGAAGACAAGGCGTGGTGCCAATCGAGCTCAGCGAGAGAGCTCTGGCGGGTGGCCGATCGCGAGGCGGTGAACAAGTTGCGGTCGTGGATGGGACTTCGACAAGGCGAAGAGGGGAGCTGGGCCACTCCGGCCGTCTCGGACTTTGTTGTTTGGTGCTGCTTGCTCGCGCCACCCATCCGCTGGCGCCGCAGTGCCATCCATCGCGTCGACCGAGTTCCTCGACGCAGATTCGACGTCTGCCGTTGCCATGAACCCGTCGGTGGCCGGCTTTGGGAGTATCCTTGGACCTTTTGTATGCTCGGCCACGTCTTGTCTTCCCGCTTTGCAGCGCCTTGTCTCGCTCGCCCGCCTTGTCTCGTGCCATTCCTCGCTCCACACCTGTGAAGACTGGCAAAACATGTTTTGGAAAACACTGAAAGATGCCTCAACCTGCGTAGTGGCACGTACTCACTCGCTTTCGGCCCGCCAGCGCTGACGCCACGCCGACCTTGGGAGCCAGGCTGCGTCGGGCTGGTCAGACGCGCGCCCACCCCGCCCACGAAACACGTCGAGGACGCCATGCTCGCTGTCGAGGACGACTCGGAAGCCGTCTTGGATTCTGTTACCTCGCGCTTTAACGCACCTGCACGTATACGACCCCCTGCGCCTCAAGGTCGATCGCAGCAATGGCACGGTGTATCTCGACACGGTTATGTCCGTCAGCACGCTGACTGCTGCTCCAAGACGAGGCGCTGCCACCCCCCGCGCACGTCCCGAGCCGTACCCAACGCAAGCCCCCACGCCCCGGTCCCGCGGTCTCGCTCCGAGCCGCGCTGTGGGTGACCACTGACGAACGCTCTTCCGTCTGTGCTCGCTTATCGCTCACGCTTGCATTTTACTTCAAATTCCCACGGCTTTCCCTCGCCACAATACTTACATGTCTACGCCCGAGGTGCCAGCGTCATCCTAACCTCTGCTCTGACATCAACTTGAAGTTGCCTCTTCCCTGCAGATCGGACCATTTCCTAGAGCTCGCCGTGACACTCGCCGAGTCCCGACCGCGCGCGGCACTGCGCGGCACCACGCGTTCTCACGCGTTCCGCCTCGTGCATGGGACGACGGCGGAAGACGGAGTGTGCCAGGGGCTGAGATCGAGATCTGAGACACAACGTCGTTTTTGAGCATCGTTTTTGGCTTGGCTGCGGTTTAGACCGGGCCAGTCTCAGAGTAATTATAAGTGTGGTACTCGAACTCCCGCCTTCGCTCATCGAGCTTGAAAATTGTGCCGCGCGGATACTCCTCCGCCGTATGCGTGACTTCAAACATGGGGTTTTTATGCGTTGAGCTGCCGTGATCAGGGCACAAATGAAACTTTTCACTTTGCGAGCCTTGGCCCTTGGGCTGCATGAGTGAGACTCGGGAAAGAGATCTAGCGGTGGGTTTCACAAGTGTGATGGCAGCAGTACTATTTGGCGCTGCCGACGAGTCTCGGCAGATATAAAGAGGGCAGAGGGCACCCTTCTCTCGTGGACCACGAAGACGAAGGCTACTCTCCGGCCGGCCTGAAGAGGCTGCCCACTCCTACGAGCAAAAAGTGCGTGTTCTTTGTCGCACGCTGACTTACTTATATAATCCCTCCCCTTCTATCAGCCTACACACCACAGGCCCACCGCGACTTCGCTCGCCGCCTGCTTATATCAACACTATCGTCCCCCTGTCGATCTCTCTGGCTGGTTGCTCTTCTCTTCTGCACGCTATGTCCCACGTTCAACTCGCCAGCATTGGCGTTGCTCTCGTAAGTCCCCTCAGTACGGGGTATCAACCAGTCCGTTGATTCGCAGTTCCACATAGATAGTCCATCAGCTGTTCAGACGGTACGACAGCGTATCCCTCGGTATCGATGTCTCCCTTTTGTTGCTCCCGCCGGTGTCCCTCGTCAACGCCATCGTGGTCACCTCTCCTTCGCTCACGCTCGCGCGTGCATCCATCCTCGTCCTTCCTACCTACGTTGCATCGCTCGTTCTCTCGACGCTAATCTACCGCCTCTCGCCCTTCCACCCACTCGCGCAATATCCCGGACCTCTGGGATGCAAACTTTCCAAGTTCTGGATGGCCACCATCGCTGCTGTAGGCCGCCAGCACCTGTACGTCCAGAACCTACACGAACGCTACGCATCGGACATCGTGCGCATCGGTCAGTCCATCACTCCTGCACTGCCCGCGCGCGCCCGGCTAACCGAGGCTCGCACATCGCAGGTCCCAACGAGCTTTCGATCCGCGACCCAGCTGCCGTGCCTGCGATTCTGGGCTCGTCCGGGCTGAATCGGAAAGGCCCTCGTAAGTCGCCGCGCGCTCGATCAGGAAGAAGTGCTCACCACACCTCGACAACCGCGCAGACATGAAAGGCATCCACCTGAAAGCGGAACCGCTCACCATGATCGCGATCCAAGACGCGGACGAGCATGTGCAGCGTCGGCGCTCGTGGCAGCGCGGGCTCTCCCAGGCGGCGCTGAAAGACTACGAGGTGATGGTCTCCCGGCGGGCTCGGATGCTCGTCGATCGCCTGGGCGAGTTTAAGGGCACAGAAATCTGCATCGACGAGTGGTTCGAACGCTTCTCGTGAGTGTCCTACGCATCTGATGTCGTCGACAGCTTCTGACGCGCATGCAGGTGCGATTACATGTCAGATATGGTGTGAGTGCCCGTGTATGCACCTCTCCGTGCTTGTCTCGCTCACGAGGTTCCCCAGGTTCGGTGGCGGCTCGGAGCTACTGAGCGGAACGGACAAGAACAACTTCTTCGCTATCCTCACCGCGGCGACAACGTGAATACTCTCGCAGACAATCGACCCGCGTGCTGAATTCGACACAGGCCTGCGGCGTTCCTCTCGCACGTACCCTGGCTGGGCGTGTACTTGGGACACATCCCGGTGCTCGTCAAGCCTCTGCGCACACTGCACGTGAACTGCTCCGCGCTCACCAAGCAGCGCGTGCACCGCGGCGCCGCCACGCCTGATCTCTTCCACTACCTCGTGCGTCCCGTCGCTCGTCTCCCACACACGCATATCCTGACACATCGGTACTGTCGCACGTGGCGCATATTTGGCAGAACCACGACGATAACCCGTCACGCCCTCCGCCCGCGCACGAGCACCTTATTGAAGATGGCATCCTCGCGATGGTCGCAGGCTCGGACACCGTAGCCTCTGCGCTCACCTCGCTCTTCGCCTGCCTCCTCGCGCACCCGGCCGTCTATGCGCGCCTGCAGGCCGAGGTCGACGTACACTACCCGCGCGAAACGGATGCGACGGCGACGCGCGCGCACCGCGACATGCCGTACCTCGGCGCGGTGATGTGAGTGCCTCACGTAACGACTCCTTAAGCGGTACGACGTTGACGAGCGGGCAGAAACGAGGCGCTGCGCCTGTTCCCGCCGGTCCCGAGCTGCACGCAGCGCCAGACGGCCCCGGGAGGCCCTGGGTTCACTGTGGGAGACAAGTGCGTGCCCGTTGAGCGAGCGTATTTGCGCGCGCTGATCCCCCCGACTCGTCATCAGGTACATACCCCCCGGGACGTCCCTCTGGGTGCACGTCTGGTCGATGCACCGCGACGCGCGCAGCTTCTCCGAGCCGACGCGCTTCTGGCCAGAGCGCTGGCTGGTGGACGCGCGCGACGCGAAGGCGGGCGGGTTCGCGCACGACGAGGCCGCGTTCCACCCGTTCTCGTACGGGCCGCTGAACTGCGTCGGGAAGGCGCTCGGGCTGCAGGAGATCCGGACGGTGGTGTGCGCGGTGCTGCAGCGGTTCGCGGTCCGACGGGCGGCGGGCGGCGAGGGCGCGGAAGGGGCGGAGCGGTGGATGGCGGCGTACGAGGGGGCGTACCGGGACCACTTTGTGAGCGTGCGGGGGAAGGTGCGGGTCGTGCTGGAGGCGCGGTGAGTCTCGCACTGCGACTGGGGTACGAAAAATCAGCACCCGCCGTCTCACGACTGCTTGTTTAAAGTCCGTGCGGTGCGTTCTTCGATGATACGTTGAATAAGGGTCGCTTCATGATCAGATCAGGGTATGTTTTACTGGGTGGTTGACAAGCTTCAGGAAGCCGATTTTGACCGAGACTGCGACTGCCGCTTGGGTGAGGGGTGCGAGGGTGCGAACGCGGGGGTGGTGGAGACCGCGGTGGAAGTGCTCGCGACGGATCCGACGTAGGAGGGCAAGGACGAGATTGAGGTCGTCGTGGGCGTGGCGGTGTGGTTGATAGTATTTTTCGGAATGGTGGAAGGGCGTGAGGGTGTTGAGGCTATGAACACTCGAGCGCGGTTTGAGGAAGAGGACCGGGAGGCGCGCCAGCTTCATACGACTATGCGCTTTCTCGAGTGCTGTGCATGTGAGCCTACGTTCACTGACGAACACAAAGAGATGGTGTTGGCGATACGCCATGGTTCGCAGCGATGGTACGGCGAGAATGTGAACTGCGGAAGCGCAGCATGGCTCAGCTGCGCACGAATAAATCGGAGGATGCCTCGCGCGTGACACTTGCGCACTAGCGCTAGCCACTATGAGATCCATGGGAGGACTATATGTAAGGCTCCACGCACGTCCACGCTCCGACCTCCGAGGGCCGGGTAGCCGCGGGACCCAGGTTTTTGCCGTCATCCACCATCATAGGCTACCGCCGTCGTCCCTTCCTCGCTCGCTCTCTCCCTTGTTCAGGCCTAACTTGCTCTCTCCACCGCCATTCTCGTGTATTATCTCTCTGTCCTCCGCAGGAATCGACGAGAGTATGGTTTCCTGCACCTTTCCTCCCTGCAAGATCGACTGCAAGATCTCGGTATGAATGGACAGGCGGGCTGGGACGGACTTACGGAGGATATACGGGGTGCATACAGGGTGCGCGTGTGAAGTCTGGGTGGGCCTGACTCGCAGTCGCGCAGCATGTGTACGTGTCGTGCTTTGTATCCTTCCAGCGACCATCAGTCTCCAACCTGGCCCCCATCCCCACCTTCACACATGCCTCCACTCTTACTGTCACTCAATGAAGACGTTCTCTTCCTCATTTTCTCCCTATTGAAAGCACCGGAGGCCCTCGTTGTGGCGTGCTGCTCCAAGGCTGCCTACCGCCTCGCTATTTCTCAAGTCTTTTTCGACATCCACGTGAAAGGCAGGAGTCCTCCGATTGAAGATCAACCCTGGTCGGCCAAGATCTGCTCGCTGCTACTCAGCTGTGAGCCAGTGTCCCAGGTCCCTCGGGTTTACTACCTCCGTCGATTTTCCCTTTCTTTCGCGCCCTTACCACAGGAATTTGCTCCACTCTTCACGGATTTCCTCTTTAAAGCGGTCAATCCCCAGTTCCTTCTCATTCACCGCGCCGAGAGGTTCATCCAACGAGATTCCCGGTTCGGCGAGGCCATCGGCGCGTTGTCCAGACTCGAGGAACTCGCTCTGGTCGGCATGAAGGCCGTCGCGACCACCTCTCTCCCGGTCATGCTGCTCAGCCAAAGGCTTACCGATCTTCACCTCGAGTTCGGTCAGGACGATTTAGATCTCGACTTCGTCATCTGCACACTTGTCTCCCTCCCACTCTTGGACGTTCTCCACCTTTCCCTTCCCCAGTCCTTCTCTGAATTTGAGAGCACTTCGAAGGACTTGAAATTGCCACAGGTCCATCGCCTCCATCTTTCCTGCCCTCCATCGGCATACTACGCGGTCACTGCTCGTTTCTCCGCCCTCGTCGCCTTAGATGCGGACCTTTATTTCTGGTGCGATGGGCCAGTCACTGGGCCGGCGGCTGGCAGCGGCTGGCCTGCGCTCCGGAAATTGACTTATGTCAACCCTCCCCCGCATGTCCGGGTGAACTCTGCTGGGCACATGCAGAACATCCGAGATTTTCTCGTCGGACCCTCGAGCTCTGTGCCCAAATTTACCCCCGTCCTCCACGCCGTACGCCCGATCGTGGTTGAATTCGAGACTAGCGCCTACAGGTTGCTAGACCATCCGTCGTTCTGGCCGGACCTGTGTCGCGCAGCGCCTCAGCTGCGCTCTCTTCGTGTCACGATCCATCCCGTAGCCGACGAGTTGCACTGCATGCTTCCGTTCGTGGTGAGCATCCCGCGGTCTTCCGGCGGTCTTGCGACTGATAGCCCCGGCATGCACAGGCACCGATGCTCGACGCCCTCTCATCCATATCTCTTCTCCACCTGTCGCTCTTGCTACCCTTCCCTCCGAGGCTCTCCCCCAGCGGCATGCACATCGTAACGTCCGTACGCAAAATGGAGTTGCGCCGACTCAACGCTCTACGCGCGCTCCCGAGGCTCGTCATCACGAACGCACTTCCGAGCCTACTTGTCCTCCACATCGGCCCCTACACGCCTCGGCTGTTCACCCTCAGCGAGGTGATACTCAACTTATCGCATGGGGCTCAAATCCGGCCAAAAGTGTTGGAAGCGTTGGAGGCGGAGGAGCGGGGTATTACGGATGCGTGCCCCGAGCTGGAGCAGCTGCGGAAACTGAAGCGCGAGATGCGAGTCCGTGACGAACGGTGGTGGTGGGTCGGGGAGGGCGGCGGCGGCGGCCGGACGTTGGACGAGATGTGGAGAGAAGACGGCGAACGCGCGTGCGAAATCTGCGGCTCGTCTTTCGATGCGACCACGAGCCTTGAAGGTGAGTGGTGTTTTGAGCCTCTGGAATGCGTGCGTCGCTGAGCACACTCCTCAGGATTCTTCACCGAAAAGCGTCGCTATCAGTGGTAGATATGAGTCATCATAGACGCCAATTCTGAGTTTGGCTTGGAGGAGTGGAGGAGTGAGCAGGGAGGGCGAGATACCGACAGCGTAGTTGCAGAGGAAGGTCGCGATTGAAACGGCGGTAACGCGCTCGTGCTCAACGCTCATCACGGCACGTAACGACACTTCTCCGAGTAGATGTCTACAGAAACACAAGTTAGCCGGGGGGATGTAACCAGAGATCAAGCCATCTGCTCACCGTCAAGATCGGACATGCAAAACGCCTCGCTCTGCACGAGCCGCAGCGCCCGCTCCCCATCTTCGCGCCAGAGCTCGACCAGCCACCGCGACGCGCCATCGCCATCGCCGCGCTCGACGCGCCACCACCGCGTGGATCGCACGCCCTGCTCATGACGACACCCATCCGATACGCCGACCACGCGCAGTGTAGGAATGGCCGCGGCGAGCTTCCCGGGAAACACGGCGAGCGCGTGAAGACGTTGGCGGTCCGAGTCCCCCGACTTCCAGTCAGACAATTCTGGGTCCGCCTTGAGATGGACGCAGACGAGCGGGAGCCGGGCGAGTTCCGCCACCAGCGCATTCTGGCGTGTGCGGGATACTCGGTGAGCGAGGGACGTGCTCGAATGAGGAGCGCGACGTACCGGGGGCATCCATCTCCCGGGCCTCTCGTTCTCGGTATCGTCGTCGTTGAACGAAGCCACACGGAGCACGAGCGCACGCAGGTGCGGCGCGGCTGCGGCGACCTCTTGCCAGAGAGTTCCCGTGCAATCAGACAGCTTCGCTGAGCCCCACGTCGCTAATACCTCCAAGTAGAGGGAGCGCGGCTTGAGCGCGGCGAGAACGCGCGGGAGTCGGGACGCGGGTTCGCCCTTCGTGAACGAGATGCCGTCCTGCGTGAACCCCCAGAGCATGGAAAGTCGAACGTGTGTCGCGTGCAAGTCCCGTTGTTCCAGCAACGAGACCATGGAGTCTCTGGCCTCCATGCGCGAATCCGCGAGGGTGAGTTGAGGGAGCGGCGAGGGGCGCCATCTCGGTCGGGATTCGTTGGGGTCTTCTTTGCGCAGATGGTCGAAGCCAAGTTTGAGCAAGGTCACGTTGGGACAGAGATAAACGAGATCTGTCGCAGGTTCTGTGACTCTGTTGAGGGTGAGCTGCCGGATGGAGGTGAAAGGCGGGTAGCTGGCGATGTCGACAGAGGTGGTCGGTTTGAGGAACCCTAGAATGAGAGTATATAGGCGAGGGAAGGATCTGATGGCGGAGATGAGGGAGGGGATGTGTGCGCAGAAGTTTGTTCGGCCTTCATATCCTAGACTGAGGCTTGTGAGATTGGGAGAGGGGATGTTTTGGATCGTCGGCAGCATTTTGTCCTCGACCCAGTTGCAAGAGAGTGTCCGGAGCTCGCGCAGTTCTGCGAGAGCAATAGAGAGACGCGGTTCGCCAGAGATGAGAGTCAGATAGGATATCTCGAGGGAACGGATGTTCTTGGTTGCGAACAAGACATCGGGGAGCGTAGATGGCTGGTCGCTGACATGGATCGCAACCTCACGAACATAACGAGCGTTGGTGCCGATATTCTCATGCCACCAGGACAAGGAGAGAACCCGGTTTGTCGAAAATACGGCCCAAATTCCTGGAAAGGCAATCATGTGGAAGTGTCTGCAGGTGAGCGACAAGGCGCAGAGATCTCGCTTCTCGAGATAGGAGAGGATGATGAGGAAAATATCGTCGTTGAGATGGTCAATGATGATTGCCATGGCGGGAATCTAGAAATGGATGGGTCAGCACGTTGAAATAGGCAAAACCCGCAAGATAGCACTTGCCCTGAACTTGCAGATCCGTCCCATCGAAGGGGGTTTAACAAGTGTGCGAGACGGTCGTACTCGGAATCAGGAGCATGTGCTTGCTGCCAAAAGAAGGACCCTCGTTATCACATGTGCCCATCAACTTTTTTTGAATGGTATATTACCTGTGGACTCCGTACGTCGCATCAGGAAACGTGGGAGTCTCCATCGTCTCCAGATGGCGCCAGATGGCTCGATGGAGCGATGGAGATGACCCCCCCATATCTGGAGACAGGCGTCTCCAGCCTGGCCGGGATGGAGACGCGTTCTCCAGCTGGAGACAGGCGTCTCTGCCCCGGCCGGGATGGAGACATGTCCTCCAGCTGGAGACTGCGGCTCTGGGCGATGGCGAGGGAGACAGAAATCTTGTACCTGGTAATCAGGGTTGCCCACGCCGGCGCACCCTTCACGACCTCACACAGGACTTACCCCGCGCTCAAATGTTGTACATTGGCGACATAGTGGCTCCTGGCCGTCCCCTTCCAGAGCTGACCCGTTAGTCATATATTACATAAGTATAGCCCTGGCGAAGGTCTATTGGCGTAGTGGTACTGATAGTCCTCCGTGCTTCTTGTCGGGGGTTCTATTCCGTGTCTACGCGTTTTTGCACCTCGCACCCACGACACCATGCCCAACCTGGGTGTTTCCTCTCCAAAATCTTCTTCCATGCTTTCAGGAGCGATCCAACCCAGTAGATTTACCACACCACACCAGAATGGGGGTGGAGGAAGTTTTTGGAAAATGTCACTCGGCAGGATTTGAACACTGTACCAAAGCAAATCAAAAATAACTACCTGACACTTATGCCAATGTGCCAAGAGACCTTTCTTATGCTCTTCCATATGTAATATATGGCTACAGGGTTAGCTCTGGAAGGGACAACAACGTCAACCATGGCTGTCAGCCCATCAGACTCACATGGCCACGTTCTCGAGCGAGGCAGCCCGCTATCATTGTGTGAGGTGTGCCCACGAGCTCCAGCTGACAGCAGATGGAGAAAGTGTCTCTGGATGGAGACAACGTCTCCATCAGTGTCGGGCTGGAGACGGATCTCTCTGAGCGGAGACACTGTCTCCACCCCGGGCCGTATGGAGGCCCCTGTCTCCGGCCCGACGCTGATGGAGCGAGGGAGATCTGGTCTCCGTCCGGAGACTCCCGCGTTTCCTGATGAGTCGTGGTGGTACGTGACGAAGCAGAAACAGGCCTGACGCAGCGCCTGTTGCAGCTTGTCGGCGGCCAGGGCGATATAGATTAGATTAGATATGGCAAGCGTGGATAGCGCGCGTCAGCGCGTCGAGGCCCAAGGGTCATCTTTAGTTAGCACCTGTACTAGTGTATACACCGGGGGCATTTCCCGATGAGACAAGCCGTTTCCTTGATGTCTCATATAGAATGTCTCGCGGATGCGCCATCTGGACTCATTTTGAATGTCTCTCCTCGTATCATGGGAAGCTCGAGCTCTGATTGGCTAGCAATCAATGATACGAGGATGTCCCTCAAGATGAGTTTGTGCGGTACATCAATGGGACAATCTATATGAACAAAGCGTGAAGCCGCGTGTTTCATCTGGCAATGCCCCCGGTGGTAGTTGCTTGCCGCGTGACACGTAAACTATGCTGGTTTGGGGGCGGCTAAGTGACATAATCACCCGCCTCCTCCTCCTCCTCCTTTCCCCCTCCGCCTCCACGGGATCCGAGGCCGACCAGCGCCTGTCAGCCAGCCTTCCTCAAATCCCAAGCTGCGCGCCCTGTCCCTCAAAGCCTCAAACCGCACAGCGCTCTTCGATGCAAAGAAAGTTCTTATCTGCCAAGAACATCCGCAAGTCTCGCAGAATCATGGACGCCCAAAACATTACTTGAACACGCCCGATGCAGATTGAGCGTTCTCTCATGGATAATATGTGGTATGTAGCCCTTTGGACTAAGATGAGTGAGTTCTTGCCCTAGGACACTCCACTTTGAGCTATCGGGGTGGCTCGATGTATTCTCTCGTTTCGACCGCGGTGCATATGTCGCGGATGACGGTCCTACGCCACCCGTATGGATCCCCCCGGGACGTCGTGTCGGTCTCTCTGCGTATGGCAGGCCTCCACATTCGAATTGCGATCCAGGAATCGGCCGTGCTCCCAACACCTGGAGCTCCAGCGTCTCCGAACGCTCTCCCCATTCATGTTTCAGAAGTCGTTCCTTCGCTGCACGTGGTAGGCATTGCGGGAATGTATGTGGCGAAGACGTTTACTAGGAGGTGCGCGCAGGATCGGACGACCCGCCAACGGAGGCGGGGGTGTGGCGCCAGGGGTGGTGTACGGAATACGCGGTGGCGGCGGATCGAGGATGAAGGAAAGGGAATTTGGATGGTCGAACTGTGGTGAGAACATGGGGAGCAGGCGCAGAGTATGGTAGAAGTCACACTCAGGCCGACCCAACAATCCCGCCTCGCACACCCCGATCATCGCGTTGGTGACGATGCCAGAGGCTGACAACTCGATACTTTTCCAGAAAAGCAGTCCGATCAGGAACACATTTTAAATGGAGTCAACACTGGCCGGGAATGCGGGAGTCATGACGTTGAAAACCATTAAGCGCGAGCACCAACACGGGCGTCCCCTGGCGTCTACCCCTCTTGCCTCCTGACTCTCTCGACGCGACTCGTAAGTGTTCTCAAACACACAAGAGCGCATTTTGGGCCCGCTTGTCGCCTTCAGGGCCTTGGATACTCCTCCTACTCGTTCACTGCTGCACGGGCCACCCTCATTTCATCGCGAGTCCTCAACGTCGACTGCTTCAGGCGAGTCCATGCAGTCTCCTGAACTTCTCATGGACATCTCCTCACACCCGCCTACACCGGCGCGGTACTCTACACATCGTTCGCAGTTGCTTGCATAACATTCGGCTCACACATCGACATGCCGCCGTCCTCAGTCGTCCGTCGGCTCAACGAAGATATTGTACTCAACATCGTCTCCTATCTCCCAGGATACGATGCTGTGCAACTCGCTCTCACATGCAAGTTCATGTATGCGATTTGTTCTCCCAGATTCCCCATCGAGATCTCGAACCAAGCCCAACTCGTTGGACGCCATCACGACCTCTGTCACCCACACGCTCGCAGCGCCGGTTACATACACCACCTCAAAATCAACCTCGTACCCTATATATACAAGGAGTACCTGGATACCATTGGCAATATCCTCACCGCGACGAAGAATTTGCGAAGCTTGGAATTCCAAGTTTGCGATGCTAGCTTCATACTCCACCCACCAGCCACTCGTGCGCTTGCTCAGATGCAAGAGTTGCGATCTTTGTCTTGCAGTCCAGTTAGCCCCGGCGTGCTGTCAGTGATCAAGTCTATTCCTTCACGCAATCTGGTCACGCTGGACCTCTGCTACTACTCTCAGCGGCATCACGATTTCTCTCCTTTGTTGTCCACCCTGGAAGCCTTCCCGAAGCTCTCTACACTCGCCCTAAAGAACTTCCTGCCAGGCCCGGCTCTTCTCGACATCACCCGCCGTCCATCGTTCCCGTCCATTTTGCACGTCACGTTGCGTAAATGTTCCGCGACATCCACGGACCTCGTCTACCTCTGCCCCAAACTCGAGTCGTTGAACCTCTCTCTCGACCGCGAAGAGCACTCTGCGGGCGCCCACACGGATTCCCGCCGAAGATGGCCCAAGCTCTCCCGCCTCACCGCGCACATCGGCCGCGCGGCGGCATGGGGCGCAGATGCCGCCGCGCAGGACGACGACGATCGGCGGACGATCCTCGTCGGGCTGCTCGAGCACCGCGCGGGCCCCGTCCCGCACCTCGAGCTCACCGGCGAGTGGGAGTTCACCCGCGACGGCGTCACCGCCGTCGACGCCGCCACGTCGCGCCGCCTCACACGCCTCCTCGCCGCGCTCCAACCCCGCGTGCTCACACTCCCGGTGCATGCGGGCTTCCAGAGCCTGGACAAGAGGCTCGACGGCCGGATGTGGACCGAGGTCGCGCGCGCGCTCCCGCGCCTGCGCGCGCTGACGCTGCGCTGCTCCGAGCACCACAGCTGGGTCCCTCCGGTGAGTCCGTCTGCCGGACAACGTCGGGCGCAAACGCTGATCTCGACGCCCCGGCTCCGCCGACAGGACACGCTCGCCGCGGCGCTCGCGCACCTCCCGCTCCGCTGCCTTTTCATCGACACCAGCCCGGTTGATGATCCGAAGGCATCAGGTCCGGACTACCGTGTGGTTGAGCGTATTCAAGTACTGGGCGCGCTCCCCGCGAAGCTGCTTGCCGCGCTCACGAAGATGCGCGTTCTGGGCATCAAGGGGATGACCGCGCCACCCGAAGATGCGTTCAAGGACCTCAAGCTGGAAGTATTCCTTCCCTACGAGCTGGACGAGTGGAGGAAGGAGCACGGTGAACGGAACACGCGTTGGTGGCGGGTAGATGGGACAGGGGCGGAGCGGAGGCTAGTGGAGCTTTGGCGCGAGGATGGGGAGCATGCGCAGAAGCTGGTGGAAACCGCGGAGAAGTATCGTGTCGCGGACCTGGCCGGTGAGTACAGGTGTCGGATAATGTCTGATTGCGCCCGGGGCTGACCTGCTTCCGCAGAAATATATCTGGACAAGTGCCGCTATGAGCCATAAGCGAGGAATGAACGAGCACGGGCCACATGTACCCCACTTTCAGGGGAGGCGGATACTACGTACGCTATTGTTAAAGTTGAATCATATCGCTGGATCAGTCCTAGGGTTCTCGCAGGCCTGTGCTCGACCGGCTCCTTTTGAGGCAGTCTAAACGCATTCATACTTATACTCCTCGCAAAGCTGAGCTCCAAGGCGATCCAAGTGTTCGCTACTGCCATAAACCGGCCAAAAGGCTCGGACTTGCTCAGCCTCTTGGTATGTGACGCCGCGAAAGATAGCTGAGGTGTCGGCGGAGTCCGAGGCCGGCGGGCGCCTGTGGGCACTGCGTCCGCGGTGGTGGCGAACGGTGCTCTCTTCCTCCGTTCCCTCGAATCCCAAGCTACGCGCACCGTCCCTGGGCAGCCTCGCACTTCCCAACGCGCGTGAACGTTTCTCTATGCCAAAAATATGCGCAAGTCTCGCAGAAGCTTGGACGCCCAAACTCTCACAACACGCCCGCCGATGCAAATTGACAAAGTGTGGAAGCTTGGGAGGACAGCGTTCTCTCATGGGCAGTGTGTGACCTGGTTTCTTGAGAACTAAGAAATGACGATCTTACTGGGTGAGTTGTTTTCCTGGGAGCATCCTATCCGCTGGTCGCCCCCGCCGTACTCCGTGATTTGAATAGTCGTTGCTTTGCTCTCTGTTCGACCATTTGTCTCTTTTTCATGAGCCCCTAGGATTTTTCTACTATGCCATTGTTGACACCAATGTCCCCCTGCTCATATCGCTCATGACCCGTGCAACATGACGGTAAGCAGTTTTGACGGGCACCGCTGGCGAGGACCGATCTGTTTTTATTCTTGTCAGGAGCGAGTACTGATGGACCTAATCGTACGGCATCTATGTAATTTGCACGCCGAACACCACCTTTCTCTAGCTCCGGCTGTGCAAAGCGGTCGACCTTCCGAAGCGGAATGCATCAACACTACGTTCGCCATACAACGTGGCACGTAAACCGGAGGCGCGGGCGCTGCTGCATGCTGGGTGACTGTGAGGTCCACAACATCCGGTTAGTCCTGCTTCTCACATCTTAAAACGCTCAATAGCTCTACTTCCGGCCGCAGCGATATGACGAGCGTCCTCCGAGCCTCCCGGTCGGCGACTAGGCGGACGCTGTCTTTCAGAGTTTCCGTCTGGTGCCGCTCTTGTACCGCCCCGAGCCTGAAGACCTCGGTGCTTCCAATCTACACTCCCCACAGCATCCCGAAGCTCCCATGTTGTATCTAACAATGGCTCCTCACGTGGCTCCACACGTACTCACACAACGCATCTCCGACAGAACGTGATCTCGGTGCCGCGAACGGCGAGTCATACTGCGCCTCCGAAGGTGCACAGCTGTATGCACGGTTCTTGCAATGAGTGCGCAGCGTCGCTGAACCTCAAGCGCCCCGCGGAGTCAATCCCGGACATTCGAACGCCTGGGCAGTGGGCACGCGTAATCGTCATGCGTGCGTCTGCGCTCGGTATAAGATCCAGTGACGCACCTCCCAGCCGCCTCACCAACCACTCGCCACAACCAAGCATAGCCCTTCAACCGCCTCGGCACCTCTCCGCGCATCCTCCTCCTTCTTCTGCGCCCACCATTCCGGTCCACCTCCCCATCGCCACCACCACCCAGACCACCACATCCGCGATGCCACCAAGCACCATGCAGACTGCCTTCCCACCCTCTCCGTCCCTCGCATCGCTCGCGAGCACCTCCACCGCCGTCTCCACCACCCCACTTCGCCCCGGCTCAAAACCGAAGGACTACGAGTCCGCGTTCGGCACCCTCCAATCGCAGTACGGCCTCGCGTCCCCGATGCCTATCCCTCCCGCGCCGCCCCGCTCAAAATCCCCCTCGTGGCTGAAGCGCGCGCTCGGTGCGCCGTCGCGCTCGAGCCCCGCATGCAAGTCGAAACCCGCGCCGGCGCCGATGACGGAGGAGGAACGGAGGAAGGACGTGGCGCGGCGGGCACGCGAGGCGGAGTTCGCGAAGTTCACGGCCAAGTACGGGTTCAGCGGCGGGGCGTGAGATTACGGTCGCGGTGCTCTGTCGGATTCGTCCCCATTTTATCAGTGTCTGCATAGCTCGCATTCAATACTCTATGTGCCTGTGTATTCGACTCCTTTGCGTTGGAAGGCATCGAAGTGATACACCCACTGGCAGCGCTCTCTTGCGTTGGAAGGCAATCTAATCTAATCTCCGCGGCTGGTACGCTCGGCGCTCAAGCGCTCAATGCGCAAGCTTTATTCATTCTCCTTCTGTCGAGGTAGCCGTCGCGGGCCGCTGCGCTCACTCTTGCTCGACGTGTTCTCTCATTTCGACCGCGACGCGTATGTCACGGATGATAGTCTTACGCCACCCGCATGGATACCGCCCGGTACGTCGCGTCGGCTCGTCTATCTTGCGTCTATCTGCATATGATTTACATTGCGGGCCTCGGACACGCTCCCAACACCCGGAGCTCCGGCGTCTCAGAACGCTCGCCCCGTTCCCGGAGAAATTTGCGGAAGCCGTGCCTTCGCTGCGCCTGCGCTTGGTAGACGTTACGGAGATAGATGTGGCGAAGTCGTTGAGAAGGCCCACGCGCTAGCAGGACAACGCGCCGACGGAGATGGGGACGTGGCGCCAGGGGCATGGTGCACGGAATACGCGGTGGTGGATAATCGAGGTGATGAAAAGGGGAGGTGGACATGACGTTGAACAGCATCAGCGCGCACACAATCATCGGTATCCCTTGGCGTCTACCTCTTGCCTTCTGACCCTCTCGGCTGACCAGCGACTGGTGAGTGTTCTCAATCACACAAGAGCGCATTTTGAGCCCGCTTTTCGCCTTAAGGGCCTTGGATACTCCTCCTACTTGTGCACTGCTGCCCGGGCCGTCCTCATTCCATCGCGAGTCCGCGACGTCGACTTTCTCAGGCAAGTACATGGAGTCTCCTACATTTCTTATAGACATCTCCTCACACCATCAGCGCAGTACTCCACACATCGTTCCAAGTTGCTTGCATAACATTCGGCTCATACATCGACATGCCGCCGTCCTCAGTCATCCATAGGCTTAACGGAGATATTGTACTCAACATCGTCTCCTATCTCCTAGGATACGACGCAGTGAACCTCGCTCTCACATGCAAGTTCATGTATGGGGTTTGTTCTCCCAGATTCACCATCGACATCTCGAATCAAGTCCAACTCATTAGACGCCATCACGATCTCTGTCAGCCACGCACTCGCAGCGCGGATTACATACACCACCTCGAGATCAGACTCCAACCGCATCCGATGTACGCACAGTATCTGGATACCTTTGGGAATATTCTCACTGCGACGAAGAATTTGCGCATCCTTAACTTCGAAGTTGGCAATACTAGCTTCATACTCCACCCACCAGTCACTCGTGCGCTTGCTCAGATGCACGAGTTGCGATACTTGTCCTGCCATCTGGTTAGCCCCGGCGTGCTGTCGGTGGTCAAGTGTATTCCTTCACGCAATCTCGTCTTGCTCGACCTCTGGCACGAAGTTCAGTGGTTTCACGATTTCTCTCCTCTTTTGTCCACGCTGGAAGCCTTCTCGAAGCTCTCTACACTCGTCATGAACAGCTTCCTGCCAGGCCAGACCGACCTCGACACCGCCGGTACATCGCTCCCGTCCATCCGGCATATCACCCTCAAGGACGCGTCCGTAGCTGCCACGAACATCCTCTACCTCTGCCCCAACATCGACACGATCGACTTCTCCCCAAACCACGAACAACAGTGCATGCAAGGTCACACGGATATCCGGCCGAGATGGCCCAAGGTCTCCCACCTCTCCGTGGGCATCTGCCGTGCAACGAGGTGGGGCGGAGGCGTCGACGCGCGGCTCTCCCACGCCGACCTACAGACCGCCCTCGTCGAGCTGCTCGAGCGCCGCGCGAGCCCCGTCCCGCACCTCGAGCTCGCCGGCGGCGGGTTGGAGCTCACCCGCGACGGCGTCGCCGCCGTCGACGCCGCCACATCGCGCTGGCTCGCCCGCCTCCTCGCGGCGCTCCAGCCGCGCGCGCTCACGCTCCCAGTGCACGCGGCCGGCTTCAACCAGAGCCCGCACGAGAGGCTCGACGGCTGGCTGTGGATCCAGGTCGCGCGCGTGCTCCCGCGCCTGCGCGCGCTCACCCTGCGTCGCGTCGGACGCGATAACTGGGTGCCCCCGGTGAGTCTGTCTGCGGCGGAGCTTTCGCGCCTCACCTCGCTGATGTCAGTCCCGCAGGACACGCCACCGGCGGCGCTGGCGGAGCTCCCGCTCCGCTGCCTGTTCATCGACGCCAGCCCCGTGCTCCCGTCGGAGAGCCGCAGGCTACGCTCGCCTTGCGTGGAGCTGGAGCGCGTCAGAGCGCTGGACGCGCTCCCCGCAAAGCTGCTCGCCGCGCTCACGGAGATGCGAGTGCTGGGAATCACGGGGACGGCGGCGCTGCCGGACGCCGCGGTGGACACCAGCGAAAAATGGGGTCTGAAGGACCTGGGGGAATGGAGGCGGGAGCACGGCGAGCACAACACGCCGTGGTGGCGCGTCGACGGCGAGGGGGCGGAGCGGAAGTTGGTCGAGCTCTGGCGCGAGTACGGAGAGCGAGCGCAGCAGCTGGTGGAAAACGCCGAGGAGTACCGCGTCGCCGACCTGGCCGGTGAGTACATCGGACATGGGTTTGGATAGTGTCTGGGTGCGCTCGGAGCTGACTTGCTTCCGCAGAGATATATCTGGACAAGTGCCGCTACGAGCCGTAAGCAAGGAATGAACGAGCACGGACCATACAACTCCACCCTCAGGAGAGGCGGATAATGTAAACTAGTCCTAGTTTCAAATCGTATCGTTGAATCTCGCACGCGAGAGTTCTCGCCGACCTGTGTTCGATCGGAACCTTCGTAAAAATCCTTCGGGCGGAGGAAGGATCAGATATGCTCATCCTGGCGCATGACGCTGCGCAGAGCGCCGCAAAAGCTAGCTAAGGTGTTACGGACGTGAGGGAGAGCGGGCATGCGTCAGTACTACGCTGTGGGCTCCCATTGTGTTATCTAATCTGATCTAACTCCAACTTCGATTTCGTGGCCTTCTGCGACCATGAGCGATATCAATGGTGATACCCATATTGTCCGTGTACAATCGTACGTGCATGTCTTACATTCAGGGATCATACCGGCACTTGTCCAAGTATATAGCTGCGTAAGCGCAAAGTCAGCGTCCAGCTTAAGCACCGAGGCGTCCGATATACTCACCGTCCAGGTCTGCGACGCGATACCTCTCAGAATCTTCGATGATCCTCTGCGCTTGCTCGCCGTACTCGCGCCAGAGCTCGACCAGCTTCCGCTCCGCCCCTTCGCCGTCGACGCGCCACCACCGCGTGTTCCGCTCGCCGTGCTCCTTCCTCCATTCTGCCAGGTCCTCCAGAATCCATTCGAAGTGCGTGCTGTCCATCGCCGCGTCCGGCAGCGCCGCCATCCCCATTATTCCAATCACTCGCATCTTCGGGAGCGCGGCAAGCAGCTTCGCGGGGAGCGCATCCAACGCTTGGACGCGCTCCAGTTCTTTGAAGGGCAAGCCAGGCCGGCCGGCCGGCGGGTTCACCGGGCTGGCGTCGATGAACAGGCAGCGGAGCGGGAGCCGCGCCAGCGCCGCAGGCAGCGTTTCCCGCGGGACTCTCGCCTGGGTGATGGGGTTTACGAGCTCCGCGGCAGACGGGCTCACCAGGACCTCCCAGCTGTCGGGTCCGACGCCGCACAGGGTGAGCGCGCGACCTCGGTCCACATCCGGCCGTCGAGCTTGTTGTCCGTGCTCTGGAAGCCGGCGTGCACTGGAAGGGTGAGCGGCTGGAGCGCCACGAGGAGGCGGGTGAGGCGGCGCGACGTGGCGGCATCGACGCCGGTGACGCCGTCGCGGGTGAACTCCCACTCGCCGGCGAGCTCGAAGCGCGGGACGGGGCTCGCGCGGCGCTCGAGCAGCTCGACGAGGATGGTCTGCAGCTGGGCACTTTCGAGCGCGACAACGCCACTGACCCATCTTGTCGGGCCGTAGATGGCCACGGTGAGCCGGCCCGAGACCTTGAGCCATCTCGGCCGGGGATCCGTGTGGCCTTGCATCGGATGTCGTTCGTGGCTTGGGGAGAGCTCGAGCGAGTCGAGGTTGGGGAAGAGGTAGAGGATGTCCGTGGCGGCGACGGACACGTTCTTGAGCACGACATGCCGGACGGACGGGAACGATGTCGGGTAGCATCAAGAGCGGTCGGTTGTGGGACAAAATTACCTAGGGTGAGAGTGACGAGCTTGGGGAATGATTTGAGTGCTGAGAGAAGAGGAGGAAACTCGTGATTCCAGTTGACATCGAACGAAAGACTGAGGCTGGCGAGGTTGGGCGAGGGATGGATTGGATCATCGGAAGTACGTCGTCGAGGAAGACGGGAGAATAATTGAGTGTTCGCAGATCCTTCAGTTGAGTGAGAGCGTGGACGATCGATGGATATTCCATCCATCCTTGCTGGAACACGTAGCAAAGCCTCAGCCTGTGGAGGTTCCTGGCGGTCCCGAGGATGTCGGCCACGGCCTTTATGTTGTCCTCTTGATTCGACATCAAAGCTAAGTCGAGATTATACAAGTAGGTCGCGCAGGAATAACCAGGCCGGCAGATCGCCTCAGCCGTCCGACGTAGTTTGTATTGTTCAAGGTGGGAGATCTTCACGCTGAAGCTTGGACAGGGGAGCGCGTACATGAACTTGCATGAACGAGCGAGTTGTACCGCGTCGTGGCTCGCAAGATAAGAGAGGACGGCAAGGAGGGTGTCTTCGTTCAGCCGATGAATGATTGAAGTGGACATTGTGACGACTGTAGGGTCAAATGAGTCAGGGATCGCATGCGAATGTGGTGCGTGGATACTGACCGGAGGGATGGTGGGACGCGAGTTGATGGATGAAGGCAAGAGGAGAACACAGGCTATGCTGTTAGGCCTAGGGGCTACTGGGATGGATCTTCCCCTGCGTCACTTCCGCGCACCACATGGTCCGGCCGGCTCATGCCCATTGCCCGATTCCGCTCCGCACTCCCGCCATCAACCCGCCGCCACAAGGAGCGGTTCGGCATACACATAGACCAGGGCTGTTACGGGTGCTTCGAATGAAATTGTTCGCGTTCAGCACGGATGAGATCGTAGAAGGCGGTGGGCGCATACTGCTTGTCATGTGGACAGTACATATGCGATGCGGCAACATACAAAGCGTGCGGATGCGGGATGATCTTACTCCTCCCCAGGAGCAGCTCTACAGGCAGGCACAAAATTCGACGCTCAGGCCTTGGAGAGTGACTTGCGGACATATATCCGGCCCTTCGCGAGCATAAAGCTGCAGCGCCAGAAGTCCACCGTTTCGCTTCTGCGCTCAGGACGACTTCTGCCACTTGTAGGCAGTGTCCTTTGCGAACGACGCCGGTGCCGGCACCGAGGAGGGAGATCGGAGACGACGAGGGGCGTGAGGGTCATATGGTGGTAGGGGAAAGCGCATGCGATCACGAAGGGAGAATATACATACATTGGCATTGGCATTAGCTCGGTAGGTTTGGGATTCGCGTTTACTTGGCAGGAGGATGTACTAGTTCTTCGCTTTCACTCGATCCGGCCTCTGAGCCAACCAAGAAGCCCCTTCGTGCCCTCACGCTCCCAGACGCGTCTGGGTGGCACCCGAAAGCTGATGAAGCGACAGTCAGCATCATCGTAGACAACGCCGCGCAGAGTGAGCACTCACACGTTCCCATCCACCAAGAACACCTCGAGTGGTAGCAGCCCCAGCTCCGCCGGCATCTTCCCAATTTCGTTGTCCCGCAAATCCAGCTCCTCCATGTGCCACTCCGGCACGTCCCGGTTCCCGCGGAAGCGCTCCGCGACGTCCTTGAAGCCGTCGAGCGCGTCGATGCGATTGCCCCGCAGCCGGAGCGCACGCAAGCCCTTCCGCGCGTCCGCGTCCGACGCGAAGATGAGGGCGGAGAGCGCCTCCTTCGTCAGCGCCGCGGACGAGAGCTGGTTGTAGGACAGGTCGAGCGTGCGCACGCTCGGGAACAGGCGCGCGAGGAGCGGGAGCAGCGGTTCCGCCACCCGCGGCGCGGTCTCGCTGCCCGCGTCGACGCGCGCGACGGGGACCGCCTCGGGCAGGTTGCAGTTCGCGAAGCTGAGCTCCTCGAGGTACGGCAGCGCGCCGCCGCCGGCGAGCGCGGCGGGCAGCGCGAACGCGACGTCCGCCCGCCGGTTCGCGAGGACGAGCACCTTGAGGTTGTGCGCGAGCGGCAGCTCCGCGATCGCCGCCAGCGGAAGCGTGGGCGCGGGGATCGCCAGCGCGAGCTCGGACACCGGTGCGGGCGGCTGCTGGCGCGGGGCAGCCAGGGAGAACGAGCGCGTATGGGTGGCCTTCGCCGGCGGCGCGGAGGGCGGGAGGGTGAGCGTGCGCGCGGGGGCATCGTAGTATTGTGGGTGGGCAAGCGCGGCGCCGACTGTCGTAGGGCTCTTCGTCGGGGAGGGCGTGCGCGACGCGGGTCGGGACGAGGCGTTGGACGTGGGGTCTTCAGGCTTGTGAGACTGGGCAGCAGCAACGGCCTGGGCTCGCGCGCGTCGACGTGCTCCTGCGCTGAGCATGCCTGACTCGGCTTCAATCTCCCAGGCTTCTTTCTGGACGGCCTTGATCGCTACTGGAGGTGGCGCTCTCGTCGAGGGAGGCGCTGCAGGCTTCGTGGGCTCGGGCGAAGCTGCGGCTTGGGCGCGAGCTCGCCGCTTGGCGCCCTCGCTGAGGACCTTCTCCTCCCACGGCTCTTTCACCACTGCTTTCGCGACTGCTTTAGGCTCGGAAGATCCTGTCATCGCGCTAGGAATGTTTGGGAAGGCGACTTGGCGGCGCTGCTGAGACCGACGTTCAGTGTCGATCTCCCACGCTTCCTTGATGACCCGCTTCCCAAGGACGACGCGAAGAACGCCCGCTGGGGGCTCTTGCGCGGTGACATCGTACTGGACCGTCTGCTTGACCGCGGGGGGAATGAATGTAGCCTCGATGACAGGGCGCGAAACTTGCGTCTCCTCGAGATCAAGGACCTTGAGTGCCGGGAATAGAGTGTCCGTCGAGGAGGCAAATATGGAGACGGAGAAAGAGTCGTCGCCGATGTCGGCCTTGACCATGCGTACTTCGGTCAGCCTTTTTAGACGACCGAGGGCGCACAGTAAGGTGTCGCTCTTGCCCAAGGGAGCCGCAGAGAGATCGAGCTTCGTGACCTGGGCAGGTAGTGCAGTGACATCGATAGAGGCAGCGGTGAGCGGGTTGTGGGAGACATTGAGATGAGTGAGACGGGGTAGAGGCTCCGTAGCACGGGTGATGGCCTGTTGGAACCAGTCTCCGCGAGCATCCTTTGTTCGACCGAGGGGGTTGGATCCTTCTCCGAAGGCGACAGAGAAGGGGAGGGCGCAGAGGGCGTTGTACGCAAGGTTGAGTGTGGTGAGGTGCGGAAGGGCCCAGAACTTGGTGGGGAGCGTTTTCAACTCGTTGTGCGACAAATCGACGGCCATCAGCGCCACGAGATCCGCGAAGCTGTCTGGGAGCGATGTCAGCTTGTTGTTGTGTAGCTGTGAGATATAGTCAGCAAATCAACACGGCAACAGTATGCGCACCAGCTTACATCAACGGTTTTGAGGGAGCCAAACATCGAGATCTCCGGCTGGAGCTCGACGATCTCGTTCGACCATGCCTTCAGGATCTCGAGGTCTTGGGCGTCATACCATGTCGGTCCATTGCTGGATTGCTTGGAGGATGAAGAAGTCGTTATTGGAGGTTCGACCGGTGCCGACTTCAGAGGCTCCGGGGTAATGCCGAGGTGAATCTCGAAGAGGGCAGAAGGTATGCAGGGTAGATCGCGAGAGGCGATGTTGATCGCGCCTTGTAAAAAGCACCTTGAATGAATATTCATTTCGGCCAAACGGTATCGTAGACAGCACGGGCATGTCGAGCAGCACCATCCAGGCCATGGCCGAGAACATGTCTATCGCGGCGTCGTCGACGTCATACTACAGATGAAAAGCTCGTGATGCATAAGTCGCATGGCCAGTGCCGCCATGCTCCACCCAGAAACCACATCGAAGCGCATATACTCACAATGCATAGGCCGAGGCGATGACCGACGGTCTGCACTACGAGCTTCTCATCTGTAGCTGTATGCGTGCGCTAGCTACGTCCATCCAGTTCAAAGAGGCGCGAGCACCCCGGGCAGAAGCATTCGCGACTGCGTCTCCCCATGATGGTAGGGCTCGACATGCTCGCCCACACGATAAGAGGGAACACACCTGAACTCCGAGCACGCTCGATAGCCTCTTTGATAGACCATCTTCCCAGATCCACGTCAGGCTCCGCGGGCCTGCCAAATGTATCCGGTGACGCGTCCTCTAGGTCTTCGAACGTCGCCTTCAAGGGGGAGACAACCTTCTTCACTTCGGCGCGTTTGAGTGCGATCTGTTCGCGGATGCTGAGCTTGGGGATTCGAGGAGCATCATCGAGAGTAGGTAGTGGAGGTGGCCTCTTGGATGGAGATTTCGTGGGCGACTTCGGCTTCAAGTTCTGCAAGCTGCGTTGGGAACGGAGTGAGGGAGTGGGTGATGGGGCCGCAAGCGTTGAAGGTGTCCGTGCGCGCGGTTTCGCCAGAGGTGTCACCGCTGCTTTGGGGGTGGCCGTCGAGCGAGGGGTGGGGCTGGAGGGCGTACTTTTGAGCCGCGTCCGCGTTTCGGTCCGAGCCGACGATGAGGGCAGAGGGAGACGAGACATAGACACACAGACGATGAGTGAGAGGACTGGACAACGTCGAGTATGTTGAAGCGCCCATTGACGATGTGACCCCGGCGGGCGTCCTCCGGGGTCCGGAGAGCCACGCGGGTGGTAGCGCCCGTGCTCGTCCGAAATTCTGGCTGCCCGCTGAGAGACCGCAACGCCCTCACCCGGACCTCAAGACTCCCCCACAAGGCTCTGCCGCCGCCTCACGACAAAGTGAGTGTCTGTTTCTTTCTCTGCGAGTGTACGGATGTTATGAGGGAGGTCTGGATGTGCTGGAGTGGTGATTGGGGGGTGGATGGGTAGACTCAGGATCGGATGACACTGGCATGGCTTGCGACTAACCAGCCATTCCCCAGCCGGAGAAAGTGCGACCAGCGTATCGCAGTGAGTACTCTTCGTCTCTTCTATCCCTTCGTCCTGCCGACCCATCGTCCAGCTTCCGACCCCAAGACCCCGACCCGCCCAGCATGATTATCACCAAGCCCCACAAGCGCATCATCTACGAGTCCCTCTTCAAGGGTTCGCTCCCCTTCCCTTCCCCTATTGTATGCGCTCTCAATTTAGCTCTTGCCGCACACAGAGGGCGTGTTGGTCGCCAAGAAGGACTACAACGCCCCTAAGCATGAGGAGCTCGATGTGCCCAACCTTCAAGTGATCAAGGCGATGCAGAGCCTCACCTCCAAGGGTCTCGTCAAGACCCAGTTCTCGTGGCAATGGTACTACTACGTCCTCACCCCCGAGGGCGTCGACTACCTCCGCGAGTGGTGCGTTGTCCGTTGCGTCATCTTGTTCGCGTCTTCACGCACCGCTCCCGCCCCAGGCTCAACCTCCCGAGCGAGATCGTCCCCGCCACGCACAAAAAGGCCGTTCGCCCCCCTCGTCCGGCGCAGGTGCGTGGCCCTGGTGGCGGAGAGGGCACCTACCGCCCTCCCCGTGGCGACCGCGACGACTACAGGAAGAAGGAGGGTGCTCCTGGCGAGTTCCGACCACAGTTCGCGGGTGTCGGCCGTGGTGCTCCCAGGGATTAGGCGTTTCCTCCCATCGACGGCTCGGGGCCCCCTTTCAAGCCGCTGTCGCCCCCGACTCCATGCACGTACGCCTCGTTCCATCCACCTACACACAAACCGGAGAGCGATGGAGGGCACAGCAGGGCTTGGCTGCGGTGGGGGCGGGCGGATGCGCTGCTTACTATGTAGGAGATCGGTGTTCTGATATTGCGTCTATCCGCGCAAAAATGTAGTATGAGCATTCCATGCCGCTTTTGAAGCTATGTTTATGCTGCTTTCGCTCTCCGACCTTTGTCGTTCTGCGAGCTGGAGTCAGAGCTGCGCGGATCCTGGCTACAACTGATGCACTTGTGAAACGGTATGTCACCTAGTTTCCACCACCTGACAAGAAGCTGACGTCGAAATCGAAGAGACCTGTTGGGTTTAACAGTGTCTCTTTGCCTCGCGTAAGGTGACCTACGTTGACAGACGTGTTTCCCGATATCTGCTCGTGGGCGCTGTGATATCCCTGATTCCAGCTTGATGAACCAACAGACTGCCACTTGAGATGCGCGTATGGAGTGCAGGTGCGGCGTTTCTACATGGGTGACACTTGGTGGGCGAGTGTTCTCAGCGCTGAGTATTTGGGTGCTCGTGACAGGTGCGCGCTTTCTCTGTCTGCGCACGTATTGCTACTATGACGGCGCGTTTGCATAGGTGAACACGCCATCGTTGCTAGCAATTTGAAAGGCGCTGCAGGTAGTCGAGCTCGGCCCCGCAGCGGGGCCACCAGCGCTTGTACCTCCCGCATACAGTACATGGCAGCTGCGGCTCTGCAGAACATATGGCACCTGGGGCACTCGGTCGGTTCGCCCTTGAAAAATGGCGCTCGAAACGACCCGATGGGCCCGTGCACTGCGCGGCAGACAGAATCGGAATAACACTGCGGGCGAGAGTGGGTGGGCCCAAGTGGGCCCGCCCTCCAGCTGAGCGCCGCACTGGTCTTGTGCTTGGGCTGGTCGAAAGCCCACAGTCTCAGGAAGCCGTGACAGGGCGCGAGTTGCGGCAAGTACATACTGTTCCCGCCGGCGGCGAGCGCCACTCCGGCTCCGGTCGCACTGCCAACAAGATGGCGCGCGAACGCTGCTGAACGCGGCTCGCGCCCCCGAGGTACATAGGTCCGCGGCCACCATTCGATCCCGACGGATAGCAGGCACCGGTGGAACAGCATGCGCCGTCGCGCACCGTTGTCCAGCCACTCGGGCGCGTGGACGCACGCGATCGCCGAGACCAGTCGCCGCGCGCGAGGCCGAGGATCGAGTACGGTCCCGGGTAACGACACACAGTGAGTGCGAGCTCAGTCGGGGACAGTAACGACTAGATTGCTGTACCTAACGACACACAGTGAGTGCGAGCTAGGTACAAGATATGTAAGTATAGGAATAGAGTAATGATACATAGAACGGAAACACATACCTCAGTCGGGGACAGTAACGACTGAGGTATGAGCGAGCGGCCGAGCGAGCGCTATGCCGGGGCTCCTCGGAGAGCGCCGAAGAACTGTACAGTACCAACTAAACTAAAATAGGTAAGACAGTATCGGACGTCCGTCCTCGAGCTGTATCGTAGGAGATAAGATAATCAACACTCCCCCTCAGCGAGAAGAGATGGATGACGATGGAGCAAGGCCGAGGGAGGCGGTGTGACGACGGTGGACATCGGTAGAGAGCCCTTTTGTGAGGATGTCCGCAACGTTCTTGGCACCTGCGACATGCTCAAATGCGAAGTAGCCCTTACGAGCCGCCTCGCGAATCCAGTAGTATGCAATATTGACATGTTTGGTTCGGTTGCTGACCTCGTCGGTGTTCTTGAGCATTCGAATCGCGGTGGTGCTGTCCATGCGGAAGAGTGTGGAGGGAGAGTTGTTCATGGGAAGGAAACCAAGCTCCTGGAGCAGCTGACGCATCCATACGATCTCGCGCCCGCAATTCTCAGCCGAGTAGAACTCCGCCTCCGTCGTGGAGCACGCGACTGTCGTCTGCTTCTTCGCGGACCACGCGATGCATCCCTGTCCGATAAAGATGGCGTACCCGGACGTGGACTTCACAGCTGGTTGGTCGGCGTGTGATGCATCGCACCACGCGACAGGGAAGATCGAGCCCTCGCCACCAACGGTGAGAGTGTAGTCCCGGGTGCCCTTGAGGTACTGAAATATCCGCTTGACGGCACGCCAGTGAGTCTTGTTTGGGTTCGACATGTACTGAGCGACGTTCTGTACTGCCTTCGAGATGTCCGGTCGAGTGTGAACCGCAATGTGCATGAGTGTACCGACCGCTGCCGGGAACTTCACACGGCGCATGAAAGCGGCTTCGTCTTCGTCCAAAGGACCGATCTGTGGTTCGAGCTTCGTGCTGAGATCCATCGGGGATGTGACCGGCAGGACTTCAGCGAATCCGAACTCTTCAAGTGCAGCGTTGATCTTGTGCGCGTGCGAGAAGGAGATGGTGCGAGCTTCGCGGTCGCGTGTGACCTGAACACCAAGCAGGAGAGATACCTCTCCGTTGTCCTTTATCGGCACATGCTTCGCGATCTCGGCCTTGAGAGATTCGGCGTCGACGTCGTTCGCACAGAAGAGGGCGAGATCATCGACATGGGATGTGATGGCTTCGAACTTGTCTCCGCGTCGTCGGAAGAAGATGCATGGGTCGGCGAGTGAGACTGTGAAGCCAAGTTCGAGTAGGATCTCGCGGAGTTTGCGGTACCAGAGATGCCCAGATTGTCGGAGACCGTAGAGCGCTTTCTTGATGCGCCAGACCAAGTGCTCGAGTCCGGGTTGCGCGAAACCTGGTGGCTGCTTCACGAATGCCTCCTGATCTTCAGGGATGTCGCTGTTCAAGAAGGCGCTATCGACATCGACGACGTGGATGGCCATACCTAGCATGGCAGCTATAGCCATGAGTGTTCGCATCGCCTCGGGCTTGACGACCGGAGCATGAGTGTCGAAGAAGTCGACACCCGGCTTCTGCGAGAACCCTTGCGCAACAAGTCTAGCCTTGTAGCGGATGATTCGGCCAGCAGTGTCGCGCTTCAAGGCGTATACCCACTTGGTGCCGATCGCTGATCGGCCGCGAGGGAGGTTGACGAGTTCGAAGGTACCGAGAGTCGAGATCGATTCAAGCTCCTTCATCATAGCGGTGATCCACTCTTCGGCGTCTGGTGAGTCAACCGCAGAATGGTAGGACTTTGGCTCTTCTCCGGTCGAGACGTAACAGTGGTCTAGGAGAGCATCAAGGAAGAGCGTTGCGTCGACCTCTTCCTCGGACTCGTTACTAGGTGAGTGTGGCTCAGCGTCGTTGTCGTCGCCTGAACGAGTTTGCAGATCGTCTCCTTCGTCCGGGACTTCCTCGATGCGTGCGGCCTGGTTCTTCGTAGCTTTCAGCTCCATGATGCGTGTCGATCGTCGTGAAGGCTCGGTTCCATGCTTCTCGCGTCGAGTGCGACGTGTTCGTGGACGTGCTCCGACGTCTGTAGGAGGCTGAGGTACGTCTGGCTCCTCGCGATGCGGTGGTAGTGGTGCATGTTCTTGTTGCGCTGGTCGAGCATCGGCAGGTGTGGTTGCAGTGTGCGGGTTGTTGTTCGGAAGCTCGTCGTCTTCCTCGGTAGGGTAGAAGCGCGAGTTGTAGAGTGGCTCCCCCTCAGCCTGCGCACTGTTACCACGTCGTGGCCACCCGTTGATGTCGTCATGAAAATCGACGTGGATGGACGAGTGAAGCTGCCAGGAGGAGGGTTCAAGCACCCGGTAAGCCTTCTGCGTTGGTGCGTATCCAAGAAATACGCCCTCAACCGCGCGCGCTTCAAGCTTGTTGTGCGACGGGGTGTCGCCCACGTAGACGTAGGCTCGACATCCGAAACGGTGAAGGAAGGCGTAGTCCGGGGGATGACCGAAACGCGCAGTGAACGGTGTTTTGCGACCAGGCAGTGCGGAGGTAGGGTTGCGATTCTTCGTGTAGACGATATAGTTGACCGCTTCATCCCAGGGAGTCGTCCAGACCGCGCCATGGCGCGAATTGTGTGGAAATTGAGGTGCCCGAGGCGACCGTGAGCGAGGAGCAGTGCGCGTGAGGCCATTTCGTCCGTTGTGTGATAAGATGTTATGTCTTTGGGAGAGTCGAGGTGATAGAGGCGGTTCTCGCCTCTGCTTCCAGTCAGAACCGTGTCAGAACGGGAAAGCGTACGTCGGAGGAGGTCACCGCCATCGCTAATCTTGAACGAGACGCAGCGGCCCATGCCAAAAAGCGTGTAACACCCCGCTTCATCGAGTCGTGGCACAGAAATCAGGCTGGGACGTGACTCGGGAACATAGCAAGTGTCGTGAAGCCGGAGGCGTGTGCGCGATCCATCCGGCAGGGCTGCAACGAGCTGCGCTTCTCCACGCCCTTCAACAGCGGTCGTGCCGTTTCCGAAACCATGGATAGTAGAGGATGAAGCACTAAGATCGGCGAAATCCACTCGTTGAGAATGCACATGCGACGATGTCCAGAGTCGATGATGATAGGTGGGTGTGGGGAATGAGATGGGAGCGCAAGGGACGACGAATCTTGATGGGAAGTGGATGGTGATGCGCACGCGAGAGGGTAGCAGGAGAACTCGGAAGTGAATAGGACGGATTCGCTGCGTACAAAGTTTGAGTGCTCGCCCTCCGAGCCCGTGTTGCTCTTCTCCTGCGTCACATTCGCCTTCTCCTTCCCTTATTCCCGCCTCCACCTGACGCCTCGGCCCGCTTGCGAGTGCGGCACTCCTCGTAATTGTGGTTCTTGCGGCGACAGTAGGAACACCACTTGTTGCCTGCGCGCTTGAAACGGTCGATGGCGGCATAGGCGTCCTCCATGTTGGTGACCATAACAGAGTCCTGCGACGTTGTGGTTGTCGCAATACCGAGAGCGAGGCGCCGTTGGTTGCGGGCACCGACGGTGATGTGCTCGAGGGTCGTCTTGGTGGTCGAGTCGAACGGGATGGTGGCCGCCAAGACTTCCATTGCGTGC